GCCCTGTGGCAACCCGGGGCTCTGCCCTGTGGCAACCCGGGGCTCTGCCCTGTGGCAACCCGGGGCTCTGCCCTGTGGCAACCCGGGGCTCTGCCCTGTGGCAACCCGGGGCTCTGCCCTGTGGCAACCCGGGGCTCTGCCCTGTGGCAACCCGGGGCTCTGCCCTGTGGCAACCCGGGGCTCTGCCCTGTGGCAACCCGCATATTAATCATCAGGTAAACCTGACGATTAATATGCGGGTTGCAGATAAATTGGTGTGTAATAACTATTTTTTATTTCTGTAATTGAAATTTTGAATAATTGATTGAAAATACAAAACAATATATTTTAATTTTGCATTTTGTCCGAAAATTTTTGTAAATGTAAACCTTGACGAATAAGATGGGAGTTACTTTAAATTGGTATAAAAAGGTTTTTTATATCTCAGTAATTTCATTTTGATTAATAGATTGAAGTTTTAAAAAATATAATAACTTGCATTTTGCATAATGGGCAGGAGTTTTCATCAATGAAAACTGCTGTTTTGAATAATCATTTTACTATATTTGATAGAATTGATTACCTAGTTTTTAAAACATAAACATTGATTTACAGCGATCGAATTTTGTTAAATTTGAAGTGATTTTATATCGAATATGCTATTAACTACTCTAGTACCCTAAAAATATACCAAATTACTATTAGAGTAATTGATTCTTTTATTGATTCAAATATTAATTGATTTATTTATTCATTTATTCATTAATTCATTGATTTAATCATGTATTCTATTCTTTAAATCTTTTTATATATTTATTACCTTTTAATTGTTAAATACTTTATATTTATTTTTTTGAATTTATTCATTAATTAATCATAGATGCCAAAGCAAATGAATCATATCAAGTCATGTGAATCGAATAAATAAATATGATTATTATTTTAAAACTGAAACTATATGTTTCATTCTTGATCACCACTTTACAAATTGTCATTGATCTTCTCTAAATCTTATTGTTTCTGCTTTACATTTATATAATTGCCATTGTTATTAATCTTATAAATAATATTTCCATTTGTTGTAGTTGTTGTCGTTGTAGTTGATATTAAATCTATCCTATTGAATGACATCTTCTTCCAGTATATGTTATCTAAATTTATAATTTCCTAATGATAATCAATATTTATATTAGTAACATTCTATTAATTAATAAATCTTTTTTCTAGAATCATTTTTCTTCTTATAATTCTTTTCTCTTACTTGATTGAAGATTTGTCTTTTAATAACCATTCGGTTTGTTCTTCATCGTCATCCTCTGCTTTGTTTGGAGTGATATGCTCGATGGCTGCTCGATGGCCGCTTGAAACTCTTCGTTGGCCATTTGAAGTGGTGTCATATCTTGTTGTTTCTGTTTCTCTAGCAATATTTTATTATTTACTTGTTGATTTTGTTCTAACTTCTATTCTCTACATTTGGTTGTTGCTGTTGCTGTTGCTGTTGCTGTTGTTCATATTCAACTTGTTGTTGATGTTGCTGTTTTTGATATGCACCATAATTACCTAAATGATAATCAATAAATGTTAGTAACATTATATTAATTAATAAACTAATGCTTATCTTACTATTAATCTATCTCTAGTAATTTAAAGATTGTTGGTGTCGATAATTGTAATCCAAATGAAGATGATTCGAAACATTCGATCTCGTTTGCTCGATAGTGACCATATCTTCTTGTCAGATGGTAGTGGCTTCATTGACTTTGATCAAAGTGTTGGTGTATCGTTCACCTATTAGGTAAGCAAAGTAAACTTTTGACAACCAGTTGTACTTGATGCATATCATTTTCCAATGCTGTGTTGAAATAAAATCTAAATATAAATTAACTTGACTCTCTATATGATTGTGGTATATTAGATAATTGCAGTAGATTTACAAATTTTAAAAATTATAAATTTACATACCTCAATAGCAATAAGAACACACTTCTTGTAATCTTGATGATCATACTATTAATTGGTTGTACTTGAAATGTATTACTCTTGCAATTGTGCTTTCACTCTGATAGTATCTTTAATCACGTTGATCCTTGTCATGATTTAGCAAAGAGTCGATCACCGCTATTGTCCTATTTCACAGCAGCTTCCAAAATAAGTATCTATCTTTGAGAGTATAGCAATTTGATATCTAATCTTCATTCATCAGAACCAACCACCACTCAACTAATATATTGACATTGCTGTCAACAAACGATATCTAATCTAACGTCGCATATTCTGTATCTATTAATAAATTAAAATTAGTTTGTTAGTTTAGTTTAGTTTAGCATTATAGGAATTATCATTATCTCAATATTACTCTTCAATATGTATCTTTTTAGAACACAAAAAGTAAACTTGATAGACTTACAATACTGAAATCATTGACTGAGCTTACATTTGAATTGAATCTTATAACTCATTACTTTCTTTAAATAATTATTATATTATTACTATTGATAACGATATCTTAAGATCTTTAAAATGAAGTAAAAAAAAAAAAAAAACAATTTCGTAGATCATAAACACGGAGCATCAAAAGTAATATTTTAATTGTTGTTTAGTTTGATTGTTGTTAACAACAAATTACAATCATTTATCATTTAACTATAGTAAAACAAAAATTATCATATTTTATATTGACCTCTATTATCATGCAACTCTTGTAAAGATAATTTAAAAGGTTAGTTAACTTTTATTCTTATTTAATCTACACTCTATCTTTACTATTTTTTATTCAAATTAATATCGATTTAACTTGTTCATAGACAAAATACAATATTAATCATTATTCATACAACTTGGATTACCAAATATTTAAACTTTAACATATTTACACACCAACAAAATAATCTTATACCAACTATCTTGAATAACAATTACACAATTATTAAAAAAACATAACAAAGAAACCTATACTTTGATTATACAATCCTATACACTAATGATATCAAGTTTCTGTATGTTCATCACCATTATTCACCCTTGATCCACAATGGAAATTGATCTTCAATTCAAATAGCTCATTTTATTTATTCATTTATTTATATAACTTTCAATAAATTAAATACTATACTATCATTTATTAATTGATTGACTAATTTTTTAAACTTTAATGATCTATAGATCAATAATATGGTAATCATACAAACAAATATTCAAGACATTTTTGAATTCTTTTGGGGGATCTTTGAATAAGACATCTGCTCCACTGACCACACTTACTGTGCGTGAAGAACATATCGGATCTTGTTGTTTGCACGAATACAATCTTTTTCTGGTCCAGAGATGACAGTTTGGCGACAATTAATCGATTAAATCATTGTAGAAACTCTTGAAAGTGATGCTATTCCTCTACCATCTACTTTTCAAACCTCAAATAAGAAGCATTGAGCATGGTATTATTTGGTATGTTTTGTTAAAATTATTTATTTATTATAAATGAATAACTAACTAATTAACTATAGTTAAAAAGAGAATTGATGATCCCATCGAGAAAGAGAGAAAACATTAATAGATGACCACCATATTCATTTTATATTCTAAATTATTTAATCATTAAAACCATCACAACACACCTATTCACTCATTCAAGCAATCAACCAACATCGATTCATCTAATCTTTATAATTCATTAATTTTTTAGATCAACTCAATTGGAGGTGTCATATCAATTTGACTATGAAAATGGTGATCACACCTATCGCGAACCATAAGAGTGATAAGAAATCGGTTAAGGAGACTTATAGATCATTAGAAAGATGAATCAGATCAACATATTAAGAATATACAATTTACAATCAATTCAAACTTCATCCGATATTTGAAGAACACTTTGACACCAACCAATTTCACCTATCAAACTATTCAATAGTAATAATAACAATTTAAACAACGAGAATTACAATTCAAATTAATAATTATAAATAAACTAACCAAAATAAGTTTTTTTTTTTTTTTTTTTTATTTGAGAAAGTAGATTTGTTGTTGATGGCATGTTTGTCTCGATCATTATAGTAAACATGTATGTTGTTTTGATAGTGATTGTCGATAAAGAGAACTTGAGTTGGTGTTGTTGTAGTGTATGATTTTAATTGTAACAGCAGTTCCTTTAATAATGGGTGTTTGTTGGATACTTTGTATTTTATAAAGATCAAAACGTGAAAAAGAGCTATTATTGTCTCTCAATAATCATACATCTAACTTGGAATTGTTTGTTACATGCTTTTGAGATTGTCTATCTCATATTTTGTGTTCTGTCCTTTTTATTCTGTTATTGAATCACAATCATGATTCAGTTTACATTTTATAATAAATAAATAATTAATATTTTTATTTGTTAGAAAATAATTTTTGGAAAAATGAAGAAATAGATTTATCAATATTATTATTATTAATCTGTAAGAAACCTGCATTAAAATAAGGATCTTTAACTCCATTTGAATAAACAATATAATTATTAGAATCTAATCTTCTATAATTAATATAGTGGGGACCATCATCAAACTTTACTCTTATTGTTACAATGTGTGCTGGTAATGAATTGATTGGATGATCTTTAGTTAAATCTTTTGAATTTATATATAGTTCTCGAAGTGATTTTGGAAATTTAAATTTGTGTAGACAGCTAGTGTAGTACCATAGTGGCCTGTTGTCAATTTGTAAGAGTTCTACTGATGATGGAATGAAAGTGAAATATTCCGGCTGTTGAGTAAATCGTAATATTTTAACGGTTTCTGGAATAATTCCAGGTCCACTAATACTATCCATCTCCAGGATTCCGATATGTAATTCTCTAACTTTTGGAGGAAAGTAACCCTTAGTGATGAACCAATCACATATATTTATTTTTAAATATTCATAATCTATATCATGATTCAAAACAGTTCTATCTGCCCCATAGAAATCTAATTTTACATTGGTGTCATTGTATACTCTATTCTCATTGTTGTTTAATCTAAGAGTTTCTGTATATCAAAAAAATAAATAAATAAATATATACAATAATTTTATCTGACACGCACATACCATTATTTAAATGTTTATTTACAGTATATTCGATAATATTTTGAAAAGATTTAAAACAATTTAAATAGTTATTATCTACATTTAGACATTGTTTATCTATAAAACTGTTATCATGTAAAAATACTAAATAATGTTCTTTTTCTTGATACCATCTCTTACAAACGATACTAAAACATATTCTGTCAAGATTATCATCTAATAATTTGATTATATTGTTTAAAATATGAAAAGGTGTATTTACTAATAAATGATTTATATTTGTTGAATTTTGATTTAAATTTTTCATTTTCAATAGATACACAATTTATGTTTTTATTTGTTCAAATTGAAAAAATTACAGTCTTGTCGTGTTTTGATTTAACTTTCAATCAAACAATATCACAACAATTTTTTTTTTGCTCCAAATGTGAAATAGTACTCTAAAAAAACAAAATGTGAAAAAAGTCAGAATAGTCACTCTATTCTTGATATAACAAAAAACATTTCACATTCGGAGCAAAAAAAAAGATTGTTTATTGTTTAAGTTGGTAATAGTCATTATAAAGTAATAATTTGTCAAATGTGTGAATCTGAGAATGATCTGTGCGGGGATGAGGGCATGCAGGTTGAAATAGATAAGAGCGAACCAACTAAAGAGAATAAACTAAAGATAGAGAAAAATAAGTCTAAGAAAAGGAAACACTACAATTTATTGTTTAAATTAAAAAAAACTATTGTTATAGTAATTATTGTTCTTATTGTTATTATTATTATTATAATTAATATTGTTATTGCTATAAGTGAAGTTATTGTTATTGTTATTGTTATTGTTATTATTATTGTTGCTATCAACATAAGATCCATTAATATCATCAAATCCACCATCATTCATTAAAAGCATATCGTCAAAGCTACCATTGTCACCAATATTGTTTATTTAAAATTTGATCTAAATCAGTTAAGTCTTGACGTCAATGTCGTAGTCAAATGTTGCCGTTGAATTTACACTGTTATTAAAACTGAAATGACTGTTGTAATATATCTACAATTCAAATAAACAATTATAAATAAACAATCTAAATAAGTTTTTTTATTTTTATTTTTATTTGATAAAGTAGAGTTGTTGAACGTATGATTTTATTTGTAACAACAGTTCCTTTAATAATGGGTGTGTTTGTTTTGGATACTTTTGTATTGTATAAATCTAACCTTTAGAACAACAAATTGTGCTTGAAGAATATCATTTTCAAACGCAATCAAATCTGAATCTAAATTAATTTGGTTCTTTATATTATTATTGTGTATATTAGTTAATTGTATTATATATACAAACTTGCTATCATTACATACCAATACCTAGATTCTGAAATCTTAATGATCCTCTGGCTATTAGTGTGAACCAATATGATCAGTTCAAATAGTGAATGTCTGTTAGGATAAGCTTATTTGTCGAATTGGAACACATTTTTTTGGCTTTAAGTAGCAGGGCGTGTCAACAACTATTCTTTGGTTCTGTTGAACCATAGTGTCATGAGAATGTTTATGATCTTATCGTTTGAAGTGTTGGTTGGTTGTGTGCACTGGAATCCTTCAACATCTAAAGTTCTTTCATTCTGATAGTATTGTAAACTTGTTGGTTGCTTTAATGATTGAATCCAAACAGTCGACCGCCTCCACTATCACCACAATTATTGTTGCATTTGACTGAAACCTCCAACGCTGTTGTTCTTTTAAAGCAGATTTTGATTGATATTCACTGCAGTGTTGGCTCTGTTATACATCTAAAGCTAAATGATATTTTCGTTCTATTAATTTGAGTTTCTATAGAGAGGTTTTATAATGGATGTCTGTTAGAATACAATTATATACAAACATTTCCTCTAGATGTTGTATCTTTGTAGTAATACCAACCCTATCATCCAGCTTTTGGTTTTTGTTGATTGTCGTTCATTCTGTATTATATTTATATTTTCTTTGAAAATAGTTGTAACTCTGCTGCTACCTATATCAATTGTTATTAATTACTATTTATAATCTACTTTTCTTTTAGATCAGAATAACAATAAGCATGCTATAGATAGTGACGATATTGTTTTATGTGCTATCCATTCAACTACGACGTTGTTGTAATTTCAAAACCCAAATGATTATTATTAATTATAGTGATTTGTCTTTTAATAACTTACAATAAATACTGAAATCATTGACTGAGCCTACATTTGAATTGAATCTTATAACTCATTACTTTCTTATATTCTAAAGCTGTAACATCTTTTTAAAATTATAAAATAAATAAATATTGATATTATTACTATTGATAACGATATCTTAAGATCTTTAAAATGAAAGTAAAAAAAAAAAAAAAAAAATAATTTGATGGTCAAACTAATATAGCTTAGTGGATCACAAACTATTGATGTTGGTGAAACATCTCCAGGTGAAACCAGAGCAAGAAGAAACAAGAAGTTCCCAGATCTCATCTCCCAACCAGATGAAAATACTAAGACTCTCTATGATGTTTATCAGTATGAGTTTCTTGCTAGCGAAAACAAACAAATTATAGAATAGATTAAGGATTGGAAGAATAAGAATATTAACACTTAACATCAAAAGTATTATTTTTTTGTTACTCAGTTACAATATTTTCGAAATTTTGTCACTCAACTTACAATACATTGAATGGTCTTAGATTTGATTTGAATTTTCTAATTTCATTACAACACTATGTATAATTTATAATAACAAAATATAACTATTTATCAATAAGTAGGAATGAAAATAGACAAAAATTAAAAGTATAAGTTTATGGTGTATCGACTTTTCATCGGAAACATTCCCTTTAATTTTTTTTAAACTTTCATTGGTTTTTTTTAAAAATCACTTTTATTTTTTTATTTTTTTTTCATTTTTACATCCATTATTATTAATTATTATTATAGTTATAATAAGATTGTAAAATGAAATGCCTTATTATATTTAACTCAAAAGATTTAGATCTACTTTATGTAGAACATAGTGAAATAGATCTGTTGACTCAAAAGATGTTCACTACCGTAGAGTTTATCAGAGGTAACATCGGTCAACGTCCACAATATATCTCTGCTGGAAAACAACAATTTGTATTTCATTATGTATGTTGTTATTATTATCAAATCAATAGATTTCATTTAAAAACTTATACTTTTATCTACAAAACTACTACTTATTGATATTTAGAATGATTCAATTAATATTTGGTTTGTTTTGATGTCGGATGACGATGATTCTGAAACATTGTTGAGATACCGTTTGAATCTTTTGAACAATCTCTATTCAATGATCATTGGAAACATCGGAGCCAATCGTAGAGCAGTTCTAAAGAAGAAGATGACTCAAATCTCTGCAACTGTGAATGCACTGTTTGACGAGTCGCAATCTGTTCTCTGTCAGGCCTACGAGATACTAGAACTAAATGACAAGCTTCGTCAGCGTTGTTTCAAAGAGATCCTAGAGTTGATGGAACTCTTCTCCAAGTCAATCTATGCCATTATCTTTGTTGGACAGAAGCTGGCCACATTCCACTGCAAGCAACGTCCACACCTTCATAGCTCCGACATCTTTTTGCTTTCATTATACTGTCAGATTCAATTGAAAACAAGACAACCAATCATTTATAATAATAACAATAATAATAATGCTAATTCAAATGAAGAAGATGGTGGTGATAACAACAACAACAATAATAATAATCAAAGTAATAGTAATTACGAAGGTAATGGTAATGCAACACCAAAGTCAGCAGCAACAGAAGATTCGTTTGAGAATGTTTCACCACGTAATAATTTAGATGACTTTTCGTCACCTTGTAATGTTGTAGAAGATGGTTTGAGTAGCGAAGATGAACGATTCGACACTGCACCAGAGGAATTTGATGAGAATTCACCATCCAACCAAAAATCATTTTTATTTTCGATATTAGATGAAATTGGCACCTCTATTTCATCCTCATCACCTCAATTGATGCCGAAATTAATGGTAATTATAATATATCATTAAGATTACAATTTAAACAAAATTTTAATTTATATCTTCTTTACTTTAGAAACAAAAGCTGGCTACTGAATTCCTAAAAGAAGGTGTTAAACAATCATCATCATCAGACTTGATTTCACTTTTGAATTATATATTATTGTCAATTGGTTCTTTGGATGAAAGTGCCGATCGAAATCTGTATACTACACAAACACAAGATGCAATCAAAAAGCTGCAATCTACACACAACCTACCAGATACAGGTGAAGCTGACCCATCCACCATCAAACTGATCTTGAGTAAAGGACCTTTAGGAAATGTAGCATCGTCATTACATCCCTCTTTTGTATGGATTTAAGAGGCAATTCAATTGAAAACGTATTTATATTAACATTCTTTTTAATCACTATTATTTTAGTATTCAAAGAGAAAGAAATCACATCCTACACCAGTTGAAGATATAGATTCAAATTTTAGAGAAATCAGTTTAGGAAGTAGAAAAGATAATAGTCGTGGAGATACAAGAGGTAGTTCAAGTGGATTTAATTCAAACAACAACAATAACAATAACAATAATAATAATAATAATAATAATAGATTCGATAACAATCAAGATGATGAATATTCACCATCGAAATCAACATTAGAAGTAATTTATATGAGAAACCTTACACCTGTTTGGGCATATTGTGCAGAGATACAAAAGAATTGTTTCTTAGTTTTATTAAATAAGGATTTAGTATGTATTTATAAATATGCATTTGTTTTTTTTTCGAATTATTATTAATCAAATTATTATTACAATAGCATACAGATAAAGTATTAGCAAATGAAAAGAAAGATTTAGTAGCAGAGATGGAGCTACTAGAGAAATCGAAACCATTTTTATATGATAAACTATTTAAACAACTTGGACAATTTCTATTTACAAAGGAAATGAGCAATCTGGGATACATTAGATTCAGTCACATTCCTGGTCTTGTGCATTTCATTCTGTTGGACCGTACCTACAACCGTATCAAGGCACCAACAATCAATCTGCTCAACGGTAAAAAGTATCCACCCACCGAGAATATGATAGAGCTGATTCGTAAGCAGGTGTGGTCAATGTATAGCACATGTGTACACCAACTGGTAAAGAAGGGCTACACTCACCAGATCATCAAGCACAAAAACTTTATGTATTCCTACAGACTTTGGGTAGACGATGATGAGAATCAAGATACAACACACACCGAAATCTTCTCAAACTCTAGACATGATCGTGTATACCAGGAATTCGTAAAGAAATATTACCCTCACCCAGTTAAATGTATGGAGCTACTCACACTGTACATCGGATCCGTTCCAATGTCACTCATCTTTAAGAATGATAGAATTTTACATACTCTTTTATTTGACATTGTGGAGTAGTAGTAAAGTTAAACAAGATATCTATTGAACCAACAACACTTTTAACTATCTAAACAACCAATTCATCAGATGATTAAATATTTCATTATCCCAATAATTATTTTTATACCATTATAATCCATTATATATATATAGATTAGATAGATATTTAATTTAATTATTAATCCATCAAACCCTATTATTTGTAAATTTTATTTAATAAATAAAATATAAAATGTTTGTAATTGAATATATTTATTTTTGATATGAACCCCGATAATAAAATAATTTTTTTTTTTAAACACAATCAATTATCTTTTTTATTATTACTACAAATCAATAATAAAGATAGGAATTTGTTATCTTTGTTTTAAATTCTAAGGTTATAATACCCATTAAATTTAAGAATTCTAAGATTTATTTATTTATTAAAATCAATCTTATTAAATAATTCAAGAATATAATTTTTTAGAAAATAAGATTAAATTCTACTTTAGATACAATGAAAGTAGTATAAATAGTTCTAAAGTTTGTTGTTTAAAATCATCAAACAAATAAACTAATAATTATTAATTAATTTTAAACAACAAACAAAACAACTAAAATGACTTTAATTGGTATGATTTAGATAACAAATACAATATAAAGTAATGAATTCTAATATTGATATTAAATTTTATAGCTGCTATTTCTAAACTCTCATTCGGTGGAAACACTTCTAAATCATTTGGATCAGTTGGATCATCTTTTGGTTCTAGTTCATCTGAAGGACATAATCAACTTTCCTTGGTAGTAAAGTCAAACACCAATGTCCAAGCTTCACTTGCTGCTCCAACCAACATCCAAGCCGATGTTCAAGCATTCGCAGCTGTCAAGCTCTAAATACTTAACTATGAATGAATGAAGTTTAAGCTCATGTAGTATTTATTTAATCTTGTAATAAAATGATTTATTCATTACACACAATAATCGTACACATTTATTATCATTATTGTTTATCTTAAATTTAATGGGTATTATAACTTGTTTGTTTTATTGAGTCTTCTTTGAGGTTGATAATTTTGATTTTATATTCTTTAATCTCTCTAATAGTGTTGGATGAGTGTGATGATAGGTTGAGTACCATGGATCGATGATAAGGGATGCGCTATCTTTAATATTCAACTTTACCAAACCATCAGTTAAATCGTATCCCATTCCAAGTGCATAGTCATCGGCTTGATATTCATATGCTCTAGAAAAGACATTTGAAATAAACGAAAAGATCTGGTCCAATGGTGAATAGATTTGCGAGAATAACAATAATCCAACGAATGTCTAATATTAAAAAAAAAAAAAATTTTTAAAAGATAATATAATAGTTAGTAGTTATTTAGTTATTACACCAAATTTGTAATACATACATATGTATTTTGGAAACCGAAATCATTAAAAAGTTGAATATCGTTAACAAACAAACCAAAGATGTAAAAGAATACAATGAGATAGATTTGTTGAATAACGATGAGACGAAGGGTATGATTCATCTTGTAATGTCCAAACTCATGACACAATACAGCAAGAATCTCTTCTTGACTGAGTTCTTTGATGAGTGTATCGTAAAGTACGATTCTCTTGTTCTTAAAGAATCCATAGAAATAACTATTATTGAGATTATTTATAAAAAAAGTTAATTAATTTAAAGATATCTTTTTATAGTTTGTTTTTACATACGCATTCATATGAGAACTTCTCTTTGAGTTATCTACAACGTAGAGTTGAGTTGCTGGGAAATCTACTTTTTTCGCCAACTCGTAGATTGAATCACGAAGTTCACCTTCGACCGGTGAATATTTGTTAAAGAGTGGTGCAATGAGTACTGGGTAGATTGTGATCATTACAAATGAGAATGCTGCTATCAGCAACCAAGAGTAGAACCAAAACAAAGGTCCTGTCCATTTTACGATGTAGATCAAAGCAGATACCAATGGACCTCCAATTACAACAATCAAAAGTACACCTATAATCTTATCTTTAATGAATAGCTATAATAGTAGTAATGATTATTGAAATAAAATTAATAATTAAATAATATAAAATAACAAACAGACAAACCTTTAAACTAATCTTGTTGAAACCATGCTTTTCTTCCAATACGAATGAGTAATACAAAGAAAATGGTATCTCGAGAAGTGTTGAGAACAATATATATTCAGTAAGGAATACAATTGATATTAAGATCTAATAATATTAATTGGTAGATAGTAAAGTAAGCTGTCAGTGTTGTTTAATCAGGCGGTACGGCGGTACCTATAATTAATAATTAATTTGTAACATACTTCATTTGAATATCCAAAATTGCTCAAGAAATTGGTAGCAGAACTCCAAAGATATGGTGTAAAGTAATAGTAAATCAATAAAATATTAATAATAAACTGAATGAACTTTGTTGTAGAGTTGAACAGTCTAACAGTTTGAAAGAAGTGATATTTAATATGTTAATAAACATTAGTTATTGTATCTTTCTGTCTATTGAACATACAATTTATCATATCCATATTGTTGTGACTTTGCAAATTGTTCAGGAGTGGTGATGTTGTATGCTTCAAGAGTTGATGGTATCGTCTTAATCTTTAGTTTTTGTAACTGTCTATAATTGAGATACTGATTGATCACCTGTTCGACAGTGGTCGTCAATATAACAAAATTCATCCAATTCATCTTGTTATATATAATTGTAAATTTAATTGTAATTAAAAATTAATAAATGATGGTCAACAAAATTGTGTGAAGATCATTTCAAAAAAAAACAAAAAAATGGAAACAATCATTAAAAGATTTTGTTTATCAAATCATATACATTTAATTTTACAAAGAACATAATACTATCTATTAGTATTTTGAATATTGGATCTTATCGGAAATAATCATTAAGATTTAATCTTTTTATAAAAAATAATAATATCGGGTATTAATAGATAAAGCTGATCTTGAAACAGTATTCTTTTTATGATGATCAAAATATAAATAAATAAAGAAATTTTAAAAAGAATACTGTTTTCATATTATCGATTCTCTCGATTACCACCAAATTTTAATTCTATGTCAACTTTCAGTCGATCATTATCTTTTTTAATTGTTATAAACATTATTTTAAATTAAACTCTAATTTTTTCTCTTTCACATTTTTCACAATCATTGTTTTAATCCTCAACCACCTCATTTTTTAATGTATATCAGTTTATAAATTAAAAAATTAAAAATGAAAAAAAAACATTTTTTATAACTGTTCAGTTGGTTTTTTTTTTATTATTAAATCTTAGCATTCAGTTAGATTCAAATAATATTAGTAATAATAGTAAAGATAATTTTGAAATAAATTATATGAACCAAGAGAATCAAAACAATAAAAATGGAAATGATAACCAAGTTTCACAAGTAAATGATAATGATCACTCTGACTTTGGAGTGAAACCACCAGTGATCATTCCACAAAGTAACCGGACTGAATTTACCAAACACTTCCAGAGTTACAATAGTCGTTTGTTCCATGTTCCCTACTGTTATTTCCTACCAAACGATGCAAAACAAGTAGCTCAAGCTTTGAAATATGCCCGTCACCATGGTCGTCGTGTCACCATAAAATCTGGAGGCCACTCTTGCGAAGCATTGTCATCGGCTGATAACACCGTTGTCATTGATATGTCAAAAATGAAGTCAGCACAACTAGACTTACTTACTCGTCAGATAACAGTAGGGTCTGGTGTAAATTGGATTGAGTTTTACAACAAGACAGCTCCACATGGATTGGCAACAGCCGGTGGTTCCTGTCCAACTGTCAACGTTGGTGGACTGATTGGGGGTGGCGGAGCGAACTACTTGTCGCCGCGGTAAGTTTACCTGTTTTTTTTAATTTTATTAGTTATAATTTTTATTTGATTATTTTTTTTAAAAAAACAAATAGTTATGGATACGCCTGTGATAATGTAGTATCAATGACTATAGTCACAGCGGATGGACGTATTCGTCATTGTTCAGCACATCACCATAGCGATCTTTTTTGGGCTATGCGTGGTGGAGGACATGGAGGTCTCGGCGTAATGGTGGATGCTACTCTCCAACTTCATCCAATAGAACCAAAACTCTACATAAATAGTATTACCATTCGGTTTGATGTGCTCCAACAAGCATTGTTGTTTATTGATGAATACTCGAGAATCATGGACCAAATGATCTACCTGAATGTGCATGCTGGAATGAAGCTAGCAATTGGACCATCCTCCGGATATGTTCGTTGCAACTTCCTATACAATGGTGATCCAACAGTTGGTGACACAGAGTTTAGAAAATTCTTTGGTAAATTCCAATCGGCGGTACCAAGTATTACCACTAATTTTAATGCAACACCAATTAGTATCCTTCAGATTCTTGCTAGTGGGCCAGATACACCGATTGCTCGTTCCTACACTCGTGGCAGAATAATGGATAATTGGACTGGATTAATGGCAGACCTCTTGGTATCTATGTTTGAAAATAGCACTGTGCCAACTATGACCAACAACACTGACATCACAGCCAATATTTTCTTTGAAATGTATTTTCATGGTGGAGAAATGCAGGCCAAACCTAGAAACTACAATGCTTTCGTACATCGTTCTGCGCAATGGTCGACGTCCATTTCACTCAACTATCAACTACCAGCCAACGATGAAGTATTTTCCACATGGGACAAAAAAGTTGCCGAAAAATTCACTCTTTTCTCTAAATACATCTACCAAAACTATCCTGACACTGATTCTGCTATCGATTGGGAACAAGCATACTACGCTGAAAACTATAGAAAGCTACAACTCATCAAATTTAAATATGATCCATTCAATTTCTTTAATTATACCCAATCGATTAGGCTTCCATTCACAACTTCAAAATTGTAAACTAAAAAAAAAAAAAGAATATAATAAATTCTTTATATATTTGATATTTTATTTTTGTTGTTTTGATTGTTCCAATTCATTTAGTACATTCATTTTAGTTGTTGCTTCTTGTGCTTCTTCTTTTCTTCCTAAACCTTCTAGAGCTTGAGATTTTCTCAAGTAACCTTTTGGCCATTCTGGTGCGAGCTCGATTGTTTTTTCTGCGTCTTTCAATGCTTCAGTATAGTTCTTTAATGAGATATGACAAGCTGCCTTGTTGCTGAATAAAATATATTGGATTTGTTCTTTGTTCTTTGTTGATGGGTCCATCTCACGACTGACTTCGTCGACGTCAGCTGCCAACTGATACCAATTGAGTGCGACATCGTAGTCACCCTTTCTAAAAGCACGATTACCATTCTCTTTCAAATCCTCTGCACTAACCTTTGGTTTGGAAGATGATTTACTCTTGTTGGTGACGACTGGCTTGTACGGAGTTGGGTCGAGTTTCAAATTGGTGAGTAGTTCTTCGATTGTCTTTTTCTTGTTGTTCTTGGCCATGAGCAATGGTGTTTCACCAGTCTCATCCAACTTGAGAACGGCACCACTACCGATGAGATCTTTGATAACTTCGAGATTCTCACTGTCTACACAAATGTGGAGTGGAGTGCAACCACCGGCAGCAACAGCATTAACATCAGCACCCAACTTGATCAACTGACGTGCATAAGCTGTGTTTCCATAAGCGCAAGCAATGTGGAGTGGTGTCATTTCATTGGCATCACGAGTGGCCAACAATTGTGGATACTTCTTAATCAACGAATCGATAATTGGTAGATCTTTCTCTTTGATTCCGTATGCGGTATGCAAAATGCTACCAGCTTCACTGGTATTCTCGGTTGAAACCTTGGCATCCTTGTCCAACAATGACTTTACAACATCAGATTCTCCGCTCAACACTGCCAACTGTAATGCAGTGAAACCATCTTGATTCTTTATATCGATATCGGCACCCAACTCTATCAATCTTAAAGCAATCTTTGGATGTCCCATTTTAATTGAAATCATCAATGGACTATAATTTGACTATACCACACGATGTAATGTAAAAAACATAAATTAACTATAATGAATTATTTTATACAGTGTTGGTAGTGTAACAGTTTTACTTACGAAATCTAATGAGTTGATGTTAGCTTTGGCATCGATGAGCAGATCGAATGTTTCAATGTTTCCACTATGACAAACAAAGTGAAGTGATGAACGTCTGTTTGCATCAACTTCATTGATTAGCTTTACACGCTTTGATTCGTCTTGTAACACTGCCTTGAGAGCATCTATACGGTTATTTGCTGCATCATCGATGAATTGTTGAACATCATCATCGATCTTCTTTCTCTGAATCTTTCCCTCAGCAAATGCTTTTTTAATTTCATCTTCGTTCATATCATCAAGTGATTTTCCTAATCCTACTTTATTCTTTTTTATTTGTTCTACCCTATTTTGTTTTTTTTTTTTGAATATAATATCTATTAATAAATAATAATAAAAAAGACTTTAAAGTAAGAATCTTGATCAATCGTTTTTCGTTTTTTTTCTGTAAAAAAAAAAAAAATTATAAAAAATTAAAAAAAAAGAAATAAGAATATTAATATTAATTAAAAGTTATGTCTATGATATTATTTATGAAGACATTGGCAATTTATTTTTATTTGTATAAAATTTAAAAAACAATGTGACTTTTAAATGAAATTTACACCTTTCTTTTATTTTTTATCTATCAGTTGTTGAAAAATATCTCTACTCTGTATCAATTGTTTAAATTTTGTAGTTTTTAAGAGTGGAGTTTAAACTTTTGATCAAATAAAATAGTAACAAGTTAAAAAAATGAATAATTAAATATTGTTTTGCTAATCATTCGTTTTTTCCTTTTTAAAAAAAAAAAAAAAAAACAAACGAATGTAATAATTAAATATTGTAAGAAATAAATAATAATTGAACATGTCTATAAAACTACCAAATATGCCAAAGATCCAAGATCTTATTAGATTATATGGATTATCAGCTAAACAACAACTGTCACAGAATTTCTTGTTGGATTTGAATATTACCGACAAGATATGTAGAGTTGCAGGTGGATTCAATGACTGTACCGTGATAGAGGTTGGTGCAGGTCCAGGTGGTCTCACACGAAGTCTACTCAACTCTGGTGCAAAGAAGGTGATTGCCGTTGAAATGGATCGTCGTTTCATCCCAGCATTGAAGATGTTAGAAGACGCTAGCGATGGACGTCTCTCTGTAGTCATGGGTGACATGAAAGATGTCAACGAAGCAGAGATACTAAAACAATTCGGTGCTGTACCCACCGATTGGGATAAACCATCGAAAGTAAAGATCATAGGTAATCTACCATTCAACGTCGGTACACATCTCATGCTCAAATGGATACGTCAAATCAAACCTAGAGAAGGTTTATTTGAATTCGGTAGAGTACCTATGATTCTTATGTTTCAAAAGGAATTGGCTGATGTAATGTATCGATCAATTAAAAAGATATTATTGATTATTGTTATTAACCAACATTTCGTTTAAAGAGAATAATAGCACCCGTTAGTTCACATGAATATGGTAGATTGGCAGTCATGATACAACAAGAGTGTGATAGTAAGGTTGTATATGATTTACCAGGAAAGGTGTTTGTACCACCACCAAAAGTAGATGCATCAGTTGTATATATAGAACCAAAGGTTAAACCAATAGGTGATTTGAAATCAAAGGAATATTTAGAATATGTTTGTAGAGAGTTATTTACTCAAAAGAGAAAGACCCTTGGTAATGCAATAAAGTAAGTTAAACAAAGATCTTATCATATTGGAAATAAAAGTAAAGTGATCTATACTAATTAGCGCTTAATAGATGTTTAGGTAATGGTGCAGAATCATTAATTGAGGGTATTGATCCAACAAAGAGACCACAGAATCTGACAGTTGAAGAATTGGTAAAGATATCCAATCGATTCAATGATTGGCCACACAAGAAGGATATAGATATGTTGTCGTTTAGAAATGATGCAAGATGGCTAAGAGGTGAAGAGAAGAAACTAAAGAAGGAACAAAGAGTAATGGAATCATTGGAAAAGAGAAAAGAGAAATTGGCCAAATTTAAGAATCTCGACAAGAAACAACAGATTGAATATCTAAAAGTATTGAGAGAGACTATACCAAGTGGTTTGAATTTGAAGAAGGATACAGATGACGATAACAATGCCAACGAATATCAAGTAGTACATACAGAGGACATTGAAGATGGTGATGATTTCGATTTCGATGAATTTGAAGAAGATGAAGATACAATTATAAAAGATAAATAAATTAATAAATAATAATTAGTTTTTTTTTTTTAATAGGAATTGGATTGGTACTACTTTTATTATTAATTTTAAAAGAGATTGATTGATTTATATAAAAAAAAATATTATATTATATTATATTATAGGTTGATAATCTTGAACTTGTTTGGTCTCTGGTAGATACATGACCATGAAGATTAAACAAACAACACCACAACCACCGAATATCCAGAAGATGGCAGATTGTCCGATCAGGGTAACCAACGTCAGGAAACTGAATGAGAGTGCAATGTTGAAGATCCATTGGAGTGCGTTAAGCAAACTGGAACCAATGTCTTTGCATTCGGGTGGGAAGATTTCGATAGCCATAATCCAAAACAATGGTCCTGCACCTGCTTCGAATCCTGCAATAAATATAAACAATAGAATGATCGATGTAACACCTAGCACTGTTCCATCGACTGTCAAGAATAGAATCGCTAGTATCAAACATGCCAGCGTCATAATAATAGAACTGTAAATCATTAATTTTCTTCTTCCAATCTTATCGATTAAAAATGTTGAAATCAATGTTGTAATAGCATTCCATCCAACTAAACAAATCTATAAAATAAATAAAAATGAACAAAGGTTAATAATGAAAAACAGAGTTGATATAACATAGGTTAGGTTGTTTTACATACAGTTGCAATCATTGGACCATCACCATTTTTAATACCGGCTTGTTCGAAAATCGATGGTGAGAAATACATGAATGCGTTGATACCTGTGAGTTGATTGTTGACTGCCAATATAGCACCCATGAAAAGAGCGAATCTTCCTGCGGACTTTGAGAGGAGTGCTCTGATTCCTGCGCTTCCACCTGTATCTTTCTGTAGTTTGTTATAGATCAATTGTTTATTGTTATTATTATTGTCATTTAATTTAGAGAGTTCAATATTTGATTGTTGTTCTTGCTCTTGTTCTCTTACATTTAGAAGAAGTAATGTATTCTTTTGTGCAGCTTTCTTATCTTGCCAGACATGTGACTCTGGAATGAAGAATAACAATACAAACAACAAAATACCTGGGAGTGCACCGAATGCAAACATCCAACGATAATTGTATTTAACATCGATGAATCCAAATCCAACACAATCGGAAACAAATATTCCAATGGTAATGGCAATTTGGAAGATGGTTCCAAGACGTCCTTTACGAGTTGGATCAGCCATCTCACCTACATACAACGGACATATGATGGCAGAAGCACCGACACCTAGACCCAGCACGAAACGGCACGCCGATACATACCAGAGCTCCGCTGGCACCAATGCAGAGGCGATAGCACCGGCAGTCGTCAGCAAACCAACCACGAATAATGGTGGTTTTCTACCGAGACGCTCAGTGACGAAACCACCCATCAACGAACCAATCATGGCACCCAACAAAATAGAACATGTAAGTGTACCACGATCGATCTCATTCATCGATTTCCATTCGTTGAGATTCAAGACTCCTGCAATCACACCAGTATTATATCCAAACACTAATCCTCCAAATATATTTACAAGTGATAATCTAAAACTGGATATACTACTCTGTGGCAAGTGATAATCATTTTGATAAAGATCCCTTTTTTTTTTTTTATAAATTAAATTTAATTAATTTTTTTTTTTTAAATTTTAATTAAATCAATTTTAATAATAAATTACTTACATTCATATGTAATATATATGTATAAATTATAAATAAATAATTACTTATAAAACAAGAGTGTTAATGTTGGTTCCGACCTTGTTTAATTTTGAAATAAAAATAAAAAAAACAAAAAAATAAAAAAAAATATATATTTTTTTTTTATTACCAAATTCCCATTTTTATTGTTACCAGGATAAGTTGAAAGCATTTTACATTTTTTTTTTTAATTTGTTTTTGATTTTTCTGATCAGAGTTTAAGATGGATTGATTTGCTAATACCAAAATTTGACAGGCTTCAATTCTCTGTTTTACAATTTTAACAACTTGTTAAAAAAAACGAAACTGGTTTATTTGTTTGTTTTGTTATTATTTTTTGTATTTAGGATAATTTAACTAGCTCAAATTAATTAAAATAAATAGAATTTAAAATGGAGAGGGTGTTGTTTATTATTTATTTAGTTTATTACTACTACTTTATAATAGTTACTAAATAGTTATAATAAATATATAATGAGTTGAATTTCTATTATTTTTAACTAAATTCTAGTTATTAATGTTGAGATTCTTGGTTGCAGTTGGACTGCTGCTGCTACTTTTATCGTTCTTCATAAGTAATTTGATTCCATCGTAGATCAAGAATTGTACGGTAACCAATGTTGTTACCATTACACATCTTGCTTGGAGACCAAGGAAGAGACCTTTGACACCTAGACGTCTGATGATATTACCAATGGCACGACCAACACCTTCGTCTGTCTTTTCCTGGTTGATCTTTGACAAGATAGTATCTGCTGGGTGCGAAGCAATAGATGCTACCAAACCAGAGATAGCACCAGTCGACAAGATAACACCCAACTGTTGACCATCGCTCAAATCAGTCTTTGTAATACCTCTGGTTCTCTTCAAATATCTATTAACATATTCATTTGCCAACTCATAGGTAACAAACTGTGACATAGTATATGGAACTTGTTTAAGAATAATTGGTGATAATCCTTTATATAATCTATAAATAGAAATAGTTAGTATGTATATATATATATATATTCATTAGAAGTATTGATGTTTAATTTACCCTTTAACACCTTCAGTTTGATGAATCTTGGAGATGGCGCTAAACATATTGGGAGCAAACTTTGGATCTGACACTTGACGAATACGAACGGCTTCGAATGGACAGAGTGCAATATCACCGACAGTCTCTGCAATTGCGGATGCAGTCAACCAAATGGGGATTCTGTATGTCTTGGCATCCTCTTCACTGAACAATCCTCCAATCTTCTTCTTAAAGACTTCATACAATCCGAATTTAAAGAATCCTTGAATTGAATATCCAATCTAAAAGCGCATTATAATAACAGCTATTATTAGTTTGGTAATAGTTAGATATTGGGTTTAGTAAGTAAAATACTTACAGCAGTTGCACCGAAACCTTGTAACAACATCATTGAACCTTCTTCTTTGACGATTGTCTTCATACCTTGAATCATACCTCGGTTGTATTTGACTGGATCGGTTTGAAGACGTGTCTTTACGACATCCAATGGTATTACAACGATATGAGTGAAAGAACATCCTAGAGCACCACCCATTCCGAATCTAAGAAACTGATTAAAGGTAACTGGACCTTTTTGCGCATCATTACTACTTCCTACCATTTCTAATTGTTATTGTTGTTGATCAATTCTAATATTATTACAATTATATGCAAAATAATAATAATATTAAAAAATCAAACAAAAGTTATTTATAAACGTATTTGTATATTTTTGAAAAAGAAGAATGAGATACAAATTAGGTGGGGGGTGTTGGTAGGTAGTGGTGTGTTTTTTGATAATGAATGTGCAAGTCAGCTGACTGTAACTTTTTTTTTTGTTCTGACGAAGGAACAAAGAATCAAAAAATTTAAAAAAAATTACAAAAAAATTCAATTTAAAATTGTGATCATATTAATTAATAAAGAACGGAAGGGGTGTGATCAAATTTCCCCCCATAAAAAAATAGGTCTACAATTCTCTTTCGTTTTTTTTTTTTTTTTTGTTTAAACCAAAAAATTTCGGTATTAATAAAAAGTAACATAACTAAAGTAGTAGCTTTATTCATTCATCATTGAATAATGATGGAATTGATAAGAAGAATGGTGATTTAGTTTTACATTGATTTCCACAACACTTTGGATACTTCTTTCTGCACTCTGGTTCTAGTGTTGCTGCATTCCTACCGCTGCAAGGCACACATTCCAATCCCCATACATTGAGACAAGTCGATACTCTTACCGATCCACACTTTTCACTGGTATCAGGAGAGTAACAATCCACTCGATTCGGACATTCCATTTTCGGAAGATATTGTTTCATCAATCCCCAAACACCAGGATTACCTTTAATTTCTGTTATCTAAAAAATGAATGAATGTTAATCTCTCTTTTTTTTTTTTAATGTTCATATTAATACAATAGTTACATAGAATTTATCTTTTGTTACATAGATTTGATTCACTGGGAAACCATAGTCATCTTCTACATTACTGAGTCCAGCACCACTCTGTGGAATATGATTACAACGAGGTGATTGAGATCCAATGAAATTTAAACCTTTAAATCTAAGCTCTAAATATCTGTCATGATTCCAACAATCACAATGATCTAAAAGTAATTTGGGTTTTGGTGTATTTGGTTTATTTTCAACTAAATGCTCACCCTATATATAATTAGATCTTTATTAGTTATTTTATTGATTATTTAATATAATAATCTATTTGATATCTTACATTTTTAAATACCCAATCTTCAATTTCGTAGAAATCAGATATCATTTGACGACATATAGAATGATGTGCCATCCATGCCAACACTTTGAATTCGATTTGACCTTGTAGCTTAACTTTTACCAACTCGTTTGGATTCAGCAAATCCAGTGACAATTGATTACGAATACTCTTTCTCTTTATTGGTTTGTCAACTCTCCAGTCATACTGAGGATGTGTGGTATGCAAGAAGAATGCAGAAGTTGCAAATCGAATGGTTGCGTCACTGTTTATCAACTCTCGACTCTTTTCGAAGAATTCAAATAAATCTTTTGATACTTCAATATCCTCCTGTAAATAATAATAATAATAAATAAATTAGTATTTATAAATTATATTCTAAACAAAGATATATTAAATATTACTTCAAAAATAATTAAAGAATCTAAATTTGGAAATGATCTTAAAGTATAATTCAACCCATGAATCAGATTTCTAAATGCATTATAAGCATTTCCATAGGTTTGATTCGATGTTGACTTTGTTTCTATGTGTTGAATGGATTGAAAGTTTGGTTTGTGTAGATCGACCAGTTGTTCCACTCTATCGTAGTATTCACGATTGTTATCGGTAGGTATCGATTGTGTGATGATCAAGTGATATTGATTTGAATTGTTTGATTGATGTATACTTTGTAAACACTTTACAAAGTCATCGATTCTCTTGTAAATCATAATCAATATCACCTTATTATTATTATTATTATTTTTGAAAACCTCTACTTTTTCATTTTCATTTATATATTTTATACTATCTTTATTAATAATATCAATATTACTCTTACTACTACTACTATTACAATTTACAACTATATTTAGAAATATAAATAAACTAATTACAATATATTTAAATTTTAGTCTCATCATTAATTTGATTTTTTCAAATGATTGTTTTTACATCAAAATTAAAATGATAACAACTTAAAATAAATAAAATGATTAAATGTGTTTAAAAGGTGTTATCTTTTCTTTTTACTAATTTCAACTTAAAAGAAATCATTATAATTTTTATTATTTATCTTCTTGACGGAAAAGAAACCATTAGCACTTATTTATATTAATAGATTTTTTTAGGTATTGAAGTGTGAAGTTCATTATCATTCTTTCAGGTATGACCTAATAAATGTTATCTAGAAAAAACAATGGATAATGCTACTTTTATTCTAATAAACAAAAAAAAAATTGATCAACTGTTATAAAAACAATTCCAAATATTTTATTTCCCAACAAATAAGAGATAATGGTGTTGGTTGGTTTTTTTGTTTGTTAATGATAATGTCATGCTTAACTTTAAGACCAAAGATATTTTTTATTGGTTCCAATAAACACAAAAAGTTGCGATCTGATCGAAAAAATAAAAATAAAAATAAAATCAAAATTAAATAAACTGCAAGTTTCTCCCATTCACCAGTGGGAGTGCAAAAAAAAAAAAAAAAAAATAGCAACTATCATTTTTAATTTCTTTATTTTATTTGTTTTCATTATATGAGTCTCAGATAGATATAAATGGAGCCACCAAACATATCAGATAATAATACAACTACAACTACAACTACAATAAATAATAATAATAATGAAGAAAGAAAGTTTGTCGAAGCTGAGAAAACAAAGACAAGAACAAGAGCATTAACCATTGGTAATTCAAGAAATGTAACATTTGACACACAGAATAATAATAATAATAATAATAATGGTTGTGGTGATCAACCTCAACCACAACCACAAAATCAACAAACAAATTCACCACCACCATCAACACAAACACCAAGTCAAAATGAATTGAAAACATCATCTGATGAAGCTGTGACAGCTGGTCCAGCAACGACCTCTGTTGGATCGCCACCAAAGAAGAAGAGTACCAGTTTCTTGTCTACGGTGAAGGCCAAGAGTAATGTAGTGGTAAATGCAGTCGTAAATCCTGTCAGTGGATACCGTAAGAATCAAAAAGTCAATGTCGAGTATGACTCTGCCGATAATGACAACAATGGAAATCGAATCGTCGCCGTCAAGAACAAAGAGAACAATCAAATCACTGTAATCGTTAATAATGCCGAACCACCAACCGTTCGAGATTCACATGGATTCGTAGTGGATCATTTCATCGAGGAGCTTCAACGCTTTGAGAAAACAGAGGAAGAGAAATCACAAAAGAAACTTGAAGATTGGACACATTTCAATGAACAATATAAACATATTGGATTATGTAAGAAATATACTAATTATAGTTTATTAATGTTTACATCATTATTAATAGTTTCTTTTCTTTTTCTTTTTTAGGTACAAATCCAAAACAATTACATAAATTATTATCACAAGGTATTCCACATGAAATTAGATTCTCGCTTTGGAAGCTATACTCTGGAGCAGCAGAGAAACAGAGAAAAGAAGAGATTGCTCTGTTCAAACAACAAAAGGAGGAAAAGTTAAAGAGAATCAAGGGAATGGGAACTATCAGAGGACTTACACCACCTACACAACGTAAATCATATTACCAACATCTACATCACATCATCAAGACATCGAATAGGTACTCGGTGAGACTCCAATCGATACCAGAGATCGACAAGGACATTGCGCGTACTTTCCCAGGACATCCATTCTTTGAATCGGACGAAGGTCAATTGAAGCTAACCAGAGTATTACAAGCCTATTCCATTAGAAATAGAAAGGTTGGTTATTGTCAGAGTATGAATATCGTTGCCGGTTATCTTTTATACGTTATGAAAAAGAATGAAGAGGATGCATTCTGGTTACTATCTACGATTGTCGAAGACTATTGTTCCAACTATTACTCTACCAATTTACTTGGTGCCCAAGTAGACATGTTGGTATTCGATCACCTTACACTTACTCATCTACCAAATCTCTACAGTCATCTCGCCAAGAATGGTGTTTCACTTACATTGTTATCAACTAAATGGTTCATGTGTTTATATATTGGTATTTTACCAAATGAAGTAAGTCACTTGAATTCAATTATTATTATTTTTAATTATAATTAATTATTTCTTTTTTTTAAGATTGTATTAAGAATATGGGATCATTTATTTGTTGAATGTGGAATCTATGGATATGAGAAACCAAATTCAGAATCAGAGTGGTTGGAGAACAAAGATATTGAACATAAATGTCTAGGTGTTGCTAGTTACAACCTATTGTTAACTGGTTTAGCTATTCTTTCTTTTATGGAAGAGGGTTTACTAAAGATTAATTCTACTCCACAGATATTGATGCATCTTTCAAACTTTGTAAAGGGAATATTCAATGCTAAAAAGTTATTCAAGGTAAATCATCATCATTTTTTAATTATTAATAAATTGTTACTAATTTTTGTTTTTATTATTTAATAGAAATATAATTATTGGCGCGAAAAAATAAGTAAAGAATCATTTTCAGAGTTAAAGATAAAGTCAGAGGAAAAGTTAATTCAGGAACTTGAAGATATGAGAAAGATAAGAGATTTAACTGCAACCGCTAAAATAACAAGATGTAAGTTGATTTTAAATATTAGCATTTTAATAATATGGAATTCTGTTATATTTATTATCATTATTATTATTATTACTATTTGTTATAGTCTCAAAATCAGATTTAGAAAAGATATGGGTTGGATTTAGAAATTTGAATCTAAGTATGAGTTCAAGTCGTGTCAGTATGGGTAAATCATTGAAATTGGATTTCAATATCTTTAAAAAGGTGTTCCAATATATTATGCCTGGACTCGATACCAGTAGCAAAGAGATTCTTGTGCACCAGCTGTTCAAGGTATTCGATAAGAATAAAGATGGATCGTTGGATTTCACAGAGTTGATGAGTGGACTATGTATTCTGGCTAAAGGAACATCAGAGGAACGTCTCAAGCTGTATTTTTCATTCTTTGACAGCGATAACAGTGGATTCGTAACAAAGGAGGAGATGAAACTGATGCTACAGACCGTCTATGAGAAGATTGAGTTGGATCCATTGGCCGTCATGCAATACACTATCGAGGAGTATGTCGATATCGTATTCTCCAATCTCGGTATTGAAGACGACCAACTGTCATTCGATAGCTTCCGACAAGCCATTCTCAGTTATCCACGTATCTTCCGATGTTTCATGTTGGAAGAAGAGACATTCATCATCGAAGACTTTGAAGATGATGATAATAATAATAATAATCAATCGGATGTCAATGTCAATCAACAGAGTGGATCAAGTGATGAAGATAGTTCCGATAACAACAACGAAGAGAAACAACCTAAATCAAGAAGTAAACTAAACTTTGGTCAGAAACCAGTTAATCAGGTGAAGACTTCCACTTTTAAGTCATCATTGATCCAAGCCATTGAGAATGCACAGAAAGAACAAGATGTAATCGAACCACCTGTTGCTTCCCCACGAGCAGCAGATCAAAAGAGTAATAGTAACTCATCAACCCCATCACCAAACAACAGTAATTTCAAATCATCTAATAATAATACAACAACACCACCAACACCCAATAATAGTAGTTATAAACCATCAAACAACAACAACAACAATAATAATAATAATAATTCTGTAACATTAAATTCTAATACAAATACAACAACAACTTCTTCTGCTTCTTCAACTACTTCACCAACTTTAACATCAACACCGACCGGTGAAGATAATAATACAACAACCAATACAACAACCACACCAAAGAACAACAATAAGAATAATGTCAACAGAAGATCAATGGCAGACCATACATTGACAAAAGAAGGTCAACCATTATCATGTTGTAAATTTATGTAACATATATAATTTGATCATCATAACAAATAAAAATTTATTTTAAATTTTTTGAATCAAATCTTAGTGGGCTTTTTTTAAATGATTGGAATGTTATAACTCGACCTTGCTTATTTTTCATTACTATTATCATTATTATTTATTAATGTTTTTGTTATAAGTTTTACATTCATCAAACAGTCAAAATTAATATAAAAAAATCTTAATTATTTACTTTGACACAGATTTTTTTTGCAAAAAAACCAAAAAATTCATTTAATTTAATTTTTTTTATGGCATCAGAATTCTCTTAAGATTTATCTTGTAGATAGAAACTATTATTATTAATATTAATAGATAGACCCCACATCACATTCATTACGAATCTTTAATAATTTTTAAAAACAAAAACTAAAAAATATACATAGTTTAGTAATAGCAATAAAAAATTATAAATAATAATTTTTAAGTTTATTTATATATATATTATATTTTTTAGTATTAGTTGGTTGTATTTACTTGTTAGTAAATATTGAAAAACAAATTTATAGAGATACATAGAAACTAGAATGAATGGTAGAAATAGTAATATTAGTATAAATGGTGAATATGAAAATAATAATATCAATAATAGTAGTAGTGGTAGTAGTAAATATGGCAATGACACTATGATATCATCACCACCTCTTGGAGAATCAAACGAAATGATCGATCAAGACTATTTAAACACTCTAATCGATCAACATAGAAATGCTGTCATCACAACCGATTGTATAACCGTATCTTCTCCATCACCTATTCTTCGTGCCAAACAGAATCAACAACAACAACAACAGAGTAATAATAATAGTAGTAGTAATAGTAGTAATAATAGTAATAATAATAGTAATAATAGTAGTAGTAATAATACACCAAGTATATCTTCACCTACATCACCATCGATGACTGTAAATAATGGAACATCATTAAATCATTCACCTCCAACACTGAGTAGTGGTGTTAACAATGGTAATAATAATAATAGTATTAGTAGCAGTAGTAACAGTACTTCTACAACAACATCACTGAGATCCAGTAGAAGAATGAACAACAGTGGTAATTTCGCATTGAATAGCAGTAGTAATGGTGGAGGTGGTGTAGATGAAGATGGTAATGGTGTAAAGATTTACTTTGGAAAGTTATCATCCAATTCACTACCTGACCGTACTGTTGTATATTCTAAAACAAACAATAGAAGATATCTTGTAATTATTATTATTATTATTTTGATTAGTTAAAGTTAAATTGTTATAAATTCTTTTTTTATTAATTACTTTAATTAAAATGCAATCTTAAAGATTAAAGATATTATAGCAATGTTAAAAGATCCACAATTAGGATTACCTATTAAAGATAGATACAGTGGATTTCAACATCATAAACAATGCTTTCATGGATTTGAGATGGTGGATTGGTTGATCAATCATGATATCTGTGCGAATCGATATAATGCCACTCAACTTGGGCAGTATCTACTGGATAAATCAATCATTAGACACGTCTATTGTGATCAACCATTTAGAGATATCAATCAACTCTATTGTTTTAAAGATTTTCTTGGTATTAATGATGATCAAGTAATTATTACACCAAACATTTCATCTGAATCTATTAATATCTAATAGATTCTTCTTTTTTAAAAACAATTTTATATTAGATATATTCGTTGGTTCAAATTATGAAGAAAGAACAAACAGGTGTACAGAGAATGGATAGAACTAGAATGTTTAAGAAATATAAAGATTGTTTCATTGGATCTGAGGCTGTTGATTGGCTACTCAAAAATCATCCAAATTATGTTACAAACAGAGATGAATCAATTAAATTATGTCAAGGTAACAAACAACCAAATAATAATAATAATAATAATAATCATCTTCTAATACAACCATTTGTTTTTTTTGTTATTTTTAGAAATTATGAATTTAGGTTTAATTGTATCAGCTTCAAATGCAAAAGAAGTATTTAAAGATGATAAAACATATTATGTATTTAGAGTATGTAATAGTAGTAATAATGATGATAATAACAATATTCAAAAGAGAAGAGATATTAATATATTTTTAAAAATATATAAATAGAATATAATATTTGGTGGATATCTTGGAAAAAAGAAAAAAGCAACCAACGAAAGAAAGATAAAGTGGTTCGCTTTAAGAGAGGACGGTGGCAATATATTGTGGTATTCGAACTCACCTAAGGATCCATTCACTCACAAAGGTATCGATTTGAGTAATGCTTACATTAGAGAGTGTCAATGTAGTGGCGGTGGTAACGAGTGTTTCGAGATAGTCTCCTATCAACGAATCTTTTGTTTGAAGTGCTCCAACTTGAACTTCTTGAAGATCTGGGCAGAGATACTCTCATTACACACCACTGCAATCAGCGATGAGAACGACCTCTTTGAAGAAGCGGAAGAGAACATCCAATATGAATCCGTAAAACAATCTGATACCTTTATAGATTCATTTAATCAACTTGGAAATATCAACAGCAACAACAACAATGTCAATAATATCAATAATAGTCAAGTAATTAGAAATAATAGTAATATATCACTTGATAGTAGTAGTTTAAATAATAGTCAGAGTAATCACAGTGAATTAATGTTATCTTCATCAACAAACAATAATAATTTGAATATCAGTAGCAGTATGAATAATAACAATGATAATAGTATTAATAATAATAATAATAACAATAGTGAAACACCTTCTTCATCTTCACTTACTAATCAATTAGAGTATTCAATGCAGCATTTGAATAGTTTAGGTAGTAGTAACTCTAATACAAATAGTAATAGCAATAGCAATTCAAATAGTATCAATAATAGCAATAGTAACAGTCAAGAGAATCTAAATAGTATAAATATTAGAATGGAGAATCATCATATCATAACACCACCAATATCATCAGTAGATGAAAAAGTAAAGATTGATGTTTTAGATATCAATGGTAGTGATACAATTCATAATGATATAGATGATATTGTTAAAGATGATGAAATAGATTATACTATTGATGATAATAATAATAATAATGATAATGATAATAATAATAGAAGTTTAAATGAAGAGAGATCATCTTTAGATAGTATAGTAACATCTGTGATAGATGAACAACAACAATCAATACCACCAACCTTTGAGAATGGAAGTGAGACATATGTAGAGAATAACGACAAGATACACGAACCACACTACTTTTATTCTACTAAAGATCATCATGAGAAACCAGAGAATATTGAGGAGACCGACCAAGTAAGCATACTACCTCAACAACCAAAAGAGACTATTGTTGTATCGATTGAAGAGAATACATCCACCAAGAACATTATTGTTAAAAAAGAAAATGACGATGTCAATGTAGAAGTAGAGCAACCAATTAATAGTAATATAATAGTAGAAGAGATAAAAGAGCAATTGATTGTCGGTGAAGACGAAACAAAGGATATAGAGCAAGTAAAGGTAGAGGAGGAATTGGAATACGAAGAGGTAGAAGAGGAAGTAGAGATTGAAATAGAAGTAGAGGAGATTGAAGTAGATGAATATGAAGAGGAAGAAGAAAAAGAACAAGAGAAAGAGAAAGAGAAAACAAAGGAGAATATAAATGAAGATGAACATTTAGATGATATCTTGGAACTAATGAAACAAGATGATCCTGCTTTATCTGCCTCACCTTCTATCATTACTAATTTAAATAATAATATTGTAAATGACCAACCTGTAACATCACAACAACAACAACAACAACAACAAGTAAAAGATAATAATGATAATATAGATAGTATAGCAATTAAAAATCAAATAATTTCATCATCATTAACAACAAACGATGAACAAACACCAATATCAAGTAGTAACAGTAGCAATGATGAAGATAATCAATCAATCGAATAAAATTAAACAATTAGTTATTCTTTAATTTAATATATATTTACAATTATGTTTTTATTTATTTATTTATCTATTAACAAACGACGATGCTTTGATTATTTATAGTTAAAATCAATTTAACCATAGCAACGAATCTTATCTGTGCACCCTTTGGAACTACACTGTCCGCCTTTCTGTAAATATTGTTGATGGTATTCTTCAGCTGGGTAGAATACACCAGCAGGCAATATCTCTGTTACGATTGGTTGCTTGTATTTCAATTGCTCTTGCTTCTTGCTTTCCTCTGCCTCTGTATGTTGTCGATCGTTGTGGTAGTAGATACCGGAACGGTATTGAGTTCCTTGGTCACCTCCCTGACGGTTCAAAGTAGTTGGGTCATGTTTCTTCCAGAAGACGTCCAACAACTGACCGTATGACACTTGTGCTGGGTCAAACTCCAACTCGACTGCCTCTGCGTGGCCGGTGGTTCCAGTGCATACCTCTTTGTAGGTTGGGTTCAACTTTACACCGTTTGTATAGCCCACTCTTGTCGATAATACACCAACCATTCTCTGAAAGACTAATTCAACACTCCAAAAACATCCTGCTGCAAATGTAGCTTTTTCAACAACCATATTTTATTCTAACTGTTTGATATTTGTTCACTTATTTAATTATTAATTATTATAATTGACAATGCAATAATTAAAATTTGAAGTTGAAAACTTTTTATTTAAATATATTTTTTTGGTTTTTTTTTTTTTTATTTTTATTTTTTTTGAATTATTTAATTGGAATAATTATCACCAAAAATAGAAGCTATTAGAACTGTTTCGATACAAGAATAGATCATCATATTCTGAAACAGTTCAAAAGAATTTAAAAAAACTCTACTCTACTGGACAAATTGAAGTATTTTAATATATTAATCATAGCATCTGCAAAATTGATACTTGAAGAGAATAAAAAGTGTTAAAATAGTTGATTATATTTTATTATTAAAAATCTAAGTATTTAAAACTTGATTAACTTATTATAAATAAAAAGTCAAAATATTCTATAAAATAGATAGACATATATAAGTCTTGGTTTCAAAGAATTCTTAAGTAAATTTTAAACCTTCAAGTTTTGTTTGTAATTAAATTAATTTAATAAAAATCGACTGTTTTTTTTTGAAGTTGATTTTTAAGTTTTGCTAAAATTTTATTTATTATTAATTTTTTTTTGATTTTTGAGATTGTGCAACATGTTGCAATAAAATAAGTTGCTTGATTTTCTCGCACATTTAAGTTGGACAGACCTACAAATTGTATTATATAAAGAAAATTCTTTTTCAATAATTCATAATTCATAATTCATTAATATTAGAAGACTTTACATATATATATTTTAAAAATAATTATAAACAACAATGTATCAAATTAAATCTATGACAAACAATACAAACTATAAACTTATTGGAACTCAATTTCTGGAACTCAATGTTAAAGATAGTTTACTAAAAAGACAAAAGACTTCTTCTAATCAATTTTTAAATGACGAACAAAAACTTTGGATTCATAGTTCAATGTTTGGCCCATCAACCAGAATTTATTAAATATCAAAACTTATAATATATTTTAACGAACAAAAAAACAACCTTAAAATTCACAAGTTACATAATGGAAATGGTAAATATAAATAAAATAAACAAATATATAAAAAAGAATTAATAACTTACTTAGTATTATATTTAGATTTTTTTTTAATATCCTTTTCCTTTGTTTCAATAATAATACAATAATTTTATATTTATGAAGCCCAAAATGAAAAATTACCAAAGCTTTTCACAAGATAATGTAAATGATATCAATAAATAAAAACTATAGCTTATTAAAACTTTATAAAGTTGTAATTTAAAGGTTTTTTTTTTTTTAAAAACTTTCAAGAATATTACATTAGCTTTTTTTTCTTCATAACTCAAATAGTATTTAATAAAAACAAGCAAGAATATTTGTAAATATTTGTAAAAGTAACTAAAAATCTTGTAGCTTTATTATAAGAAAACTAAAAATTATCTAAAATTGAGAAATGATTGTTCTTAGTAATAGTCAAACCTTGAAAATTTTCTTCTTTTTTAGTAAATTTTTAAATGTGGGTAATGATTAAAAGACTCTTCCAATTATTTTAAAGAAATGGTGCAAACAAATAATAGGAGATTCATAACCCCAAAAACACTACTCTTTTTAACCTCAAAACAACGAAAAAAAATTATGAGAGAACAATGAAAAAAAACATAAAAAAAAAAAACCACAATGACCATTGCGATGGTCAAATTTTTTTACAAAATAATCAGTTTTTATTCAAGTATTCGCTGAAAAAAACACAAACTAATCCACATTTATGAGTCGACTTTTTCAAATAATAATGATAGTTACACACAAATGAGTATGATGTGTGTTTTCAACAGAAAATTGTTTTATATTATTTTTACACTGGTTAAACCCGCCTATTAATATGATTAATTTAAATTCAAAAAATATAAATAAGCTAAACAACACTGATTCAAATTAAATCAAAACTTTAGCACATAATCAAAAGTCAACAATTTATAATCGCTGTTATCAACAACTCTCAAATCCACACAAATAAATAACACACACACATACTAAACACAACACACCTCTGAAAAAGAAAGAGATAATTAAAGAGAGAGAGAAAAAAAAGTAGACACCTTACTATAGTTTAATTTTTGATCTAGATTTACAAACCCACCACCCATTTACTTTACTCCATCCATTTACCCTATATTAAACGTTTAAAAAAGAGTAATATTAATAGTAGTGCATTGCTTGAAGTAACATAAATATATTTATTTATATTCAACTCATTATCATCATCAACAATTAAACATCAAACATTTGTTTAAAACAAGCAACAACATCACAATCATCTACTTGTCAAAAGTGTCATTAAATATTTATTTATCACTATCCAACAACAAATTATCACTTGATCTAGTAATCACGCTGTGTATAATACAAAAAAAAAAATCAAAATTTAACAGTCCAAAAAGCACAACCAACTACAACTACACAATTCTATTTTCTTTGATATCCATTACACATTGGACTACCCCAATATATATTATCTGTTCATACAATCAAATATTATAAATTTATATTTAATTTACCCAATTATACCAAAAGATGACTGACGTTGAGTAAGTTTTTAAACAACCAACAAATTTTTAAAACGTAAAAAAATGAATACTAATATGATTATTACATTAATTTGATTTTCTACTCTTTTATTTAACCTATCTGAATTTATTTGATTTCATTAAATCATTACTTATCATCATCATCATCAATCAATCAATCAATCAAACAATAGAACTGGACATTCAATGTAAATATCATTTTTATTTCTATAGAAAAAAAAGATTATTAACTATCTATTTTTTATTCTATTTCTATTTATTTTTATTATAGAGATAAATCAACCATGGAGAGAAAAAAGATTGATAAATTACAAAGATTAACTGGAAGAAGAGAATCTATTACAAAGATTCAATCCCTTTTAAATCCAAAATCATTGGAAGAAGCACAAATCAATACCCAAAAGTTGGAAACCAATGAAAAGTTGACTCATATATTCGGTGAAAGACCTGAATGTAGATAAAATATTTAATATTAAAAAGAAACAACAAACAACTACATATACAATTGCACAAATAATTCAATCTTTAATAATTAACAACAAGAATATATATTAACCAATATATTATATATATCCAACTTTAAATTAAATTTAATCATCAAACCAACCAAACCAAAACTAAACCAAAATCAAAAGAAAAAGATAATATTACTTTTTCTCTATTTATATATATATACAAATATCTTTTTTCTTTTGTTTTTTTTGTAATATTTAAAAAATAATTGTTCAATAATGATGAACCTATATATAGCTCATCTCCAAAACCAAAAAACCAAATCTAATTTAATAAAATTGTAAATAAATAAAATAATTATTATTATTATTATTAAAAGATTTTTATTATTCTTTATTTATTTTATTATTTAAATATCTAAATCATCATCTGGATCCTCATCATCATAATCATCATCTTCCTCTGGATCTTCAATGATTAATTGATTCTCACCTTGATGTCTATAAGGTAGTACAACATTGTCTCTTGCATTCTTTTCATCTTCGCTTAACTTTAGATTGAATGATAAATTCTTTGTTGGATCTACTTCTTTTACTTCTTCTTTCTTTTCGAATAACTCTGATGAATCAAATCCTAATCTACCATCATTCTTTACATAATAATATTCAACCTATAATTTCATTTTGAAAATACGTTTATTAATAAATGAATGATTATTAAAATTAAATGAATAGATTGTCTTAATGATATATATATATATTTACATTTCTAACGACTCTACCAGATCTCTTCTTTGTTATAACGGTTATAGTTGCTTCATAACGATTGGTAAGTGATTCAGAGAGGAGAATCTTGGCAGGTAATGGTGTAACTTGAATCGATGTCGATGAGATGTACTCGAGTTGTTTGGTAACTGAAGTGTCACTATAGTGCAAATCATTATGTAGAATACCCAAGAGACATGTAAAAGATCTTTCTGATTTTGTTGCTCTTTGTTGAACTCCACCTTGAATACCTGTTTGAATTCTATTCATTGTTGATGATAATGTTGATTGTTTATTACTACTACTATTATTGCTACCACTACTATTACTATTATTATTATTTACATTACTAAAGTTTATTAATGATCTAATTAAATTGCATGTATCTGATAAACCATTCTTTAATACCAATGAACTGATTGTATTTATAACTAAAACAGGTGATTCTTTTAATTTAGAAGATACTGAATTCGAATTGAATACACTCTTTACTGTTTCAATAATCGATTGTGAATCTTGCTTTGAACAATTAAATACAATTGGTCCTTCATTACTATTACTATTGTTATTACTAATATTCCAACCAAAAGGATCTGAATAACAATCTATTACAATGAAATTACTAAAAAAAAATATTAACATATATATTTAACTATTGATAAATTTTAAAATAATATTCTTACATATTATTATATTTCTTTGATAACTTTATATATTCTGAAAGAGGTTGACTTTGATTAATGAACCAAACATTCTTTTTTAAGTTTGGTACCTGTAGACCGGATGATGTAGCTGTACTTTGATTACTATTAATAGGTCTCAACCAATAATCATAAAGATGATTCAACAAATGTTGTGAACTTGAATCAAGACTATCTTCTAAAAGTAATAAACCATTTAGAGTATCTGTTGTTTGTAATATCTTTGAAAACATCTTTATATAAAAAAAAAAAAAAAAAAAAAAAAAAACGAAATAATTCAATAAAATGAAAAAAAGTGAGTGATAATGATAAGTTCATCACACAGAGAGAGGAATTGTTTAAGAATTATAAAAAAAAAATAAATAACTTTTATATTTATATAGCTTAAGGATTTATAGAAATATATTTCAAAAAATAATCATTTGTAATAAACAATTGATTATTACCAAAATAATTTTAATTTATTATTATTATTTATTTATTTTTTAATATAATCAAATCATTTAAATCAATCTATATTTATCTTTTAATAAATATTTGATTAACAATACATATTCAAAATTATTGTTGTTTGTATTGCAATCACTTTCAAACAAATCTATTACTAGTATTTTTTTATAACGACGGGCATTCTTTTTAAAATTTACTTTTTTAAAATTGTCAATATTTTTAATTTTTAATTTTTTGAAAAACACCACTCGCAGACGACTCTGCAACGACTTGCTATCCTTTGTCATCTGATATAGATTGAGTCCATTCGTTTTCTTTACACTTAGTCCATCGAACCAACATGTCTGCCAAATCGTAGATGTATAATCAATCATAGTATATACCACACATTATCAAGTCAATCCTACTACTTTTAGGTTTTTATTTAGATAATCCTTTTATATATGATGATTCTCATTGAGAACATCAGCAACTCCTTCGAAAAGAATCGGTTCAAACAAAACTTTCATTTTATGTAGTTTGTTTCAATTGGTAGAGACCAGGCACACCTCTTCTCTACCTTTTGACAAATACTTAATTTGGCTTTAATCTTTAAGGTGAAGCGAGGGGAAATATTAGCGCAGATTGGTCTGTGTGTTTTGTACTTATCAAACCATCATCATACCACTTCCAACTAATTATCCTTCTTACAACAAGTTCTCTCTTGTCGTCGACGATTCTAGTTTTTAGATGTTTAGATTCTTTTAGTTTTTTTATTAGATCCACTAATCATCTATCAATCATTATCAAGATTTCAAGTAAGAGGTTTTGAGAAAGGTCAGTCGTTATACTTGTTCAACAATATCATCTTTAAAGAGATTTGATGAATAACGTATATAGTTTACTCTCTCTTTCTTTAAATACAAATTTTGTTTAAAATTATACTATAGCATTCAAAACCACATTATTTATTAATTATTCAATTAATTATTTAATGTCGTTATATTATAATTTTACGAAATTTCATTATTGTTCTTTTTTAATTAATTAAGATTTATAATATCAATTATGATATTATATATTCTTTATTAATTTTAAAAGGTCTTGTTAAAGTATATAATCTCTTTTATACTTTAATTAAATACTGTACTTGTAAAAGAGTGGTATTTTATTAGTTTTGGATTTTGATAAGGTTAAACATTGAAGTAGATCATATCATACCACATAAAGCTATATATTACCCTCAACAATCACACTTTGTATTTTCTTTTATTTTCTCTTTCTTTTTTTCTAATTATACAGAGCTACCCCAGTTCCAGAGTCAATCTTAAAGAAGAGAGCCACCACTCAAAAGAAGGCCATCGACCAAGTCAAGGTCCAACGTGCCTTGAAGTTGAGAAACTCTCGTTTGAGATCCAAGTACTTCCAACGTGCCGAAAAGTACGTCCGTGAGTACAGAATGGCCGAGCGTGAGCAAATCCGTTTGCAACGTGTCGCCAAGAACACCGGTGTCTTCTACGTCCCACCAGAAGCCAAGGTTGCCTTTGTCATCCGTATCCGTGGTATCAACGGTGTCTCACCAAAGCCAAGAAAGATCTTGCAGTTGTTGCGTTTGTTGCAATTGAACAACGGTGTCTTTGTCAAGTTGAACAAGGCTACCATCAACATGTTGAAGTTGGTCGAACCATACGTCGCCTACGGTTATCCAAACTTGAAGACCGTCAAGGAATTGATCTACAAGAGAGGTTATGCCAAGATCAACGGTCAACGTATCCCAATCACTTCCAATGACATCATCGAGAAGCACCTCGGTCGTTACGGACACTTGTGCGTTGAAGACATTGTCCACGAAATCTTCACCTGCGGTAAGAACTTCCGTGAAGTCAACAGATTCCTCTGGCCATTCAAGCTTAACTGCCCACGTGGAGGTTTCAACCATAAGAAGATCCATTTCCTTGAGGGAGGTGATTCCGGTAACCGTGAAAACTTCATCAACGGATTGGTCAGAAAGATGAACTAAAAGACTTAATTTGAATAAATATTATCTTAATTACTATTTTTTCATTTAAAAAACATATTTAAAGCATCCTTTTTATCCCAATTTATTTCTTCATCCATTTATTTATTTATTTATAGAACATTCATTCATTCTTTGGATAGGTCATACAATCAAAACTTTCATGATATTTGTTAATAAATTTACAAGATTCTTTTGTTAATGTCTGTATTTATTCTTGTTCATATTGACATTAAAATATTAATCATGATTCGTATAAGTAAATCTTTTTAGATTTGAATAAAAACAGAAAAGAGAGAAGATTAAAAGTTAACTACCCTTTCAGATTATATCTAAAAAAATTTACACTAATAGAAGATGAATATATTAAATATTAAAATCTTTGTTCTCTATATTTAAAAGATAAAGATTTTAAATTGTTTTGGTTTTTATAAACATTGGTTATAAAAACAAAAGAAAAATAATCGAATATTTAAATTACTTCTTCTATTGTTTATTTATTTTTATTTTTATTTTTTAATAATAGTTTGCTCACCATATCTTGTTTTTAGTGATAATACCAATTTTTTATTTATTTGATAATTTAAAAAAGATCTTACTACCTGTTTTAAATTAGAATATTAAGAAAGTAATGAACTAATGTTATACTGAATCTTGGTTTAGTTGTAACCAGTGTCTTGTTAATAATGATCTTATCAGTGCTGGTAATGTCATACTCTTGCACTATCTGAAGTGCTTTCGATCTGATAGTATCTTCTTTAATCACGTGATCACTCCTGTAACAATTGCATCCTATTAGTCGACACAACTATTATCTTACTTAACAAGAGAATGTTACTAATCAATCATTTATTATTATCTAAGGAAATAAAAATTTAGATAACAGATTTTTAAAGATGATGTCCTGCAATATCATTTAGATTTAAATCAACAAATACAATAGAAATATTATTTATAAATAACAATAGCAATATTAATGACTGTAGTAACAACACTAAGCATTTATACAAATGAAGTTTTCAACTCCCTCAAGGAAATGGATCTTCTTATGGTTGAAACCTCCACGTGGGCAGTTAAGCTTGAATGGCCAGAGGAATCTGTTGACTTCAAGGGAGATCTTTAAAATTCATTACATATTGAGGTCCAGAATTGATTACACTACATGATTCTAACTATCATTCAATTAATTGTTGTTTTGGATCTATTGATCAACTCTGAAAAATAGAACTTTTTAAAAAATCAATTAAATTTAAAATGCAAATTGAATCATTCTCTACTTCACTTGAATTATATAATAAATTAAAATTGATTGGTGAAAAAATAAATAAAACTGAGAGTTTTTATTGGTAGGTGCAACCTTTCAAGAAGCAAGAAAAATAAAAATTTATCAATTTTTAAAAAGAAGTTATTATCTTAAAAAACCTGCTAATAAAATAAAAGAGACAAAGTCAGCGTGTGCCAATAATGTGGTGTGTTTAATTTCTCTGATTTTGAATGATATCAACTTCTGTGTGAGTGTTTATTTCTGTGCTGATAAATATATATATATCATACACTAAAAAACCACCAATTTTTTTCATTTGGATATTAGTATATGTTATTAGTAAAAAATGTTTAATATGACTGTTAAAAAAAGAAGAATAACCAAAATAAATAAACTGGTTTAAATTCATCGCTTACTTTAAGGTTGCTCGCTTCAAAACGAATTTTAAAACATAATTTCAAATTAATTAAGCTTGTTGTTATATATTTATATATAATTTAAATGTATTAATATATTGTATCATCATATCATATCTTATCACGTATATTAATTGTATAGTTACGACTGGTGTGATAGTTGTAATAAATTGAATTAGCTAAATATTGTTTTTTAAGACAACAACCTTTCTTTTTTTTTAGTAACTTAATATACTATTGTCAAACAACATACACAAGAACTTTACTTATTATTTTTAAAAATTGTAACATATTGAAATAGAATCAGAAATAAACAATAATATAAATATATATCTATCATTTATTTAATTCTCATTTGTTAAAGAAATTTGGAAAAATATCGATAAAATATTTTAAACAGAAAGGGTTTTTTATATTTTTTATTTTTGTTTTTGTCGATTCGATTGTTGTTATTGGAGCACACAAATATATATTCACATTGCAGTATTTGCATATGTTTATTTGTTAATTTGTTTGGTTATTCCAACAATAAATTAGAAATAGTAGAAATAGAATTTGAAGAAATATAACTTTATATTATATTATTCATATATAATATTAAGTGTGTGGAGATCGTAGAATTATAATTATATATAGTTTTATCAGGTTTAGAATCTTTGCAGCAGCGCACAGTAGTAGTAGCAGTGATATTGGATAGTTAGTGAGCTGCCAGACATGATAACTGCTAATCCAAATCGCAATGAATCAACCACTTACATAGCAAATGAAGACGATGGTCTAGAGGGTACTTCCTATAGTATCAGTCATGACCATATCAACAACAACAACAACGACAATGAAGAAGATGATGACGATATATCAACTCCAATTTTATTGTCTACCCATAATTCTCCACACTTTCAATCTGATGATGATGAATCCGATGAAGATGCAGCTAAACATTATAGAGCCGATAGTCTATTAACACATGGAAAGCAGCGGCAACAGGATCATCAACAACAAGATCAACCTCCACTTCAACAACAAGCATATAATTCAACACCACCAACAACATCATCATCATTTACCAAGATTTCAGCATCACCAGTTTTAATTGCCAACCGTGATTTTCTGGTTAGTCATGAGATGGTTTTGGATAGCGAGATAACCCATAGAACCAATGGCGAGTCGTCACCTCCTTTATCACCACCAATGCACTCCCACCGACTTTCTACACCGGCCACACCGATACGATCGCTCTCTGGCATATCATCGACCTCCGACGATGCCAACAATGATGAACTTTTAGGAATCCACTCAATGACAGGCTACAAATTCGCATTGGGAAGAGAAATTCTCTTTTGGATACTAACAATACTCACAGGAGGATTGTTACTACTCTTTTTCCATTGGTTCACACTGTACGAACTCAATTTCCGTCGTAGAAAAACATCTCTTGAAAATGCAAACTATATCTTGGTTTATGGAATAGATATGAGATTTGAAATTTGTCAGGTTAAAGAATTTAAAAGCGTAAATATTATAATTTTTATTAATTTATCGACTTTTTCTAATATATATATATTATTTAAATTATAGGAATTAAAATTAGATAAAGTAATTACTTTTAGACATTCAAGATTCTTTTATAATCATGAATCAGATAGTTTCATTAGACCAAGAATTAAATCAAAATACAACTCCTCCAATCTTTATCAATTCATTGAACATGGTTTAACCAACGATAAATATCAATCGTTACTACATAAATTTGGTTATAATGTTATTGAATTTCCAATTAAATCAATTCCAAGATTATTACTTGAAGAGGTAATTATTAAATTATAAAAAAAAATATATTTACATTTAAATTAATTAATTATTTATTTAATTTTTAGGTATTACATCCATTCTTTATATTCCAAATATATAGTGTTATATTATGGTCATTTGAAGAATATTATTATTATGCAGGTGCAATCTTGTTGATTGCCACGGTTAGTTCCATTCTAAGTTTGAAAGAGATTCGTTCAAATTTAATATCACTCAAGGAGATGTCAACTTATGTTTGTGAAATCAAGGTGTTACGTGAAGGTCAATTCACAACTGTACAGTCATCCGACTTGGTTCCAGGAGATATTATAGATATTCCTACAAACTTGACACTGCCTTGTGATATGTCGCTTCTTACTGGTCAGGTGATTTGTAATGAATCAATGTTGACCGGTGAGTCAGTCCCCGTGACGAAACATCCAATACTGACACGTGACCAACTGACTGCAAGTCAACGTCCAAACTATCCAGTCGATATCACTGAAGCTAGATCCTCATTGTTTGGTGGTACGATGGTGGTAAAGATCATGCCACACCACAACGGAAGAACCTTGGCAATGGTTAGAGAAACTGGTTTTCAAACATCCAAGGGAAAGTTGATCCTATCGATTCTCTTCCCAAAGAAATCACATTTCCGTTTCATTCAAGAGTCTTTCAAGTTTATTGGTGTTCTATGTTGCATTGCAATGATTGGATTCGCCATCTCAGTTTGGAGATTGAAAGATCTTGGTGTAGATACGAAAACCATTGTGCTGCGTGCACTCGATCTCATTACCATTGTCATTCCACCGGCATTACCCATTGCAATGACTGTCGGTACAGGATTTGCATTGATTCGTCTCAAAAAAGTAAAGATCTTTTGTATTTCACCACCGAGATTGAACATGGCTGGCAAACTTCAGGTGTTTTGTTTCGATAAAACAGGCACACTGACAGAAGAGGGTTTAGATTTCTATGGTGTCGTAGCAACCAATCAACATGACAGCCATTGCGATTTCAATCAACTGTACACTTCACTCGACGACATGGATAATCGATTGGTAATGCTAAGCATGGCGAGCTGTCATTCATTATCACATATCAACAATGAGATTGCAGGTGATCCTTTGGAGATAAAGATATTCCAAGCAACCAACTCTAAACTTGAAGAACACGACGATCATCATACACATATCGTTTGGGGAAATGACCGATTGATCTATCAAGAACGTTTCGATTTCCAATCGAGTCTTCAAAGAATGTCTGTCATTGTATCGGATACCTCTGACAATAGACAATATTCATTTGTAAAAGGTTCACCAGAGATGATAAAGAAACTATCACTCTCACATACCATTCCAAGCGATTATGATCAACAATTGTTTATTTATACCGAGCGTGGCTATCGTGTATTGGCATGTGCCTATCGAACATGGGATTCGCAACAAAATGTAGCCAATCGTGAGCTAATGCGTCAGACCGCCGAAGAAAACTTGGTTTTCTTGGGATTCATTATTATGGAAAACAAGATGAAACCGGAATCGAAACCAATCATCGAAGTTTTACATCGTGCCAATATCAAGACTATCATGGTTACCGGTGATAATCCACTGACAGCCATCTCTGTTTCCAAACAATGTGGAATCATCAAGGAGAATACATTGTTATTCATTCCAGAGTTGGATAATAACAAAGATAGTTTAGATTCTTTTACTTGGCGTAATCTTTCCGATCCATCTACAGACCAAGCGTTGTCCTACTATCAATTGGATCCTTACACATTGACACTTGACAATTCCGATGAACCAAACTCTAGTATACCTTATTCCCTTGTAGTTACTGGTCCATTCTTTAAGCGTATTCATCATCACTATCTTCAGACAGGTTCAAACAAGTTTATGACAATGTTAAAACGTGGATTAGTTTATGCACGTATGTCGCCCGATGACAAACAAACATTGATAGAAGAGCTTCAGAGAATAGGACTGTATGTTGGTATGTGTGGAGATGGTGCCAACGATTGTGGAGCACTCAAATCTGCACACGTTGGAATTTCACTATCAGAGACAGAAGCCTCGATTGCCGCACCATTCACCTCCACAACCACCAATATCACATGTTGTCCAACATTGATCAAAGAAGGACGTGCCTCTCTTGCCGTATCATTCAAACTCTTCCAATTCATGGGAATGTATTCACTGATTCAATTCATCAGTGTCATCTTCCTCTATTTCATTGCATCGGTACTTGGTAATTGGATGTATCTCTATCAGGATCTTTGGATTATCTTCCCACTGGTTATCTTTATGGGTATGACATGTCCATCGGATAAGCTATCAATTAAACGTCCTTCAGGTCGTCTCATCAGTGGTGCAGTAGTGGGATCACTGCTTGTCCACATCCTAGTTTGTCTTTTATTCCAAACGATAGTATTTTTCACCGTAAGAAAACAACCTTGGTACAACGAAGAGGTCATCGACGAAGACAACATTGTCACCTACGTAACGACCTCGATGTTTATTTACGCCAACTTCCAATACCTCATAATGGCACTGTCATTCTCATTCGGTAAACCATTCCTAAAGCCGCTCTATACCAACAAACTATTGTTCTTGGCATACAGTATATCACTGACCACCTCACTACTCCTCGTATTCGCTCCGACTTCCAAGATATGGGAGATCGGACAACTCCGATTGGTTCCACTAAGATGGCGTTTCACCCTGATCGGAATTGTCGTAGCAAATCTCGCTGCCAACCTCCTAGTTGAATTCAGTTTCGTCTACTACAAACTACGTTCGAAAAAGAAAAAACAATTCCACTACGATCAGATCTTCTCTAAAGACGCCCCAAAAGATGAAAGAATTTCAAAAGAAGAAAATATTGTATTGTTACCAATTAGTAATTTAAAACAAAATCATCGTAATAATTAAAAATTAATTAAAAATAGATATATATATATATATATATATTTTTTTTTAAAATTATCATTATTATTTCTTAAATGTCCAAAAAAATAATTCTATTTTTAATTTTATATTTTTCCGCATTTTTTAACCAAAATTTTAAAGAAAGGAATTTTTTGATTTTTTTTTTTTTTAATGACTTTTGAAAAGCAAAAAAATTTATCCAATTTCATATCTTATCATTTTTTCATTTAACAATATCTTTTTTGTAATATTAATGGATTATTATTAAATAATAATATATTTGTACATAATAATTATATCATTTTTCCAAAATAACAATGTCATCAACAACTGCAACTACACCAGCATCATTCGCTGATTGCTTTACATCAGCAACACCAACAACAACAGCTTCAACAACAACAACAACTCCAACACCAGTTAATAACAATAATAATAATAATAATAAGAAATTCAATAATAATAATAACAATGGTAATAAAAAAGTAAATACACCATCAATTTTCAGTGAAGAACAAATTCAGAATGTTTGTAAGGAATTCAAATTGAAAGAGAATGATCTTTTACCTTTTACCGCACAGGATCCTGTCAATAATAATCAATTACAGGGTTTGGTCGTAAAGGATATCAATGATTTCATCTTGATGAAATTGAATAGTATCGATCTCTTGGAGTATCAATACATTCATGTCGTTCCGAAATTGAAAAAGTATCAATCAAATGCATTACCAAATGTATCATTTCAACGTTATTACATTGCAAATAAATGGAACGGTAAATTATCAATACAACAACAACAACAACAACAACAACAGCAATAAAAATAACATATCTCTAACTAATATCTTATTCTTTAATTAGGTATGAATATTCAAGTATTTAAATACTTTGATAATGATGGAAATCAATTCATTGGATGTAGACCAAGAACATCTCACTTTTTAGCAAACAATAAGAATGGAAATGTATTGGATATCGTCAGTGGAATATTGTCACGTGATCAAGTAGATGAATCACAGGTTAACAGTACCTTTAAGAGTGGTAGTCCTTTGTTGTTGTCCAAGTTGGTCGGTGATAGCAATTGTAGATCAATGTCATTCGAGTTGTGTGGTAGTTTGGTTCCACACATTGTAAAGTACGACTTTGAAGCAGAGTTGAAACCATTGATGATGATTTCGCTCGACGGAACAGTCTCACCGGTCATCTCATCGCCAGACACTGACATCGTTGTCAGTCCAACACCGATTGGAATGCGTGATCTCTTGGAACCAGTGGTCAATCAAATCAAATCCGATCTACTCGCCAAGAATCAATCGTACAGACAACAAAACCAACTCTCTGAGAACATGTATTGGTTCAACCATTTCCTCGAGGAAGGCAGAGTATTGTATATTTTGAATGAACAGAATCAACTGGGTGTTCCAAGTGGTAACATCTTTGCAATTAAACCAAATGATACTGATAAGGTAAATTAATATTACACAAGGCAATCAATTAATCAACAATCAAATTACTAACTTTATTTTTTTTAATATTATAGTTTCATTGGGAACAATTTGATAATGGAATTCAAACAAAGATATTAATGATTGTACACGAGTTGAAAGAGAAAGGTTCACCAGTCAACAAGACAACACTTCAAGCAGAGCTGGGATTGGATCAATATTCTTGGTCGAAATGGGAAGATGATATTATGGACTTGGCCATCTTGCCAGAGTATGATGCAACCAAAGTAACTGCAGCACCAAAGAAGAAGGGTCAAACTTCACCAACCAATGGTGCTGATACCAACTCGAAACAAATAGTATCTAATGAGAATCAACGTTTGGTTATCACTGTCGGTTATCCAGCATCTGGAAAGAGTTACTTTGCTTCAAAGTTGGCTCAACGTGGCTGGATGCGTGTCAACCAAGACGAACTGGGAACTCGTAAAAAGTGCGAAGACAATTTGGCTCAGTACTTGAAGCGTGGTGACAGTGTCATTGTCGATCGTTGTAACTTTGATATTCAACAACGTCGTTCATGGCTCAAGATTGGAAAGCAACACGGTGTCAAGAATATCTTGATCCTCTGGTTCAAGATCGATGCCGACCTCTGCAAGAAGAGAATCGTCGTACGTGAAGATCACCCTACCATCCCAAAAGGAAACGAAGGTATCGAAATCATTTCAAAGTTCCAAAACATGTTTGTAGATCCAATGGATATCGAAGGTTTCTCAAACATCGAAACAATCAACTCTGAGGAGGAATCAAACTTGGCACTAGAGAGGTTCGCTCAGATGGTAGCTCAACCAACAATCGAAGAATCAAATATCACAAATCTTTCATCATTAACCATCGAGGCTGCTGTTTAAAAAATGCATTCACTTTATTATGTACAATATTAAAATAAAATAAAATAATATTTAAATAAATAAATTATTAAAAAAAAAAAAAAAGATATTTAAATCAATTAGTGGTAAATTTTGGAACCAATACAAATTATTTATCTATGAATAACTTAATAATACACTCAATCGACATTTCTTTTTAAATCTAAGATTTTATTTAATATCTCCTAGTCATTTGTTTTTAAAAAAAGATCTCAAAAAAATCAAAAAAAAATCTATGAATAAAATTTTTTCAACACAATACCTCATGTTTCTCAAATCTACTGATCTTGTTTAGATCTGAGGAATTCATTATGTAATGTAAGATAAAAGAATTTTCATTAAAAATTTCAAGGATTAAAGAAATTTCTTTATCGAATAACAAAAACAGGTTTATATATCCTGCGATAATTATACAAAGATCTTGAAATAAAAAACCAAAAAAAAAAAAAAGGTGTGATGGTCATAAGGATCTTATGATGATCGAAAAAGAATAATCTTCTAAAAATGGTGATTATTTTTATCCCAGACAGTAAACTTTATTCTTTTTGCCCCACTTGCCACCAACTGAACTACAAAGAGTAGAATATCCAAATTATCTTTATAATTATTTTTTTACTATTTTTTTTGTATCGAGATCCATCATCACCAACTACTAACAAATCTATTCTATCTTAAGACACACATTTATTTTCGAGCTTTCGATATTTTTATATTCTCTTTTATTTATTTATTTTATATATATAAACTTATATATTTTTAGAAAATGTATAAAATAAGTTTTTTAATAACATTTTTTTTATTTATTAATATTGGTCATGGACAACAATCTTTTTGGTTATATGAACTAGAGTCAACAGCCAATAGTTGTGGAAATGAACTTATCCGAGTTTCAACATATTTAAATAATACTTGTTATGATATTAATAATGGTGCATCATTACGATTTACATTTAACATTACATCCAAAGAAGTTGTCAGATATAGTTATTCTGAACATAATTGTGCTGGTAGTTCTGGTTTTGTAAAATATTCTCTTGAAACTTGCTATTCAAAAATAAAGTACACCTACCGAAATGAACCACCTATCGAACTTGGAGGATTCGCTGCCTTAGAACGTGTACCATCAAATAGGTAAGTAAAAATTTAATTATCTTTAATTTTTTTTAAACTCTCAAATATTTACTATCTTATATAAATTCAAGTCCAAAAGCTTGTGGTTATTATGAAAGTCATAGACATTTATTGAAATTAAATAGTTGTGGAAAAGTTAATCCAGCTTTCAACGCATATATGACTGCTGGAAGTGATACAAATATTGTAGGAAATATTTATACGATACAATGTCCTACTACTGACACAACAATTTTTTCGAAATGTACTGCCAATGAATACTTTGTCACCGGTATTGTTACTCCAACTTCAATTGTATGGGGAGTATCGATCAGTGTTATCACTGGTCTAAAATTACAATTGGATCCATTCGCAAACAACTATAAATTCAAATATAAATATAGTGTAGAATACTATGACCCTTCGGCACAAGTTTATAAAATGGCATGTTCATCGATTTGGGAAACTGATGGTTGCACCATTAATCTTGACAACTTGTATAGTTACACCAAAATTAGAATAAGAAATCTTGGTGATCCTATTATAGCATCAGTTTCTGATTCAGAATATGTATCAAATGATATTTCATTGCCACAAAGTATGTAAATTGTCATTTTTAAATTTACTTGATATTTACTTATTTTTTCTCAGAACCAATAGTGAATTCAATTTCCATTGCGGAATATGGTACAAAATGGGTATATTTCGATTATCAAATAAGCAATCTTCCAACAACATTTAATGTTTCTGTTAATGGAGTTTACATTCCTTCATGTTCATCTTTTCCTTTTTGTAGAGTTGATGGTCTTCCTCTTGGAGGAAATATATCAATCCAAGTTTCTTCCTCCAATGCACAAGGAACATCTAATACCTTAACAAATTATGTTGTTTTGTATAATCAATTGACCACTCCTATAATATCATCTGTTATCCCATCTGAAAATCAAATAGTTGCAACATACTCTTCAACTCAAGGTATTCCTTCAACAACTACCTATACTGTACAACTAGACGGTGTAAATGTTCCTCAATGTACAGGAAGAACAACTACATCTTGTACTATAACAGGACTACCAACCCATTTCCAAAATAATTTGGTTGTCATTGCAACCAATGATGGTGATAGTAAATCATCTGATCCATTCAACGTTGTATATATTGGTAAGTTATAAAAAACAAAGTTATAATCCATTCATTCCAATAATATTAATTATTTATTTTTTAGAACCTACTTTAAGTTCAATTAATGTTACAACAAAAACCAAATCTATTTATTTCGAATATAACGGTAATCCAACACCATCTTCATATAATGTTTTGGTCAATGGTATATCCCAGCCAGATTGTTCCACAACTAATTCCTGTTTAGTAAGTGGATTACAACCAGCTTCACCTTTTTCCATTACAATCACTGGTACTAATTTCATGGGTACTTCTGTTCCTGTATTATGGAGCGGAACTACATATCCAACTGTAACCAAGCCAACCATAACAACAAATCCATCTCCCAATCAAATTATTGTTGATTTTTCATCGACTGGTGGAGTTCCAAATGAAATTTATTATACTGTAAAGTTGGATAATGTTGATTATCCATCATGCACACATATTGTGACCACCCAATGTATTCTAAATGGTCTCGAAGCTCAATATTTACATACTATTACCGTTTCTGTTTCAAGTGATGGAGATAGTTTTGATGATTCAACAATAGTTAATTTCCAAGGTTTTTATTTAATATTTTTAATTTAAACTTTTATTTTAATACTAATTTACTTTTCAATTCAATTTATAGAACCTGTTATGTCTCCAATTGTGATCGATACCAAAACAACAAAGTCCATCAACTTTACCTATTCTGCTTCAAACAATCCTACTTCCTATCAAGTAACATTAAATGGAGTAATACAATCTCAATGTTCAACTACAACTGTGTGTTTGGTAAGCGGACTTGCACCAGGATCAGAATATAATATTTTAGTAACAGCAACCAATAATGTCGGTACATCTCCGAGTGTAATGTCCACTGGAAATCTTTTTGATGCTGTTGGAGTTCCATCGATTTCAGCAACACCATCGGTTAATAAGATTATTGTTAATTATGTTGCAACTGGTGGAGTACCAGATCAAACTAAATATACCATTAAATTAGATAACAAGAATGTCGTTGGATGTGAAAGTATTTCATTGACAACTTGTACAATCACTGGTCTTGAAGTAGAATTCCAACACAATATCATTGTTATAGCAACCAATGATGGATTTTCTCAGCAGAATTCCACAGATGTTGTATTCTTGACACCAGTTATGGACCAACTTCAAGTAGAAAAGAGAACCAAATCAATTCAATTTTCTTACTCTGCCACCCAGAATCCAATAAAGTATACAGTATTATTCAATGGAGAGGAGCAGACCTCTTGTTCAACCAGTACCAATTGTTTGATATCCAATCTAATCCCAGGTTCTACATATTCAATCTCTGTTACTGCCACAAATACTGCTGGAGAGTCGAGTGTCCCTGCTCTATCATCTGGTAACTTGTATTCAACTGTTGGCTCGCCAAGTGTAACTGCAACACCTTCAAGTGGTCAAATCATTGTAGATTACTCGTCAACTGATGGCATTCCAAATGAAACATTGTATTCGACCAAAATTGATAATGTTGTTGTCTCTGGTTGTAACAATATTTCAACACTTCAATGTACCATTACAGGATTAAACTGGCAATTCCGACATAATATCTTGGTTGAAGCTTTCAATGATGGTGATATCAAAGAAAACTCGACCGATGTTATTTACTTGGCACCAACAATCAATCCAATTATCATTGTTGAAATCCGAACCAATAGTATTTCATTTAATTACTCTGCAACCCATAATCCAACCAGTTACAATGTCACTGTAAATTCTGTTGTTCAAGACAATTGCTCAGATACCACCACTTGTAAAGTTACAGGACTTGTGCCAGGTTCAGAAGTCTCCATTTCCATTGAAGCAACCAATTATGTTGGAACTTCAGTTCCATCATTGATTACCAAACAACTATATCCATCGATCTCATCACCATCGATTAATGCCAAAACTACCTACAATAGTATTACTGTGACTTACAATTCAACTGGTGGTGTTCCAACAGAGACTCTCTATACCACTCAGTTGGATGACGTTGATGTTGTAGGTTGCGTCCAAACCAAAGAACTAGAATGTTTAATCACTGGACTTTTACCATTGTTTACACACAATGTTACTGTAATTGCTTCCAATGATGGTTTAGTTGAATCTACCAAGCTAAATGTTACTTCAAATGACGATTTTCCATTAGATAACTTATCATTCACCAAGACTACACCAACTTTGTCGTTGATCACTTCTTACTGGACCGTTCCAGTTGGTGGAGAATCAGGAAAGACTTTCTATGATCTCTCTATTTCAATGGATAATTCATCTTGGTCCATCCAATGCGCAGACATCCAAACCGCGGCTTGTGAAGTAGATAATCTTATTCCAAGTACACTCTATTACCTAAGAGTAACAGCCAAGAATACAATCTTTGATTCAATCTACGACTACACATCGATGAAAACTTTAAATCCATCGGCAGATCAGTGTCAATGTAATAACAATGGTTATTGCGATGCTTCCTCTGGAGAATGTATTTGTAATTCCGGTTGGATTGGATCGAATTGTGGTATTAAATATGACAAACCACCAACTAACAATCCACCAGAAGTAAAACCAAATCCAAACTATCCAGGTGTAGATGTAGATAATGGAGGTAAAGATTCTAAAGCATCGTTCTATCTGAATAGAATCATCGAAAAGGCAAATGGAACTGAGGAAGTATTCAGTTTGTTATTCTCTGAATTGACATGGTCACTCACCAATAATGTTGGTCAAGTAGTTGAACATCCATCCACCGGTCAGAAAGTTACAATGAACCAATGGACCTACACAACCACTATTCCAAAGGCCCAATCGCTCAGTGTTAAATTCACACAGTATCTTCCAATTGGTGATGAAACAGTACCCGATTTCCCAATGGAGTTTGCCGGTGAAAAGTTTAATTTGACATTGGGTTCGCTCAAATATCAAATCGATATTAAGAAATGGAGTTTCCAATCGGATACCAATGTGCTCGAGATCCAATCGACCATCGTTAATTCACCGGACAACAGCGACTGCTATGAACTACCAGAGTTGGTTTCTTCAGAGACCTCACAAGTAACTACCGTTATCCTACAACAACCAAACGGTGACTATCTATACGGTAGATTTAGTAAGCGTATTCTACTCGATCAAATACCAAGACTATCAACCATTTCGATCAGTTCATCAAATGAATCCTCTACCTCTGTAATTTCGATTGTCGTTGAATACTTTGATCAAGAACTATCGATTGATCCAGAGATATCTATTCTACCATTCAACGAAAACTCCTCTAAACTTCCAGAGTCTAAATGTAATGATAAGAAATCTGATAACAAATGGAAAATCATTGTTGGTGCTGTAGTTGGTGGAGTTGGATTGATTGCTGCTGCAACTGTAACAACTTTACTCATCAAGAAATATAGATTAAAGAAAAGAAACAACGATAGATTAGCGACAAAATTAAGAAATATTTCTTAAACAAATAAAATAAAATAATTGAAAAAAATTCCAAAATAAACAACACAAAAAATAGTGAAATGATAATAGTTTTTGAAGATATGATATACTTGATATCTTCATATTAATGAGATAAATATTAAAAAAATGTTATCTAAAAGAATAAATTGTAATGAAAATCCTTATATTTATTTAATTGGTCATGGCAGTGAGGGTGGTTGAACCAATGTTAGTGACAGTCAAATATGCACCACCAAAAGGTCTCTCATAGAACTCAGTTTCTTTGCCTGCAAGTATTTGCTCTTCAGCAGGTGATGTACCTGCTTGGAATCTTACACGACCGGTATTCTCACCGGCGTTGCTAACGGTGAGTCTAGTATTGAAAGGCCATGTCCATGTTGGAATACCTGTTTGTGATTGTCCTGGTCTAAAAAATTACATAATTTAAGGAGTTAGTAAATAAAAATAAGTTAACTTTATTTGATTGATACATGCGATAGTACCCACGGTCCTGCCATTGAATTTCTTTCTTTCTTTCTTTTATTTTGGAGAGAAAATAAAAGTATATCTTTGTTTGTTTGATAATGGTGTTAGATGGTGAAACAATTCTATTTATATCTATAGGTCTTTGTCTCCCACCTCACACCACAAAACACAAAACAATCAAAATTAGTTTGATGTTCACCTCAGATATTTTCGAATGTACATAATCTGAACATGTTCTTTGATTCAATCAAAATGTAAAAAAAATATCTTTTAGAACCCAATTTGCATCAACCAAAATATAAAAAAATAGTTTTTGTCAATCAATATGCAACTTTTTTAAATCTGATATTAAATCCTTTTTGTTTTTGTTCAGATCGACAGTACTTGTTTAGATACAGTGGGGTTAAAGATTCTTTCAGTAAAAGAATTTCTTATTTATGTTTTATCTAAACATAAAATATTTAAGAAAAAGAGAACTTTTGGTCGTTGTCGCACCTTACAATATAAAAAATAATCTAGTATATAGTTATCCCAGTCAGATTCTACCAATTTTTAAATCTGAACGAACAGGTGTAGTTTTTTTGTTTTTTTTTTTTTTTACTGTATTCTTTTTCTTAATTTTTACTAAATAAAAAAAAAATAAATAAATATGGAATACAAATTATATTAATTGCTTTATAAATATGATCAAGATTATACTTTGCATGAAGTATGGTTGATATATTTTCTAATTTATTTTCTGTGAACGAAACAAAATTTTTTAATTCCTTTTTTCCTAGAAGTCAAAATAATATAAAATTTTATATGAATATCCTAAAATACTTTTGGTTTAGAAACATGTTCGTCTTCATACAATCTTTAAATTTTTATTTATTTATTTATCAACTGTCTAATAAGTATTAGGATACAAAGAAAGAAAAACAAAAAAAATGGGTGTTATGGAATACTTTTATACTCAAAAGGAAATTGAAGAAGCATCAAAGAACTACAAACTAAAGTATGAATTGCTTTTAAGATTTGCCGATTGTTCAGACTCTTGGGCAGATATGATGGCACACACCGAATTCCGTGTCGATCTAAATCAATACTACCAAGAGAGATCCACCAATAACACACTGAATGAAAGCCAACCAAAAGAACAAAGAGTTTCACTTTCAAAGATCAACCTTGCATCGATTCAGAGCAATGCCGACGATGACGAAGATGACGATGTCGAACTCACAGAACAGGATAGAATCTATAAAAAGAAATTCAATGATCTCTACAATCTAATGATGGAAGATCAATCAGACGATGACATGGATACCTATCTTCAAGATCATTTCCCTTTTTCAAAACAAGGACAACTCAATAGATCATTACCATTCCACGAATAAAAAAAAGTAGAATAATAGAATAATAAATAATAATAAACTATATAATATATATATTTAAAATCTAATATAATCTTATTTATTCTTTACTTTCTTTATTTGAATCATTAGAATTAACATCATCATCTTCTTTGATTGTAGTTGTTGTTGTTGTAGTTGTAGTTGTCAAAGTTAGATTATCTGTATTATTGTTATTATTGTTATTATTAATAATGGTATTGGTTGTTTTTAAAATTGCTATATTCTCTTTCTCTATCAGTGTCAATTCGCAGTTATAATGATTCGCTATCCATTTGAAAGTTGTCGGTCTAAAGAAACAGATGTGAGTGATATCTCTTGGGTAATGCCAAGTCGGGAACATTTCATCGTTCTTCAAGAACTGTGTCATGATCAACAGATGACCACTACTCTTTTTTAATAGCGAGTGTCTATGTGAAAGTATCCTATCGAGATCGTTCTTTGGTGATTTAAAATGTTCTATTGCTTCTGTGCATGTTATAAAATCGAATGGTTTCAATTCTGTTTCTTCTTCTTTTTGTATTTGTTGTTCTTGTTGTTGTTGTTGTTTATCATCTTCTTTCTTTTCATTATCTTGTTGTTGTTGTTGTTGCTGTTTATCTGTAAATTGTTTAACTTTATCGTTTGGCATAAAGAAAGGATCGTAGTTTTCCATTTTTATTTGTTGTTCACCGAACAATATCGAGAGTGTTGGTCCTGGTCCACATCCGTAATCCAATCCATAGTCTGACTTGTCAGCAGAGAGTAGTGGTAGTAGCGAATCTAGAGCAGGCTTCAAGAATGCAACATACTTTGCGTCGTGTGCAGAGTTGTTGTGGAAGTAGTAACGCGACTTCTCTTTGTCTTCGGTGACGTGAAACTCTGGGTGAACGAAAACCAATGTGCATGTCGGACAATCGTAATACTCTTTCTTGAATGCCGATGAGTAGTGTTTCGTTTCACTGTTCAAACACAAAGGACACGTAGGAATCGACAAGGTAAACTTGTTTTTAACGACGATAGCACCTGTTTCTTCATCTCTAAAACTAATATTACTGTTTTTATGTTTGTTTCTTTTATTTTTATTTCGTTTATTATTAACATTATCATTTTTTCTTTTCTTATCATCTGTAGTAGTAGTTGATTCCATTCTTTAATCTCTTCCTTCTTCTTTTTTGTATAAACAAATAAATAAACCAATCGATTCGTTCGTTTTCTTCTTTTAATTTTTATTTTTTTTTTTTTTTTTTTTGATAAACAAAATGTCTTAATAATAGTTTTACTTTTATAGAGTTTCATTGGAATATATAAAGTGTGAATAATATTCGATAGTGATTTTGAAACAATTTTCATGGATTTCATCTGATTTAATTTAGAAGTTGGATTGACAACCAAAAAATGAAAATAAAGATTCAAATTTAATTAGGTACACTTTTGGAATTTGAAGATAAATTATTTATTTATTTTTTTTTTTTTGTATTTTATTTATTTTTTTTCTTACAATGGAATGTTACCATGTTTCTTGGATGGGTTTGATAATTTCTTGTCCTTCAACATCTCTAAATCCTCACAAATAATTCTACGGGTCTCACGTGGAATGATGATTCCGTCGATGAATCCACGACGAGCAGCTGGGAGTGGGTTGGCAAACTTGTCGTTGTAGATCTTTTCTTGTTCGGCAATGTCACCCTTTCCACGGAAGATAATCTCGACGGCACCCTTCGAACCCATGACGGCAACTTGACCGGTTGGCCACGAGTAGTTGGTGTCACCACGCAAGTGCTTCGATGACATGACGTCGTAGGCACCACCGTATGCCTTACGAGTGATGACGGCAATCTTTGGAACGGTTGCCTCGGCGTAGGCATAGAGCAACTTGGCACCGTGACGGATGATACCGTTGTGCTCCTGTGAGGTTCCCGGGAGGAAACCTGGAACGTCGACAAATGTAATCAAAGGAATGTTGAAGCAGTCGCAGAAACGAACGAAACGTGCTGCCTTGACAGAGGCATCGATATCCAAACAACCGGCCAACTCCTTTGGCTGGTTAGCAACAATACCAACGGTACGTCCTTCCATACGAGCGAATCCAGTAATAATATTCTTGGCGTAGGCTGGTTGAATCTCAAAGAAATTACCGTCGTCGACGATTCTCTCAATAACCTCTTGCATATCATATGGCTTGTTTGGATCCTCTGGAACAATATTATCCAAAACCGGATCTTCACGGACAGCATCATCGAATGATTCAGCAATTGCTGGTCCACTTGCATTTGAACTTGGTAACATTGTAACAAATTCTCTAACCCTGTTGTGGAAAAAATTGATAACAAAATAAATAGTTATTAATAAATGATTCACCAGCTGAATTCCAAACAACTAACAACACAAAACACACATTACATTTTTCAAATGTTTAGAAAATGTAAAGACAATGTCCAGGTTGAGAAAACAATTGTTGTACTTACTTCTTTAATGCATCGATATCGTTTTCAAAAGCGAGATGGGCAACACCGGATTTGGTGGTGTGAGTCTTGGCACCACCGAGTTCCTCTTGGGTGATTTCTTGTTTGGTGACGGATTTGACGACGTCTGGACCGGTAACAAAGAGATATGAGGTGTCCTTGACCATGAATGTGAAATCGGTGATGGCTGGCGAGTAGACGGCACCACCGGCACATGGACCCATGATGACAGAGATCTGTGGAACCACACCGGATGCCATGACGTTACGCTGGAAGACCTCGGCGTAACCGGCCAACGAGGCGATACCCTCTTGGATACGTGCACCACCAGAGTCGTTGAGACCGATCACCGGGGCACCCACCAACATCGCCTTGTCCATGATCTTACAGATCTTCTCGGCGTGTGCCTCTGAGAGCGAACCACCGTTCACAGTGAAATCCTGTGAGAAAACAAACACCAACTTTCCGTTGATGGTACCGTGACCGGTGACAACACCGTCACCTGGCAACTTCTCAACATTGAAATCGGTGCAACGATGTGTTACCAACATATCGTATTCACGGAACGATTCTGGATCCAAAAGTAAATCGATTCTCTCACGTGCCAACAACTTTCCCTTGGCATGTTGAGCGTCGTTTCTCTTTTGACCACCACCTTCATAGGCCTTATCAGTTTCCTCTTGAATTCTACCATAAACACGCTACAATATTCATTATTAATTAATAAAATAATATCGTTAATATATATTTATACTTTTTAATAAAATCAATCTATTGCATGCTAATAATAACAATTAACTTGTCATATGTGCATAAACAGATAAAATCGATTCGATTATTTTTGTTTTGTTTATCTTTTATCTTTTTCTTTTATCTTTGTTTTTTTTTTGATTTTAAAACCTACATCAATTTGTGAACTGAAATCGATAGTGCTTGGTGCTGGAGTAGCAGCAGTTGCGTATGATCTGACACTGTTAATGCTACTGTTGAAGAGTGATGATCTGATTGGTGAGGTGAATGGTGACACCAAACGATTCTTAGTCAATGACAATAATCTTCGACCCAACATTTTTTTATATCTATCTTTTAAATTGAATCTGTTCTGTTCCGACTGATAAAATAAAAAAAAGAATAAAAATAAATAAATTACTTTGTTTTTTTTTTTTTTTAAAGCTAAAAGACTGATCAGCAAAATTAATCAATCAAAAAAAAAAAAAAAAAAAAAAATGATCACTTTTAAAAAAAAAAAAAACAAATTTTTTTGAAATTTCAATCGAATGATGATCACAGTGAAGTGTCGTTTTTACATACATGTATAATTATAATTAGTTTTATTTTATCTTTGTTTTATTTCAAACTTATAGTTTGGTAATGAATCTATATAGTTTGTAACTTTTCGCAAATTTATATCTGAAGTTGCATTTGAAGTGTCGACTACGAAATCATAAAATGATTTATCTTCATAATCCAAACCATATTGATTACTTTATTTTATTTGAAGTAGGAATAATTATAAATAAATGATTATTTAGTTAGTTAGTTAGTTAATTGAAATAATAAATAATGTGATGTAAAAACTTACATATATCTATTTCTATCATTTAAATCTCTATTTTGATTTTCTTTAAATTTATTTACAACGTCGCTGATGTTTGGCAGATTCAACTTTGATATGTATTCGGTGACACTCGATAGATCGTTTAGGTTGGTGTCATGCGGTATCGATTTCTCTGCGATTTCAGCTGCTTGCTTTCCGATCTCACGCTCCAAGAATCTGATCGATTTCTCTCGGACACTGCATTCCACATAGATTCTAATGAGATTCTCTCTGTTCAGTTCCTCTTTCAAGTAGGTACCTAATAACGCTGGTTGTCTACCTTCAATAACATAATAGTTATCAATTGATTTGTTTTGTTGTTGTTGTTGGTTGTTGTTATTGTTATTCTGTATGATCTTCAATGTTCTATAATCGATTTCAACATCTACTTTCTTGCCATAGAGTGGATTACTCTTGTTGGGTGGTAGGTTTTGTTGTTCTGCTAATTCCAATTCCAAGAGAAGTCGTGATTGTTCGCCAACCGATATGTTTAGCGATGCAGCCAACTCTCTAAACATCATACCGACCGAATAGAATTCACCACCGACATAGTGATTCGCCAACTTCTTTGCCATCGTTGACTTGCCAGTCAGCTGATTACCAGCGATCAATATAGTCGGTCTATTACATCCCGTTTTCAACTGGCTGATTGAACTCTCACCAAAATATTTACTAAATATATTAATTAAAGAACTAAACTTTTTACTACCATCCATTTTCGTAATAACTTGCAAAAAATGACAACATAGAAAACAGTAGGTTTTTCATTAATTTTTTTTTTTAACAACAAAAGAAGTTTGTTTTATTTCTAAATCTGTATTAATCTGTATTGTACAGTTATATTTGAAGACTTTGAATGTTTTATATTTAATAGAATATTTATTACAATTTTAATGTTTATGTTTTGCTTTAAGACGATTGATTATATTTATGTTATTTACAAGATTTTTGAAATGTTGGTTAGTTGATTGCTGATTTGGTATTTGTTTGTTTGTTTGCTATTTTTTTTATTTATTTTTTAACAGTGGTTTTCATGCATACAGAGTTGATATCAATGATCATCACTGTATGTATGAATATATATATATATGATCTAAGAAATGATACTCGGATGAAGCACAATAGATTCTATTTCACTTGACACCAGACGACTAAGAGACAGGTGAGAGACTTGTTCTAGTTAATAGGTAGCCATCAGACTGTCAATTCTCTTGTAGAATAGGGTGGTCTTTGGTAGACTTGATAAGTCTTAAGATGCCTTTCAAAACAAAGAGACATGTCAGGTCTGGTACCAATTGAAATTAAATCTGTTAAGCATCATCCGAAGGTGCCATTTGCATAGATCATACCCACTTTTGTTGAAATGAAATCGTTGTATGCCAATTCAATCATTCCAATAGGGAGAGTAGAGAAATTGTAATGGTTAACATTGTGTGGGTATTGCAAATTTTGGCAAGGGTAAACTCTTTAGTGTAATTCTTGAAGATGGCATGTTGAATAAGAACTAGTATCATTAGTTTTAATAGTTGTTTGGCAATCTTATCCTTTGATTCTTTAAGTTCACAGATGATAACCTCCATTATATCTCCTTTTTTCTTGGTGCTTACGGGTTCTGGACCAACAATGAAATCGGATATCGGTAATTGGTCATAGAGTTGAGACAATGCAAGGTTGGAAGCAGAGTGCTGAAAAATATTTTGGCATGTGCTTGGTGAAGGAGTAATACGACACTAAATCAAAAGCTTTAGTATTAGTTATCTTTTTAGCTAAGTAGACTATATAAATGTTATTATTATAAACAACTTACTTCATTTGTAATGATCTTATAAATTTGACAACCTAGAATCCGATCACCATAGCTTTCTTTGGTTTCGAATAGATCGGATTTCGGATCAATTGCATAAACAATGAGTTTATCATTGATCAGTTTATTTAAATAGACATTGATGATTTCAAACTGATCTTTGTGTTTAGAAATAAATTTTGAATTCATTATGTTATTTGCTTTGAGTCGATATATAATATACTTAAAATATTAATATAATTTGATTTGATTTGATTTGAGTGGAGTTGTATAAATATAATATGTGTTTATACTATAAATTGTTGTGTGTACTTTAATTGTTGTTTATTGTAAAATGATCAAAATAGGTTGTTCTATTTATTCATTACAGTTTAAGCTTCTCAAAAATTAGAGAAATCACACTTGTGCATGAATGACGAACAGATTTAGGAAGTGGGTAAGAATAAAACTTGGGTTTTTTTATGACTTTCATTAAAAACTTAAATTTTTAATTTTCTATCTATTAAATGTGTTATTTATTTTTTTAGTATCTTAAAATTTTAAGGTACCACTACTAACTACTTAAATAATAGAGTTTTAATCCTGGGGAGAAAAACAACAAATACAAGAAATACAATCTATTTGTCACCAAGTAGATTAAGGTGGTTGAATTTAGAAACTCAAAAATAACTTAGAATTTAATTAAAGAAATTCTTCGAATCAAATTTTTGGATTTGGTATTCATGATTTATTTCTTCCTTATATCGAAAATAATTTTTGATTTATTTGTAATTTAACATGTTTTTTCCTATTAATACGTTTATTTTTCACTTCTTGATGTTGTGTAGAATAGAATTAAACAAAAACCTAACATGATGGGTTTTTTGAACAAATTTAATAAATTTTATTATATTTTATACTATTTTATTAATTATTAAAGGATAATAAAGATTAATATTATAATTAATTTTCAATAAATTTATTTTATTTAAATATGATAATCTTTTCTATTTAACAAAAATATGCCAACTAGATAATATTATAGAATTTCCTTTTTAACTTTTAATCATTAAAACAAATGTTTACTTGATTGATATCCGAACAGAAGTTGTAAACTGAGTAAGGAATGGTAACAATTTTCTGGGGCTCACCTCTACAATCATTGTTGTATGCTGTATACGATGTAGTGGTAAGTTGGTTAGGAGTACATCTATACTTGGCACTACCATGAGTTAAGAGTACACAAGTATCCAGAAGACTATATGTAGCTGAGATGATATGCTCCTTCCAGTTTGGTGATTCACAATATCCGGTGTATGCAAAATTGACTGTTGATTGTTGTGGTAAGACAAGGCTATCCACACAGCTGGCCGAATATCCATAGTATTCATGGTTTATTACATGCTCTAGACACTGGTCGATTCGGTGATAGACTTTCTTTTCAATTGGAATCGAACAGTCATTGTCTTTGAACTTCTGGATACCAATCTTATTAGGATCACCACTGCAATCGTAAACTGTTTTTCCAATACAGGAACCAGCCTTGACGAATAATCCACCATACTCCGAGTCATTGGAGCAATTTTTAGTATTGAAATACTTGAGGTAGGCGAAACCAGATTGTTTTCCAGCCAAGGAAACTGAAATCAGTGAGAACAGAACAAGAGTAGAAATAAAAATAAATTTTGAAGAGTACATTGTTAATTATGTAATATTATATTTTTAATAAATTAATAAGTTCATTTTTCTTATTTATAGAGAAACCAAATTGGATACCAATACCATCAGAAAAAATCAAATGACAATTTTTTTCGACCAAAAAAAGAATAAATAAAATGTTTTTTAATAAAACCCCAGACGAAAAAGATAAAAAATTGTTCTTATCAAAAAAAACACCATCATTATTAGAAGGGGAACCTATTTTTTTTTAATTTTTTTGTGACGTTGGCACCAGAATTTGATCTTTCAAAGGTAATTTTCCTAAAAAAAAATAGAATTTGTTTCTATTTCTTCCTTCTATGATATCATTTATATTTTATGAAAATTAAGAGACAATAAAGTTGATATTTATTGGAATTGTAAAACTATAACAGTATAATGTTTAGGTTATTAATCAATATCATTATTTATAACTATTCATAACGTTTTCCCTTGTTTGTATACCAGGAATATACTATTAAAAAACACTTTATTTGATACTTTGGGCTGATTTTATAAAACTTATTTTAGGTAAATTCTTTTGAATGTTTTTAATTATTTATAAAATAACACTAATAATTCTTTTTTTTTTAAAAACTCTCAATTAATATTTATAAATTTAATATGTCGTTATATAAATTATTCTCTCCAAACTATTTACTATAAGTTATGGAATAAACCTTGAGTGAAACAACTATTAAGATATAAACAAAACTACCTCAGAGAAGAATATCTTTTGAATATTAATACAATAAGTGAAAATAAATGTCTATTTTTATTTATTTTAATCTAGACAAAAGTTTATTTCGTTGATTTCAGAACAAAAGTTGAGAACAGAAAATGGAGTTGTATTGATTCTTTCTGGTTCACCTCCACAATTATTGTTGTAGGCTGTGTATGAAGAGGTTATAAGATCGGTGGAGTTACAGCTATATTGGGCACTTCCATGGGGTAAGAGTACACACTTATCCAATAGATTATAGTTCGATATAATGATATGCTCTTTCCAGTTTGGAGATTCACAATTTCCAGTGAATCCAAAGTTGACAGTGGATTGTTGTGGTAGGAGGAGGCTATCCACACAGCTGGCTGAATATCCGTAATATTCATTATTGATTACATGTTCAAGACAAGTGTTGGTTTGGTGATAGATCATCTTTCCGATTGGAACGGTACATTCATAATCTTTGTATTTTTGGACTCCAATCTTGTCAGGACCACCACTGCAATCGTAGATCATTTTTCCAACACAAGTACCAGCCTTCTGGAATGATCCACCGTACTCCGATTCGCTAGAACAATTTTGAGTATTGAAATACTTGAGGTAGGCGAAACCATATTGTTGTCCTGCCAAGGAAACAGAAACCAAAGATAACAAAATTACTGTAGTAATATTGATAAAATTTGAAGAGTTCATTGTTATTTATTTAAATATTATTCTTTTAATTTTAAAAAAACTATCCTTATTTTACTTTTCATTTTTATGGACAAAGAAAATTCGATACCAATACCATCAAAAAAATCTTTTTTCGATTTTTTTTTTTTTGACGACCTAAATAAAATTGTAGGTCGTCAAAAAAAATCAATAGTTTTCGTTTTTTTGCAAACAACCCAGACAAGATGGTATTGGAATTTGACCTTTCTTTTTTTGTAATCTTAATAAACAGAATTTGATTCTGAGTCTTCCATCGAAGAGTATTATATTCCATAGGAAATTACAGATATTTGACATTTTATTTTAAATAATCTAAAGCTAGTTCATCTATTAAGGTTAGTATGAAAAATAGAAAGTTATTAGTAATTCTTTTGTAAAAGTTGTAGAATTGTAGAATCAAACTAAAAGTTTTTTTATTTTATGATATTTAATTTTGTTTTCTAATTATTGATAGTTGTATATTTTTTTCATTCCGTTCTTTTTTAACAAGTTCGAGGTTGGCAGATGATTCCATTAACAACTCTTCGAAATACATTTCTTTCAAAAATTCAAATTTGTTACTGTGGCATAGAATGATTTTAGGTATGTTTGAATCAATATCATCCACTGTCTCTATATACTTTTCTACTAATGATAGTTCTGATGATGCCCAATCATAGTTATCAAAATACGATTCAATGTTTAGTTTCTTGATGTGTTTGTTTGATTTCAATATATTTGCAGTCCAAAGAAGATGTTGGTCATCGAGATTGTAAATTTTAAGTTTAGTGATTGTTGTATTGCTATTGTTTGAGAGAAGAGTGTAGAAAGATTCACCAATTACATCACATGATATTCCAAGTGCTGACAGCGTTGTGTTGATCGATAATGCTTGAGCAAACTGATCTGATACCAATTTTAATATCGATTGATCTCTTATCTTGTGTGTAGTACAAAAATTGGGCAAATCAAGTTCTTTAAGGGTTGTGTTGGTCGATAGTCGATGACAGAATTCAATCCATTCACTTGTTTGATTGTTATTTGATATCATCCTTCTAAAGTCGTGGTTAAATCCATGAGTACAAGCACAATTACGATTTAGTCTTTCGTTTTCATCGTAACCAAACAAACCAAATATCGTACGACCTTTAAAAGATTTGATATGATTGTTAACGATAAGTTTCAACTCTTTTATATCTTGATAGTCGGATTTACACATTTCAACCGATCTGAGTGATTCGATTGCAAATAGATTGGCATATGATAAATGAAGTACACCACTGCCATGACATCCATCATCGTATTCAAAGTAAACAGTGTCAACATTCCAACGATCGATCGGACTAAAGTCGAATTGAATAAAAACTTCATACGGAGTATAATAAGATAAATCAGCCGTAAAGAGTGTAACTTTCTCTAAAGATGATCGATCGATATCTTTTATTGACTCGGTTTCATTCGGTGGGAATTCAAAGATAGAATCATTGAGAAACAACTGTATTTTGATGTGTGGTTTATAGTTGACGATATCTCTCAGCAACTCCATATTCTTTGTATGAATGAACAATCGATCGACATTTTTAAAATACGAGATGTATTGAATGATATCTGAATCCAAGTAGTAACCCTGTGATCGATATAGTTGATCATGAAAGTAGAGATCTCTGACGCTATCAAACTTAATGATTGATCTATGTGCTGCAAGATTATAAACCGATTTGCGGATGATATTAACAAATTTTCTATCTATATAACCTGGGTTGCTCAAAAAATGCTCTGTAACTATATTGCTTGATATAATGCTAAACCATTCTTGACTGACCAATGCAAAGTTGATAACTAAACTAAAATCTACTTTTGACTTAAAAGTTTTCATTCTAATCTGACAAATAAATTTATTATAACAATCTAAACAATCATTTAATGCAAGACTAATGATCTTTTGAATAATTGTTTTTGATTTTATCATTATTATTTTGATTTAACTATTTGTTAGAAGTGAAAGAAGAACACAATTAATTTTAAAAGATCATTTTTCGCAAAGCAATCCACAAAATTTTTTTAATGGAAAAAAGGCGAATCTTATGCACAACTCAACCTAGTGCGAAAAAAAAAACAGTGACCTTTATAGCTTTAATTTCACTTAAACAAATATTTTACAAAAGAATAAGTAGGTGTTTTAATCTTTTTGAAATAAATAAAACAAAAATTTTTATTGAAAATCTTTATAGAATCGAAATTGTTCTGAAATAGCACTATGGAAAGAATCTATCTTTTTTTTTTCTAAAAATACAAAAATTAATTAAAAAAATAAATGAATAAATTATAAATAAAATTAATAAGTTTTGAAAGAGAATATTTATATTTAATTTTATTTATTAAAAAATAGATTCATATTGTCACTATCTATATACAATAATCTATTTATTTTCTAATAACAATTGATTCTCTCTTTCTTTTTTGCTGTCTTCTAATATCATTTCTGAGGTGAAAGCATAGATTTGATTGGTGAACTCTTCAAACTTTTTGGTAACGAATTCCAAATATCGTTCGACTTGTTCTCTAGTCAATTTGATCAATTCACCAAGATTGTTTTGATAGTAAAAAACTTTTTCGGCAAAGTACATTACTTTCTTTCCTCCATTGAATATCGAAACCACTCCATTTACAATACTTTGAATAAAAGGTAGGACCGTATTCATTATTTTACCGAGAGAGCCTAATATTTTATTACACATAACTATCAAGTTACTATGGAGCATTGAAGGAATTCTATGTAACTTGGCTTCCAACAATTTTTTAATGTGTAGAGCAAAAAATGTTCCAACTTCTACACTTTCTATTTTTGAATCTTCTTCCATTTATATAGTTTAAATATCTAATAGAATGAATATGTTATTTAAAAAATTTGAAAGTATTTGTTTTTTATAGATTTGATTTTTGATTGTTGTGTATGAAAATTAAAATAAAATAATTTTAAAAATCATTAAACCATCTCTCCTTCCAAGAGAGAAAACATCATTTTAGAGGTGATTTTGGAAGAAAGAAAATCATTTTATTTTTGATGTTTGTTTAAACATTTTTTTGTTCAAAATAGAAAAATGCTCATTTTTATCTTATTTTTTGAATCATTACTTTATTAAATAGACAAAGATTTAAAGATAGATAATCCTTAAAATAGTCTAAAAATACAATATTCTAAAAAATAAAAGAATTTTATGAAATGAAACATAGACTCTAAAAATGATAATTTTTATAAAAAACAATGTTGAAACAAACATCAAAAATAAAATCTCTTTCTTTCGAATCACCTTAAAAAAGATGATGATCTCACTGTGTCTTGGATCTGATGGAATGTTTTTAATTAAATTTATTTTAATAAACAACAATCAAAAATCAAATCTATTAAAAACAAAAAATATATTCAATACTTTAAAAGTAAATAATAATAACATAATTATCAATACATATTCATTATAATTATATAGTTTAATAATCCTAGAATAAATGGAATTAGAAACTTTAGAGGTTGGATCATTTTTTGCTCTACAGACAAAAACATTGTTGGAAGCCAAGCTACACAATATTCCATGGTAACTTGATAGTTATGTGTAATAAAATATTAGGCTCTCTCGGTAAAATAATGAATGTGGTCCTACCTTTGACGCAAAGTATTGTAAATGGAGTTGTTTCAATTCTCGGTGGAAAGAAAGTAGTATACTTTGCCGAACAAGTTGTTTACTATCAAAACAATCATGGTGAATTGATCAAATTGACTAGAGAACAAGTCGAACAATATAGGGAATATTTGGAAGTGTTTATAAATAGAATCAATGCTTTCACCTCAGATATGGCTTGAGAAGATAACTAAAAAGAGAGAGAGAGATCAATTGTTATTATTAGAAAATAAATAGATTGTTGTAGCTAGAATGTGCCATTATAAATCTATTTTAATATTTAAAAATAAAATTAAATATCAAATATTATTTTCTTTAAGTATTGAGGTATAATCTCTTTTAAAAACTTATTAATTGTGTCATTTAACTATTTGTTATTTGAGGCATAAAATGAAATAACACATATGAGAAAGATAAGAAAACGTGGAATTTAAATGGTGGTCCAAAATTAAATAAAAACACTCAAATTTTTGTTCTATTTAAAATTATGTTGTTAATACATGTATGAATATCTTTTTTTTTTTATTTACAATTTTAATGTTTTATGATATGTTTTAGATTAATTGATTACTATTTACAAGTTTAGATTTTTGATGTTTGTTGATTAATTGATTAGGTTTGGTTTGTTATTTTTTATCTAATAAGCGGTTTTAATGTACACCGAGTTGATTTGAATCAACATCTCGGTGTGGATGATTAATATATGATCTAAGAAATGATACTCGGATGAAGCACAACAGATTCTATTTCACTTGACACCAGACGACTAAGAGACAGCTTAGCGACTATTCTGTAGATAGCCATCAGACCTGTCAATTCTCTTGTAGAAGAGGGGTGGTCTTTGGTCTAAAGATACCCTTTCAAAACAAAGAGACATGTCAGCTTGGTACCAATTGAAATTAAATCTGTTAAGCATCATCCGATGGTGCCATTTGCATAGATCATACTTAAGCTCGTCTCTTGGTGGTGGTTGGTTTGAGAAAAACTCTTGGTGTATGTACCAGTGGAGCGAGAAGTGAAACTATAGATGCCATCGTCAATGAATTGTAAAGTTTGGCAAGAAGAAAGTCTTTAGTGTTTAGCTTGAACATGGCATGTTGAATAAGAACTAGTATCATTAGTTTTAATAATTGTTTGGCAACCTTATCCTTTGACTCTTTCAGTTCGCAGATGATAACCTCCATGATATCAGCCTTTTGCTTGTAATGAGTTAGTTCTTGACCAGCAATGAAATTAGAGATCGGTAATAGGTCATAGAGTTGAGATAATAAGATATTGGATGTTGAGTGTTGACGGATTTTATCGAGAGTATCTGGTGAAGGCGTAAAGCCACACTAAATATCAAAAGATACAATATTAATTTATTACTATTTTAGAATATTAATTGTATATTTGAACAACTTACTTCACTTGTAATGATCTTATAAATTTGACAACTTAGAATCCGATCACCATAGCTTTCTTTGGTTTCGAATAGATCGGATTTCGGATCAATTGCATAAACAATGAGTTTATCATTGATCAGTTTATTTAAATAGAGATTGATGGTTTGAATCTCATCTTGATATTTAGATAAGAATATTCTATTCATAATTTGATTTGATTTGATTTGATTGGAGTTGTATAAATATAATATGTGTTTATACTTTAAAATGATGCTTTTACTTAGAATAATGTTTATTTTGAAATAAAGATCAAAATAGGTTGTTCTATTTATTCATTACAGTTTAAGCTTCTCAAAAAATTGAGAAATCACACTTGTGCATGAACGTCAAACAAGATTTAGGAAGTGGGTAAGAAAAACAATAATGTGTGTGAAAATTCTTTGGTTTTTTTATGACTTTCATTAAAAACTTAAATTTTTAATTTTCTATCTATTAAATGTGTTATTGATATTTTTAGTATCTTTAAATTTTAAGGTACCACTACAGACAACTTAAATAATAGAGTTTTAATCCTGGGGAGAAAAACAACAAATACAAGAAATACAATCTATCTGTCACCAAGTAGATTAAGGTGGTTGAATTTACAAACTCAAAAATAAAATAGAAGTTAATTCTTAGAATCAAATTTTTCGGTTTGGTGTTCATGATTTATTACTTCCTTATATTGAAAATATAAAGTTCTTTTTTCGCAAGTTCGATGTTGAGAGTAGATTAGATTAAATCTTGGTAATACTTTTTGTTTATTTATCTCAGATAAATGATACTATGTATAATTTATTAATTTTCTTAAATTTTGTAATCCTCGTCCAGTGAAGTTGGTACGGCGCCAGTTGCTTTGTAACAGTTGGAAATGTTTTCGGTGTAATCGGTTTGACTGGAAACACTTTGGCTGATGCCAATGCACATCCACCAGCAACAGTGAACAACCATATGACCTACCAACAGCCCAACATCCCTACAACTGACATTTACCATGGAGATAAGAATGGAATTCCACCTGGTGTTGGTCATAATGTCATAATCGATCTACGATCTAATGAACATGATTAATAATGAATGGGTATGATACTACTGTTAGTTACCATCAAACGTTGAAATTTGTACTAAATAAAAGATAAACAAAATGTTATTTTATACAAAAAAAAAAAAAAAAAAAAGCATTTGTTTAAATAAAGCTTGTATTACTTTTAATTATGTCAATCTGTATTAATTTGTGTGCCTAATCAATTAAGGAAAATTTAAAAATTTGAATTTTTTTTTTTTTTTATTTATGTAAATTGATAACTGTCAAAAAAATTAATTAGTGTATGATCAAATAAGTGAAACTTTTTCATCTATCTCTATATATATAAATATATAACATTGAATGAGTGTTTTACCAAAAGATACTATCAAAGTAATTGCAGAATGTGTCGGTATTTCAAATTTAAATGATGAGATAGCAACTCAGTTAGCTTCCGATGTAGAATATAGAATAAGAGAAATCGCTCAAGTATGTAGATAGATAAATAGACAAGATAGTTTGCTTTTATTTACTTATCAATCATCATCATCATCATTACTATTATTATCAATATAATATCAATCATTTTTTAGGAATCAATTAAATTTATGAAACATGCAAAGAGAGAATATTTGACAACAGATGATATCAACAATGCATTGAAACTAAGAAATATAGAGGTGTTATATGGATACGGTGCAAGTGAACCATATAAATTCTCAAAGGTATTGAGTCCTTCACAAGCAATCTATTTCGTTCACGACAAAGAGTTGCTCTTTCAAGATATCATTGCACAACCACTGCCGAAATGCCCGCGTGAACCATCGTTGGCAGCACATTGGCTGGCGCTCGAAGGTGTACAACCTCTAATTCCACAGAATCCACCACCACAATCAATGTTGGATCCTTTCAACAACAAAAAGTTAAAGTTGGATCCATCGTCACAATCTTCGGGTGGTTCAGGCGGCGTCGGATCTGGCAGCGGTGGTGGTGTCGACTCTGGCGCAAGCGGTAACAACAACAGCAACAGCAACAACAACAACAACAACAACAACTCAGCAGCAGTAGTAACACCTGTTTCTACATCGATCGAAGGTATTCCATCTGCCATGGTTAAACCAACGGTGAAACACGTGCTCTCCAAGGAGATTCAGATGTTCTACGAGAAGATTATCACCTCTGTAAAGTCTGACAATCGTGAGCTGTTCGACGCGGTACTCGTCAGCTTGAAGACCGACTCTTCTCTACACCAACTGCTACCGTACTTTACCAACTTTATATCGTTGCAAGTCACACAGAATCTCACGGATCTGCCGTTGCTCATGCGTCTCATGCGTATGTGCAAAGCGATATTGGAATCGGATCATTTGCGTGCCGAGTTTTACCTGCACCAGATGATGCCGCCCATCGTTACATGTCTGGTCGGTCGCAAACTGTGTCAGCAGTCAACCGACAACCACTGGCGACTCAGAGACTTTGTAGCAAAGCTGCTCGCTATGATCTGCAAGAAATACGGACAGGCCTATCCCACTCTACAATCGCGTATCACACGAACACTCACACAGACACTCTACGACACTAGCAAACCACTGACCACACACTACGGTGCAATCGTTGGACTCTCTTCACTCGGTCGTAACACCGTACACACTCTACTCATACCGTACATCCCTAAATACTACAAACTCTTGGAACCAGAGCTGAACAATCATAGCAATGTCGATAAACAATTTGAAGCATCAAAAGTATTCAATTCATTAACTGTATGTGTTTGTGATTATATAATTTGAAAGTTTAAACTAGTTTATTAATATCATTTACTTTGCTGCTTTTTTAGGTTGCAGTTGGTAATTATCTATCATGGTTAACAGAAGGTGAGAATATATTGACAGTATTGGATTTGGAGAAACAAAAGTCACCTGTATCATTTGATATTGATTCAGTATCGGCAAATATTCAAAAGATATACCCAGAACTATTTGAAATATTTGGTGAAAAGTTATCAGTATATTTAAAGAAATCATCCGATTCAATGGATACTTCAAGTATTGATAACAACGGAATGATATTGTAATCTAAAAAAATAAAATAACTTTTAAAAAAAAAAAAAAGATAATAACAAAAAAGTATTTAGTTAACTTTTAAATAAACTTATTTTATTTGTTTATAACAAAAGTATCTATATATATTATATTATTTTATGATTTGTTTTGTTTTAAAAATATTATTATTATCTATCTATCTATCTTATTGTTGTTTAGTAAATAAATCTTTTAAGTTTTTATAGTTTTTAGGATCATATTGATCTGCTGATGTGTTGTTGTTGTTGTTTGTGTTGCTATTTGTTTCATTGGTGTTGTTTTCTTGTTGTTGTTGTTGTAAATACCAAAAATCATCTGTTGGTTGTTGTTCTTGTTGTTGTTCTTTTTGTTGTTGTAATTTTTGTTGTTTAAATTGAGATAATATACGTTTCTTTGTTTCCAAATCTATGGTTGGCCATACCGATTGAATCAATTGCTGTGATACTGGCAGTGCGTGTTGTTCAATGATGTTGGTACGTGCACGCTGTGAGTCAACCGATGCAATGCCTTCGAACAATGCTTCGGCAGCACGGTCCAGTGGACTCTCTACCTGCTGACTGGTGACAAGTCTGTGTAGTTCGGGTGTGGCGTGTTCGATTCTATTGAGACGCTTCTCGAGCTCGACTTGACGACGTTGCAAACCACGGATTCTATCGATGGCTGCAACCTTTTGACGACGATAACGGTCAGAGTAACGTGTGGCCAAGTTCTCCTTCAACGTGGCAACAGCTTGCAACTGTTTGATCTGACTGTCGATCTGCGATACTCTACTGGAGATACGGGCAAATGTAGCTTCATCCATCTGGAGGTAATCCTCAACGGTTGGCTCCTTGTTGCCAAACAACTGATCCTTCTCGGCCAATAAGCTCTTAATTTGTTCGTTCTCTTTGAATTCAAAGAGTTGACTAATCTGATTGATCTTCTCATTGGTGTTATCCAATTCATTCGATGCTTTCAACATCAACAAGAGATTACGTGTCTCTGAGTTGTTGCTAGCTGCTGCGTCGGTAACAGCAGTGCTGTTGTTGCCATTACTATCTACACCTTGTGGTGCAGCATCTTCAACATCGATATCATCTACTTCAGCCGATGATTTGATCTTGGTTGAAGCTTGCTCGGGATCGACGTAGAGTGTGTTGACCGCTTGATCTAGAGTCTTCTCGAATGCTTCGTTGAATTTGTTGACGTTGAGCACTGCCTTGTAGGTGGTGGGTGGAACCTCTTGGAATCTGTTCAACTCGTTGAATGTATCCAAGTTGGCGAGATCTGACTCGTAGTATTGTTGGAGTTTGGCTTCGGTGGCTGCGGTTTGCTCTGGACTGGCCTCGATGTTAAAGTACTTGGCCAACTCTGGTGAGATCTGTTTCTTGTCGTTCAACTGGTTGATTGCCTCACGCGAACAAACCACCGGGTACTCGATGTTGGTGCTCTCACTCCAGAGACTGTCGGCGTAGTTGTTCTTGAACAACTCTCTTGGGTCGTCTTTGGTTGCCTTTACGATGGTGCCGTCTTCGGTGACCGAGAGGTCGGCGAATGGCGAACGATTGTCCTTGAACACCTTCTGGATGAATTCATTCTTGTCGAGTTTGATCCATTTCTCATTCTCCATCTCATTCAGCTTCTCATTGAAGGAATCGACCTCCTTCGAGAATTGACTTGGCGATGCTTCGTCGGCGTCTCCGTCGGCGTCGTATCTGTCGACCTCTGGTTTATCGCCAAACATAAAGTCGAGACTCTCCTCGTCGTAGTCGGGACGATCAAACATATGGATACTATCGATTCCCTTCTCCTTGCAGTAGGCACGGATCTTGTCACCGAGGAGATCTTCCTCCGGTGCCAAATGGTAGTCGGACAATTTGTTTCCGTATTCGTTGGTCGGTTCGACAACACCGTCTTCCTCTTCGATGGGTACGGTCTCGAGGAGTTCCTTACCGATTTCCATTTGCAACTCTATCGACATCTCGTCGAGTTCGTCGAGCAAGTCAAATCCGGCTTGAGCATTCAGCGCCTCCAACTCTTCCTCCTCGAGCGTCTCCAACAACTTACGATAGGCTTCGACACGCTTCAACGCTTCGCCGTTGTCCTCGATGAGAGCATCGAGTTCCTCCTCTTGGAATTCGATACCGTCCTTTGGCAGTGGAATACCGCGCTCCTTGTAATAGGTGATACGCTCCTCCGGTGTGCTCTCTTCGGTGAGCTCGACTTGCTCTGCCTTGGCGGCAGCTTCTCTTCTGGTCTTCTCAGCGGCGGCAGCAGCGATTGCGGCAGCCTTCTTTTCCTTCTTTGCTTTCTCCATCGCCAAACTATCCTTTATTTCAGCATCAGTCGAATCCTTCGATACTTTAATTGGTTGTGCCAACAACTCTTTATATTCTGGATGTTCAGCAATGAACAAGTCATATTCCTCCGGTGAGAAATGTGATACCTGATCGAATGTAACCGGTGCTGTTTCACCATAATATTTCTTTAATCTTAATGATTCTTCCAATTCATCTCTTTATTATTTATTTGTCGAAAAGAAAATAAGTATATTTATATTATTACTTGAATGTATACTATTAACATACCTATGCATCATGAATACAAATTCTTCACGTCTGTTACTAACGGTTTTGTAGAGTGATGTCAAGTAGGAAAGATGTTGTTGTGGATCGAACGATGGAATACCGATTGCGTTTGCCTGTTGACGAATCAAGTTGAGTTCGATCTCTCGTTGTTCCAGCGAGTTGAAGATGTCACGAATCGCTTGGTGATGTGCTTGCTCCTCTGACAGACCTTTCTTCATTGCGGCGATCTTAAAGTTGGCAAAGTTGAATGAATCCTGGCTGAGTTCCAGTTCGAGATCCTCCGGTGAGAGGTCGTCGTCCTCATTGACAGCACTGTAGTAGTCCTTCTGATCACGAGCGTTACGACGTTGCACACGCTTCGACAGGGTGAGGTCGTCGGCAGGCGACAACGATTCACCTTCGTCGGGGTCGTCCTCCTCGAGATATCCAATCTCTGGGTACTCACGTGCGAAATCACGTGCGTAACGATCGATCGGCGAGTATATAGTAGCGACTTTTCCACGTGGTCTTGGTGGATGTGTGCTCGGTACACCTTCCGCCAACATCGTTCTGAATCCAAGTGGTAGCTCCTGCATACCATTCAGGACTTCGACCTTGAATGTTTGAAAAAAGTTATTTGCCTTCATTTATAAATAAAAATCTGTACAGTTGTTGTTGTTGTTTTTGTTTTTGTTACTGCTGCTGTTGCTGCTTGTTTGTTTTTCCAAAACCAAAAAAAAATAACTAAACTTGAACTGACTGAGAACTCTGAACTGATCTGATTTATGTAAATCTAAATATTCCTATTTTATATTATATCTTTGATATTGATATATATATAAAAAAATATGGAAATCTAAATTTAATTAAAAAGGTAGATAAACACTCGATAAATTGAATGATTCGTTTTATTTAACTTTTTTGTTGGTCAGTAGTGATCACAATCAAATAAAAATATGAAAAAATGAAATTTTTTGTTTTTTGTTTTTTTTTTTTTTTTTTTAGTGAAATGCAAAATATGTGTGTGTTGATCAAAAATCGAACATTGAAAAATGATCATGTTATTTTTTATATGGTAAAAGTTTACTATGAAAAAAAAAAGGGTGTGGTTTGTTTAAAAAACGTTACTTTGGCATTGATCATTCAAATGATTTTTAAAAAAAAAATTTCATAAAAGTTTTGTTTGTTTAAGAACATAAAAGAAAGAGAGATCAGTGTTGCGACTATTTACACTACTATATTTAATTATATTTCATATTACTTATCAAATTGAATTGTACAATATTAAAATATATTTATTAGTCAGTAGTTAAATAATAATAATGTTCAGACAATTATTCAGACAATCAAACCGTTCGACTGTTGCTAGCTTCTTAAAGCAACGTCAATACCATACATCAAGACCATTGTTCTCAGATGCTCTTAGCAGAGTATGTTTTCACATAAGCTTAAAAGAATAGATTATTATTTAGAAAACAAACAACTTAGCAAAAATAAGGTTATAAACAAACTCATATCTGCAAAAAAGTCGATCATCAACAATTAATTTAGCATAATCATATAAATTTGGATATGAAGACAATAGCGCACATACAGATAAACAAACAGATAAACAGCTACATTTAGATGAATAAAAGAAGAAAAGAAACTTTAGAGTAGAGGAAAAACAAAGGGAAGAAAAAAAAAAAAGATTGTTGATTGACTTTTAAAAAGTTTTGTTTGTATATGACTCTAGATTGCAATTTGTTTGTTTTTAACAATAAAAATATTAATAATAGTTATAAATCTAATTATATTTTATTTTATTTTTAATTAATCAATAATAGCATATTGAAACAGAAGAGAACAATGATCATACACCATTCGATTTCAATGAAGAGAATATGGTTAAAGTAGAAAAGATTCTTTCTAAATACCCACCAGCATATAGACAATCAGCAATGATCCCATTGTTGGATTTAGCTCAGAGACAGAATGGTGGTTGGATCTCATTGCGTGCAATGGATAAAGTAGCAGAGATCATCGGTGTACCACCAATGGAGGCATACGAAGTCGCTTCTTTCTACACAATGTTTAACCGTACAAAGATTGGAAAGAACTTTGTACAAGTCTGTACAACTACACCATGCATGTTGCGTGGTTCAACCGCTATCCTCGATGCCTGTAAACATCACTTAAAGATTGGTGTCGGTGGTAAGTAATTGTAACATACATAACCAAACTAATTAGTTTGTCTTATTAACATCATTTAATATTCATTCATTTTATTTTAAAGAAACAACAAAGGATGATGTTTTCACATTGGCAGAGGTCGAATGTCTCGGTGCCTGTGTAAATGCACCAATGATCTGTATTAACGATGACTTTTATGAGGATTTGACACCAGACTCAATGAAGAATCTATTAAACCAAATTCAAAATGGAAAAGAAACCAAGATCGGTCCACAAACTCACAGAAAGGCTGCCGAAGGACCACAAGGAAAGACAACTCTATTAGAACAACCAAGTGGTCCATTCTGTAGAGATGATTTGTAATTAATAACCATAAACAAATAACAAATGATAATTAAAAAATAACCACACCAAAACCAACAATAATAATAATATTCACAACAATAAAATAATCTTTGAAAATCAAAAAAAAAAAGTATAAACATTTAATAAAATCGATTTATTCATTCATTTATCATAATGAAAATAATGTTACTTAATCCAAGCCACTTGGATTAAAAAAAGTGTAGCAAACAGTACAACAACACTATTTTTACCATCTTTAATCAAAGGGTGGTTTCAGATAACTTATAGAAATTAAAATTTCAATTTTTATGATTATGTCTAGAAATTAAAATTTTAATTTAGAAAATATTTTATTAAATTTGTTATAAATACATATACTTCATTGTTTTGTTTAATAAATCATAATATAAAATATAATAGAATGTCATTCAATTGCCCAGATTGTAATACTAGTGTTCCAGGTTCGAATTGTGCTTTTTCTTTATCTAGAAGTAAAGGATGGAAAAATAAATCTGGTTGCGAGTCCTATTGTAAATGTGGTTATCCAATTAAAGCGAAACAACTAAGAACCAATGTATTTTCAAGTTTTTTAAATAATGATAGAGCTGCTAATAGTGATGCCTACATATATTGTGAAACTAGTGGTGGCCAGAGTCATGTCTACTATGGTACTTTTAACTCTTGTTCTATTGGAAATGGTTTACCAGCAGTGGAATGAGTAGTTGTTCGGTATTTGAAAGATATGGCAACTCAAGATAAGCTTAAGTTTAAAAAAACATTCAAATATCAAAATAGCTTAATAAATGATAATCAGTTTCATTTGGTAGAAAGATAGATAGAATTATATTTGATATGGATAAACGAAATAAATTCAATTAAAATAAAGATAAATTTATAGATTTTTATTAAACTAAATCTAGAATATTAAGAATATAAATTAATTTTATTTATTTTTAACCAAATATAACCAATCATGTTATTTTTTAAAAAAACAAATAACATGACATTGACAAAGATTATTTTTGTTTTTCATATTTAAATATGTTGTATTGGGTTAAAAGAAGAGCAATGATATGATTACCTTTGATTTGACTGTTTTCCGAATCTGTGGGGGAATCCATCATCTCGGATAAATTGTGTGCTGAATAATAATCTGGATAGTATTCTTTGATGAATTGAAGTGAATCATGAGAGTTTGTTAATATCATTGCTGATAACTTTTGTCGATTTCCAAGATCAATTTCCAAAGTCTTTAGATTGGAAAGTAAATTTCCTTGCTTCATCTCATCTTTTTGATAATATCCACCAATAATAAGGGTTTCCATTGGCTTTGGCAAAGGTATTCTGTTGTTACCTATGTCTTCTTCAGAAATAAGAACTTGGTAATTAAAGTGACCCGTTGATTGAGGATTGTTAAAAATAGTCATTCTCTTAAGTGATGAAGGAAGCACCCTTATTTTAAAAGTATGTTCGTAGTCTTTTGGTAGGAAAAGAGATTCCAATGAGCTAGGTAAAACTCCTATCTCTAAAGGATGATTAAAGTTTTCAGTGAACTCTAATACTTTAACAGAGTTTGGTAAAACCTTCTCTTGAATCTTTTGATTAAAAGAATAAAATTTTAAGAAGTGAAGTGATTGTGGCAATACTCCAATATCCAATTCTTGATTGTACTCCTTGAAAGTTAGTCTTTCAAGAGTTTTTGGTAAGACTCCAATCTCTAATCTTTGATTAAACGATCCTAAATTTAGCCAGACTAGATGTTCGGGCAGATCTCCTATTTTGAAACTATGATTATAGCCCACCATTTCCAATGAATATAGTGCCGACGGTAGAACTCCTTTTTCTAATATTTGATTGAATCCAGTACCAATCTTTAATGATCTCAGTGATTCAGGTAGCAACCCTTTAGATAATATTTGATTGAAACCATTACCAAGCACCAAAGTTGATAGCGATAAAGGAAAGGCACCTTCGGACCAAATTTGATTGAATACCTCTCCAAACAAATTCAATGTTATAAGGGAATCGGGTAACATTCCTTTTTCCAATTTCTGATTGAAAAATTGTCCAAATGATAATCGTTTGAGTGATTTCGGAAGAACATCAGCTGGTATTGGTTGATTGAAATTAATACCAAATGTTAATGTTGTAAGATTTGGTGGAAGTGAATCCGGTTTCAAGAGTTGATTAAATTCATTACCAAAATAGAGATCGGTTACATATTCGGAGCTATTTTCGAATGGAGCATTCACATTGAATATTATTGTATCGTCTTCAATGACAGTTTCAATATACTGGTTTAAAAATTGATTCATTGATTCTCTATTCTTTGGACTCTTATCCAACAATCGATGAATAAAGTGAATCAATTGTTTTGAATATCTGTTTTCTGAAATCTTAATTTCACCTTTTGTTTGGAATAGTTGATGATTATCTCTATCATCTTGGTGACTAATAATCATAAATAAAAACACTAGTTAATAACTATAAAATGAACCAATTTTAAAAAAATTTTATTTAATATTTACCAACATAATAATTTGAGTATAGTTGATCCAACTGAAAAGAAGTCACATGATTGAGCATATTGTCTATTCATTGCTTCCTAAATGTGGTTAACAATATATTTTTAATTTAGTTTAAATGGAAAATGAAAATGAAATAGATGATACATACAGGTGCGATATAACCAGGTGTCCCACGAGTTGCATTTATTAGAGTGTTTGAGTTTATCTTCGCAATGGGGCAAATGGTTGGCTCTGATATATCTTCACCGATACTTTCAATAGCCAATTCACTTCCTTGAGGAATGTCTTCGTTGGTATCTTGATATTCGATGATTGTTGATGGATCGTCAAGGAATTTCAAACATCCGAAATCACCAAGCATCAAAGTAATATCATATGTACATACTTCAATGAAAATATTTGATGGTTTGATATCGCAATGAACTATCCCATGCTTATCAAGTTCCAAAAGAATATTGAATAGTTGTGTAATGTATTTAATAATTTCTGATTCTTTAAAGATTCTTTAAATAGATAGTTAGAATAAATCAAAAAAAACCAAAGTCAATTTAAAAATTTATACTTACCGGTTTTGATCAATCATACGTTTATGCTTTACAGCAAGATCACCACCATCACAATATTTAGTGATGATATGAAAGATTTTATTGTCTTTATCATCGAAATGGTCAACAAGTTGAACAAATCTTGGATTATCGATCAGTAGTTGCATTGCTCTGATTTCATTCAATGATCTTTCATAGTTTTTTTGATCATTTTCATAGTTTATCTTTTTATAAACATACTATAGTTGTGTTGTTTTTGTTAGTTTTATAATTGTCATTTGAATAGTTTAGTTTAGTTTGATATCTTACCAAGCTATTGTTAGCGCCTACTAAAAATACATTATTGATTTTGTTACTGTTTGGAAATCTTGATATTGATTGATATCGATTGTTATTAATGGAATGTGATAGTTTGAAATAGTCAAGATTGTTATTGAATTGACACTCTGCTATATTGATTGTGTATGATTGTGAACTTTTTAATAACTCTATGTGCATAGATAATTGATCACCACTGCAGTGGCTATTCGATTTATCGTTTTTCAATGTCGACTCTAATTTTATTATTATTAATTGATATTCATTGTCGACTCCGTCTGGCATTACAATTACATTATTAATAGTATCAATATTCCCCAATAATATGATATTTCTATGTTGTTCACTACCATTATCATTGATATCTTTCAAATGATTATGCATTAATATTATTAATCTACCTAGGTATACATCGATTCTAAATTTCAATATATTTCTACCATTGACTAATTTATCTGTTTTCTCTATATAGTTTTGATTCATTTTATAAAGTAATAAGTAATATTAATTATTTTAAATGATCATTTTGATAAGAATCACATGTGATTATGAGAAAAGTGAATATTTAATTTTAAATTGATTATTTTACCCCATTCCTTCCCCGTGAACTTTCGAAGTTGAATTTCAATTTAAACCATACCTATATTTATTTTGTTTCTCTTTTTTTTTAAATAATAATAATTATAAAAGCTAAGTGTTTTAGTGGAGTGATTAACTAATTTAAAGATTTAAAGTGAATTGTTGAATGTTAATATTGGTGTAAATATTATTATTATTGTTATTATTATTATTATTTAATTTTCTTCATTTTCGTTATATTGATAGTGTTCATCATATTGGTTACTTTCCGATTCACTTTCATATTCTTCAGACTCATCATCGTCATCATCTTCAACCTGATAGCTTTGTTCGGTTTTCTGTCTCTTTAATTTGTTTCTCATTCTCTTATTACCAAACCAATTGTCCAGTTGGCTCTTTGATAGATTATTCAATGCACCAAGAATTGACTTCTCTGCATCCTCTGGATATGGACCTGTTTCAACTAAATAAACAAGGTAAAATAAATAAAACAAAAAACAAAATATTAGAAATTTTATTATATAAAAGAAACATATAACAAATTAATAATTAAAACAACTTACATTTTGAATGTTGACTGAACCAATTATTCATACACTCTTCTTGCTCAGCAGATAGAATTCTTCTATGCTTGTGTTCCTTTGAGTAGGTCTTTTGAATCTTGAGGATGATATCACAAGAGTTGGACTTTTGGAATGACTTTATAACTTGAAAAGTTGATCTTATTTGTTTATATTTTGAATCCGTTTCTTGATACAATAATGGTTTAACCTATTTAAATATTATTAGTTTATAAATAAATGTTCTTTTGTTTATAAACAATCATCATCTTCATTATACATACATGTAAACATAGATTTAATATCTTTGAAAGTTGGTTGATTCTCTTTGATTGTTCATTGTCTAGAAGTAACAGCTCCTTCTTGTAGAACGATTCCAAAACAGAGACGGTGTGAGCGAATTGAGGTGTGTGGATCAAGTCCAACTTTTGGCATTTGATAAACGGTGTCAAATCAAAGTTGATTGGTTCATCGGCAAACTTTGAGCATGGCTCAATGGTTGGGAAGAATTGAATACCAGAGAGATACACCAAAAAGTTTAGGAATTTAATGTGGAATTCACTCTTTTCGATATCAGTCACCATATTGAGAATCTTTTGTTGATAGGTATCATAGAATCTATTCTCATCTTCCCCCTCCACCATACCAGTGTAATACATTGGTTCATCAACGATATCATCATATGATTCATTTATATTTGGTGAACAATTATCGTTGTTATCATTATTATTAATATTATCATTATTATTGTTATTGTTATTTAAAGGAATAGGATAATTTATAATATTGTTATTATTGCTATTGTTATTTAAATAATTTAAACAATTTGAAATATGAACATTGTTAATGATACCATAATCCTCTGGTGTAGATGGAATTGATGATTGAGTAATCATAGGAGAGGAAGCAATTGGAGAAGATTGAGCATCTTTAATACAACTATTATTACAAATGAAATTATTGTTGGTTGTTGGTGATGAACCGTCTTCGGAATCAAAATGATGACTGTTCTGATTGTTGCTTTCAAAAGTATAATTATACTTTTGAATATCAGATAAAAGATGATCAACTTGATCATTTTGATTTACATTGTTATCGTTATTGGTGTTCATATGATTGGCATTAATCAAATCATTTTCATTGATAACCTGAATTGAATCTAAAAATTAAAAAAAAGAGAGAATCACAGAGACGAATAAACATTAGATATATTTAAGAATGTAAAAGATAACGAGTAGACTGATTGATAATATTGTAAACATACCATATATAATTGAAGGATCCATTTATTATTCACAATAATATACAAAACAAAACAAACAAATATATAAAACAACAATAATATAAAGACAACTGTTGTTTTGTTTTATTTATTTTTAATAAACTTTAATATTACAAACAAATACTATTTACAAACTATATATAAAAAGGAAATATAACAAACTATCTAACTTATTATTATATATTTACAATTGATTAAAAATCAATAGGATGAAATGAATAGAGTAGATAGATTGATGTTCAAGTATATATAGATTGTTTTTTGTTGTGTTTTAAACAACGTTACGTATATTTATATTTATATATCAATCATACTTTTAAATGACAATTGCAAACCATGATTTTATTGTATAGTATTGTATAGTGGTGTTGTACCCTTACCTAGTAAGGGGTGGATTGTATGTAGGTATGCAAACATTAATGTTCTCTTAGAATGTGAAAGTTAATTCAAAGTTAAGTTTTTGTATTGAATAAACAAATGATAGATTGAATATTGTCAATAACATTATTAAAAAAACCAACTACTACTATTATAATTAATTAATTAAAGAAAATGATGTAAGGTTTGCATTGATGAAGGTTATGATCAACTGCTGCTTCTAATGATGCTGTTGTTGTTGTTGTTAAACAAACATTATAAACACCAAAATAATTCAGATTAGCTTTGCATTTGAATACAAGAATTCTATTGTGTTATTGTTGTTGTTATATATAAATAAAACTTTGGTTTCCTAATTTAAAGAATATGTCATCTGTTAATTAAATTAATAATAATAATAATAATATATAATCGACCAACCAACCAACGAAACAATTAACAAATGATTTGATTGAACCCCTGCAGTTGTTGTTTGAATTTTCATTTTTAGATAAAATTTGCTTATTTATATTAATGAATGCAAATATCAAGTTTATAACCTGGAATGATAGATTTTTTTTTAAACAAATAGTACTTTAAAAATATAATACTACTACATTCCAAGAATTATTTTATAATATTCTTGAATTTAAACACGTTCATTTAAATAACTTAATTAATAATAAAATGTTTATTCTTAATTGTTTTACTGTTGATGTTCTCTTTGAGTGCGTTGATACCGGCATCGTTACAAAGTGTAATGAGTTGAGCACAGGTGAATCCTTCGGTTTTCGTTATGATAGAGTCGATATCTACGTCGTGGTCGAATTTCATGCGTTTCATTATGACCGATTGAAGGATGGCACGACGATCGTCGGCCGTAGGCAGTCCAACGTAGATCTGTGTCTCCAAACGGCCGGGTCGAACCAGACCTGCATCCAGTAGATCGGCACGAGTAGTACAACCGATCAAAAACAACTTTGATTTCGTTTGAATACCATCCATTTCATTAAGCAGCTGTGTAATAATTCGGTTTTGTCCACCGCCACCATCTTCACCACCAACACTTCTAGCCAAACCCAAAGAATCTATCTCATCAAAGAACAGAATACAAGGTGCACTTAATCTTGCTCTTTCAAAGATATCTCTAATAATTCTCTCACTTTCACCTAACCATTTCGAATATATATCAGAACTATAATATATAAAGTAATGAGTAAGTAACTTATTATATAATATAATAATCTAGATTGTTAATAACATACCCTTTGATTGATATAAAGTTTACATTCATTTTGGTTGCAACAGCTTTGACCAGTAGAGTTTTACCACAACCAGATGGACCGTGTAGTAATACACCAGAGGATGCACCGTGTGTCAATGCCAATCGTTGGAATGTGTCACCGTGAAGTAGTGGCCATTCTATAAGTTCTTTGAAGCGTTGTTTGATCTTTTCGTAGCCACCGACCGATTCCCAAGCGACATTAGGTAGTTCCACATCGAAATGCATAAGATTCGATGCTCTAACATTGAGTAAAGCATCATCGAAATCTTTCATCGTCAAATAACAACCATCTTCACCATCTACCTGTCTCTCAATTGAATTTAAAGCAGCAGCTATACATAGCTTTTTTAGATCTTGATAAACGAAACCAGGTGTTTTCCTTGCTAACTGTTGAATAACCTTTAGTTTATCATCTACTTCTTCTACTTTTACTTTTTGTTTCTCTTTCTCTATCGCCTTTTCGTCATCATCAAATATTATCGATGTATTTGATAGAATCGATTGTAATATTAATTGTCTTGATGATTGTGATGGTATTGGTAATGATATTATCTTATCTAATCTGCCGGCACGTAATAATGATTGGTCGACACTCGATAGGTTCGATGTTGTTGCGAGTAAGAGGTGATCGCTACTGATACGGTTATCAATGAAATTGCATAGTCTGAGTAATGCATGATTGGTAGTATCATTACTTTCATTCACTCTACTACCGATACTCTCTATATTCTCAAACAAATAAATAACTTGATTACTATTACCATTACTACTATTACTATCTACTATTGGAAAGTTTAAAGTCGATGAAAATGATTTTGAATTCAAATGAATGACACTCTTATCTTTACATATATATCTTGCCAACTCTGATATCTGTGTTCCAGGTGCACCAGATATCAATATACCTTTCATACAAAGATTTAAACTACCTATTTCTTTCTTTAATTCTAATAATAGTAATTAGTAATTATTATTAATAATTAATAACTTTAAACATTTTTATTGTTTTAAATAAACTTACTTAATAAAGACTGAATTGATTCTATCTCTGATTTTAAATCATCTTTAATATTACTACTATTACCATTATTATTATTATTATTATTATTATCATTACTATTATTATCTTTACTAATATTATTATTAACAAAAGTTAGCTTGTATCGAGATGTTGATGATGATGATAAAGTTGTTGCATTTGGAAAATATAAAAGTGTATCTAATAATTGATTATTTATATCTTTAATTTTGAATCGATATAATCTATTATTTATTGATATTCTAAATGTAGATTCTAATATAATCTGTATAATGCAATTAGTAAGATGTATTAACCAGCATTATAGTATATAGATATACAACAACTTACAGGTTTATCAGATAGATATAATCTTAAATGATTCTCTATATTGTTGAATTGATTGATATCTAGAAGAGGTGAACAACTGTCTAATGATTCAATAACAATCTCTGTATTATTTGAACAATAGAGTTGTTGTTTCTCTGCTTGGTTTGTAATCTGATTGATATGACTATATAACGGTATTATTTCAATCTTATATAATCTATCATCATTATCGGTGCTATTATTGTTGTTTTTGTTGAATTCTAACAACATCCAATGAGGTAACGATGCTTCATTAAAGTTGTTTGACGACGATGTAAATTTACATGGTTTAAGTTCTATTAATATTATTTTATCTTGTTGTTGTTTATTATTATTATTATCGATTTGTTGTTGATTATCTTGATTATCTTCTTTATTATTATTATTTAATATCGATTTTGCAAGAGTAACTGATATTAATAAAGCAAATTGGTTGGTTGTAGATGATAGCTTTTGTTTCTTAAGATAGGTATTAGATATCAGTACCTCTATGTTATTATTTCTCTTGTCGTCATTTGAATGATTATCTAATAAATTAGATTCGAATGTACCAAACAATTCTAATGACATGCTAAACTAAAATCGTGGTAAATGATCATTCCTTTTTTTTTTTTTGTCTTTGTTTTTTGTTTACCTTAACTTTTTTATTATTTATTTAAATCTAATTTTCTTTATTTTATTGTACAATAATAAATTTATTATATCCGATTTCAAAATGTGGGATGTGATCCAATACATCTGGTGGTTCTATTCATATTCGCTGTTCATGGTTTTGGAGCTGCATGCATTAATGGGAATATCAATATCAATTGGGGTAGGTGACTTGATAAGGACTGGGGGTTCTAGAATTAAATTTAGTTTTTGCTAGGATTTCAACGGAAACATTTGAATGAGTGAGGATCTTATAGAATATTTTGAGAACACCTGTTTGTCTTCTCTGTACCAGCCATATTAATAAAATCTAATATATTATTGTGTTATCTAAAAAAAATTTATTTTATAATATTTTACATTTTCTCGATGGCCATCATCAATTCTTGAATGGCAGCTAATTAATGAAAAGTCTAAGTTGAATAAAATGGGAATAATACCTTTTTCATTGTTAGAACGATTCGAACTATATATTAGGTCCTAGTGGTACAGAGTGTTGGAGCTTCTTTTTTTGTTTCGAGATGGTGTCAGTGCTAGCGAAACAAAACATAGATAATCTAAAATAAAAGTAATAGGTAACCAACACACTATAAACTGCTACTAATAACTATTACTGCTGTGTGTTTTTGAGTCGACTTGAACTAAAATTTTTTTTGACAAGGTTGCTTTTAGATATTCAATCCGAAAAATAATATAAATAAAACCCTATTCCTATTAGAACCTATATGATTATAGATTTTTAATTTTTTATTGATTCATATATTCTTAAGAATTATGAATAGAGAAATGAACTTGGATAAAAATGTAAAATATTATAATCCGCCGCTTATCCATTCAAATCTGATTGGAAGAATCATTTTAACAGCTGGTGATATATGAACATCTTGGGTAGCAAGATCAATAACAGTTGTTGTATACTCTTCACCATTAAGAGAAGAAAACAAAACAATTGTGCTTCCTTTTACACCGAGAGTGCTTGAGAAAATATATGCTGGGAAACGGTTTGGTACTGTATAGATGATTTGGGTGGTTGCTGTTGCAATCGATACATTGTAAATCGTATAGTTACATTTTTGACATAAATCAATAAAGAATACTTGATTGTCAAAGTAAACGATTTGTGGAGTTTTCATAACGAAACCATTAAAGAAAATTGGCTCCTGGACAATTGATTTACTCCACAGGTTGAAAACTATGTAATAGGTACCCAATGGTGTATTCGGTTCATAGATAATATGGTAGTCACCTGTGATTGGATCATATGAACCTACTGGGTAATTTGAACGTTGATTCAATGACCCAGTTGGAAGTGAAATCGATAAACTATGTAATACTATATATCAGCAATTTAATTTTCAAGAAAATAATTTTTTAAAAAACTTACAATTCTTGGTTTTTAAAGTCCCATATGAAAACAGTAAGATTTGGATGAGTATACGACAAATTCAAACCTGGAATTGCAGCCAACTGATAAACTGGATCATAGGCAAAAGATTGGGGACTTTCAGTTCCTGTATAAGTATAATTCAAACTCATAACCTCTCTAAAAGTATTATCCTTATGTATTATTAATAATTTATAAAATTTAGATGAAAAATAGGTGTTCTACTTACATTGATGGAATATTCAACTACTAAATCCTGACTAAGGTCCCAATCGGTAATCAACAATAAAATAGTATTATCCTCTGAATTTCCAGACAAAAATCCTTGAAAGAAAAAAGGTGTTTTCAAATTTATATTCTTTAATAAATTTCCATCAGTGGTGTTAATAGAAATAAATTGCTGGTTTTTGGCAATCATAATATATTGTCCTATATTTAAATCGGTTGAATAAACCACCTATATATAAGGATAATATGAATAAAATTTTAATATCTATTTTTAGAAGAATAAAATTATAAATATCTATTTTTATTTACATTTAAAATTGATATTAATAATAGTAAAAATGAAATATTTAATTTTACTTTCATTTTAGGATCCTATTAAAAGATAAATCGGATAATACAGAGTAATAAAAAGCTTTAAAGGACTTGATTAAAATAAACATATAAATAGACTACTTAACAAAATTATAAAAATTTATATTTTAAATCTAGATATTGGTAGATATTCAAAATGGTCTCAAACATGATATTATCAATTTGATTTTATTTTAAAGATTTTTTTAAAAATTGAATGACGCGGCTTTTTGTTTTTTTAAAGCTGCCCTAATATTATCAAGATGAATCATTAAATAAGATAATTTTATTATCTGAAAGTCAAAACCAATTTTTGGAGATAATATTAGTTTTTAGATTGTTTGTTAGAAAATTACCATATCTCTTTTGTATTTGAGACTCCAAAGTTTCAATCCCTACGATGTGTTTAACTAGTATGTGTAATCTCAAAGATCAGGGAGAATGAGTCATCACATAATTATCAATGAATTTGTCAGCTGAGTCAAAATCAAAAATCTGATTTTGGACTATCCTGACAGAGGTAGAAAGATACATTTAATTGTTTTAAAGAGTAATAAATATTTCGAGAAAGATTTTTAGTAATTCTAAACAAATTAGAATTATTGATTTGTAATAGAAATTTTCTGATTCTATAACATGTTGTTACCCACCAAATCAATTTTGATTTGTTTTATTCTTTATATCACATTTGTTGTTGTTGTTGATAGAAATAATAATAATTCAATTTGATTGATCTGATTGATTGATTGATTGATTGATTGATTGATTGATTGATTGATTGATTGATTGATTGATTGATTGATTGATTGATTGATTGATTGATTGATTGATTGGTTGATCGATTTAAAGTGATGCAAACTTATCACATGCTTCAACGAGTGCACTTGTAATACCGACTTCAGAGACAGAGTGACCGGCGTCGTTGATAAGGTGGAGCTCCGATGAATCCTTGAGTACCTGATGGAGATCGTATGCCGATTTCGCTGGACAAACGACGTCGTAACGTCCCTGAACGATAACAGTTGGGATGTGTTTTATGAGATGAGCGTTCTTGATCAACTGACCTTCCTCCTTGAAGAATCCACCGTTGACAAAGTAGTGACACTCGATACGCGCAAATGCCAAACTAAAGTCACCTTCCTCACCACGCTTGATCTTCTCTGGATCCAACATCAATTTGGAGGTGGCCATCTCCCAACGTGTCCAGGCGTCGGCACATTCTCTCTTGACCTTCTCATCGCTACCTGTCAAACGACGGTAGTAGGCACTCATCAAATCACCACGTTCAACCTCTGGAATCATATTCTTGTATGGCTCAAAGTAGTCTGGGAACAACCAACTGGTTCCCTCTTGGTAGAAGAACAACAATTCCTCTCTTCTCAAAGTGAAGATACCACGTAATACCAATGCTTTTACTCTAGTTGGATGTGATTCTAACAAATTATCAATAATCGATTAATAACAAACTTAAAACAACCACAACAACAACAACCAATATATTACTTACCAGCATATGCCAAAGAAAGAGTTGAACCCCATGATCCACCAAAAACAACCCATTTTTCAATTGACAACAAGTTTCTAATCTCTGATTGTTTTTGAAAATAAAAGTGTTAATCTAAAATGTAAATGAAATGTAAATCTATTTGAATCATTAATACATACTTTCCATATCTTCAACTAGATGCCATGTAGTATTATCAACTAAATTTGCAAATCTAAATATCATAGAAATCAAGATATGACTATTAATATTCTATTTATAATGATTGTATCATTTGATTTACTACTACTATACATACGGAGTACTCTTTCCACAACCTCTTTGGTCAAACATAATGATTCTATATTGCTTTGGATCAAAGAATTGTCTGTAAAAGTCTATTTTTTAAATAATAACATAATAGTAAGCTTCATTAATGAATTTCAAAACAACAATGTATAAATAGATCCTAAAGTATAACATACCTTCACATCCACCACCTGGTCCACCATGAACAACAATAACTAGTTTTATTGAATGTTTTTTAACATGTTAATATTGACTAATTAGATTGATTGATTGCGATTAATATTGTTTATATATATTTACCTGGATTACCGGTTGGATTACCAGATTGTTCAACATGCAATTCATGGATATCAGATACCTTCAATCTCTGTACATCATATGGTTGAATTGGTGGGTATAATGTTCTTGGGTAATCGATAATTGATTTTCTTTGGTCTCCTCCCATCTTCTTTTTAATCTATCTATCTATCTAGTTTATTAAACAACTAAATAACAATGATAATTTAATTAAAGCAATGAAATGCATTTTCTCTTTTAAAGTGTGTGGTGTTCAAAGCCAAAAAACAAATTTTTTAAAAATTAAAAAAATAATAAATATCTGATTTTTGATCATAAATTGGGAACTAATGAAGATTTCTCGAGTAAAAGTCAAGAAAAATTGAATCAACCCCAGGATTACTTTCCATTCCATCTTAAGTTAATATAATCGAATCTATATTTCAGAACAATATAACTTTGTTCTGAATTATCATTTCAGAACACTTAAATAATCTATTTTGATTTCTGAAGTTTTTGATGATCCTTATTTTCTTTTTTAAACTTACAAAATAAAATATTTTTTATAAACATTTTTACAATAACGATACCAACAATTCATTTTTCATATGTTTATATCAAATCTCCGCTTTTTAAAACATTAATGGGGGTGGTTGTTTTGTTATGGTCAAAAATGAAAAAATAAAAAAAACAACATATTTATATTTTTTTAATTAATTGATTTTTTTTTTTTAACAAACATTAATAAACTACACTGCACTTCACTACTCTTTTCTTTTTAATTTAATTTTTAAAGTCGATAATAATAAGAGTAATATCTGTATATATATATAATGAATATTAATCATAGTAATAATAATAATAATGAAAACAATAATAATATAAATAAATTTAGAGGATATCCAGATGAATACCTTGATTATGGATTGATATCACCATCAAGATATACAGGTGGTATCTCAACTTCATTATCACCATCTTCTCAACATAGTTATGAGCGTGGTATCATGAATAAGAAGGTACCAAAGATCATAAAAGATGTCATTCATGGCCACATGGAGATACCAATTGAAATACAGGATTTCATTGATTCCGTTCAGTTCCAAAGACTGAGAGATCTCAAACAAGTTGGAACCACTTCATTTGTATTCCCATGTGCAGCACATCATAGGTATAGTTAGTTATTTCTAGTGTTGATAAAGGTGATGAGTTCTTAACTAACTCTGACATATATATAACATCGAACAATACAATTAGATTCGAACATTCACTGGGTGTAAGTCATCTTGCAGGTAAATTCATCGATCGTATAAAGAATACTCAGCCAGAGTTAGAGATTACACACGACGAACAGATTGCTGTTAGAATAGCAGGTCTATGTCATGATCTTGGTCACGGTCCATTCAGTCATGCCTTTGAATCTTGGGTTAGAACAACTGGGTATGTTAATATTGTTAACAATCTATAGATAGAAATTGTTAATTGTTATACTTATACATTGTTTGATTTGACAAAAACATGTGTTTAAATCGTTTACAGTAAACAATTTCATCATGAAGAGATGTCTGTGAAGATGTTAAACTTTTTGATTGAAGACAAAGGCTTGGATCAATATGATACGAGCGATATCAAGTTTATTGAAAATCTGATATCCGGTGACTCTACCTCGAAACCCGATAGAAAGTTCATCTTTGATATCGTTGCCAATCAACGTAACAGTATCGATGTCGATAAATTCGATTACCTAGCAAGAGATTCCTATTATCTTGGTAGAGCAAATAATGTTGATTTCACAAGGTAAATATTCTTTGTTTTAACAAACAAACAGACAAACAAACATAACTAACTAACAAACTTTACACTCATTTTAGATTGATAGAATTTAGCAAAGTAATTGAAAATGAAATATGTTTCTGTAGTAAAGAGGTATATAATCTTTATGAATTGTTCCATGCCAGATACAGTCTTCACAAGATAGCTTACACCCATAAAGTTGGTAAAGCCATCGAATATATGATATCGGATGCATTCAGTCTTGCAGATCCATACCTAAAGATATCCGATCAATTAGAGGATCCAAGAGAGTAAGTTGTTATTATTACTTGTACTTTTGAATCATGATGGTGATCACCATATACTAAAACATATTGTTATTGCTGCTTGTTGTTATTTATAGATTCATCAATTTAACAGATAGTTTATTATATAGAATAGAGACGTCAAAGGAAAGAGAGTTGGAAGAATCGCGAAAGATCATAAAGAATATTAGAATGAGAAATCTCTACAAGTTTGTCGATGAGGTGATATTGCCGAGTGAACAACATGCTCACACCATTAAGATGAGTTCGGAGCTGATTGCCAAGGAGGGCACTGACATCGATGTCTCTGATGTCATCGTTGAGAATCTCAACTTGAACTACGCATTCAAGGACCAGGATCCAGTGCAACACACAAAATTCTACACGCGTTACGACAACACCAGAAAATTCCAAATACCAAAAGAACACATCAGTCATCTCATTCCAAGTCAATTCCAAGAGAAGAGAATTAGAATATTCTGTAGAAACAAAGAAAAGGTATGTGTTTACATTACAATTCAATCTTATTATTATTATTCATTAACAATTTATTTCTTTCTTATCATTATTTTATAAATATAGTATGAAAAGATTCAAGATGCATTTAGAAAAGTATTAAAGAATTATAATATACAACCAAATCCATCAAATACTGTTAGCCCAATGAAAATACCACAATAATAATAATAATTAACAAAATCTGTATATTTACAAATTCTTAAGATAATAATAATAAAATATAATTATACTTTTTCTTTTTTTTAAAATATTACAATTGTTATTTTCTTAAATTAACAATATTTATTTGATTGGTTTGGTTATCGTTTTAACCAGATTAATATGAAGTTTACTATAGAGTAAAGACTTGCCTTTACTTTATTAAAAGATGGTCCAAAATGGTGTAGAGAACGTAGCACGAAGTCTCTGATCAAAATTATTTGATTGCACTGATTGAGTATTATTGGAACTGACAGTATTCATATGAGCCAATGAATATACTCTGTTGTTTTGTGATAGAAATGTAATGTTTTTTAATGATTCTATTAAAGAATAATAAATAGTATGTTAATATATATAATTATTATTATTTTTATTATTATACATACCAAATAACATTTTGTTTTATATTATTATTAGTAATATAGCTATTCTTTCAATTGTTTATTTAAAAGTATAATAAATGATATAAAATGATAAGACTTATTTATAGTTATTTTGTTGGTTGCAGATAATATTTAACGTTAAGTGTCGTTCGTTCGATCAACGTTGAGATTGTACACATATGTATATAGAATAAATCTCTGTACAACGTCATTAGCTTATTATGATGACCTATCTAACGATAAGTTTGATGATGCTCAAGTTATATTCAAACAGTTTAAACCTGATTAAGAAATAGTATCTTTACGCCCTATACATTTTTATCTTTAACATTAAAAAGATATTAAATATTACAAAAGAGTAGTGTAGTGTATATATTCTTTATAAATTTTACTTGAAGAAATGATCCTTTTACCAATGATTACATCAGTTAACTTAAGCCTTTATCTGTCTCTGTCTCCCTAATATTTTTTAATATAAGGTTGATTGATATATATATGAGTCAACTAAATAAAGATGAAATGTAGTGATGATTTTATGGTTAATAAATCTATCAATTGATATGATATATAATAAAGACTAAACAGTTTTGTAGATCAATCATATGTGTATGTGTGGATATGAACTTAACACTCACCACATCCAATCCAATAGTTTCACACAACATTTTCAATGATTTATTAAATAATTCAATGATCTGTTAAATAATTGTTATTATTATTATTTTACAATTGATAATCGAGCTCACCTACGTGTGACATGTCAAAACAAAATATATTTAATTTTAATAATAGTGTATTAATAAAGTTTTTTTTTTTAAAAAATAAACAAATAATTTAATTAATATTTAAACCATTTAAACAAATAAAAATGAATTCCATGATGAAAAAGGTTAACTAAAAAATAATAAAAATAAAAAGAAATTTAAATAAGATTTTGTGTTGTAAAACCGAAAGGACAACCCTTACCTAAAAGTAAAATCAAAAAAATTTATAAAAACACAAAACCTTTGATAGATTTTTATTTTTGATTTGATTAACGTGTGATTAGATATTTTTTGTGGTTATCAAAATAAAAAGATGAGATGGTTTTTCTTTAAAGTTTTATTAAAAAAAAAAAAACAGTAAATCGAATATTTCTTTAGATAAATATTTATTTATCTGTATCTTTTATTATTTCACTAGTATATCACAGTTATTTTTAACCTACAACTTTACAAATGTTAAAAATACTGTTGGTATCTGTGGTTCTTTTTTTATTGCAATCAACTATATCGGTCCAATCACAACCGATACCATGTACCTATATATCGTCAAGTAATCGTAGTGATCCAATACCGTGTGATTATGAAAATGCAATTGCCTATCAATATTGTCAATCAAACAATGAATATGGATCATGCAAGGTATGAAATAGAAATACAAATAAATTATAAATTAAATAAAATAGAAATAATAATTTAGATATTAATTAATCTATTTATTTGAAAAAAAAAAATAGTTTGTAGATTGTATTTCTGGTTATGTTTATGATCATGGAATTACAAAAAAATGTATATCGACATTTGCACTGACTTTGTATGATGTTGTGTTGCTCGGTGCCTTCGGAGTGTTGGTAATAACTGCACTGATTTTCACATCGAGATGTTATAATTCAAAGTCACTCAGTCAAGCGAAATACCACTCAATGGCACAGCCCGAAAAGAAAAATATTGAAATGTCACAGGTTGGTAGTAGAGGTGGTGCAGATTTGGAACAGCAACAACAACAACAGGAACAGGAACAACCTGAAGAATATGATGAATCATTATTGGAAATTCTTTCACTGGGTGAAAGTGAAATCTATTTGGTTGCACTTGGAATTGCTTTGTCACTAGTGGATATTGCCCTGGGATTGGTGGTTCCTCTCGTTGCTGCCAACATCTATAATTACCTGTATTCCGGTGAGGTCGATAAAATCAATGGAACCATCCTGACGTTCGCTCTGATTATCATCGGTATGATCATTGTCCAGTTTATGTATGGTATCGTTCTGGCGTTGGCCGGTCATCGTATTATTGCACGTCTCAGAAACAAGTTGTTCACAGCGATTCTCCAGCAGGATATGGCATTCTTCAATGAACGTAAAACCGGTGAACTTATGAGTAGACTGGCAACCGATGTCAGTTCAGTTCGTTCGATCATCTCTGACAGTATTCCACATATAATCATTCAGTTTGGTAATATTTTCGGTGGACTTATCATGTTGTTGATCATCTCTTGGAAACTAACACTGGTAGTTCTCTCGCCCCTCCCGATTCTCTTGATATTCTCGAATTTCTATGGTGCCTATATCGAGAAGATTTCGATGCGTGTGCAAGATGCCCTCGCAGACGCCGCTTCTCACGCAGCGGAAACACTGTTTAACATGAAAACAGTTCGTTGGTTCTCCAGTGAGCAGCAGGAGATCACCAAATTCAAACAGTACATCAAGATCTCCTATAACATTGCTCTGAGAATGACCATTTGGAACGGTGTATATTCATCAACCAGCGGAATATTCGAGCAACTCTCTGTGTTTATCTTGCTGTGGTACGGTGCTCATTTGGTAAGCAATGGTGAGTTGTCACCATCGATGTTGATCGCTTTCAATCTGTTCCTCCCATTCATCTCTGGCGCGGTGACATCGTTGTCCTCGCTCTACACCACCTACAAATCGTATCGTGGAGCTAGTGTTCGATTCTTTGAGATTATGCAGCGACGTCCAGACATCCCATTCAGTGGCGGTGTCATGTTGGATCGTCAGCGACTAACCGGTGAGATTCAATTCAACAAAGTTACATTTGCATACGATGGACGTGATCCAGTCTTAAGAGAACTATCGCTCCAATTCAAACCGAATACTATTACCGCGTTGATTGGAACATCCGGTGGTGGAAAGAGTACTATTCTCTCACTGCTCGGACATCTCTATAATATCGATGCCGGTAGCATCACCCTCGATGGAACCGACATTGCAACGATGAACGTGCAGAATCTGCATTCACACATCTCCATTGTCAATCAGGAACCATCGTTATTCACCGGAACCATCGCTGAGAATGTTGCATACGGTGCACCCAATGTCAGTCGCGACCAGATTATCAACGCCTGTCAACAAGCGAATGCACATGGATTCATCACACAACTTCCACAGGGTTACGACACCCTGATTGGTGAGCGTGGTGCAGCGCTATCCGGTGGACAGAAACAGAGAATCGCCATTGCTAGAACTATCATTAGAAATCCACTGGTTTTGCTACTGGACGAAGCGACGAGTGAGTTGGATGTAGAGTCGGAACGATTGGTACAGGAAGCGATCGAGACTTTGGTTGTCAACAGAACAGTTATCATTGTTGCACATCGTCTATCAACCATTTTGACTGCAGATATTATCGCTGTTGTTGCAGATGGTGATGTCAAAGAGGTAGGAACACCCGAGCAACTCGTGGAAGCACGCGGAATCTTCTATGATTTCGTACAGATTCAATACGGACAGGGCGATGGCAGTGAAATCAAGTTGAACATCCCACCGAAATCGAGAAATCTCAACAAGCTGAGAATGCGTTCCGAGACTATTAAACAAGCGATCGCCGCCGATAGAGACAGAGCACCAACCATGCTTAGACAACAGAATATTCATGGATTCTTGGATAATGACGATGAAATACCAACTAGTAGCAACAGTTCAACTACAACAACAACAACTAACAACAATAATAATAATAACAATTTACCATTACCAACATGGCGTAGTGCTAAATCAAAGAGTAAGAAATGGCAACAGCATAGCAGTACCTATAATAAAGAGGTACCGGTTGTACAAGGACAATGGCGTACAGCTAAAGTCGATGAAAAACTTCATCGTGTAGTATTAAAGAGTAGAAAGAGATTCTTTAAAGAAGAGAACCGTGATTTGAAACAATCACTTGTAAACTATTAGTAATAAAAATAAAATAGTAATAATCAAATTATTTGTTCAAAGATAAATTTAAACAAAATAATTTTTTTTTTTTTTTTTTACAATTTATAAATGAAGGATAAACATCCCACTACGGAATTCAGCTCATTATAACAAGATATATCTATTTGCTCTAATGCCAAAAATTTCACATATTTTTGAGGTGGGTTGATGGCAAAGCTCATCAAAGGTAAAGATTAATTTTTTTTTTTTTTTGAAACATTAAAAAAAGATTTAATTGACATCTTTGGTGAAAATAGCTTCAGACACAAAATACTTAGTCGCACCATCATAGAAGTGAGAGATGTAATGTAAGGCATACAGCTGCCGCTTTGTGATCATTTTACTTCTAGAAATCCAATACTGTGCACTCGGGTATTCGAACAGTTATTCCTCTTGCCGGAGCCACTCTCTCTTTCTGAAAGGAAGTTTCTTAAAATCCGAAAGGATACTCAGCAATTCAACAAAAGAGCTGGCCTCAGTACATTCAGCACCTCTGTAGTGAAGACGAATGTTGGCACAGTGGAGTATGCCAACGCACCTCCTCCACGAGGATATCAAAAAGCAAATAGATATGATAAACAAGCTAAGACTACCGAGATTCAGCGGTACTGTAAAAGTCTAGAAGATTAAACAGAGAACGAGAATATTACTGGAATATAGATTGAATATGTATTTGACATAGTTGGATTCATATCTTTTAATTTGAATAGAATAAATAATAAATAAGCATTAATTATATCCTGATTTTAATCGAAGTGATCTTTTTTATTTAAAATGTTCCTCTAGTTTTAAATCTAGAGCGATGATGTATTCTTCTTTGATTGTTTTGAGAATCCAAAAAGGCTCTGATATTGGATAGATTGTGTGTTGAATATGAATGTCTAAGTATTAAAATTTGCACTCTTGATTAAAATAGAAGATTTAAAGCAAACTTAGAATGAGTCGATATCTATTCTTTGTCCTCGAATAAATAGAATTTCAATATTTTGTGGTAGATCTTTTCTATCGATGTAGTTCGTCATTGATAATGATTTCAGTGATTCAGGTAACACATCAACTGATAATATTTGATTGAATTTATTTCCAAACACCAATGATTCAAGTGATTTAGGTAAAACACCGACTGACAATATTTGATTGAATCTATTTCCAAACTCCAATAATTTAAGTGATTCAGGTAAAACACCGACTGATAACTTTTGATTGAATCTATTTCCAAACACCAATGATTCAAGTGATTCAGGTAACACACCAATTGATAATATTTGATTGAATTTATTTCCAAACTTCAATGATTTCAGTGATTCAGGTAAAACACCGACTGATAATATTTGATTGAATCTATTTCCAAACTCCAATGATTCAAGTGATTTAGGTAACACACCAATTGATAATATTTGACTGAATCTATTTCCAAATACCAATGATTCAAGTGATTTAGGTAACACACCAACTGATAATATTTGATTGAAGGAATATCCAAACACCAATGATTTAAGTGATTCAGGTAACACACCAACTGATAATATTTGATTGAATCCTAATCCAAATGATAATGATTCAAGTGATTTAGGTAACACACCAACTGATAATATTTGATTGAATGAATATCCAAACTCTAATGATTTCAGTGATTCAGGTAACACACCAACTGATAATATTTGATTGAATTCAATTCCAAATACCAATGATTTCAGTGATTTAGGTAACACACCGACTGATAGTATTTGATTGAATCCATCTCCAAATACCAATGATTTCAATGATTCAGGTAACACACCAACTGATAATATTTGATTGAATCTATTTCCAAACTCCAGTGATTTCAGTGACTCAGGTAATACACCAACTGATAATATTTGATTGAATCCATTTCCAAACACCAATGATTCAAGTGATTTAGGTAACACACCAACTGATAATATTTGATTGAAGGAATATCCAAACATCAATGATTTCAGTGATTCAGGTAACACACCAACTGATAATATTTGATTGAATCCTAATCCAAATGATAATGATTCAAATGATTCAGGTAACAAACCGACTGATAATATTTGATTGAATGAATATCTAAACACCAATGATTTAAGTGATTCAGGTAACACACCGACTGATAATATTTGATTGAAAAAATATCCAAACTTCAATGATTTCAGTGATTTAGGTAACACACCAACTGATAATATTTGATTAAATCTATCTCCAAACACCAATGATTCAAGTGATTCAGGTAACACACCCACTGATAATATTTGATTGAATTCAATTCCAAACTCCAATGATTTCAGTGATTCAGGCAACACACCGACTGATAATATTTGGTTGAATCTATTTCCAAACACCAATGATTCAAGTGATTCAGGTAAGACACCGATTGATAATATTTGATTGAATTCATTTCCAAAATTGATCTCAGTGACATTGACGGAGGTATTATAAAATGGAGTATTTAAATTGAATGTAATTATCTGATTATTGGTGATGGTTTCAATATATTGGTTTAATAATTGATTCAATGATTCTCTATTCTTTGGACTCTGATCCAACAATCGGTGAATAAATTCAATCAATTGTTTTGAATATCTGCATTCTGAAATCTTAATTTCACGTTTAGTTTGGAATAGTTGATGATTATTTCGATCATCTTGATGACTGATCAATTTAAATATTCAAAAATACAGAGTTAATATCTGATTGATAATAATATTTTAAAAATGATTATTCGAGTATTTACCAACATAATAATTTGAGAATTGTTGATCCAATTGAAAAGATGTCACATGATTGTGCATATTTTCTGTTCATTGCTTCCTATTTGTTATTATTTTAAATAAGTTAAAATTATTTTGAAAATCAAATAAATAAAATTTACTTACTGGTGAAATATAACCTTTAGTTCCACGTGTTGCATTTATATTTGAAAAAGTTGGCTCCGATATTTCATGATCGATAGTTTTTAAATTAAAATCATTAGTTTCAAGAGTATGCTCTTTTGTATCTTGATATTCAATGATTGTTGATTGATCAATGAATTCACAACATCCAAAATCACCAAGAATCAAAGTACCATAAGCATCAGATTCATCAATAAATATATTTAATGGTTTAATGTCACAATGAACAATTCCATGTTTATCAAGATCCAAAAGAATATTGAAAAGTTGTGAAATATAATTTCTGATATATGATTCTTCAAAGATTCTATTTTTATGTTCAATATAAAAGTGGTTAATTGCTTGATACAAGTCATGATTTAAAATTTGATATATACAGATTTATATCAGTTACATGTTTATACTTTTGAGAAAGATCACCACCATAACAATATTGAGTGATGATATGAAAGATTTGATTGTCTTTATCATGATGATAGTCAACAAGTTGAACAAATCTTGGATTATCTTTGAGTAATTTCATTGCTTTGATTTCATTCTCAGCTCTTTCATAATATTTCTGATTATCTTTATAATTTATCTTTTTATAAACATACTTTTGAATTGATTTTGTTAGTTTTACGATTGTCAATTGATTAATTACATTGAAAAATGATCTTACCAATCTATGATCATATGTACCACACACTAAATATACATCATTGATAGCATTACTGTTTGTAAATCTTGATATTGAATGATATCGTTTGTTATTAATGATATGAGATTTTTTGAAATAGTCAAGGTTGTTTTTGAATAGATTGTTTTCAAAATTGATTGTGTATGATTGTGATTTGTTTAATAGCTCGACACATATGGATTTAAAATCTACTGGGTAAGAATTTATTATTATTAATTGATATTGAGTATCGACTGTATCTGGTATTACAATCTCATTATTATTTTGATTAATATATCCAATTAATGTGATATTTGTGTGTTGTTCATTTTCTTTATCTTTCAAATGATTATAAACTAAAACTATGAATTCTCGAAAGTATTCAAAATTAATAAATTTCAATACATTTTTTCGATTGATTAATTTATCTGTTAGCTCGATATTATTCATTTTGAAGTATTTTTAGAATTCATTCATTTCAAAAATATGTAAGTTAAACTAAAACTATGATTTTATTAGAGATATTATTAAAATTGGGTGAAACACTTTTTTTTTCCGATTTTTTTTCATTCTCCAGAATTTGATCTGTCTTTTTAAAAACGTTACACCCAGACATAAATAAAAAGGGGTTTTAAGTTTAAAAATCTAATGTGGACGGTTTTTAGTTAAAAATAAATTTTAATATTAAATAAATTTACAATTTAAATTACAAATTATTATTAATTTTATTCGATTTGATCAAAAAGATCATCAACAGAATCAGATTTCGATGGTTGATTGTTGTTGATCGCAATGGTCTTGCGTTTAGAACCGAGGAATTCTTTTGATTCTTTTTCAGTGATTTCACTGTCATCACTTTCATCGTTTGTGATCAATCCGATCTGATTTGTAACGATCAGTTGCCAAAAGTCATCACGATTCTTTGATTCGTAATAATCACGAAGTTCACCTGAATACCAGTGATTCTGATTCTTTGATAGATCCACGACGAAGTTCAACGACACTCCAATGCCTTCTGATAGAATTGATCTTTGAGTGAATCGTTTACCAGTTGGACAATACGTTATTTCATTAATGATATCGCTTTGTCTACCAGATCGATATCACGTCTTGCCACATATCTTTGAAGTTCTGCACGGGATCGAACCGACTTCATTGACGTAACCAGAAACCAACTTGTCGAGCGAGTAATCTGCAAGATCGTCTGCCTTTCTCTTTTTTGATGCGTTGGCATCGTCTGTCACATAGGAATCCAAACGAATCTCTTGTTGTTGTTCGACCAACATTCCATCTTGCCATCGATATTTCGGTTCCGATTTAAAGTTGGTGGTTTTCGTGAGTGGAAACAGTGTTTGGAAGTTCTTTATTGCATCTTGTGCATTCTCCATAATCGCTTCATCGGGATTGATATATTTCGAGATGATCGGATCGAGTTTTGGAAGTTGTGATTCCGGATGAAGTGCTCGATCGTGCAGACACTGGTAGAAGTGTTGCAGTGATGCATTATATGTGAACCGTGGAAGTAGTGCTGCTATCTTTTGGTGATCTTCATCTCTTCCTCAGCTGTCATCAAATCCATCGAATCGATCAGTGCTCGTGCAGCATCGACCTGTTCCGCTGTTGGAATGTATGGTTTTCTTGTTGCCGAGTTGGTGGGTGCGATCGGTGGGAATTGATATTGTTTCAAATCGTCAAGGAATGGAAGTTGACAAACATAGAGACATTCATAGTTGGCTTTGATATGTGAATATAGCAATGCAATCGATGCTGAACTTCCGTTTCTCTTGACATAACGCGATAGTACTGCTTGTTTGGTTTCAGCCATTCCGTGGATCAGTGACGACAGTTTTGTTTAAACAATCAATTTTGATTTTTTTTGTTGTGTTTTCAATGAGAACTGTTGTTTTTTCAAATATTTTTAATTTTTTTGGCGAACACAAGTAATTTCGTTTTATCCCTCCCCCAAAATGAAAACAATTTGCACAGCATTTGTATGCATTTTGCAAAAAAAAAACCCAACCTATAAAATGAAATTACACACTTAATTCAAAAAATAAATCTTTTTGATAAAATCAAAAATTATTCTTCAAAAATCATTACACTTGCAATAAGTGATTGTTTTGCTTGTTACAATGATTTTAAAAATCTAGTTTATCAAGATGATACAGAGACAAAGAATAATTTTAAATTAGTTATAGAATTTGCATTGGTCAGTCAAGGATGGTTTAAAATTATATCAAATAGTATAGCTACAGAGTATTTTATAAGTAATAGAGAGTATATATATATAGACAAATTGTTTTGATATTCAAAGCCACTAGCAAGTTAGAAAAATCGATTCCCAATCTTTCAAAGACTAGATCAATCATTCAGTTCAAAAGTATTAGAGATCTCTACTTTCAGGATCAACCATATGAACCAGATAATATCGTTTTGGATACAGAGATCATCGATTATATCTCAAGATTCAACAATCTCGAGCATTGTTCATTCAAACTAGAAGTGAAAAACTGCTAAGAGAGATCATCAAACTGAAACCACACATCAAAATACAGTTGTTTGTAGATGAATCTATCTTTTGGGAGACACCAAGAAAGTTTGACTCGATAAAGGATATCGATACATCAGTTATAGAGAAAGTTCAACTCAATTACAATACTTCTCAAGTATTGTTTGAAGATTTATTTCATTTGGATTTAAGACCGATCGATTGTTGGCGTGTCGATTCTCTTTACTATGGATTCGATGGAATTAGCAAAATAGGTCCATTTCCCTCTTCCAATCTATTTGCAATCGAATCACTCATATCTGTTAAAATCTCTAGTTGCAACTATATTAATGTTAAAGATTTGAAACTGATCGTTAACAATCATATTGAATCTTTTGAAGGTTGTCCTCTACTTGGTTGGTTTGGCTACGATGAAAACGAAGAACTTGAAGTGTGTAATTTTTGTTCCAGTGGAGTCAATAGTCATAGAGAGATGATTTCGAAAAACAATCAAACCAGTGAATGGATTCTGTAATCGACTATCGACCAACACAACACTGAAATCACTTAGATTGTCCAGCTGGACAATAGCTATTGTCAGATACACAAGATAAGAGATCAATCGATATTCAATTTGGTATCAGATAGTTTTACTCAGTGTTTATCGATGAACTGTTGGAATCGTAGTTCCAAGATATCAGTCAACCGACTACTGCTAACCGATCAATGAACACAATGTATTTAAGCGCAAACAAGAACTCAATAAACATTATTAAATTCATTATACTTTAACATCATCTTTAAATACACAAACTATTCATTACTATAACACTACTATATTATTACACGATGTCGTTATTATCACGATTCAACGACGTCTCTAACATGGTGGACTCAGAAGTATCAATTCCTTTTACGCCATATTTTAAACGGACCCCTACTAAGCCCACCACCCCTGCCGGTTTAACCAAACGAGCAGTACCTCGCAATCACGCTAGTGCTATGATGACAGTTAACGATTTCCTTTACAGGAATGACCCTCTAAGATCGACTCATAAGAGCTTTTGCGATTTCTTTGTCAAAGTGTTATCCATGTATTCCATCTCCGTAAAGCAAGCATACGATTGGACCACTGCTACTTTTGCGGCCGATCCAAATTCATCAAGTTTCAACACGTGGCTGAACTCGAATAAGGTAGTGATTGGCTCGATCCAGAAGTTTAAATTAGGTGACGACATCTACTCATGGATAGATGCGATCTATAATCTGGTTCCGGAGGAGCACCGTTTCAACTTCACCGAGGTATGGCTGACACCAGATGCTTTCAGCTTCTTCTTTGCCAACTCGCATTCGATACTATCAAATCGGCAATTAAAGAGAAACCATCGTTGTTCCCACCAAATTACGATCTTCCGTTTATATTTGAATGCGACGCTTCCGATGTCGGTACTGGATATCGATTGTTCCAAATGGTAGACGGTAAAGAGAATGTAATCTGCTACGGTTCCAAGAAATTGAAAGATTCGGAAACACGTTATTCAACACTGGAAAAGGAACTATTAGCCATCGTTACTGCGTTGAAAGCCAACTACTATCACATCTTCGGCAGAGATATCGAGATTCGTACTGACCATAAGAACATCACCTACATCAACGAGGCCAACAAGATCGGTATCAACCAAACTATCAATCGCTGGATCGCACACATTAATCTTTACCAACCAAAGATCAAATTCATCAAAGGAAAGGACAATACGATTGCCGATGGTTTGTCCAGATACACATTCAATGTATCCGTATCACTTAGTCATCCAACGATCGCCAATGACATCATCGACGGTTACCGAATAGAAGACGACTCGAATCTTAGTAACGGAATCACTGATTACACGACGATCAACGGTCTCCGATACACCCACGACGGTAAGATTATAGTGCCTAGAGTCATGTCAATAGTCAATAATTTACTATATCAAGCCCACGATTCTGAATTCGGTTGTCATAGGTCAGCCTCCAAAACTCTCCATTCTATATCCGAACTATACGTATGGCCGAACATGGCGGCAGATATCAAGAAGTACTGTGATGACTGTATCGTCTGTCGACGTGCCAGCGACCATGCACGAAAAAGAATTGGCCACCTGATTCCATTGCCCATTCCAGTCAAATGCTTCCAACGTATTAACATCGACTTCATCCCAAATCTACCAGTCGAGGAGTACATGGGTAGGAAGGTTGATGCTATAATGGTCGTCATCGATGCTCTTATCCAAAATGACCAGACTGATTCCTTTAGGTTCGGACTATACCAGTAAAGAGGTGATTGATCTGTTTCATAAAGAGATCTTTAAACTCCATGGTATCCCGATTGAAATTGTTTCTGATAACGATTCTAAATTGACCTCCAAGTTATTCAAGCATGCAAAGCTAGCGTTCTACCATGTATACCACTTCCCCTTTCTGTTGGAAATCAAGAAATGAGATTTACATGGAACAAAGGTAAAAAAGAAAACCAAATCAAGGTAGGTGATTACGTTTTCTACAATAATTAATAGAGATGGTAAGAAAAAGAAATTGGATGTGAGGTATGAAGGACCGCGAAAAGTTAGTGGAAGTCGATAATTATAATAATATATTCATAGATGTGATTGGAAAAGATGGAATAAGTACAAAGAAGAAGAAGTTTAATTCGAAACACATAATGTTATACGATCCAAAGATGAACGATAATTTAATTAATGATGTCGACGACTTATTAGTCGAAAACGGTGCTACGGCGGAGACCGATCGGGGTAGTACCGTTGGCGATAGTTCAGACGACTATGACGATAGTCCGAGGCCTATACGCCGTCACACACGGAGGGGGCTGAAAAATGTCGAAAGTAGAGTAGACATAAATGTCGAACGTAGTGTTGACAAGGATGACATGGAGGATAATAAATTTGAATGACGATGATAGCGACTACGATGATTAATGAAGATAATAATAATAATAACAATAACAACTACCAACAACAATAACGATGACATGGATATGAATGACGATGATAGCGATAACTTACTTATTAATAATAATAATAATAACTCTAATACTCTAAATAACTCTAATAACTCTAATAATAATAACAATAATAATAATAATAATAATTTAAATATCGATTATTTTAAATTTATTTCGAATGATTCAAAATTTCATCAAAACATCACCGCACGTGGAACTTTATCAAATAATTTATCAAAATCAATTTTGCGAAATGTCGAAAATAATTTTAACGAACTACGTAACGAAGTGGACAAATTCGATCATAATTTAAAATGCAATCTTAACAAATCGGAAATAATAGCGACAAAGAACATTATATCATACATCAACAGCGACGACTTCATACCAAACACTCCCTCTATTATTATTGCAGATGATGTCAAGGTTTTAGCATACACCAAGTGGAGAAAGGATATTGTTGCCATCCTCGCCAAACGCAAGTTCACTCTTGGTACTTCCAAATTAGCTCGTGTCGAATATTTGGTTAAGGTTGGAAGAGCTCTCGCTTGGGTACCACTACCCGGTAATACTCTAGCGACTAAGTTTAGCTCTGCTCATCCAGTTCCAGATCCTACAGACGGATGTGTCGGCACCCGTCTCTCGCGTAAGTCCTGATAAGGTTTTCTTATGCAAAGCCGCGTATAAGTTTTTAATCCTGTCAGGCTGCTGCCTCGAAGAAGAAGGGCAGTGTTGGAATCGTAGTTCCAAGATATCAGTCAACCGACTACTGCTAACCGATCAATGAACACAATGTATTTAAGCGCAAACAAGAACTCAATAAACATTATTAAATTCATTATACTTTAACATCATCTTTAAATACACAAACTATTTATTACTATAACACTACTATATTATTACACGATGTCGTTATTATCACGATTCAACGACGTCTCTAACATGAACACAACACTTTCAACACTTGGGATATCATGCCATGTAGAATCGTTCTACACTCTTCTCTCTAACATGAACACAACACTTTCAACACTTGGGATATCATGCCATGGAGAATCGTTCTACACTCTTCTCTCAAACAACAACAATACAACAATAACTAAACTTATTCTCTACGATCTCGATGATCAACATCTTCACTGGACTTCCAATATGTTGAAATCAAACAAACACATCGAGAAACTAAACATTGAATCGTATTTCGAAGATGATGATCGTGAATTACCAAACGAAACACTTCAAGAATTTATTTCTATTGTTGATTTAAAAAGAACACTTAGAATCACTATATCCGATAATAATGAGGATTTTCAAAATTTAAGAAATTTAATAAATAATAATTAGTATCGGAAAGAATAACATTAATAATTTTAATCTTTTATAAATTATTTTAAAAGAGATAAAACTATCAATTTAACGTAATTTTAAATGTGAAAGATTGATTCTTAAACCGTCAACAGCTCCAACTCCACGAATGATTATGTTTGGACCTTGATGTGCATCTGATGCCAGGTTTAGAGGTATGGCTATGCAAGAAACATTTGGGAAATTCTCCTGTACCCCAAAGAAGTCGAATGGAGTAACAGCAACAAGATTTTGGTAATATACTTGTTGATACTGGAGATCTATTAGACTTTTTCTCATTTTTTCAAGAGTACTCTGAAGTGTTTCAATAATCATTGGAATGAGACCAACCGGGTTCTCCAACAGTTTCTCAGTGTTTTGAATTTCTGTTTGTAACTTATTGATTTCATTGGGGTGGTTTGCTTGCTGGGTAGTAACTTGGTTGGCAAGATTGGTCAAGTTGGTCTGGCAATAGAGATAGACAGTATTTCCTTTTAGGTCCAACAAGATGGCAGACTGAACTCCACTGGTTATCCAATGACACATTCTTCTATGTTGGTAGATAAGTTTATTGTTGGTACCATTCATAAAAGAGCGGATTTCTATTACAAAGTCAGGGGGAATTGGAATATACTTTTGTTCTCTTATTGATATTGGTACCGTTTCCCTTTTTTCTTGTGACATAAAACCACCACGTGGCATGCTAATTAAAACTATTAAGATTCTATCTTTATACAAGCTTTGTAGAATATTCAAATACTTACAAAGTAAGAGTTACACCATTGACTTGGAATCTAAAATTGCATGAAGACCCAAGGACATCACCTTTTATTTTGTTATTATCTTTCCATTCTGATAGTTGACAAAGTAATTCGAGACTTTGTATATCAGGTGTACTAGCAAAGTCTTTAATCCACAATATACTTTCTCCTTCTGTTTCGAAATAATTTTGTTCGCTGTTGAACTCTACAATCTCTTCAAGTGGATCAGAAAAGAGTTTGTCAATGATGGAAAAAACAGGTGCAATATTGATAGGTGTTTCAACTGGAATCTTAATTTTTTGTACAAGAGGGTCGTATTCACCTATTGGTACTTGTGGGTTGAGTTTGAGTATTTTAGAGTATGTTAAACTATCTAATTTCCAAGGAAGATTTAAATATTCAAATGTTGGTTTTTTTTGTTCTCTTTGATTATCATTACTATTATTATTAAAATTCATATTACTGATAGAATGAAAGTTGATATAATTGTAAGTTTGAGTAAAATGAATAGAAAATGTAAACAAAAACTTTTGTTAAACAATTATTGTTGGTTACAAAAAATTAATTATCAGTCTGATTTATATAACTAATGCTTAATTTGGCTTAAAGATTTGCAAAGATCAAATAAAATCATTGAACTTTCAGTTAATAATTTAAATAATTAAAAAACCCCACCTTGATCATTTTAACCGAAAGATAAACTCTATCAAAAGGAACAAAAAAAGAGTTTATATAGATATTTTTCCTAATATGAGGAAATATACAAATAGTTATAATTTTAATTAAACTAGTAATTGTGATGATGGTATTGTAGTTTTTGGTGTGAATAATGAATTAGAGCTGTATTTAGTGGTTTGTGGTTCAACCATATGTTGAAATTCTTGGGATTCTATTACTTGAAATAAATGTGCTATTTGCTCATCTTTCTTTGTATTTCTTCTAGGTTAAAATTTCAAATTTTGAATTTTTATTTCAGTTAGCATTTGAAGGTACAATTTACTACACCTAAGCAAGTGATTTGTCTCTTTGAGAGCTTCCATCTTCCGATTACACAAAAAACATAAGGAAGAGATTTAATCGTCTTTATTTGAGTAATTGCTTTAATTTCTCATTATCTCAATTGGTGAATATATCTAGGTATTCGGAGGGAATAGCAGTCCAAACAAATGGATGAAGTTCTCAATTAAATCGAAATCAATTGAACATATTGGTAATATCGAAGGTATTGATGGTGATTGTCGTATATCTGCTTCTTACGATGGTCAAGATCATATCTATTTGGTTAATGGTAGCCAAATAAGTAATAGAATTGATCGATTCAACATCAAGACAATACAATTCGAAAGATATGATAAATTACCTGATGAATACGGTCAACAGGTTCAAAAAAGCAAAAATTTAAAAACAAGTTGTAAAATTTTATTTTCATCCATTTTTTTTAAACTTAGAATTGATCGATTCAACATCAAAATGTAACGTTATCTTTTTTAACTTAAATTTTAATTTTATTTCAAAAAGTGTAGTCTCAATGAAAGTTGTGTTTTTTTGATCATTATTTTTGTTATAGTACAGTTTATTTAATAATAAATAAATAGGAGGAAGGAAAATAGAATGGCTTTAGAGTGTTCAGAACATAACGAATCACATAAGTTTATTTGTTATCAATGTAACAGCTTGTTGTGTCCGAGATGTATAAAAAATCATTCTAAAGATCATCCTGATCATGATCAATGGGAACATATCGATGATATCAAACAATCATTAAATAAAGACGAGAATAATACTTCATTCATCAACTTACAACTTAAATCGATATGGGAATCATTAAAATCATCAACATCAAGATATCAATCATTATCAGCAACAGAGAATGAAATCAAACAATACTTTGAACAACTACATCAATATCTAATCATTGAAGAGCAAAAACTAAAGAGAGATATAATTAATGATAAAGATACAATCATAAATCAAATCGATAATAATATTAATCATTTGAAATATATTGTAAATATTATATAAAATAAATAATAGTAAAGATAATAATAGAAATGATAGTAATAGTAATGATAATCAGTCAACAGTGATAGAAGATACAACAACACAATATTCAATAACGACAACAATAATGAAATCTATTACATCAAGCTCATCATTACAATCATTCATCTTGGATAATAATCAGACATTGTTCAATGATAATCATGATCCATTCAATATTGATGAACTTAAAAATCAACATAATAATGATTCATCATTATTATTGGATATCATATACAAATACAACAATAAATTCAATAAAACTGATAATAATAATAATAATACATCATCAATACAATCATCATTATATGAATTATCAATCAAACAACCTGATTTTAATCAGTTGGATTCAATAATTAAACAATCAATCAAACTTGATAAAATTGAACCATCAGAGAACAATGAAATAAATACAACAACAACAAACAACGATGATAATAAACAATCATATATTTTCACAACACATCACTCTCAAGGAGCAACACTTATCAACACAACAAACAACAATTCAATCGAGCAAATCAAACTTGATTTTGATTTTAGGTATACACACCAATCGATTGTTTCAATTGGTGAATATATCTATATATTCGGTGGTACCAATCAAAACAAATGGATGAAGTTCTCAATTAAATCGAAATCAATTGAATATATTGGTAATATCGAAGGAATAGATGGTGATTATCATATATCAGTTTGTTACGATGGTAAAGATCATATCTATTTGGTTAATGGTACCATTAAGAATAGAATTGATCGATTCAACATCAAGACCATGCAATTCGAAAGATATCATCGATTACCTGATGAATACGGTCAACAGGTATCAACAATGATCTTCAAAGGTTCATTGTATTCAGTAACACACAACGGAAATAAGATGATTCAATTCGATTTGACCAATAAAACAATAGAAAATCATCAAATTGACATTACACCATACACAGCATGTCATGATAACAATGGAAATTTCTTCATAGTCAATGGCAGTAACAAGAGATTCATCAAATACAATGTTGAGACAAAACAAACAGTCAATCTCAAATTTACTCCCACCAAAAATCCATTTGGATATGCTTATTTGATGTATCATCGAGAATCATCAACATCAAGTTTTATCTATTCATTTGGTGGTGCATCATATGGAAACTACAAATATTCAATTGAAGACAACCAATCTGAACCGATCCTTGAAGATGATAAATTCGAAAGATGTTGGTGTGCAGCTACATCCATAAAATATTAAATTGGTTCTATTTGATTCGGAATCATCATTAGAAAGTTGATAAGAGAACCACCAAAAAAATACACTTTATTATTATTTCAAATATTTTAATAAATAATTTAAATTCTAGTTTTAATTCAAAGAAGCAAACAAAGAGTTATTCTATTTATTCAGATTTATCTCTAACAATATCCACCAAAATTAAAATTTTTTTTAAAAAAAAAAATTTCAATTTTAACGATTTTCAAAAAAAATAGCCATTTATTAATTTTGATAATAGAAATTATATATATTCAAAATATATTAAAAATGGAAATAAATCTAAATAATTTTTAATTCATATTAATATTTAAAGAGATTGTTGTATTTGTGTATATAGGAGCCATTTCAAACTTCAGGCAATCATATTTAATAAAATTTCTCTCACACTTTTAGTGTTTTTTTGATATTTTTTACTAACTTGAAAAAAAGCTTTTTATTGCTTTATTTAGTGACTTTTGTTAATAGTTTGTTTTTATTACCTTAGTGAATTAACCCTTTTAATCTAAATTACTTTCATTGATGTCTATTATAAATAATTCCAAGAATTTAATATATTTAAATTTTTTTTAAAAAACAACTTTTTAATATTGTTTAACAAAAATCAATATTATTTTTTAAACAATTTATTATTTTTAAGATGGATATATTAATATATTAGAAAATATATTCTACCTTTTATTTTATTAAATAAAATAATTAGATTTTTAGATAATAATTTAGATAGAATATGTATTTTTATTGTTTATTTGGAAGTTTTTAAAATTTAATTTAAAAGATAATTTTGATCAATATGATATTAGACCAACATTCAAGAAAATAATAATAGCAAATGGAGTTACAACAATCAATCAGAGTTTGATCAACAAAATCCATTTTATTAATCTTCAACTTTTAATTTATTCAATCTGATCAATAATAAGGTAAATTTTCAGAAAATTCATCTATTCCAACATCAAATTTAAGTATATCAAGTGGGATTACAATCCATATACAACGACAGCGGAGTGGTCGTGCACTGCCATACTGGTGAGAATGGAACAGGTGCCATTTGTGCCTTTAGAAAGGCATATCATCCGCAGGATCTGAGTAGGGCAGAGGCACAGGGAAGATAAGTCGCCAAGATCGGTAAGAAACCCTCGCCGCGTGCCTCCTACTTTGAGGACGTTAAGATGCAGATGATCGCCAAGAAGTGGGCCGACAAATACAATGAGTTCAAGCCACCCAAAAAGATTGACATTCTGCAGTCGTGCGTGCTAGAATTCGTGGATCGCACATCGAACGACGTCACCTCTTGTTGTTGTCATCACTCTTTTTTTTTGGAACTTAAATCCGAAGTTTCATTTTCGGAAAGAGGTGAACTGTGGATCTCCTCATGAGGAGGTGGTGTGAATACTTAGGGAAATACCATGAGACAAGTGTAGCTTCATATTTTATAAAAAAATTCAAAATAAAATAAAATTCTTGGTAGACAATGTAGTTTAATCATTTTATATATTATATTTTTATCAATTTTAAAAAGGAACTATAAAATCAATTCCACTTAAACATAATCCTGCATGACTGATTCTCATACAATGCTAAAAAGAATTCTCAACTTGGTTGTCTATTATTATTATTTGTTGTGTTATTATTGTTTTGTCTTTTGATACATTGCAAAACTATCGAATGTGAATGCTTGATTGACATTGGTGTTATTTGCTGGCTTGTTATTGTTGTTTGCACTGGCACCCTGTGCTTTGAGGTTAGAAGCATGTCCATAAAAGTTGTTATTGGAATTGGACTGTGTAAAAGAATTTAAATCGATATTGTAGTTTGGTTTCACTGGTGGTGTGGTAGTTGGTTGTAATGGAGTGGAACTACCAGCACTGTTCTTTAAATTCGGTTTGGTGCTTCCAGGTGTCGATGAAATTGGCTTTAGTGGTTGATCAAAAGCTGTGAAATTAGATTTGTTAGAACTGCTACTGTTATTGTTGTTGTTGTTGATGCTGTTGTTGTTAGATGAAATTGGTGATGGAGTACTTGGTGCACTGCTAGTAGTCTTTAAGAAACTATTGAATGAACCGTTCTGTTGTTGTTGTTGTTGTTGTGGAGTAGATGGAGTGGAAGTTGATTGGAACATACCATTTGGTTTGTTGTTGTTATTGTTATTGTTGATTGTAGGTGAAGGTGAAGGTGAAGAGGACCATGTGAAAGTGTTGTTGCTTGATTGTTGTTGTCCATTTTGCTGTGGTCTATTGTAGTTGTTATTACCACTGTTGTTCAAACTGACATTACTAAAGTTGGTATTGACTGTTTCAAATGAAATTTCATCCTGTTGCTTGGGTTTGGTGGAGTTTGAAGCAGCTGTTGGTTTTAGAGGGGTAGTGGCTGGACCGAATGGATCGAAATCAAATTCACTGTTTGTTGATGATGTCGATGATGATACAAACCCACTAAAAGTAGTGTTATTACTATTATGTTGATTGTTATTATTCAATCCATTTGACTGACCAAATGTGTTGTTATTATTAGATGTAAAGTTGTTATTATTGTTATTTCTCTGTTGTTGTTGTTGTTGTTGTTGTTGAATCGGTGGAGTTGAAGATGATGAAACAGACCAATCGAAATCATCTATTAATGACGATTGTTGTGGTTTGTTATGAGAGGAATTGGTTGATGAAGTCGGTGACGTTTGGAATTGCTGTGGAGTACCGTTACGTGAGGAATTGGTGCTGTTGCTGTTACCACTTTGATTTCCGTTGCTATCAGACCAATCCAATACATCAAAGAGATTCTGCTTACGAGCGGTAGTTGGAGTAGATGCTGGTGACGATCGGCTCGAAGTGGAGGCAGGCGATGAGACCGATGGAGTCGAGTTGTTCGAAGTGGTAGTAGCTCTAGATGATGGATCAGAGTTTGAAAGTGGACGACTTTGTTGTTGTTTCTGTGGAGATGCAAATGTTTGTAAACCTTGTCTTCTTCCACCACCGCTACCACCACCGCGAATCTCGTCAAGTCTCTGCATGACGTCAAAGATCGATGGACGTTGCTCGGGGTCAGATACCAAACAAAACTCGATCAAACTGTGGAATGCCTGTGAGTATCTAGAACCGGTTGGAATCTGGTAGCGTGCGTTCATGATTGCCAAGGCACCATCGAACGGATCGACATAGAATGCCATCTTGAAGAGCAAGCAACCCAGTGCCCAGATATCGACCTTCTCACTGATCACCTGACGCCGGTAGAGATCGACCATCTCCGGTGCACGATAGAACAGCGTAGTATAGGTATTGATATCGTCCTCCGCTCTATTCCTATCGGAATCGGCACCGGTATCATAAGTCTTAATGGTGGCAGATCCGAAATCACACAACTTATAGCAACAACTTGTTTCACAATACAAAATATTCTCAATCTTCAATAATTAAGATTAGTAAATTACTAACTAAAATTGTATATTGTACTATTATTATTATTATTATATTTACTTTTAAATCACGATGAGCAAATGGTGGTTGTTGAGAATGTAATTCAGCAACGGCATTACAAGTATCAGAGAAGATAGCAAGTATTTCACGTTCGGACAATCTCGATTGTTCACCACGATGATTCATAATATCCAAAACACTGCCACCAGAGCAAAACTCCAATAGCATTAGAACCTCTGTTTCTCTTTTCTCCCTATTCTCAACGATTTTATAATCTTCCAATTTTACAATATTTTTATGATTTTTCAATTGTTGCTAAATATATATGTTTTTGTTTTTGTTGTTAATAAATGTTTATGTTTGTTTTTATTTTCAATAATTAATTAATTTAATGATTATAAACTTACCATTATACCTATTTCACCAACGACTGTATCTAAACGATCTTTCTCTTGAATGAACATACGTTTCAATGCGTATTGTCGGTTGTAGTCATCGCGTACCAAGTAGACAAGACCGAATCCACCCTCTGCAATCTTAGAACGCTCCGAATACCGACGTCCGTGTATCTCATAGATATTACCAGAGACACCCAACATATTACCTGCACGCTCCGATATATATCTTTTTTTCTTTGAGAGATTCAAAGTGTTGATCTTTTCAGAGGGTGCCTCAAACATACTATTACCAATTTCAAATAGTTTATCCATGCTTTTTGTTTTTATATTTCTTCAACTATCTATCTATTATTATTTATTTTTTTTACTAAAATCTAATAATAATATCCAACTATATATATCTGATTTTAACTTGACTAACTACTCTACTTTCGTAATTACAAATAAATAAATACAATAAATAATAATAATTTAATATTATAATTTTAATATTACAAAAAAAATAAAATAAAATAAAATAAAAAAAAAACAATAAATAAATTAATAAATTATATTCAAATAAATTGATTAACAAAACAAAAAAAAAAAAAGGATAGATAGATAAAAAAAGAAGATATAAATATATATATAAATAAATTCAAAAAAAAATCAAAAAATGGTGTTTGGTAAGTGTGTGGAATCAGATTCTCAAAAAAAAATCGTTAATTTGATAAAAAAAGTGTGGTGTGTCAGTTTTTTTTATTATTTTTAATATTTTTGTCATTTTTTGAACAAAAAAAAACAGAACATTTGACCAAAATATTAAAAAAGGTTGACCAATTCTTTTTTTTCTTTTTTTATAAAAATATATATTAAAAAGTAAAGTAGAGAGAGAATTTAGTTTTATTACATCTTATATCTCCAAAGACCTTTTGGAGTATGAGAGATTAGGGGAGTGGTGTCATTATCTTCAGTTGAATCAATTTCAACCAACGTTGGATTATAATGATCATTGTTGTTGTTGTTGTTTACAACTTCACCTGCAGAAACTACTTCAATTTCTATTGGTGTTTGTTGTTGTTTTTGTTTATTTAGAACAATGATAATAGTATTAAATCTTTTCATACCTTCACAGGCAGTCATTTCAACTTTAAATCCCATTCCAATTTTACTATATTGACAGATGTATCCTGCTACCATTTTTTTTAACATTCGAACACACTGTGGTTTAAAAGAAAAGAAAAGAAATATAAGATAGCAGAGCAATTATTAGTTTAATTTGTTTTGATTATTTGTTGATAATGTTATGTTATTTTTATATTGATTGATCATACATAAACTCTATAGTATAAACCTATCATTGAGAAAAATGCAAACATCCAAATGAGAAACATAGTTATATTTAGAAGTGTCTGGAGATGGATTGCGATGGCAATTCCAAAAACAAAAATAGAGAACAAGAATAGGATTATTGAAGCTTTGCCGATTTTTTGTACTCTAATGGCATTGTCACCGGCCCACATTACAAGTCTGACTTCTTCAAGAAAATCTAGGTATTGTTTTTGTGTGATGAAACCTGACAGTTTACTTTCATCATATTTTCTATATTCATATTTTCGTGTTTCTAATCCAAATAATGAGAAACATGATGATTTTTCGATATGAATGTGAATTTCATTTGGTTTTTCACATTTAAATACATTCTTATCATTAAATTCATAATAGTTATCTTTTTTTTCTGGATTAAAATTATTTGCTATCATTATTTTTTTAATACTAATTTGAATTGAATTTAACTTTTGGTAAAAGTCTATTTATATTATTGTGTATAAAAAATTCTTGGTTTCTCAAAAATAAAAAAAAGGTGGGTTTTTAAATTTTGATCAGGCACACCCCAGGGAATAAAATGAGATTTCAAATCAACATAAAATTTTGCTTTCCGAAACTGTATCATATTTGTTTTTTGTGATGTGTTACAGGAGTGGGTTAAAGTTAAATTAAAACTATTTTAGGGTTTGAATGATGCCCAGGGAGTAAAATGAGATTTCAAATCAAAATAAACTTTGAGAAAATTACGATTACTTATAATTTTAGATAGGGTGGTTTGTTTTTTATTTTATTTAAAAAAATACTTTGAATGAATCAATTGATTGATTTTGTTAAAAATTAATTTTCAAACAAAAAATTGAAAAGTTTTTTTAACCAGGGTTTGGGTTGTCTAGTGACATTTCATTGATTGCTTTGTTACTTCCCCGTAACTGTGATTTTTATTATTTTTATAGTAACATCTGAGTCTGTATCCAGCTAACACTTGGAGAGTATTTGTACCTGGGGTGCAATAAAAGGTTAAAGAGTGCAATTATTAATAATATATATCTATATGATGAATATTTACCTATACCATCTGAAAGAAATGATAACAATTGTGATAAATTTTATTGTACTTTGGTGAGGAATATCTGGACTTTTCGTAATATATCTAGGTTCTTATATGTATTCGTATTATCTTCAATAAAAATTTAATACTTGAGAGTAATTTTAGATAGAGTGTGTTTGGAAACATTTACTTTATTTTAATATCCTCTAAAGACCTAGGTTTAGAGAATAGGGGGTATTCTCATTATCGTATTTGAGTCTTCAGTTGGATAATGATCATTGTTACCTATAAGTTCCCTTGAAGTAACTATTTCAATTTGTTTTAGTTGTTGTTACTCTATATTTATAGTAATGATTTTTACAACTTCACATATAGTCATTTCAATTTTAAATTCCATTCTAATTTCACAAAATTGAGAGTTGTAACATTATTTGTATAATCAAATAAAATAGAATCATTAGTTAACGACCTATGAATTATCAATTCCTTTTTTATAAATATATTTTAAAGAAATGAGAGAGTTTTATTTTAATATCTCCAAAGACCTTTTGGAGTATTAGAGATTAGGGGAGTGGTGTCAGTAATATTTATTGATTCTTCATTTGTTGGATTATTCTTAGATACATCTTCTCCTGGAGTAACTATTTCAATTTGTGTTGGATGTTCTGGTGATTGATTTAAGATAATGTTTATAGTATAATATCTCTTTTCACCCTCACATGTAGTCATTTCAAATTTAAATTCCACTCCAATTTTACCATATTGACAATTATATCCTTCTATCATTTTTTTCAACTTATTAATACTCTTAAAAGATTTTTTTTAAAATAAAAGATAGTTCTTATTAGTTAAAAAGATAATTTGTTTATTGTTAATTTAATTAAACTTACATAATAACTGTAGTATAGTCCTATCACAGAGAAAAATACAAATATATCCATCAATGCGAGAGTTATATAAAGCAATATCAATTGATCCAGAGCAAAGAAAATTCCAAAAACAAATAAAGTGATTATGAATAAAATGATGGAAATTTTGGAGATTTTCATTATTCTATTGGCATTTTTACCCGCCCACTTTACCACCCTGACTTCTTCCAGAAAATCTTGGTATTGTTTTTGTGTCATGAAACCTGACAATTTACTTTCATCATATTTTCTATATTCATATTTTCTAGGTTCTAATCCAAATAATGAGAAACATGATGATTTTTCTAAATGAAGATGTATTTCATTTGGTTTTTCGCATATATATACACTCTTATCATTAAATTCATAATAATTATCTTTATTTTCTGGATTGAACATATTTGTTTTCATTTTTTTTTTAATACTAAATTGAATTATGTTTAAAAAGTTGATCAATCTATTTATAACATACAAACACCAACACATAATTTAGAAAAAAAAAATTTACTTGGTTTTTTAAAAAAAAAATAGTTGTCAAAAGTAAGATATTTTTGTTAGTTTTTTTTTGGTATCTTATTTTAATTTCAAATTGAATTAATGTCAATTCCCAGGATGTCAAAATTTCAAATGCCCAGGGGATAAAAATATTCACCCTTTTTAAATTATGGTCTAAAATGTCAAATGTGATTGTTAATTTAGGAGTGTGGGGTGAATTTATTTATTTTATAATGCAATGAATTCAATAATTGATCGTGTTAAAATCAATTATTGTCATCTAAAACCGAAAACATATTTTGACCAGGATTGGGATTATCCACTGCCATTTCATTGCTTTCATCACTGTCCTCCTCCATATCTTCGTTACTATCACCATCCAGATATTCATCTACATCTTCAACTTCAACTTCATCTTCATCGTCGTCATCACCGTCGTCGTTAGCTCCTGCTCCACCTGCTTCATCATTTTCAAAAAGGAAATCTTCATTGAAATCATGATCGGGTTCCTCTGTGCCAACAAACAGGAACTGATAGAACGATGAACTGAGGTAGACGCCGTTATCACCGTTTAGTGCAGGTGTAAAGTATTCCAAATCATCGATGCCCTCCAATACCTGTGGCCAATCACTTGAATTGTAACCATCGTAGTTGTTATCGTGATTGTTGGCAACCTTTTTGTTAAAGATTTCTTTGGTGATGGTTGGTCCGTAGGGCAGACCACCAAGTTTGTTTCTTTCCAAGAGAGACTTGAATACCTCGGGATTGTTTCTCGCTTTGAAGAGTAGTTCGATACCGTTCGATCGTTTCTTTTCGTTGTTCATCATTTTGACACTCTCTGCGAGCTTATCGTTTGGCAGGTAGGCAATGTTGAATCCACGTTCCAAGTACTTGAGAAGACGACGTTGGTAGATCTGGTCACCACGAATCACAAATCCGTAGGGTGACGCGAAATTGGTGCGATAGTTGAATGCTTCGATACCACGTTGTGTTGTCCAGACATTGGTTCCGTCAAAGGCGAAACAAGATGCTTCAATATCGACACCCAACAAAACATCTTGAATATTATTGAAAAGAGTACAGTTGAATTGGATGTGACGATAAGGATAGTGACGACAGAATGTAATTTCATTGTCACTATAGGTAATACTGTGACCGGTGTAGTTTGCATTGATGTGCTCGACTATCTTGACAATTCTGGCAGTAATGTCAGTCTCTGACAATCCATAGAAACAAACATCGATATCCGATGATTCGAATCCAGCGGTTTCACCCGAGAGTGAACTCGTCATGATTCCACCAATGATAACCATATTGCTCATATCTAAACTCTCAAAGAATCCATCGGTATTCTTCTTAAGGTTATCGAGGAAAGTCTTTTTGTCTTGGAGAACGAGTGGATTTGGTGAAACCTTTTGAGAGAACAACAAGTTTGCTTCTGGAAGTTGTTTTGGTTTGAAGAGATCACGATTCTCATAGACGTTGATCAAGAGATTGGCGTCATAAGGTGGTCTAATTAAACTTTGTGGAACATCACCAATCATACTTCTGTAGAACCAACGATGTCTATTAAACACTGATTCAATAAACGGTTGGAATGGGAACAACTCTTCCAACGACTCCTCGGAGTGACTACTCTTAAGCTTGCCAAGTAAGAACATAGCGATTTCACCACCAACTGGTTTCTGATTTTGGAAACAATAGATTAAGAAATCTCTTAGAGTATCCAAAGTAAGATGATTTATCTTTTCCATGAAATCTGTTTTATTACTAAAATTAGAGAGATATGTTGTTAATAAAAGTAACTTTTTTCAAATATGATCTATAAACACATACATTAAAAACATTTCAGATAATACAGAGAAACCAATTTGTTTCAATGTTGGAATACGATATCTCTTCTCGGTGATCGCTTCGAAATGACCAAAGAATTCATTGTTTTCACTTGGTGGGAATATATCGTTTGGTTTATAGTCTTTGTTGGTCAACTCTTTGTAGAGACTTTTGAACTTTTCATTGGCATCTGCTTCTTCATTACATTTAAAGTATTGTTCCTCTATTCTAAGTTCTTTGCCATCTTTAAGATTGACAGTTAGATAGTTAGTTAGTTAATTATCGTTCTTACTATTATCAATCTAAAAACTAAAACTATCATATCTAATCTTATCTTACAAATATATCTTTTAGTTCTGACTTGCAAGTGTCTGGTCATATCGATGATGTACATCTCCAAATCGTTGTTCTTTAGATATCTGGAAAGATTTACAATCAATTGACCAGTGATATGGCTATTCTTTCCAGGAATAATTAAATTCTTTTAAAAATGATTATGTTAGTTGTTTGTTTTGTTTTTTGACGAAAGTGTAAGACTTACAGAATGAATTAAATATTTTCTTAATGCTTTGAATATGAATCCATTTCTATCCATATCCATATATTCAGCAAAGTCGAAACTACTATAGAGATATCTCGAAGACATTATACTACCGATGGTCTGTAGCGCTTCACGAGTAAAGTTGTTGACGATCAACGCTGGAATATCGTGTTGGTATGGATCTTCAATTTGTTTGTTGCACAGCAGTAGTGCCAGTGACTTTGGATGAAGACGAATCTGATCGATTTGGAACTCGGTGAAGTTCGCTTCACGGAGCAGTGGTAGCAGCTCGTCGAAAAGCTTCTGATGTGCATACGAGTAGGATGAACGAGTCGGTTTGAATTTTCCGATGAGCTGGTTGATCGAGTCGACCACCTGTTCGATAGTGCGTCGTTGCTCTGGCGAGACCTCGCCAAATTCAATGACGAGATCACCTTCGAAACATCGATTGACAAACAACGATTCATCGAGCGAAGTCATTGTCATGTGACCGTCGATGCCATCGAGAATCAACTCTTGCCATTTCGACTTTGGTTTAGTGGTTGGTGTTGACATGTCGTTATTTGTATAAATAATTTCGATTTATACAATATAATTGTAAATAATATGATACATATCAGATATAAAAAAAAAAAAAAAAACAAATCATATCAAATCTGCAAAAAATTACAAAAAAAATCATTTTCTTCGAATTCTGTGTTTTTTCCATTTTTGATGGCTGACGATCAATCAAATAAAAATTATTTAAATATTTTGCTAGCAATAATACTAAAAACGTTTTATTATTTATTTTCAAATAAAACTATTTTTTTATTAGCAACTTTGGGATCTTAGAAGAAAGGTAGGTTGAGTCATTTATAAGTAATAATTAGTTCAAATGTTCATCTTATTATTTACATAATTAAATACATAGTGATTAAAGATAACAACTTCTTCTTATTACTTTATCAATCGGCAAACTAATGATTCGATTAATCAATGTTAGTTTCTTGTTTTAGACCACAGATGTATCATCATTGGGTGACGACTCTTCAATAGTTATTAATTATTTAACTTGGTATATCCAAAGTCTATCCTGATTTTGTAAGTATTTATTTCCAACTTTAATGACTTATCTCAGGTCTTTGAGAATACACATATATCATGGAGATTATTATTTTAACTCTCTCCAAAAAAAAAGTTCTATTGATATTTAGGAAATTTTAATTTGAAAATCTTCCAATATCTAGATTTGAAATAAAAAACTTATTAATGATCTAAAATAGTATCCTGATTTATGAATTCTATTTATTAAAGTATTTGGCTTTCATATTTGTTCAAACCAATTATTTATATTTTTTTATTAAAAAAAAAAAAAATGAAATTAACATTTAATATTTCAATTCTTATAGTATTATTATCCATTTTAAATGTAATTTGAAAATATAGATATTTTTTAATAAGTATCATTTTATTAATATATTAAATAAAAACTCCAGGTGGTACACTCAGCTGAATTAAATATTGGACAATATATTATGGTTGCCAAAAATGAGCAATTTATTTCTATTAACACCACTGATGGCACTATAATAAAGAATGTCAATATGGCAGCACCATTCTTGTTCTTTCATGGATTTTTATCTGGAAATTCAGAGGATAATACTATGTTATTGTTAGTTACCGATTTTGATCTTGGTCAGGATTTAGTAGTGGAGTATTCCATCAATGTAAGTAGAACACCTATTTTTCATTTAAAAATTTTTAATAGTATTAATAAAAGAATAATTTAGAATAATACTTTTACAGAGGTTATGGGTTTGAATTATACTTTTACAGGTACACAAAATCCTCAATACTTTGCCTATGATCCAGTTTATCAATTAGCTGCTATTCCAGACTTGAATTTAATGGTTAGTCATCCAAATCTTACTGTTTTCATATGGGACTTTAAAAATCAAGAATTGTAAGTTTTTTAACTGATTGATACTGTGGATAAATAGTTACTAATAAAATTATATAGTTTATCGATTTCACTTCCAACTGGACCATTGAAACAACGTTCGAAATACCCAGTCGGTTCATATGATCCAACGACAGGTGACTACCATATTATCTATGAACCGATTACATCATTGGGTACCTATTACATAGTTTTCAACCTGTGGAGTAAATCCATTGTCCAGGAGCCAATTTTCTTTAATGGTTTCGTTATGAAAACTCCACAAATCGTTTACTTTGACAATCAAGTATTCTTTATTGATTTGTGTCAAAAATGTAACTATACGATTTACAATGTATCGATTGCAACTGCAACCACACAAATCATCTATACAGTACCAAATCGTTTCCCAGCATATATTTTCTCAAGTACTCTTGGTGTAAAAGGAAGCACAATTGTTTTGTTTTCTTCTCTTAATGGTGAAGAGTATACAACAACTGTTATTGATCTTGCTACCCAAGATGTTCATATATCACCAGCTGTCAAAATGATTCTTCCAATCAGATTTGAATGGATAAGTGCTGGATTTTAATATTTTTCAATAAACTCTAAATCTTTTTTTATTATTATTAATAATTTCAATAATTTCCATTCAATTAGGACAAAGGTTGCATTACACTTGTTTCATTGTTATGAGTTTATTTGATTTGTAGTGTAGATTTTATAGTTACCAGCACCCAATCCTAATAATGGTGGTGAGGAATTAACTGATCCATCTGGAGGAAGAGGATCACCTCTCATATCAGGATAGTTCGATACAACCAGTCGCTTTAGATATTTATATCTGAATGGAGAGTCAGGGAAATTTCTTGGGTCAAAAGATGATAGCACCACAATAGATGTGCCGTCATCGATTTGCATCGTCAATTTACAACCAATCTGTGGTTTGATATAGGTTGTTATACCATTGGCATTGCTAAATGAGTAATCACCACTTTGATACGATACATATTTATCAGTTGCATTTAAATAGATGAAAGCTCCATTACATGATGCATCTATTTAAGTGTAGAATTAATATTAATATTATTAAAATAGAATTTTGGTGTTATAGTTAATATGTATTTTACTTACACCTAACAATGAATTGTAAATCTTCTTTTGCAAACGGTTGAACTTGGGAGTAAGAACCAGAGTTGACACCTACATTCCAATTGGAGTTTAGTTGTCTTGGAATTGAACGGCAATAACAAAACCATGAACAACTGAATGAAGTGTAAGCGAATGGTGGTATAACATTCGTATTAATTGGATAGGTTTTAGATCCACTTGTTCCATTCCATATTTGTGCTCCCATACATTTAGATGCTGAAATAAAAAGTGTTAACATATTATAATTGTTTTGTTTTTTTTTTGTTAATGATTAATTAATAACTTACAAAGATATGTAAATTGATAAATAAAAGGTAGAGAATTTCCAAATCTGAAATCAATGAAACCTTGTTCCGACGGTGGATATTGGAAGGATGATAAACATGCTATCTTGGTGTCACTTATGAATGAAAGAAGTTGACAGAAGTAACCATCTACCAGAATGGTTGAGTTGCCTGCCATTCCTGCAGGTGGGAAGTTGTATCCGTTTATCACCAATTCGTTGGCTGGTAGATGTGATGGATGTTTGGAGAAACCAGTTACGGTTGGTGGTGCCCGTTTCATATTGTAATACTGATACATCGGTGTTGGCGTGTAAGATATTGTTATTGTACATTGATTGATACCACTGAGTACGGGACACACTAGTTTCTGACCGGAAAGTTGACAATTTGTTATAAGAGAGCAAATTCTAATCTGTGGAATTCTGAAAGACCAATTGTTAATAAAAAAGGTTCCACCCATTGTCGGAACAACCAAATTATTCTCCAGTAGAAAATCTGAAAAGATATCGATTTTAGAGATTACAGGAGGTGGATAAACTGTTCGGGTAGCCTGATATAAAACCGGTGTTGGAATATAAATAGCAACGGACATATCGCTGTTGACTGTGAACGTTTTGATTTTTCCATCCCAGCTGACTGGCAGATTTCTGAGGTAGATTTGGTCGAATGTGCCAACCGGTAGAGTTAGCGTTGAACCTGTCGTTACCCTATCCAAACTATCGTAAAACGTTTGAGATGGAGCACCTGGAACATATTGGAAGAATGGACAATTGTATTGGAATACCAATGCATCGTTTGAACTTGTCACTGTATGAATGAAATTGTTAACGACCGGAAGAACATTTGGAACTTGGCCAGTGTTGAATGAAATGATATTTGTCATTGTTACATCTACAATATAATTGGCAGCACCACTATAAGCTGAATAAGCGAGCGATCCATCCTTTAGAGTATGTGTCAGAGTCACTATGGTGTTTGGTAACTGAAGGTTTGCCGGTTCATTCAATATATTATCGAGATTACTATCAACGTATAATACCAATTGAATCTTGTATTTATAACGAATTCTGACTTGATCGGATGTCGGATATTCCACTGTACAATTGTCAAATCTAGCATCTAATGGTTTCATTGTACACGATTGATTGGATGCACTGTTACACCAGCCATAACTAGACAGACTAAATGTTCCATATTGGAGAGTAAGTTTATTTTCGGCACCTGACAGAATGATACCATTACATCCTTTCCAATTGAATTTCAAAAGACCGACATCAATCAATTTTGTTGCAGTACCAACTTTAAAGTAGATGGTAGTAGGTAAAAAGTGAGTTGAAATCGTATTGATTGTCAATGAATAACTACCACTGACAATACTGGGTAGATAATAATTTCCATTTGCATCGGATGTTGTAACAGTACTACCGTTTATCTTTATAACAACACCAGAAATTCCAATTTCACCAATATCTTTAATATTATTTCCATTTAAATCTTCATAAACTGTACCTTGAACATTTATAGCTTTTTTAGAAAGAAAAATATTCAAGTTAATAAAAATTAGTTTAAAAATATATTTCAGAAAAGTAAATAATTACGCTCATATGAATATTTATATTCTGGATATGGAAAATATTTCTTTAAATACATAGATGTCATTGAAATTTGAACAGCTCCAGAACCTGGTGGAATATTACAAACTATTTTAGAACTATCTGATAATTTTACTCCACAAGATAATTGATTTGCTAAATATGAATATTTTGAATAAAGTTAGTTATTTAAATTAATTATGTTGGTATTCATTTTCTACTTACTAAATAAAGGTGAACCAAAATAAAATAATGGAGTATTTAAATATGGACTAAAGAATTCAACAGATTGTCCAGCTTGATTAAGCGAGATCAGAGAACTGAACATTGAAAGATATGCTACTTCAATGAGTACATTGGAGACTGGAGTGATTGGTATCTTAGTGTTTGAAGTGGTTTGTAATACAACGGAATCAATACTCTCGGATGAATAGAATGTAATTCCAATAGAATTTGTAAAACCATTCAATGATGTAATACTGGTGTTATTCCAACCCATCTTCGTTAGAGTATTTACATCGTATTTACCAACCGGTAGTGTAAGCATTGTTCCAGTAGGGCTGTATAGTATGACTGGTCTAATCGATGAATACACCCAGTTGAAGAGTCCGAAAGAATCAGAGAATGATTGAGTAACATTGTAAGTCTTGGCATTAACTATCGTATAGAGATTGGGTTGTACTATTTCCAAATAGATATCAAGCAGACCTTGTTTAACAAACAATGAATAGCTACCGGTTTCCAAACCAACATTATAGGTGATACCATCAGTTGACGAAGTGTAATAAAGAAAAACACTGAATGGCGGTGGTGACATTTCAAATCCTTCTTTTTGACCATTCAAATTACTATCCATATAAAATGAAAAACTAACTTGATAACCAATTTCCATAAGTGAAATATCATTATCTATTGTTAAAATACAGTTAGTTGGTGACTAAGAATTATTGAAAATAAATAACATGTTAATAATGATATAATAAAGATTGTGGAATTCAACTATTTTTATACTACTTACATAAATATATGATAAAGGATATAAACAATTTTGAGAATTATAACAAATTCCATAGTTTAGTAAATTAACTTGTCCGTATTGAAGGGTAACCGTTGTAGTTTGGTCGTTTGTCAAATAATATCCAACACAACCTTTTCCACTTAATATCCAAACTGGAATGTCAATATGATTGGTTAGAGAAACAATTTCTAACAAATAGTTGTTTAGAGGTGTTATATATTGGGAATTGGGTTGAATATTTATACTATAAATATCCTCTGGTATATTTACTGTAAGGGAACCAGTGATTATCTGATAAACGAATTGACGTGAAGGATTGGTTGTGGATGTCAAAGTAACAGCACCAGAAACACCCATTTCATTCGATTGATGAATATTATCTAAATTGGAATCTTGAAAAAGAGTAATAATCAAATTCGAATAGACCACTGTAGATAGAGAATTTGATGGTCTTTCACCAATTACAACTTGAACCGATTGATATCCGTTTTGAATTGGATTGACATTCGTAATGACAATGGTTGTTTCATTAACGAATGTATTGTAATAGTTGGTCTTCTGGTTTTGGTAATTGGTGAATTGTATCCAGCAGGTTGCATCTTGTGTTACTGTCGATGGAATGAAATTGGTACCACCGATGGTTATGCTATTATCGCTTGGTTTGTATTGGTATGAATGTATAGTCGGAGCTTGATATGCAAATATCGTGGTCGTGTTAACATTGTCACCAGAGACAATAGTTAAATCAAGTGAATATTGGAATCCTTCAGGTACTGGACATTCCATAAACACATTGAAAGAGTAACAATCGATGGATATTGAATCCAATTTGGTCGAGTTGATATCATCGAAAGAACTACCGAATCCACTACCTCGGAATTGCATTAAACCACCGGTGGTTGGAATGAGCGCTGAATTTGAGCCAATCGATGGTGCAGAATAACTAAAATAGCTGCTGGATACTGTTGGAACGATATTATTTGAGACTTGTACCGATACATATTGTTTAGATGAACCTGCACCAAATGGAATGCTACAGCTAATGGAAGTATCAGAGATACTGACAATTGGACATGATGATGTTCCAATCGATACTGAAACCAATGATGAATTCTGTCCGAAACCTGAACCTTGAACAGATAACAAACCAAAAGGTGTTCCAATACTTGGTGAAAAAGTTGAGATTGTCGGTGGTTGATATGAGAACCTTAATGATTGAATTCCATTAATAGAATTAATCTTATTTCCATTCATATAAACTGATAAAAAGCTATGATTAAATTCAATTAATTAGTAAATGGAATTATATATTATAATGATCAATAAATTAAATAATATTTACAAGTTTGTTCCTGTTCCGGCTGGAATACTACAAATAATAATTGTATGATCAACTTTAATGATTGTTATGTTTTGCTGAACATCATCAATGTTTACAATTATATTTGAAATAAGATTTCCAAAGTTTTCTCCATATATTGTTATATTACTTCCAGTGGTTGGAATTAAATTTGGACTTATTGATTCAATTATTGGTTCTATAGAATTAAGAAATATGAAATTAGTTAATTAGATAAGTTAAACAAAACATATTTTAAACTTACCAAAATAAGAAAAAATGAATGGATAACTTTGACAATCATAATTATCTGTTGTTGGATCATAAAGTTGAATGGAAAGGTCTACTCCTGATGATGGTGGAACTACACATTTAATAAATGTTGAATTGATATAGATTGTTTGTAAACATTGATAGTCTCCAATGGATGCCTCTATTCCATGAGAAAAATGATAACCAACTATATCTATTGAATAGTTGCCACTTGTTGATCCATTGGTTTGAGAGATATAATTGATAATAGGTCCGGTTACATTACACATTTGGTCAATGAATTGATACAGATCATCGGAACGATAGTTTACCAATTGAACGTCACAAATTCGGTTTCTAAATGTTGCGTATAAAATACCGCTGTATTGCTCGGATAGTCCTGGAATTATCTTTGGCGAGTAATAAACTTGTAAATCTGAATCTGAATTGGAGTCATTTCCATTTAGCAGTTCACTTGAATCCACCAGTGACTCTATCAAATCGGTTAGAGTTACCAGAGTGAGTGGATCACATACCTTTCTTGTAGAATTGGTGAGGTAACATAGTCTGATTTTATCGGTCGGTTGATCTTGGAAAATGATATCGAAATACAACAACAGATTGTTGGATGACAAAGAATTCAATGGAATCTCCAAAAGTACTTGAATTGCCTGACTGGAGTTAGTGTATGGAGTTGGTGTAAACCATTGTTGTATTGCATTGGTAACATTATTAACTTGTTGTTGATTGAGACTATAGATTTGGTAACTCGTAAAATATCCAGGTGTAACAAGTAAATCTATTAAATTGTCATAGGAATAGGTATTGACAATTGGTGTTGAGGTTGTTGTAGTTGTTAATCTTCGTTTGTTTTGTACCATTAAATCGAAAAACATTTCACCATTGTAATACAAGATGTTTTGATTGACTGGAACTTGAAGGGTTGGATCGAAACTAGCATAAAGTGTTTGAATGGTCTGTGCATATTCAACTTTATCCAAAATGGACTGCCACTTTATCATATTATTAGAGTTCATATCACTAAAGAATGCTGAGGTGAAAGGATCCTGAGGACATAGTTTCTCATCATTATTACTATCGATCCAATCCCAAACAGTGGCAGCATACCAGAATGCTGATGGTGGCGGATTATTGGCTGGCATACCCTCCAAATCATAAGCAATAATATTATTATTATTCTCTGGATTTGAAACAAAACATTGATCTACAAATGATGATTGAACACCATACATTTCCTAAAATTAGTTAATTTAGTTATTAGTTGCTAGTTATTATTTAGTTGTTAATTATAAATTCATCTTACGTTGATAATAGTTTTAGATATTGCCCATGAAATTCCTTGGATGACAGCATCATCGACTTGAGGTAATGGCGATAATCCGAATGACCGATCAACAATAAACTCTTTGATTAGATACCAAGTGATTACAAATGCAACTTCATCTTTACAGTTGATGTTGTGAATGTAGAGTTGACCATTTTGGAGTGTTGTGAGTGTGTTTGGCTGTGCTGGAACCAGTTGAATAGAAACAATATCGGGTAGTAGATATTTTGTTTTGACATACTCTAAGTAATGACCAATGAATGCCATAGGATTGTTAGCAGGTGTAGTATACTGTAGGTAATTACTAAACATTAGAATATATTGGAATCCATAGTTGAATGGATATGGATTGGTGGCGAGTGTAGTTTCTACTCTTTGGGCATTCTCACGGTTACATGGAGCAACAACCTGGTCACAACTATAAACATTGTAACTGTTGTCTTCCAATGCATACAGCTGTTTAACACTGATTGGATTATCAGTCATTATATTATGTGACCAAGTTTGATCCCATTCCATATGTAAGGACATGGCACGACGATAGATACCCATCTCTACTTGAAAGTGTGATTGCGTGTCTGCCACTCCATAGGTTCGTGGATAGGTTGAAACAGTCTGATAGTTTTGTCCTTTGTCAATGGAGAATACTTGTTGGATTTCAAAGAGCAGACCGGCAGGCACCGGTGTTGCATCGCCAGAGAGAATCTTCATGTGCATTGTTGCCCATGTCATCCAAGGAGGGAAATAGTAACTTCCTTTCGATTGCACTGCAAAAGTATTTGCAGCCGAATCGATAGGTATCACATTTGAATACCGTGCAACTCTGTTCGAGAAGAAGTTAACGAGATTCGGATGATTTAGACAAGTGTAACCTCCTCCACGTTCACCTTGGTGATTATGTCGGTTGAGATCACCCGAACAAAAGATATTATCATAGCGATCCGGTGAGTAAGGTTGAGCGTACATGTTATATACCAACTTGGAATGATCGGAATCAGCACGATTCGTAAGATCTTCAACGTTCTCTGCAAGATCTACGTCATGCAGAGTATACTCAACATTCGCCATTATCTTTTGATATTCCAACGTCTGATATTGTCTTCTCGTTCCACCTAAATCCAAAGTCTGAATGAAAAACGGTCGTTTTGTTGCTGCATTTTGATTGAACTTCTCTACCATCCGCTCCGAGAGATCTATACCGTTGGTGATAAACGTCGGATTGGTATTTGGAATCATGAAAGCAACTGCATTCGCCGACATCACTGGAACATTCGATTCCTTATATTCATTTGTAGTTTTCGAAAACATATCCAACTTTGTAGCTCCTTTCGTATAGAATTCAGACCACCACCAACAATATTGATATAGATTACCTTTTGCTTTTATTTGATTATCACAATTCTATAAAGAATTTTATAAGTCGTCAAAAGAAATACTATTATTATCACTACTGATTATTACTTACTTTCAAAATTTGTAATGTTATAGAATTATCGGTTGTTAATAGATCATCCAATTTCTGAAAGGTACCTTTCACTGCATTGTTTACGACTTGATAGATCATTGGATAGTTCTGTGCAATGAATGCAGAGATATAGTTGATTCCGGTGAAGATTGGTGTGTTTGGATCGAATGGACCGAATGTATAGCAAAAGAAATGTTGATTGAGTGTAGCATCACCCAACCAGAATTGTGACCGGATATCGTAGTATTCGTAGGGCGGATTACCAGGATTACCGTATTTAGTTGGTGGATTCAATCCGTTGTAGGTGAACGCTGGCCAATACGGTTGAGAATGAGTGATGTGAATGCCAGAACCAGTGACATGATCGTAGATAACAATACCTTTGGTATGACCGAAATCGGAGCCTCGTGAGAATATCTTGTGGCCGGCAAGCGGATCGTCCGAGACCAGCACTTTGACACCGTCGTTCGGTCTACGCATACCGTTTTGATCGTTATAGAAGATGTATGAATAACCGTAGCGAATCTGGTCGAATGTCGCTGCCAGTGGAGAGAGTTCAGCGTTGGTATCTGTCAATCCTTTGTAACGAGCAACACTACGGTCATAGAGATTATCAACATAGAGATAGTTGTCTTTCAAATTATCGGGGGTTTTCGAACTGAATTTATATTTGAAGGTGAACCACCAATCGACAGGAGGATTGGTTGCCAACCGGTTGTTCCTACCTAGACATGACAAACCGTAGAATGACAATGTGATACCATTCGATAGTAAACCCTCACCATACGATACTGTTACAGTAAACTCTGTTTCATAGGCAGATTTGACGTCACAGGTAATGGTTCCACCAACAACCAAGACATTTTCACATTCATATCGGATTGCATTCTGTGTTATTGGATCAACACCATCAAGGTAGATAGTCGGTGATACTCCATTGATAAAGTTTGAACCTCTAATTGTTATCGGTGTAACGATGGCACTTGCCGAATTAATATTGATGAACGACGGTGTGAAACGAGCTAATCTTGGCGATAGAAAGAATATTATCGGTTCGAAATCGACATAGGTAATAGGTATTTTTGTATCGGGAATATTGACACCAACCCATTTCATCATAACATCATATTGACCTGCTGCATTGGCAGGTATGGTAACTTGTAACTTTACATAGGCAACCGTTCCAATCATAATATTACTTGATACCACTGGTAACATATTAACTGGTAGCACACCTGAGAAATAGAATTGTGGTACTTGATTGACACCTCTTGTATAAACAGACATCGATCCACCTGTATTTATAAATATTCTATTTGCAGTGATAGATGGATCTTTGATAATAGCGACGCGATTAATAACAAAGTTAGTTGATAATATTATCTTATTGTTACTTACGATAATCAACATTCAATTGATAGATATCAGCTGGTGCCGGATAGAATGGTAGATTAACAGTGACTTGGTAAACATTTGGAATTGATTCATCAATTTGACAAGTGAATGAGGTATCTGTTTGAACACCAACCAAATAACAATTCTTACCGTTCATAACAACACCAGGTAATATACCAACACCCATATTGAAACCTAATCCATCGATTTTCAAAGTTGGTTGGTTAACAAAATCAACAACCGTTATACTTGTTACAGTTGGTTCTATTTAAAGAAAAAAGGGTATTATTAATGATAATTGTTGTTGATAGCTATAATAATAATAATTCATAATTATTACTTACGAATTACATTGATCGCAAATACTTTTGGTGGTGAAAATAGATTCAATGTATTTCCTTGAAATATATAGGTATAGGCACCGATCGGTAGGTTATTTGGAATGGTTAACAATAGTTTTTGAGCATCGTTTGGATCGGCTTGTGGCGCAATAGGAAATTGATTGAAACCATTGGAAAATAAAATTGTTTCTATACCTTTTACCACCTCAGCTGTGAAACTAACCGTTGTAGATGGAACCAATTGTAATGGAAATGTTTTTATAACCGGTTCTATATACAATCATATTTAGATGTTAAACAATTGTTTATATTTATGAAATGAAATGAAATTTTGTTTACCTTGAATATAAGAAGCTGTTTGTGCACCTAATTTGATATCGTAGGTACCAACGAAACTCATTGGGCATTCCGCAATCAACTTGTGAATGACACCGTGTCTCGAAATAAAGAGTTGTGAACAAACGATCGGATTGACAAAACCATTGATGGTAATGGAAACTAAGAGACTTCCTGGTATATTGTTATAGATACCGATATCCAGCTCGGACTCTACGAAAAACCATTGACTACCAGGAATTGGATTGACCTTTTGTGCTGTGGCAACTTTAAATGTTAACTTTGCATCAACAGCAACAAAAAAACCTGTAATTAAAACAAACAACAATATTATTATTGTTGTTGTTGGTCTTAAAGTAATCATAATACTCTTTTATTATTATCACAACTATTTTCTTATTCTTTATTTTTTTAATTGGTTAATTGAATAATTGTTTATTAATAAATGATTTATTGATTGATAGATTGATTTGTTTGATTCTCTTGCCTATCGACTAATAATTTCATAGATACATTTCAAGTGAAGCGACTGACTTGCACCAATCAAACGAAAAGGTACTCGCTTCACATATCTGCTGAGGTTTTATTATTGGGCTAGTTGAAAGGCATGTTATTAAAGTGATTAGATCTACATTTATCATCTTTTAGGTTGAACAAAAAAAAGAAGATCTGTTTTTTTTTAAAAAATAAAAAATCGTTTGAACATTTTCTTTTCTTTGAATTAAAACATAAACAAACAAATAAATAATTAAATAATTAAATAAAAAAAGTGTGTTTTTGAAAAACAAAAAAAAATTATCTATATTTATTTTAATTATTTTAATTGATCTTTTAAAAGATAATTTAATCAGTCATCACACAAATGGAGAGTTATGTCATAAAACAACCATTTTAAAATGGGGAAAGTTGTTGTGTGCTGATTAAAATAAAACTTAAAACAGTCAGTGTTAGTGTACCACACCCAATGCAAAGTTGTTTTATTCTTTTTCACATTATTCTTTTTCACTTTATTATTATTTTTATAATTATAGCAATACCTACGAGAGATATATATTTATATATATAAAAACAACCAATTTTCAAAGATGTTTGCAATTGCAGCGGGTGCAGCATTCCTATATGCAGCCTATATGTTCATTAGAAACATATGGGTTACCAAAGAAGATTTAAAGGATGACGATAGTGTAGATCGATTACATCGGAAACTAGACGACGAAATTGCGAAATTGAAACAAAGAAAACAATACAAGTTAATTGATCAAACTGTAGCTGATACTTGTCAACAGATATTCGATTTAAAGTAATATTTTTAACTTGTATTTATATAGCTTTTATAGTTTCGATTTTATTAATATTCTTCTTTCTACTTTCTTCTTTATTATTATATAGTAATGAAGGTAGAAATAAAAGTGAAATTGATTTACATGGTCTATTTGTTAAACAATCGATTGAATATTTGAAACAAAGAATACAACTATTGAAATCAAACGGATACAATGGTGAATTGTTAGTGATCACCGGTTTAGGTAATCATTCCTCTGGTGATGCCAAGATAAAACCTGCAATAGAGAAATACCTATTGGATAACTGTTACTCTTTCGAAATTACTTCAAAAGGTGGTGCATATCTAGTTGATGTATAATCACTCTGTAACTTTACATGTACAAACAAACAATTGTATTTTTATTTTTATTTAATAAAAACATTAAGATTTTAATCTATTCTATAATATTATATATATATTTTTAATCAGTTGCTTATAATGATGACAAGGTAATTTGAGTGATAAAATAATAGTAAGAAAAGATGAGATATATATTTAATCACTGCGCATTGATTGTTCGTGTAAGAAAGATTTTATTTATACTAATTTGATAATACACTTCAAGTGAACCTTTTTGCAACTGAGATGAAGGCTTCCAATAACATATATCACATCTAGTAAAATTTATTAATGTTTTTATTTAAAATGTAATTTTTAAAAGGATGGTAGATGAGAGATGTCTGTCAACATTCTTTTAATATATAATATCAAAAAAAAATAATCATTTAGAATTTTACAACGCTAGCGAGTAATCTTAACGATACTTTGAAGCAACAATTCAGAGAGCATCTCGAGCGTGACAAAGACGAGGATGCATTCATTGTCGATCCATGGAAACGATCAAAGGTTGCCAATCTTTCTGCTCCTTCTATTCTTGATGATTATTTTCAAGAAGATTGCCAATGCACCTACCACATTAGTAGATACTTCCAAGCTATCTCAGACAAAGAAACAAGATGATGATTGATTCTTTCCAAGCTATATCAGAAAAAAATAACAATATGGTTGATGCTCTCAGCTATCTCAGACAATAACAAGATGATTGTCGATGCTTTCCAATATATCTCACAAAATATAGACAAGATGTCCAGAGTTGGTTAAGATGCTTGGTATAATGCTCAAAGACGTTTAACCAACAATTCCTCACATCACGTCTTCCGGTAGCTGTTGGATTTAAAGGAACATCAAAGAAAGGGTTGACTTCGACTTTGTGTTCTACCTGGGCTGACTTTTCATTCACTCTTGTCAACCATTAGAAACTTTGTCGAATCAGTCATTGGAGGTAGTACCTATAATATCAGCAGTTCCTTTAAATCCAACAGCTGCCGGAAGTCGTGATCTCAATAATAAAAAATGTTAATTTATCAATATTAATCTTTCTTTATTTTTTTTTTTTTTTTAATCTTTTCAAAATACGATGATAATGATGATATCGCCAAGATTGACAGCTTTGAGCCATTAGACGCCAAGCAAACTATGGTGGAGAATATGATGCAGAAACTAATCAGATCCAAAGTATAGCTAGTTGTATCAGTCACAATATTATTATTTTATAAATTTAAACAAATAAACTTTTTTATAGTTTCAATTCAATTATATTTTCAATCAATATAGATATATAGTATATTACAAAAGTTTTAAATAGTATAATTTATTTAAAAAATGAATGAAAATGTTAATGTATTGAATTATTATTTACAATTATTCAATATTTACTAAAAGTACGGGGTGATTATATATCTTTGGTTTTGTTTTGTTTTTGATTTAAATATATTGTTGTTGTTGTTGATTATCATTTGTTTAATTGTCATAATTATTATATACTACAGTTCAAACAATGAATCTTTGGCAACGGCATTTAATAGTCCTTCTTTCTTGGTTCGTGTCAGTGTGATCATATTCATTACATCCATTCTCTGTTGAGTTCCGAGTTGAGTAACCGATTTCTTGAGTACCTCTTCCATCAACTCTGCCAGAGTCTCTGTTGTTTTCTCGAGATCCTGCTGTAGAAATTCAAAGAGTTCGCGTGCAGTCTCCACTCTTGGCTGGGTAACCGCGTTGGCAAACGAAAAGAAAGCGAAAACATAAGTGTACTTCAAAACGTTTCTACACTCTAGCAACTGATCGACTCCTCTCTCTATAAACTGTACTTCTGCCCACGTCGAATTCAATTTTTCCAACTCCTCCATCTTCTGCTTCGCTTCCTCCCTTATCATCTTCTCCAACTTTCTCGAACTATCATGATTGATAAATCTTTCGTAATAATGTAAATATCTAAGTAGTTCAACCCTAAACAAATGTTATAACATTATATTAGTAATCTAGGGATAATACTTCTTTCAAATATATAACATACTTGTTTCTTTCTTTCTCTTCGATTTCGGCATTCTCTTTCTTCTTGGACGATGACATTGGCTTTTGGAAGAGATTGAGGAAATGGTTACGTTTCGTTTCTTTCTCCTTTTGGAATCGGTTGCATACGTAAAAGTCGTTGTGTCCTTTCCACGAGCGTAGACACACCCAACACCATTCGTACTGGCACTGTCGGCAATTCATGTGATTGCATCCACCGTTCTTCTCGACAGAGACCGAGCATTTCGGACACTGCTTGCAATTGACTACCTTCCAGTGAGATGTCTCCGATTCGTCTTGACACTTGGTTTCCCAGTGTGCCATCTGTTCGCATGTGGCCGGTGCATGCGACTCGCGGTGACACTTGAAACAAAACTTGCGACCACACGAACAATGAACGATTTCCAACGCTGTAGAAGCAGAGTCTTTAATGAGCGTAATGACATTGTCACAACCGGGAGTTGGACACCAACGAACATGCTGTTGATTGCCAGCCAAGAACTTACGGGTTGCAAACTGCTGATACTTTTCATAGGTGACAGGTGCAACTAGCCGTTGAACAACTGAATCATCAACAACACAGACACACTTATAGTATGGACATCTAATGGATGCTTCTCCCTCTGTTATCTTTGATGTCAGATAACCACCCCAACAATCGTTACAGAAATAATGATTACATTTCACAGCTGTCATATCATCAGCACTACCTTCTTCACCACAAATCGAACAACTTTGTTGAATGTTAGTATTATTTGTAGTTGTTGTTGTTGTTGTCGTTGAAGTTGATACAAATTGAGTTGAGTTTGCTAATGAATATGATATTGTTGATGATGATTGTTGTTGATGTTCATCATTACCAACCAAACTACTACTATTTCCATTTAATATATATTGTTGTTGTAATATTGCCAATCTATTTGAAGTGTTGTTGCCGCTGCTGTTGATAAGTGGAGAATTGGATTGACTTTGATTGTTACTGTTGTTTGGCATTTCGATACCGACTTCCTTGCATATGTCTTTCGGTGATTCAAAGTATTTGGTGAGCATCAGTTCTCTACGCCAATTAAAGTGTTTGAGCAATGCCAATGCCGATTGATTCGAGAGTTGCAGCAGCTCTGCAATGTCTTTGATCTCCTGTTGTTGCTGCTGTGCCAACTCAGTCGGTGACAAACACTTGAAGTTCATCTGTTGATTGGCAGCCTCAATTTCATTCTCGACCTCCTGTAGCGCCTTGATGAATGCCTCTTCTTCCTGATCGTCGTTATCCTCATCGTCGTTATCGTCGTTATCATTATAATCGCTATTACTATCGTAATCAGAGTTTTGTTCATCCGGTAACTCATCCTCTTCGTTCTGACAATGTTGTAGTTGATGTGATTGTTGTTGCTCACAACTATCAACTTTACTTCCGGAAACCTTTAGATTTCTTCTAAATAATTGTGATGAAACTGTTCTTATAAATGATTTATTGTTCACTGAAGATGATGTTGATGATGTTGTTGTCGTCGTAGTTGTAGTAGTTGTTGTTGATATATTTGGTATTGATGTTGAACTAATATTAATATTTATATCATCAACAATTGAAATCTCTGTTTGATCGTCTTCATCTTCTTCACCACCATCATTATTGGAAATACTCAAACTTTGTTCGTCTCGTTCCACAAGATTACCGGATTCTCCCAACATCATCGGTACCAATTCAGTTGGAATGAATGAAGTTGTCAGAGTTGTTCTTAATATATCATTATTATTATTATTATTATTATTCAAACTACTATTATTAATATTTCCAATTGAATTTGATTCTGATTCTATTATTTCAAGTTGTGATTCTGAACTCTGACTTATTTCCTTTCTATTGTTACTATTGTTGTTGGCTAGCATACCACTCTTTGAAGAAGGAGGAGATGAAGAGGAAATAGTTGACTTTCTTCTAAATGACAATGTTCTAGATGAAGTTGATAAAGATTTAACTTTCTTTGTCTTTTTCTGTTTGTTGTTTGCTGTTGAAAGTGTTGAATCAACTAAATCTGTATTGGCTGTGGATGATGTTGCAACATTTGATGTGGCAGTTGGACTTCCATGGTCTGAACTGCTACTCAACAATTTTTTTAATTTATGAAACATTTCTGAAATTTTCAATTATATATATGGAAAATAAATAAATAAAAATAAATAATAAATAAATAGATGATTGTGTGTGTATATATATTTTATAATTTAATTTACATAAAAGATAAAAATAAAAATAAAACCTTTTTTTTGTATATACTATATTATAATTTAAATTAATTTTCTAATAAATAAATAAAATAATAATAATTGTTAGTTAGTTGTTAGTTGGTTACTACTTTGATTTGATTTGATTGATTTGAATTGATTTGATTTTGATTTGATTTGCAGTACAGTGAGTGATTGATTGATTGTTTGATATGAGTGAGTGATTGAGTGAGTAAGTGGGATATATAAAAAAGGAATAGAACAGAAATATTAATATTTTAATAAAAAATATAAATATGATTGTTTTTGGTTTGATAGATAGAGGTAGAAGTAGTTGTTGTTGTAGTTGTTGTTGATTGGTGTATGGTTAATACTACTGTTGTTGTTGCTGCTCCAAGAAATTGGTTTTTTTTTTTTTGTCTGTAGTGTTATTGTTATTGTTATTTTGTGTTGTGTTGTGTTCTTTTCCTTTACTTTTGTTGCTTGATGATGCTGATAATAAAAGAGTCAAATAAAAAGAGTTTACTCTTTCTTTTCCTCTCTCGTTTTATTTATAATACTATCAATCAATTGATACAACAAAGTCACACAACAATCAATCATGTTTTGAATAAATTAAATACGGCACCACACACATTTATAACATTCATTAATAATAATAATAACTACACACACAAACACACACCGCAACAACACACTAAATAACGAAAATTGTTGTGATGTGGTAAAATTTTAAAGGAATTTTATTAATTACCACATACATCATCCATATGGGTTGTTTTGTTTAAATAACTAAATTTGTTTGTTATTATTATTTATTTATTTGATGATGTTGTTGTTTGTTGATTACAATTATTATTACTAAAAATTGATAACAATCAAAATTGTTGATTCCAAAGATGATGTAGCGGTTATATGAATTGAATATTTGGTGATGTTGAAGATGATGATGGATGATCATCAGTCAATTGTCACTAAATTGTATTTATATTTTTGAAACAAAGAGCTATATAATATAAATGTACTTACAATATTGTTTCAAAAAATCATTTACATTATTTTTTTTTGATAAACTATATAAAATCTTGACAATCTATAAATATTGATTTTGATATTGTTTGCTAGTAGGTAGTGGAATGTTCGATATAATGTTTAATTATCTATCCATCTATCTCTCTCATAATAATAACTAACTAATTAACTGTATGAAACTAATACAAAAATAAAACAATATTGTTTATAAAAAAATCACAATTACAATTTATATTAAAAAAAGTTTCCATTTTTTTTTTTGCAATTCAAGCAATCATAAAAAGTTATTAATGTAAAATTTAATCAAAAAAAACTTTCGTTGAATAATTTTGCAAAAAAATAATAAAATAAAATTAAAAAATAAATTAAAATTAAAAAATTTGAACCTATTTTTGGTTTTTTCTTTTTTTTTTTGTCAAAGGTGTGTGGTATGTGTGATTGTTCATTGATAGAACAGAAACAAAACGATCTAAAAAAATATCGATGTTTGTTCGCAATAATAATAATATTGGAGGTGGGTGCCCCATAAAAGTCTACCCAATTTCGAAATGACAACAACAATAACATTGAGATTTTATTATTACCACCAGAAGCTAACAGAGAAACTTGTTGACAGAGAATGAACATAATGCCAACACCTCGGCGGAATATAGAGAGCTTCACCTTCGTTGAGAATACACTCGAAATAGTTTGTATCTTTATACTTTGGAAATTCATTTAAATCTACTGATTCAATATTGATCTGGATATAAATAAATAAGTTTGTTAATGATGATTTTTATAAATAACAATTATTACTACTTACTCTACTTGTATTTGAAAGAATATCATTTTCATAAGGATATAATAGATGTGATTGATCGGCTGAATATAAACGAATATACTTTGATCCTACTACTTGACATAAGAGATTGTTGTAACGATCGAAATGAAGTGGTGTAGTTGTTCCACTAGGTCCAAACCATGCATTAATTATAGGATCACTATCTTGATCTTGATCTTGGTTGTTGTTGCTATTAGAATTAGACAAAAAACAATAATCTGGAATAACAATATCGTTTCTTAACTTTGTTATTTGTTCAAACAATCTTGTCTGTGCTAAATATCCAATCTCTCTTTTACTATTACTGCTATTATTACTATTATTAATAATATGATTATCTATGAATTGATTTATTGTCATTAATTGTTGTGTCCATTTATCATCTAAATAGGTTGATCCAATTTCAATTGGTACTGTTCTTAAGCCTGCAACTGATTTCAAATAGTCTAGGTTTCGCCATGGTCGAGTGGTAATTGCTGGCCAATGTTGCATCGATTGCTTGATAATAACAGGCCTACCAACATTCATATACTTTGATTGAAACAATTGTAATGAAGGTAATTCAACTCTTTCAATTTCATTCGATTTATTAATATTTAAATGTAAATTGAATTGATCATTATTATTATTACTATTGTTATTACTATTATTATAGTTAATGTTGATATTTGTTGATGAAAATGATAATTGTTGATCAACATAAACAGTTAAACAATCGATAAACTGTATGATTAACTTGTAAAAAAGATTACCACCAAATACTAAAGAATAATCTAATTTACTTATTATTGACTGTATTATATTGCTATTACTACTATTATTATTATTGCTTGTATATAATGATAATAAGTAATCTTCTATTGATAAAGAAGATGATGATTGTTGAGCTAGACTATAATATGATATTAATATAGAACTATATGAGTAAATATCTCTATATATAATATCTAGTTGTTTCCAATCACTTTTTACACTATTAATGATTTGATATGTTTTAGAATTGACTTCATTGTATATAGATATTAAACTATTATAATCATCATCATCATTATTAGTATTAGGTGAATAACTATTTGACTTTTCAAAAGATGATTTAATTAAACATTTTAAACTGCTTGATTCAATGATATCAATATCTACTTTTTGATTGAATAAATCTACAGTTTGATTATATATATCTTTAATTTGCATCTAGAAATGTAAACATATTTAATACGATTAAATAAATCAATTTCGATGCCTTTTTTTTTTTTTTCAAAATTTTAATATTGTTTTTATTTAGCAATAGATAAATAATAAACTAATAAAGAGGCAAAAAGATTATTTTAAAAATATTGAGGAAAAAAAGGATTTTATTGTATTTTGTGTGTTGTTTGTGAATTGTAGTATTGTTTGCTTTTTGTTTTTTGCGAGTAGTCAGTTGGGGCAACGAGTTGGGAATTATTCCATTGTGAGTTCAATTGTATATAACCATTTAGTTAATGGTGCATCTAAAGCTGTAATAACAATTTCCAAAGTTTGAAAAGCACCTTTTAAATTGTAACGCAATATTTTTGATTCACGATGATCATTATAATTAACATCATACAAATCTGGATCCACAGCTGTATAGAATGTGAGTCTATCTCCTTTAGATGCTGCATTTTGGCCGGACATATCAATGGTCTGAGTTTTACCCATTACTCTAAAATCAAACATTTTTGTATCATTAAGTACCTCAGTAAATTCTCTTTCAACAGTAAATGCCAATTTGGGATTTGAAATCCAGCCAGATCCATTGGTAATAGTAATAACAGCTGTTTTTCAAAAATTAGTATCTTTACATAAATTATTATATTAAAACTAAGAATTATCAACAAACCTGTTTCTCCCTTTTTGGAAAAAGAATAAGGAATGGTTCCATTTACAGTATCAGTGATTCTTTAGAAAATGTGATAGTTAGTTTAAAATATTAATACCACGATTAAAGATTCACTACATACTTGCCAAATTTATCATTACCGAGAGAAGTATCATGAATATTGAGCTTAAATGTTTTAAAACCTTTGTTTGTACTAAGATCAAAATTTCCATTTTTTCCGGCTTGACGGACAACTGGAAGTGGGTATTCAATGAGGTCTAGTTCATTTATACGACCATAAACTCCCGCACTATTATCAGGTAAATCTTTTAAAAAAGTGTTAATATTAAAATGCTATGATTTTTTTGTATTGTGTGGATAATAATGTTACCTTCAAGTTCAAAAGGAAATGGTAGCCTTTTATAACAAGTTGAATAGAGACAATGTGCCAAATCATGGTGGAACTGTATAACTCTATCATGAACCTTTGACTTTAAAGATGGTACACTGGTAGTACCATTGATATAATCACTTGGTAAACCCCATGAAATTCCTTGGAGGATAGCATCTCTCATGAGATTGATATACATCATCATTGTGACTGATAAAAGATTTCCCATGATGTGTGAATACAATTTATTTGAAAAATCGATGATTGCTCCTTCAAGGGAGTCTCTAAGACCCAAAAATTCTGATCTTATCATTTCGAGAAGATTGTCATCGGAAAGTTGTTGTAAGTGAGAAGGAGGTTCAACTCGATGTTCCAAAGAGGTGTTGACTTTTAATCCAGCTTTAACTTGATTTCTCTCTATGTAGATAGTTATCAAATCATTGAAATTATTTCCTCTATTTTGACAATCTTCAAACTTTAAAGTGCATCTGTTTTTTTCATCTTGATCCAACTTATCGTCCACCATTTCTTCTACTTTTCTATAAAGATCGTCCATTGCATTGTCGAACTGATCTTTAGTTATATATTTACCATTGTTGGAAAAAATATGGCCCCATAATAACTGTTTAAATAACAATTAGTTAGATGGATATTCTAGAATATAGATACAATATATTTACTTACTCCAAACCCAGTCTTGAGGAGATTACCAACCTCTGGAGTGAAACCAATAATTGTTCCTATAATAGTACCCCAATCTGCAGAGGTAATACTTGAATTGAATTCTCTAACCTTGGGTGAAAATTGTTGATAAACTGAATCAATTCGTTCTTGAGGTGTAAGAACTGGTAAAACTAAAGATTCTTTATCTGTCTCTGGGATACTGACAGGACTTTCGATGCTATTCATGATTTTTGAAATTAATTTAATGAAGAATGATTAATGAGAATGATTGAACTCGATAATTTATAGTTGTTGTTACTCTTTAAATTAGATTAAATAAAAATTAAATAAAATTTCATTTCTTCTGCAATTACTTTAGATTGCAATCACAAGGGTTAGCTATTGGACATCGCATGGTCAAATTGATTGAGATCGAACTCTCGAAGTTAGAGATTTCGTTTATACCTCTTGGATATAGTAAACTCCACTATTCTGTGAAAAGAGACTCTGAGTTGAACAAAAAGAATCTAAAACAAAATTGCTAATCATAATTTTTGTTTTAGCTATTGGACATTGATTCACGAAATTTTTTTTTGATTTATTTTTTACAAAAGTGCACCAAACAGGACATTAACAACAAAGTGCGCTATATAATAAATCGCATGCGATTTTGATTTCATTAATTTAATCAATTTTTGTTCTTAGCAACTCTAATTATTCAAGAGATTTGGCAATCGCCGATCATTTCAGTAATTGAAATTAATCAAAAGATCTATCTATCAGCATAAAAATAAAAACACTTAAGGTTTGTTTAAAATGATATGAAATCGAGATAGTTATTTATTGATTGAAATTATTTCATTGCATAACCATTCATACATGATAAATATAAACTTTAAATGAATTTTTGAACAGAACATCATTTAAATAAAAAAACGTTGGTGTATTTTTTTTTTTTTTTTTTGTTTATTAAAAAAATTTTACAAATTTTATTTTTTATTCTAAATGGGGTTGGAGAATATTCTCTCGCGATTGATTTAAATTCGAATATGTTACGTCTGTGTGTCTAAATTAATACAAATAAATAAATAACAATAGTATGTTTATTATGCTCACTATAAAATCTGATAATTATTGTCAAAAAAACATGAAAAAAAAAATGAAAAAAAAAAAAATGAAAATAAAAAAAAAAAATGGTCAAAATGGGAAGGGTATGAAAAGCACCACCATAATAATGATTATTTCTTTTTGTGGTTGTTCCCCAAAACTAGGAGAAGCTTCTACTCACTAGAATAAGCTTCCCCTGCATAAGCAAACAAACCGTTATGTTCTACCACACTAACTATAAATATTGATCAATTTACTTGGTGTTTGAATCAAAACTTCATTCATTTCAAATTAATATTAAATATCTAAGCTAAAATTAATAATAATCTAATATAACCTTTTTTTTTTTTTTATCATCATTAATTTAATTGATTTATTTGAATAAAATAATTAATTAACATTATATACTACTTTCTATTTTAAATTAAATTAATTATCAATATCATTAAAGATGGATTCAACTATGAGATGTGCAAGATTCGCACAACAAAACGGTGAGTTGGAGCTTGCTGTTGTTCCAGTACCAAAGATCACTCAGACCAACCAAGTAAAGATCAAGGTTTATTCATGTGGTGTTTGTCACTCTGATGTTCTTGGCAAGTACGGATTCCCAGGAATCAGTTGGCCAAGAATTCCAGGTCATGAAGCTGTGGGTAGAGTTTTAGAGGTTGGTTCTGCCGTCACCCGGTTCAAGGTCGGTGATAAGATTGGTGTCGGTTGGTTCGGTGGTCATTGCGCGACTTGCAATCCATGTCTAGATAACGAATGGGTGTGCTGTCAAAAAGGTCAAGTCTGTGGAATTCACTACGACGGTGGTTACGCCGAGCAGATGATTGCACCTGAGGACGCATGCGCCTTGGTTCCAGAGGAATTGGACTTCAAACACTCCGGTCCATTGATGTGTGCCGGTATCACTGTATACAACTCTATTCGTCAGCAAGACATTAAAGTCGGTAGCTTAGTTTGTATTCAAGGTATCGGTGGATTGGGTCATCTCGCAATCCAATTCGCCAGAAAGATGGGTTATGAAGTAGTAGCATTCAGTGGTGGTGCTGACAAGCGTGATCTTGCATTGAAACTTGGTGCCAATCACTACATTGACGGATCACAACCAGATGCCATCGAACAACTTACCAAACTCTCACCGAAACTCATTGTTACAACTTCGCCAAGTGCTAAAGCCGCTGAATCGCTACTTCCTGCTTTGGCTACCTGTGGTAAATTCTTACTTCTTGCTGCCATTACTGATCCAATGAATATTAATCCACTTCAATTATTACTTAAAAAACAATCTATTGTTGTAAGTTATTTATTTATTTTAAAAAAAAACATTAATCTTTTTTGAATATTAATATTAATATATTTTATATTTAATTATTAATATTAGGGATTCCCATCTGGAGATTCAAGAGATTCAGAAGATACTCTCAAATTTGCAGCAATCAACAATGTACAGGCTATGGTTGAGGTGTTCCCACTTGAAAAAGCAGCGGAAGCATTAGGTAAAATGTTGGAAAATCGTATTCGTTTCAGAGGTGTACTTTCTATTGTTCCAGAGGATCAGCTATAAAATCGTAATTTAATCCGAAATAGAAAATATTTTCTAAACAAACAATATAAATAAATAATTAAATATTAAAATAACCCAAAAAGTGATTTAGTTAAGAAAACAACAGTAACAATTTTTTTTTGTACCATTTGAATTCCCAAAATAACTAACTGACTGGAATGAATGATTTCAAAACTCCGATTATTTAGGGTCGATAACCTCATTTTTACTTTTTTTTCACACTATTTTACAGTGCAAACTATTTTCTTTTGAAATTTCAATCACAGATATTTTTCAATTCTACACAATTCTATTGTTTTTTCTGAGTGTTTAAAATAATTAATCTAAATTATTTTGATTTTTTTGATTTTTTTCAAATTTTTTTTTTTTAATTTTTTTTTTTTTGCCGATTAGAATTGTGAGTGACGCATTCTTTTTTTTTTTATGATATATAGTTTGCTGATTAATTTTTAAATTCATTTTCTGTTGTATTCTATTTATTTATAACATATATATATAATAATTATAAAAAAATGAGATTTATCTCTACTTTATTAATTGCTCTTACAGTTTTCGCTGTTTGCAATGCTCTCGATTTAAATAAGCCAGTTTTGGACGATAAGTTCATCCACAACCACAATGCCAACGGTGCATCATGGGTTGCCGGTAGAAACCCACGTTTCGAAGGTCAATCAATCGGTGACATTCTCGGTCTCCTCGGAACCAAGAAGCCAAGAAACACCCCAGAAGAAGTCTCAGTCTCCAAGGTTGCCGTTCCAAACTCATTCGACTCCCGTACCAACTGGCCAGGTTGTGTCCACGCCGTCTTAAATCAAGGTCAATGTGGTAAGTTGATAACAGCAGATAATAATATATTTTCGTAATTATAAAAACATAAATTAACCACTTATTTTGTTTTAATTTTCTAGGTTCATGTTGGGCTTTCGCCGCTTCAGAATCATTGTCCGATCGTCTCTGTATCGCCTCACAAGGAGCCATCAACGTCACCTTGTCCCCACAAGCTTTGGTTTCATGCGACATTGAATTCAACCAAGGTTGCAACGGTGGTATCCCACAAATGGCCTGGGAATACCTCGAATTGCACGGTATCCCAACCGACTCATGTTTCCCATACACCTCTGGTAACGGTACCGCCCCAGACTGTCAAAAGGAGTGTTCCGACGGATCCAAATACCAATTGTACAAGGGTAAGACCTTCACCTTGAAGACCTGCTCTTCCGTTGCTGCCATCCAAGCCAACGTCTTTGCCTACGGTCCAATCGAAGGTACCATGGATGTCTACCAAGATTTCATGTCCTACACCTCTGGTGTCTACGTCATGACCCCAGGTTCCAAATTGTTGGGTGGTCACGCCATCAAGATCGTTGGTTGGGGTACTGACTCCACCTCCGGATTGGACTACTGGATTGTTCAAAACTCATGGGGTTCAGATTGGGGTATGTATAAATATAATAATATTTAATTATTGGTCAAATTTGTTTATTAATTTACTTTTCTCAATTTAGGTATGAACGGTTTCTTCTGGATCCAACGTGGAACCAACATGTGTGGTATTGACAGAGACGCCTCTGCCGGTCAAGCCGATATCTCATCCCTCTAAATAAATAAATAAATATATAACTTTAAATTATTTATATAAATTATCAAACTATTACACGAAAGAGGTTTACAAAATTTAATACTTTTTATTAATGTTTTATTTCAAATTTAAGTTAGATCTTTGTTTGTTGATAAAACATTATGACCACTATTGTGAACAATATAATTGTAAAAGTTGAATTGATTTAGACAACTATAACAAAGAGAAACAAACTTTAATAAAAGATATTTAAAATGTAGTTTATTTATTAATATTATTATTATTATGAGTGGCAATGTAACTTGTGGTTGTATTTCAGAGGATTTTATCTTTTAATTATAATAAGGATTTCCTATTAGTCGGTCTCAAAACCCAGAATATGTCTACACATGGCAAAAGCTACTGAAATACAACCACAAGTTGATATAATCTTCAGAACACCAACAAAATGGTTTTTACAGGTCACTTTTTGTGTACGATAGACCATTTGTTCGACATAAATTGAGGGCAGAATTAGTTAAAACTCGAGCCAGGAAAGTAGATACACATCACCACTTCCAGTCATACAGCTATACTGAATGGATGCCAGAGATATAAATGTGATCGTATTAATTGTATTTGTACAGAGCAAGAATATTGGATGGTAATGAAGACACTTAATTCCATCCTCGATCAATGATAGGATCAACATAAGAGATAAGATAACTATGATTAAGATTATAACTTACACTATAATAGTATCTGTACAATTCTTTAAATAAAGTAAAATAAATAAAACAATTTGATGATGATTCAGTGTTCCTTGGTTCAATATAGAGAAGTGATTGACATTCTGTAACTACTTAATGAAATAAAAGTAATATAGATGTTTTGTGCAGCATTATTTTAAAACTTGAGGTAATCAATAGTGATTGATGTTTTTTTCAAAACAAGGTCCAAACATCAGTTTTTGCAATCAAATATATAAAATAAGCAAACTATCTACAATTCTAAGTGCCTTATTTGTGTAATCGTAAACGAAATCAGGTTTGGAAAGACTTAACTTAAACATTAACACTTTACCATCTTTAGATAGATAATTGTAAAATAAAAATAAAGAGATATTGATTCAAGTTTAATTCTTAATTAAAAATCCTTTAAATACTTCTGTACCAACCCAACTTTGTCAATATATATATTTGTATTGACTAATTAATCCATACAAATAGTATAAAGACAAAAAAATATTTCTTTTTTTTTTAAAAATATCTATGAATTTAAAAACCCAATCTGATTTTTAATGTTTTGATAGTTTCAGACGAATTGAAAGATATTATCAAAAAGATCCATTATTTATTACAATAACCTGTTTTTAACACACAAAATTTATCAGATTTCATTTCGTAGACCAAAGTTTTTATCAGATTCAATTTCCTCGAACAACTTGGTATCTGAATCATTTTCACACCCAAAAACAAAAAATTGGTGCTGCATAACAGTCGATCATACAATCTTTCAACCAATCTCTCTGACATTACAAATCATTTTCAGCTCCGCTACTACTACAAATGTTACAGTCGATCAAGGAAATCTTGAATATTTTAATATCATTTTAAAATGTTTGACTAACTATTTAATAATGTTGTTGATATGATATGAAGTTAGTCATTCTTGTCATTAGACTAGTCTAATTGGAATTCAAATCGATTTTGTAACTCTGCAGCAGCACTTTCTGCTCTGCCATGATGATGTTGATGATCTGATTGATTTCAGTAAAAGGGATTAATGAATTATTCTATGCACCACTATCAATTCACTTCACACTGTTTTTTAGTAAAAATAAATATAACATGATATGAACCACTCTAACACACACGGCAACCACCATCTAAAACCAACAACAATTTTTGATAGACTGAAAATTGTGTTTTGTTTATGCCCTCACTCAATCATTGATTATTGGGTGTACTTGAACATGTGTGTTTATCATTGTTGTTGTTGGTTATAATTCGGATAGAACAGAGGTCATTCACTCAATTAAATAATATAAAAAAATACCCATAAGTACAACGAGAACATGGAGATCGAAAAAAAAAAAAAATAGATAAAAAAAACCCTTGAAAAAATAAATAAAGTGTGAAGTGTGTGTGAAGTCTTTTTTTTTCCACTTCAGAGTGTGTGTGTAGCTCTCTCTCATAGTCGCACTTTCAATGACATTTTTTTGGTTTGGGCACAGATTATAATTAATCTGATGAAAAAACTTTTTTTCTTTTTTAAAATAATACTGATGGTGTGTTTGGCAGATCAAGTTGTTCCCCCACCCCTATTTAATTTGAAAACACACAATGGTTATCTGATTCATTCATAAATGAAATGGAGGTCCTCTAAAACGACAAAAGTAAACAACAACAAAACAGATCAAATCAATGATTAAAATATCAAAAACTGAAAAAATATTCTATAAATTGTTTTAATAAAACCTACACATCATCAGAAATCAAACAAATCATATCCAGTTGTACACTAACTAAACCAAATCTTATATTTCTAATTGTTGTATTATATTATATATCCAAGATTTACTATTTATTACAACATAATCAAAAAAAAAGTAGCAAATATAATTGCCAAGTTGATCAACAAAATAAATTTAGCAAATTTTACACAATGTAAGTTAGATATAAATTAAATCTACCAATCTTTGTTGTTTTTGTAAAGCAAAAGTCATTAAATATATTAAAAGTTATTTGCTGATTGCAATCTATTGGTCCAAATCTAACATTTTAAACATTAAAACCTTTCTCACTCTTTCCATAAACAATTTAAAAGAAGGAAGGTCCAAAAATAAATCTAATCATTGATTTAAATAAAATGGATATATATATTTATTTCATTGATTTAGTAATCAATCAATCAATAATTCATTCATTCCCAAAGGTTTAAAAACCATATAACCTTTCGTTATAGATAAGATATTAAATAATAAATTATCCATTCATTCAAATTATAATAATTAAAACAAAAAAAAAAAACCTTTTAAAAAAAACATCCAAATCTATCGATGATTTATAATTAAAATTTTAATTAAAAAAAAGTTACCCCAATAATCTCCTACATTTATATTATCAATTTATTTCCAATCAGCCAATCAACCAACAAATCAAAAAGTTTCTCGAAAATACTACCATCTTTTTCTTCTGCTCCATCTCTAAAGAAATTCGAATGAAAATGGTGTTTTATTTAGCAATATAATCATTCATTTTGCTGGATAGAAGAGGTTGTTTAGCTATTAATATCAATTGGGTTAGAAATAAATTGTCAAAACAAGTTGGTTGAGAGATTATATATTTAACTTTTTTTTTTTATTTTATTTTTATTTTTGTTTGTTACTTTTGGTTTCATCTTGATCACCTTTTTTTAGGAAGGCGCCAGAATAATCATTTCCACCAATAACAACTATAAAATTCATCTCTCTCATTCTCTCTATTATTTACCATCAGTTCAACAAATTGTACCACTGATTGGCTTGTTAGTATAGAGTCAAATCACTTTCATTGCCTTTTTACTCTTCAAGGTATAATTGTTAAAAGATTCATTCATTCAATCTATCTAATGTACAGATCATTGAATACTGGGGTTTGGAGTGTGTGTGTGTGTTGTTATGCCTCTCCATAGGTGTGAGAATCATCACATGATGTGTGGTAGGTGGTAATAACCACTAACTAAAGCTATATATATTTGAACATGAATGAACAAGTGTGTAGAGAAAAGTGTTTATAATATTATTATTTTTTGGTTGTGGTTATGTATGTATGTATCTATTTTTTATTTTCACTCACTCTCATTTACTTACTTCTCTTGTTTTCTCTTTGTTAATCAACCAACATTATAATATTAACAACAATGAATGAATGACTGAACGAATATCAACATATACAAATCTATCACATACAAATATATTGTTATAAAAATATATTCAACAACAACAACAACATTATCGCTAACTTCAATATACAATTAGTTTGATCTACTAAAAGACTCACTTTCACATTATCTCACTATTTTATTTTTTTTTGTTCATTCATATAACATGAACCATCAGAACCCACCACTACCACCACACATACCTAATCATAATATGAATGAATAAATTTGTTGTTCCTCATCAATCAATTTTAAAAATTAAACTTTCATATCAACACAACCACATCAACAACAACATGAATTTATATCAGATGTATAAAAATGTGAACCAAATATAACAAGTTATCATGTTATTGCCAATGTTGACTGTTTCGTGTGTGTGTGTGTGTATCCATTTCCAACTCAATTCCGCTTGGCTCCACTCGATACTATACAATAGGTTATTAAACTTAAGCAACACACGGTCAATACCTATTGTTATGTTGGAGATCTATTACTGCTACTGCTGCTCGAATTGGTATTGTCAAGTTTGTGTATTGTTAATATTGTTGTTGTTTCATCAAATGTCATATATTCTATTCCATTTTCTTTCTATACCCATATTATTATTATACATCATCATCAACATCATCATTTTATCTAATGTATCTCATTAATGAAATGAGAGTGAATAAAAACTGATGTACAAAAAAAAAAAAAAAAAAAATTATTTGCTTTTTTTACTTTTGCTTTTTTTTTTTTGCATGTTGTTGTTATTTTAACATTACAATAATAATAGTAGCAATAGTAACAAACAAAACAATAACATAATATAATATATAACAGTAATATTAAGCAACATACATACTATCCTTCCTTATCTTCAAATGGCACAAACAACCAAACACAACATATGTTGTTGGTTGTTCAAGTATGCATGATTGATGATGAGCAACAATAACAATGTAAATATGATTGAGCAGCACAACAACAATAACAATAGTAATAGAGTTGGTTATTGAAAGACGATAAAATCATATGTTTTTTAATGATCACTCCCGCTCGAACATCTCATTCAATGTGTTTCAAATAAGAAATCTCATTTTTAAAAACAAAATTTTTTTTTTTTTTTGTAAAGTTATAATTTTTTTAATTTTTTTTAATTTTTTTTGATGGTAAAACATTTTTCATTTATTTTAATTTTTATTTTTTTTTCATGTTTCTCTTATTTATTCGCAACTTGAAACATGATATCCACTACTTCACTACTCTGAAGCACCTTCAACCAGCAACCAACATCCACAAACTCTGACTATAAAGTTTAGATTTGCTGTTTTATATTATATTTATTCTTTCTTTAACAATTATTTCATAGTTAACAACAAGTACTTTTCTTTCTTTCATTGTATTTGTTTGTTTTTTTTGTTAAAATTATTCATTCATTTAATTATTTATTTATTTCTTTCTTTTTCAACTCCTCTTTTATTATCATATTATCAAACTAAACTATTAGTAGTTTAGTATTTCTTATTTTCTTTAAATCGAATTATTTTTATTAATTAACCTTATACTTATTATTATAATCTACTACTCAACTCTTAAAACTATTCAGATTTACTAAATCTTTTATTTTTTATTTGGGTTGACCTCTTTTTGCTTTGTTTGCCTGCAAGATTGTTAAATTACCGCGTTTAACTTCCTTGGTTGCTTTTTGTAGAGTGCACTGTTTGATCGGTCCTGCAAGTGATTACTTTCCCGTGTGTGCTGTTTTTGAAACAAACATTACAAGTGTTCCTCTCGAGATAATCTCATTGTCATCCTGGCGCGTGTACCCGAGTTTAGTTAGTTAGTTAGTGTTGGTTGTATTGGTTTGCTCAGAGATCCAGTTATCGCACCATCACATTCTATTGTTGGTTGTGTCTGAATCTTTTTGTTGTAATAGCACTCATCCACAAAAGGAAAAGTAGTATTTGTAAGCTATTTGGTTTTTTCATTACCATAAAATCAAAATAGATATAATAACTACAAGTTTTTTAAAGAGGAGCTAGCGTTCAGTCAGTGTGTTGTTTTGTTTGTCCTATTATATCAATTTATCATATATACATACATTTTAAAATCCAATTTAATATTATTTGATCGGTCTGTTACGTAGTTGTAAACAGTTATCGTCATCTGATCGTTGGATTCCAAAAACAAAAAAAAAAATCAAATTTTTTGCCAAAAAAATTGCAATTTTTAAGACATTGCCATATATTTGCAAAACAACCTGGAAAACTCTGGAAATTCCAAATTATAATTTTTTTTTTTGATTTCATATTATTATTTCATATGAACACTTTTATTCTCATTTAAATAATAATATTTATTAATTATTTACCACACACCACCCACATATTTATACCTCTACTTTTAATATATTTATAATCAATCAATCAATCAAACACACACCCACACCACAAAACACAATCATCAAATCAAAAACACACATACTCATACACAATATCAAGACAAACAAAACAATACATATATATATTTTTAATTAACACACACCACCACATAGTACTATGAAGTTAAAATTGTTAAGTTAATTATTAAAGCATATTCATTATATATATTATATATTTAAACAATTTAATTAATTGCCAAAAGGCATTTTAATTTGCCAGTAAGCATTTAGTAATTTTTTTTATAACCAAATCTAGATTTATTATATTTTATATATATATATATATTTTTTTATTTTTATTTTTATTATCTATTTATAAAATTATTTGATTATAAATTATTATATATTTAATTATATATAATAAATATTATTCAACAATCAAAAATCATGTCATCATCCACATCTTCTTCTTCAACTTCCAAAAAATCAAAATACACCTATTTTGATAATGAAAACAAGGAAAATATCGATCCAGTCACCGGTTTACATTCGAATATTAGACCAATCGTCAATTCCTGTGGTTCCTCAAAGAAAAGAGTAGCATTAAAAGATATTACTCCTGTAAGAGTAAGTAATTTTAAATAATTATTAATTCATAATATTCCATAAAAAAAAAAAGATAGTTTATTAATTATAAAATTATAATTTTAGGTTACATTATCACCCAAAAAAATTAGACCGACCTCTGCTCTGGCAAAAGTTAATAATAATAGTAATAATAATAATTCAGTTTATGTTATTACCGGCACAAGTTCACAGCAATCACCATCTATAAATAATCAAAATACACCAAAACCAATTCCTTTTCCAATTTTTTCAAACCCATTAAACAACACCACAAGCAACAACACATCAACAACACAGTCAACTTCATCAAAATCAAAATCTTCAACTTCTTCTTTATCTATTAGAACAATTAGATAACCAAGATTTATCATCATACAACAATCAAACAACCAAATATTTCATTTGACCTCCCCACCTCCCCCAATCAACAATACAAATCATCATTATCATTATTAATTAGGTACATAATAATATATATAAGCCAATCAATCATCACCAATCAAAACAACTAAATATATACATAAAATCACAACAAACTAAGCTAGACTTGTTGCTCCAATCAATTTTAGATCAAAAAGCAGGTAATACGAACGTAAAGATAGAAATCTTACTTTTTTTCAACCAAAAAAACATACAAAAAAAAAAGTTGATTAAAATACCAATTTTTTTTTTAACAAGTACGATTCATATCTATTAATAATGGTTAAACATAATAAGATGGCAAATAATATAAAAACCAAGATAATCTAACGATCATTGGATTATCGAAGAAGAAGTAAGAATTAAAACCTTACTTTTTTAAAAACTTGTAACAAAAATAACAAACAAACCAAAATAAATTTAAAAAAATTTAGCCATTTATTTTTTTTTACCAATCAAATAATTAACAATAACACTGTGTTCTTTTATTCTTTTAAATATATATAATATCTTTATTTTCTGTTATTTGTTATAGTTTTGAAATATTTGTTTGAATTATACTTTTGGATTCAATTAATCTATCAATATCATCTGATTCGAATCCAAATTTTTTCAATACCGTCACTGTGTTGGCACCTTCCACCACCAATTTCTTTGTTGATAGCTGATCGATTTGTTGTTGCTGTTGTTGTTGAATCGATAGTTTTGTTGTATTTTGTACATCGAAAAGTCTGGGTGCCATCATTACATCGAGACCGTTGTCACCTTTGAAAACCAATTGTCTTGCTGTTGCCTGTGGATGACCTGTCAACTCGTGCATCTCGAGCACCGGCGCAACACAAGCGTCAGTACCCATAAATATCTGTTCCCACTCATCTCTTGTTTTCTTTGCGAAAATCTCTTTAAACAGCTGCTTCATTCGCGGCCATTGTGTTTGGTCGGTTTGATCTGGAAGATCGGTCCGCTCCGCCAATCCCATACCCTTCAGCAGCTCGCTGTAGAATGGCCCCTCAATAGCGCCAACCGATATATACTTGTGATCGAGCGTTTCGTATACCTCATAGAAATGAGCACCGCTATCCAGAGCATTACATCCACGATCGTTATCCCACCATCCGGTTCTTCCAACTCGCAGCTTATAGATAAAAGTCGCCAGATATGCCGCGCCGTCCATCATGCTGGAATCTATGAGTTTTCCACGACCCGTAGATTTCCGCTCGTAGAGCGCAAACATGATTCCGAGAGCACACATCATTCCACCGCTTGCAAAATCACCAAGAATGTTCGACGGGAAGAGTGGCGCTTGTCCGCGACGTCCAAGAACCGACAGTGCTCCGGACAGCGCAATATAGTTGATATCGTGGCCGGCGCGCAGTGCATACGGTCCGGTCTGTCCGAATCCAGTTAGTCGCGCGTAGATCAATCTCGGTGCCTCCGACATGAGTGACTCTGGCGACAAGCCGAGTTTCTCCATGACGCCAGGCCTGTACGAATCAATGAGAACGTCGGCCTTCTTTGCCAGCGATCTCAACACCTCTACACCTTCCTTGTGTTTCAAGTTGATAGCAATCGAGTGTTTTCCACGAGTCAGCTGATCGATTGGTTGAGAAACTATACTATCGCCAACGACACGATCCACTCTAATAACTGTCGCACCGAAATCCGCCAAGATCAATCCACAATATGGAACGGGTGCCAAACCTGACATCTCCAAAACAACCAATCCTTCTAAAGGTAAATTTAAATCTTCCATTCTCTTAGTAGCAACAAACTATATAATATTTACAAACAAATTACAAAGTATAAATAAATAAAAAAATGAAAACAAAAAAGTAAATAAATCAAACGAAAATATAAAAAAATACTATCTAAAATTGAAAACAAATAAACATATCTAATAATAGTATAGCTAACACTTGTACATTGAACTACTTGTGTGTGTTTATTTGAATATTTACAAGTAATTTGTTGTTTTTTTTTTAATCTTGAAATCTAATAATAAATAATAAATAATATGTTTAAATTATTGCTAATATTATACAAATAATATAAAAAAGATATTATTTATTATTGTTATTATATTTTAGGTGATTATCGACCCACTTGTTTACATCATTTGCAAACTGAATGAAAAAATCAAGATACATGTTTGAACATTAACTTTATAACGCTTTGAATTTCCTTTTTTGCAAACAAGATTTTTAAAAAAAAATGATTTTGATCAAATTTAATTTAACTACTTTAGTATTAAATTCAATTTCATTTTAATTTGTAATTTTATTTCTACTATTTTATATTTGTATTTGTAATTATATTTATATCTATGTCTCAACAGCAACAACAACAAGTAGTAGTACATCCAGATCTCTTAAAAGAACGATCGAAAACAAGTTTTGATGTACCAACTTTAAATAGATTTATAAATAACAATGATCCAACTGTTATCGATTTAAAGGTAAAATAAAATACAACATTTAAATATCAAAATTATAGATTATAATTAACAAACTTTTAAATAATAGAAAAAAATAAGAACAGAATTTCTTGCTGATCCAATATTATCTGATCATCCAGAGTATGTAAATTTCCTATCGAGAGAAGATCAATTTAAACGTGCCGTAGAGATCAGTGAGAGAGTGATAAAGATCAAGAGAAAGTTGGGTATTATCGATTCGACCGGTATCGAATTCTATCGTGAACTCTACCAAGAGATTCCACTGATCTTGCATGACGTCGTCTTTGTTGGATGTATGCGTTCGTTGGCCAGTGAAGAACAACTAGCGGAATGGCTACCAAAGGCGTTGAACTACCAGATTATCGGTGCCTACGCACAGACCGAACTCGGTCACGGTTCCAATGTTCAGGCGCTAGAGACAACCGCTCACTACTTGGCAGAATCCGACGAGTTTGTTTTGAATTCACCGACACTGACCTCCTCGAAATGGTGGATCGGTGCACTCGGTCGTATCTGTACGCACGCCGTTGTATTCGCGCAGCTACACCTCAAGGACAAAGATGGAAAACTGGTGAATCACGGTCCACATCCATTCTTGGTTCAGGTTCGTTCACATGAGCAACACCAACCGATGAGCGGCATCACCGTTGGCGATATCGGACCGAAGCTCGGTTACTCCACCGTCGACAATGGATTCATGAGATTGGATCACGTCAAGATTCCAAGAAAGAACTTGTTTGCGCGATACGCACAGGTCACCAAGGAAGGACGTTACGTTCCTCCACCTCATCCACGTCTTGTCTATGCCGGTATGGTAGGTGTTCGTGTCTACTTGGTTGGCGATTCTTTCTCTGCCATTTGCCGTGCCGTTACTGTTGCCGCGCGTTACTCTGTGATTCGTCGACAGTTTGGACCGTCGGGAAAAGAGGAAACTCAGGTGCTCGACTACCAGAATCAACAGGCGCGAATCGTTCCATCGATAGCTGCTGCCTACGCTTTCCTCTTTGTTGGACGTCGTCTCTCTGACATGTTCTCCAACGTGATGTACGCAGCGAAATCCAGAAAAGATACCACTGACCTGCCAGAGTTACACGCACTCTCCTCCGGATTGAAAACGACCATCACCTACATCACCTCGAAATGCATTGAGGATGCGAGATTCTCGTGTGGAGGACACGGATACAATCAGGCATCGGGATTGGTTCGTCTCTACAACAACTATCTTCACTTGGTGACAGCCGAGGGTGAGAACAATATCCTTCCACAACAGACTGCCAGATTCCTGTTGAAGGAATACAAGTCGGTGATGGTCGATGGCAAGACCAAACTCGGTGAAACTACACAGTATTTAGTGGACGAACAAAACGCACCAAATACCCTCACTGCTCTATTGGCTGCCACTGGAAAACAATGGAGTGATCCAGCTATTTTGGTGAGAGTATTTGCTCATCGTTCTGCATTCTTGATTGCCCGACTTGCCCGATTGATTCAAGAGGGATTGGGAAGTGGTAGAACCATGCAAGACGTTTGGAATTCACTCAATGTCGATTGCATCCGAGTGAGTGAAGCTCACTCACAACTGTACATTTTGAATTCATTCGCTACACAGTTGTCGCTTGTCCCGTTGGATGCACGTCCAGTACTCGTTCGTCTCTGTCAGTTGTACGCACTGAATAACATCGAGAGAAACAGCGGTGAATTCCTCATCGATCAATTCATCAGCCAAGATCAAATTGAAGAGATCTCCAAGTTTATTCTCAACCTGTACGCTCAACTCCGTCCAGATATCATCGGACTGGTCGATACCTTTGATGTTGCCGATCACACTCTCGGTAGCTCCTTGGGTCGTTACGATGGACAAGTCTATCCAGCACTCTGGGAATGGGCCAACAAACATCCACTCAACACCTCTGACGTTGGACTTTCCCAATTCTTTAAAAACATTAATAATAACAATAATAATTCTGTACCAACTTCAAAATTGTAAAATTACAAATTTCGTAAATAAACAAACTTTACCATTTTGATTATTATTGTTCTTTAAAAGGAAATCGAATCATCATTTTGCATAATTTCATCATTAATGATTTATTTTGTAAATAATTTCAGATAATTAGAACCATTCTACGATTTGAACCAAAAAAAAACAAATAAATCTAGATATTTTATTTTTGGGATTATTTTTGGGATTTTTTTTGGTGATTTTTTACAAATCAGACAACCTTGATTCTCCTTATTTATTCATTGCGTAACAATTTTCGATACGAATAAACCTCATACAACAAATAAATCTCTTTAAAGAAAAATGAAATATATATTAACAATTATTGCTGTAGTTTTACTTTTTACCTCTTTGGCCAGTGCTTCTGTCTCTGTTAAATATGGTTCATGTACAGGAAGTGTAAGTAAAGCAAATATATTGAATGAAAGTAATATTATTGAAAATGAACTAACTATTAACCATTTCAAATAGTGCTATTGTGCATCTAATATGATTGAAAATTATAATACAAGTGAAGCTCTTATGGTTGTAGAAATACCAAATAAACCGGAGCTCAAACAATTTGATAATAGATTTTCTGCTACCTACGATCCAGAGTTAAAGAAAATTCTTTTCAATGCCACTGGTGATACCTATACAGTTGCATTCCCTGATTTGGCTTACCCAATCAACAAGCCAGGAGACAACTCCTACGGAGTACCACAATGTGTATATGTAATCAATAGCTATGTAAAAGACAATTGTTTATACAATGTATTCTGTAATGATGAATCCTCAGGATCATCTTCACTCTTACCTTTCATCGCAGCTATCACATTTTCTGTTGTTTTAAGTTTATTACTTTAAAAAAAAAAAATTAAAAAATAAAAGATAAATAATAATTCTTTACAAAATTGTTTAGCTGGTCAATAAAGATCTTCTATCTTCACTTATTGACTGATTGATTGGATGATTGATTAATTTGTTTTATGTTGTTAGTGGTTTACAATTAATTTACAATTAGCAATTCCGTGAAATCTTGATTACCAACTGTTCCTTAAGATGATGATAAATATCAGAGCTCTAGATATCTTCAATATCTTCCCCTCAGAGTGGGATATTTGCAAAAAAGGTCGGTTCTAATGCATTTATTAATGATGCAAGTTGTCAATTCAATTTGATTCTTTGCGTTTTAAAAAGATCAAAGTTGTAAAAATGTTCAGAAAAGAAAAAAAAATAGTTCATCCCCAATCTTGCAGTTCCCGAGAGTCATAAGATCTATTGTTTATAGATAGTTGTTTATAAAACATATGCGATATGAAAAAATCATATGCTACTGCAGCTAGGCTAGAATGATTTCAAGTTTATTTGCAGCTCATTAAAGTCTTTTCCAACCAGCCTTTACTTTGCAAAAAAAAAAAATCATTCAAACACATAAAACACACTAGATATTATGAATCAAAAAAGATTTTTTCTGTTTTTTTTTGGAACGCTCTCCTTTGCCTGTGTGATTTGGTTTTCGAATTTTTGTAATTTTCAATGGTTTTAAGGGGCGCATGGGTTGTGGAAGTGATGGTTTTCAAATCAAATTTTTTTTCTCTTTTTTTTTTAGAGTTTTTTTTTTTTTTTTTAATTTTTTCTTTTTTTTTATTAATTTATATTGTAACTTTTAAAGGAGTCTTGTCTTTCTTTATTTACCAACATCAAACAACAATCTCAATCAGGTCGTTATTTTGCAATATATTCTTTTTTAATCAATCAATTAATCATCAATTCCAACAATATTAGATACAAATAGCAACACGTCAGAAAATAATTAGAACATAATAATTTCTTTTTTTCTCAACAAACAATCCAAAGAAAAACCATAAAAATAGTATAACTATTTTTCTTTTTCTTTTAATTTTTTTTTTTTTTTTTTAGCGTAGATCTAGATAATAACAACATTTTAGCTCCTACAATCTTTATTATAATCATTGTTTCAATACCATTAAATTTAGTCACAAAAAAAAATAACTAAAAAAACAAAACAAAAATAATATATATTTAAATTTAGAAACATTGTTTTTATTTTTTTTAAATCTATTTTAAATTAAGATACACACACAAATCAAAGATGGATGAAGAAAATTTAGGAAAGGTATTTATTTATCTATAAATAATAATAGTGGGTTGTGTTGTGCTAGAGATAACACACGCAAAATCTTTTAAAAATAGATCAAATTCTCTGATCGAATTTCGTTCTAACACTTTTTTTTTTTTCTTTTTTTTAAGCTTTTGAAATCACTTTCTAATTGTAATTATGTAGAGTTTGTAAAGATTTTCTCAATGATTCATGGATTCGATGCTACTTTTGAATTTTTGAGAAATGGTCTCACTACGATTCCATTTATGGCGTTCAAGAGAAAGTTTTGGTGGGGAAACAACAATGACGAACAATCATCATCGAGCACAAACACAGTGGTAGAAGAGAAACCACAAAAGTTCAAGAGACAAGCAATTCGTTCCACCTGGGAAGATGATGAACAATCTTGGCTATCTGGTCCCGGTGCCAATCCATCGTATCCAAGCGGTGGTGGCATGTCATACGATAGTGATCATGGATATAACAGACGTTCAAAATATCAAAGAAGAACATCTGCACCATCATCTTTTAAAACACAAAAACATTTAAAGTAAGTCAATTAACATTTAATAATTAATATAAATTACTTTTTCTAATTTATTTATATAATTATATTTTTTTCCAGGTTTTCAGATTTACCATATGAATTGATTATAAATATTTTCGGTTATTTAAAGACAACCGATTTATTGATTGCATCGTTGGTATCACATGAATGGAGTAGAATTTGTTTTGTATCGACGATAGAGTTGAACATTGACAATAGAAATGACATTACAGATCCTATTATATCAAAGAAAATCTATAGACACAGTAATTATTTGAAAAAGATAAGATGTGCTTCACCAGCGTTTGCCGTCAGTAGTTTAGAGACTATTCTGGTGCATTGTCGTAATCTGGTGGATTTACAATTCTATCACTGTCCCAGTATTCTCGATGCTCAAATCGATTTGATAGCTTCGCGATTGGAGCACCTGAAGCGTTTGGTGCTACACAGCAATGTATTGACAAATACATGCTTCGATTCGATTGCTCGTATTGCCTTGCTCGACGATTTGGAGCTGGGTGGATTTCGTCGACTGAATCTCGAACATCTCGCAAAGCTGGGTCAATGTCGTGTACTGCGCTCACTAGACGTCAGCGGAATCGACTCGGAACGCGACTTTGTCCAGCACCTCGCCACTTGTACAAAATTAACAGTTCTTCGGCTAAACATTGCTTCGGAGACCAGTATTATCAAACTTCCATATCTCACCAATTTACACGTGCTCTCCATTGCCGAATGGGAAGTGGAAAGCACTGAAAAGGGTGCTCAACTACACTTTTTAAATCGACTTTCCAAGTTGACGAAATTCGAGGTGTCCATTCCAGACTCGGTTGCGCTGATTAGCAACTTGGCAGGATTGACGCTTTCGGCACCGACTCTTCGTGAGTTGGATTTGGAGGCGTCGTACGATATCCCCGAGGAGATGTTCATCTATATTTTCGAACAACTCCATTGTATAGAATCATTGTTTTTAAGCGGTTTCAATCTTAGCGGAGAGTGTTGGCGTGCGTTCGCTTCACTCTCGCGACTCAGAAACCTCTCGATGTGCTGCACCGTCATGTCGGAGAAGTCAATCAACACCGGACTCAAACATCTTGGCGAGTGTGCATCACTCCAAACGCTCTCACTCATCAACTCCACTCAAAATTGGATCTCCATAAACGCCGACTGCTTCCGACAACTACTGAATTGCTTGGAGCTGAGCCAGCTGCGACTGGGAGGTTCGCGCGGCGGTGGTTGGCTGCTAGACGAATTTATCTTTGAGATCATTGGAAATATGCAAGTGTTGCAGCATCTCGACACCTCGAATAGCGGTGGCATTTCCGAGCGTTGTTTCGAGCACCTCTCGCGATGCTCGTCACTCGAGTCACTCGAATGCGGACTCAAAATCAGCGAAGAAACCGTACGTAATGCCGTCGCAGAGTGGTGCGGTACCGGAACACTAGTCAATTGTCCATCACTCAAAAAGGTGGTGGTCGATGTTAAGCTACCGGCAATCGTCACCTCCGAGGTAACTTGCGATTCACAACAAACAAACAATTCCAACAACATTGCATTTAATTTAGTCACCAAATTAGCAACACAAAACTAAATCCAACAAACAATAATATAAAAAAAAAAACAAAACAACAACAAAACAACGTTGATATTTCTTTTTTCTTTTCTTTCTTTTTCTTCTTTTCTTTCTTTTTTTTTTTTCATTTGTTAAAAAGTTGGATTTTTTTTGTTTGTTTGTTGTGTTGTGATATTAATATTTTAATGCAAATCAATCAATAATCAATTAATAAAATAATAATAAAATATTTAACATTTTAATGTAAAATTGAATCAATCACTTCTCTTTTCTTTTTTTTTCTTTTTTATTTTTGTTATTATTTTGGTGTCCAGGTCCTTGAAATAAATAAAAAAAAAAATAAAAATTATGTTATTTTATTGCAATATTTGCAGCAATGACATCGTCGTCAGCAACACCAAATTTGAGAATTGCAACGAAAATTGTACTTTTTTTTAATGAATTGCATTTTATGACTGATGTAACTCTCATAGCACTGGTATCGGGTTAAAAAACAACAAACAAACAAAAAAATATTGATTCTGATCAGCATGATCTCTCACGCCAATTTGCAGCTTTTCATTTTATTGGTGTGGTGGAAACAACCCACCCTCAAAAGGATAAAAATTCAAAAATTTTAATCACCAAAAAAAATAAAATAGCACTTCCACCCACCATTTGATCAGGTTCTCCGATATAATAAGAAAAATTTAACCACAGATGTTATTTTCTGAATGGTATTTATATTTTTATCGGTTGTTTTTGTTTTTGTGTTTTTTTTTCTTATATTTAATCACGATCAAAATCACGAAGTAAAAATTTATGTGTTTGAATGTTTGTTTTGTTGAAACCACAACTTCTATAGTTAGTTGTTTTTTGTTTTATAAAAACAAACAAAAAGAATAACACATTTTGTTTTAATGAATTAAAATTAAATTTGTTAAATCATAACATAATTATACATCAATCATTCCATTTTTCTCATTTTATACTCTTATTTTTTTATACATCTTTTAGATATACATCATTTAAATATATCAACTTTTAGAGAGAATAGTCAATCATGTTCAATGAGTATTGTCAAGAGTTAATTTTAAAAAAACAGATTGAAATTGAAAAAGAGATTGGAAAAGAAAAGTCAACAGATTTTATAGAGGTTTTCAAGATTCAAATGGAGATTGAAAATTTCTATATATCTATTACTAATGATCCTCTTGAGATCAAGAAAATCTCTATCAATCAAAAGTTTAATCATTTATTTTCACAAATTTATTATTTTATAAAAATAATATATATGGATATTCAATAAATGAAATATCATTATTTATAAAGGAAATATTCGAAAAAAAATTAACAATAAATAATTTTAATATAAATATTAATAATAATAATTTTTATAGCAATATATTTTTAAGGTAAGTTTTAGAAATAATAAAAAGATATTCAAAGATTTTAACTGGATTTTTTCTTATTTTTTTTTGGAAAATATTCAGTGCACTGGAATATATAAATGAAATAGAAAATAGTGATAAACAATTTTATTTCTTTGATCCAAGTGTTCATTGTGAAATTTATGATAGAAATAAACATTATCATTTCGGTTCGAGAGAGAATGATAGTGAAATAGTATCACTCTGTGTCATTCCATCGGTATTTTCAAAATCTGATAATTCCATTGTTTCCAAGAGTCTTGTGTTGGCCAGTAAATCAAAATTTTCAATCGATTCGCTACCACTCGAGATGGCAATTACTATATTTAACCAACTCGAGCCAAGAGACTTGTTTTCATTTTCAATGGTTTCACATAAATACAAAGAAATCATTGGAATATACAGTTGGAATCATCTCTACTCTGTAAGATGTCCTGAGATCATCAGACAACTAGATCCTACATACCTACACCCACTATCAATCATGTTTCAAGTCTATCCATTCATGCCCTATGAAAATCAAATCCAATGGTTAATGACTGTCGTTAGAGGTATTCGTAAATACTCACTAAAAGTAACTTCACTAAAGATTCTTTTGAATTTTATTTCCAAGCTCGATTCAAAAGATTTTATAGAGAAGATTTCGAATTTCTATCATGATTTCGTTCAATTTACAGTTTCAATAATGCAAGAATTCATTTCAATAAGAGAAATGGTTTATTTATCAATGGAGATCTTATCATTAATTTTTAAAGGTAAATAATTAAAGGTTGTTTAGAAATAATTAATTATTAATCTAGATTTTATTTTCTAGATAAACAATTTGATAATATAAAGATATTGGTTCATAAGAAAATAGATAAGATGGTAATAGTAACATTGAAGAAGTATGAATCCGATCCAGAAATTCAATTGTCAGGTCTAAATATTTTGTATCGAATTGCCAGCGATAATTCAATGAGACCTGCACTTGCCAACGATGGAATCTTTGAAGTTTTACAAAGAGTACAAATTCAATTGATAACCAATAAGAAACCAAACCATTTACAACCACTTATCCTAGAGAAATGTTGTGAGCTCTTACGAAATCTTGCATTCAATGAATCGTTACACAAGTACTTTGAGGTAAACAAAGATATCATCAAGAATACAATCAAAGTAATGAGATTACCAATCATGACAAAAACAGCATTAATAGAAGGTTGTATTGCATTGAATAATATTTGTCAAAAGAGTAAGTAAAATAACATTTAATTATTAATAATAATCTAAACAGAACAGGTTTATTAACATTCAAAACTATCTATTTATTTCAATTTCTTCAAGAGAAATTAGCTAAATTAATATATAAATACGGAGGTGTAAAATTATTATGTGATTTACTTACCATCAGTAATGATGTCGATGTTAAATCAGAGATTATCAATAACTTTACGAATCTTGCATACTTTAGTCTAACGATTCGTATGTCAATCTACAAAAGAGGTGGCATCAGATTGATTCTCAAAGAGATGAGAGATAATCCAATGAATGAATCCATTCAAAATAATTGTTATAGTGGATTAAATAATTTAAGTTTTACAAGTAAGTATATATCTGTAACTTTCTTTATTACCTATGTTATTAACTAAAATATATATTTTATTTTATTTTATTTTTATAAATTATTTTTAGTTGTTATTACAAAGAAGATTGCAAAGTCAGAGGCAATAGAGTTACTTGCAGTAGCTTCATCGAATTTCCCTCAGAATGCTGATAGATATAATCATCTACTTAGTTGTCTAGTTGATTTAAACAATGGAGTAATTTAATAGTTTTAATAAATAATAAATAATAATATTCATTTATATATTATTTGATCTATAGATAATTGTTGGGTTGTTCTCGAGTATGATGATGATGATTCTTTGTTGTTTTGTTTTAAAATAAATCTATTATTATTAATTGGTTGATTAAGATGATGTAGTTGCACCTAATTGATTCATTTCATTCATAAATTCATCGAATCCATCATCCAAATCTTGATCATCTTGATTCTTTTCTTTGTTTTCTGTATCTGTAGTTTCTTTTGTTGTTGCTTTTACTGTTGTAGTTGTAGTTGTAGTTGTTGCTGTGGTAGGTGTAGTTGGTGTAGTTGTAGCTGTTGTTTTCGTAGTAGTAGTAGTAGCTGCAGGTTTCTTTGATGTAGTTGAAGCTGCAGGCTTTCTTCTTAAATTCAAAGGTATCAGATTTTGATTGACAACAATATCTGGTTGTTTCTTTTCTCTTTTTGTGGCTGTTTCCTCTTCTTCTACTTCTGTTTGTTCATTTGATGATGTTGTTGCTGCTGCTCCTGCTGTTGTTGTTGTTTCGTTTTTAAATAATAATTGTGGTGGAAGAGGTGGAGGTATTCCCATTGGCAAACCACCGACTGATGGCATCATAAAAGGTGGCATTGGTGGCATTGGTATTTGAGGTGAACCACCTGCAGGTGGACCAAAGAATTGCGGTGGAAATTGTGTGAGGTAAGGTGGTATCATTCCAGCAGGTGGAAGTGGTGGCATTCCCATGAATGGTGGTGGCGGCATCATTGGTGGTGGCATTGGTGTTTGAGGTGGACCTGCAGGTGACATTGGTGTCATATATTTCTGTGTTGTTGTCGATGCTGCTGCTGATGCTGCTCCTACAGGTCGCTTAGAAGGTGGACCTGCCGGTGACATTGGTACCGATTGTTGTTTTATAAGATGTGCTGATGATCCTATTGATTTACTACCACCAACATTTGTATTCTATTTGTTTATTCATGAATATAGAACGTAGATTATGATTAACATTATTATTATTATTATGTTATGCTATGCTATCGAATTTAATTGTTATTATATACATACATTTTTAAAATTACCTCTATTATTAATATCTACACGTTTATTTCCATTAAATGTGTTATTAGGTTTATCATTCTTTACCATATTAAAATAAATATGTTTGTACAATTATATAACTAGTTAGTTAGCAAACTATTAGTTTTCATAAGATTGCAAAGCTTGTTGTAAGGTTTATTTTCATTTTTTTTGTTTTTTTTTTAAAATTGAACAACCCAAATTTGAAGAAAGAAGTTGAGTTGTTGCACACATTATTTGTATTGTAATAAAGTTATCAATATTATGATTCAAGATAAACAACAGTTAGCTATTTAATTAGTTATATTTTAATTTAATTAATTTAAATAAAAAGAATTTAATTCTAAAGTATTTTATGAAGATAGAATTATTTATTAGTCTTTGTGTGGTAGGAACTTATTCATTATTGGTACAACGAACCACACACTGTTGTTTCACACTATTTTTGTTTGTTTTTCAGTGTGTGTTGTCTATATTCAATATTACGATAATTATTGTTGGTTTACCAATGAATAACACATGTGAATTGTGAATTCAATTTCAAATTTATCATCGAGTGTCTATTATTTATTTATCAGACAGATAACTATTTAAACAACAATAAATATTTAACAATAATAATGGTTTTTAGTTTAGCATCTCATTTAGGAAATGAGATAAGAAATCAATCATGGAATTAAATAATAATACAGATAATAATAATAATAATAATACAGATAATAGTAATAACAATAGTAATAATAACAACAATAATAACAATAATAATAATATAGATTTTGAAAATGTTGATGATGATATAGATGATTATTATTATGATAATAAGGATTATGAAAGTGAAATTGAAATTGAATATATTTATAGTGACGGAGATGAAGAAGATGCATCTGGAAGAGAAAGAGAACTTATAGGTCATTTTAACAATTTGAATGATGAGGAGTTCGAGGAGCTCTATAATGAATTGTTACCAGAGTTGGATCCGGATTTCGTTTCCGATTTGTTTGCCAGTGACAATTCAGAGGAGCGACAGATCAATGAAGTCGTTCAAGACGATATTAATCAACTGAGTTCAACTAATATCTCACCGATGTTACTTAGAAGTAGTGGTAGAGGATTAAGAGCATCTACAACCACAACAGCAGATACAACAACCGCACCCAACTCACCATCATCGTTGATCGAGATGAAGATACTATCACCATTAGGATTGTCACGTGGAGTCATTCCAAACCGACCACAACCCACTGCTAATGCCATCGAAAGAGAACACCGTCAAGCTCTGAAACTACCTTACTTCACACCGGAGGATCTTTATGCCGCCGATCGACTACTAGCAGCCTATTTCCGAACTGGTCTTGCACTGATGACTATTGGCGTTGGCTTTGGTTCGCGTCTTGGCTACTCACGACACGCTCTCTTTGTATCGACTTTCTTTTTCTGTTTCGGAATATTCGCAGCAAGTCTCGGTTCCATTCGTAACTTTTTCATTGTTAAATACCTCAAACTTGGTTATATTCTACCACTGTTTTTCACCACATTCATCTTGGTAACTCTATCTCTCGGACTTGTCGGTGTTAGTATTTGGGCAATATTGAAATAATTAGCAATAATCATCATTGTTAAATTGTTAATTGTTAATTTGTTAATTTATTTAACAAGTTTATTTATTTAATGAAATCCAATGAGTTATAATCTAATATTGTTGGTGTCAAGTCGTTTTCTGCCAACCAATCTTTGTTGTACAATCTACTGGTGTAACGATGACCTTGGTCACAGAGAACGGTAACAATCGTCTTACCAGGTCCGAGCTTTCTCGCCAGTTTGACAGCGCCTGCACAATTGAGAGCAGAGGAACCACCTAAAAACAATCCATCGTTCCTCAGTAGATAGTGAGCCATATCGACACCCTCTTGCTCAGTTCCCTGGAATGCACCGTTCAACACTGCCTTGGCAAAGTTCTCTGTCTTTCGATTGACACCGACACCCTCATAGAATGAACGTGGTCCAAACTTGTCTACCACCAAACGATCACGAACATCGAAAATAACACCTGTATTAACCAAACTATATAATCCTGAACCTGGTGGATCGATTAACCATGTTTCAATATTTGATGACTAAAATAACAATATAATATTAATAAAATAGTCATTAATATATATATATTAATAACATTTCTTTTTTCTTACTCTTGATTTTAAATAATTTGAAATTCCACCTAAAGTTCCACCTGTTCCAGCTGCACAAACGAATCCATCTATCTTTCCATTGGTTTGTTGCCATATCTCTTTGGCAGTTCCATAGAAATGTGCATTGAAATTGGAGATATTATCGAATTGATTGGCATAGAATGTTGATTTATCTACAAGACATCGTTGATATGCACAATGCATAAAATGTGATGCATTATTCATTCCTACAATTGGTACAATCTTTGATAGATTAATAGTAGTTAGTTTAATTCTATTTATATTTATAATACTAATTATTTAATTTTGTAATTACATTTATCTTTGCACCCAACATTTCTAATAGATCAACTTTTTCTTTTGATACATTGTCTGGTATGTAAAGTTCAACATTGTAACCTCTTGATTTACCAAACATTGCCAATGAAATACCTGTACTTCCTGCGGTTGCTTCTACAATCGTTGTCTTACCAGCAATTAGCTTGCCTTGTTTCTCACCATCTAAAATTATACTTTTCGCTACTCTATCCTTTGGACTACCACCAGGATTCATATATTCCGCTTTACCAAGTATAGTACATCCTGTTGCTTTTGATAAACTTTCAATCTAAAAGTAATCAAATATTAAACAATCATTTTATTTTAATAAAAAGAACACTGTAGTTGTTTTGTTTTCTTTCTTTCTTACATACTTTAATTAGTGGAGTTTCACCAACTGTATCTATTAATCCATTACTTATTCCTGTGTGAAAAGATGTTTTTTTATTATCGACAGTCGTTGTTGTTGTTGTTGAATTTGAAGTTGAATTGGGTTTATCTTCATTGTTATCTTGATCATCTATTTGATAAAATACTCTTTTTAAACTATTTATCATTATTATTTATATATTTATTTATTAGTATTATTAATATATCTAATATATCTAAGATTTAATTAAGATTTATTAAAAACGACTAGGACGAACCATTTTTAATTTAATTTTCATTTTATTTTACGATTATTTAATTAACTTTTTTTTTTTTTTTTTTTTTGAACATCTTGAATGTTTAAACATATAGATATTGAAGTAAAATAAGAATAGATATATAGATATGTCTAATACAACTAATTATAGTCCAATACTAGGTACACCTACTCCTTTTTTTAATCAAAATAATAATAATAATATAACTAGTAGTAGTACGAGTACTACTTCTACTTCTACTTCTACTACAAACACAAATACAAATACAACACCTCTATCACCACAATCATCTACATCATCATCAACAACATCATCAATATTATCACCTTCATGTGTAAATCAACCTACTTCACCATCTTCTACGACAACAACAACTACAACAACTACTAGTACAAATACAATTTCACCACCTATCTTTACATCAGCAATCAACCCAAACTCTGTATTATCTTCATTACAACAACAGCCAGCAGAGAAAATACATAATGTAACGACTGTATCCTCACAACCAAGTAAAAGAAGAAGAACATTTACAAAAGATCGTAAATATTATCAAAAAAAAACAATTGTTATTTAATTATAATCAAGTTCGCTCTAACTCTTATTATTATTATTAATACAATAATCATTTATATAGTTAAACATATGATGTATGGTTTTGGGTATCTATCATAAATTATAATATAAAATCATAACGTTAACTTTGTAGAATATATTTATTAACATTAATCAATTTTCATTTTTAGTGATGTAAGAGATCCTCTACCAGATACAGTAGATCTATTGGAAGAGATTGTTTTCGAATATATTCAAGAGATGACATTGAAAGCAGCACAGGTATCAACAAAAAGAGGTAGATTTCAAACAGAGGATTTAGTATTTCTTGTTAGAAAGGATGCAAAGAAATATCATCGTGTCATCGAACTACTAAAGATGAATGAAGAGCTAAAGAAAGCAAAGAGAGCTTTTGACGATACTCAAGAACCAGTAGATGAAGAATAAATGAATTGTAAAATATATTTTTATAACAATAAAAAGAATTATTTAATGAGGAGGCAGCTAGCTCCCAAAGCATACACTCTAGATAAATGGTTAAAGATTCACTAAAATTGCAATGAAAATATCCCAACCAGACGGCTGAAATAGTCATCATTTGGGAAAAGATTTTTTCCTGTTTGTTTTTTTTTACAACCCCTTAATGCGGCACTGAATGCGTGGGTCAAGATAAAAAAGGTATGAGACATGCAGGGCTTGAACCTGCGACCTATTGGTTCGTAGCCAATCGCTCTTCCAACTGAGCTAAAGTCCCTTTTTTATTAAAGATATTTATTTTTAAATTTTTATTTCATTTTTATCAATTATTTATTTTTAAATTTTTATTTCATTTTTATCAATTAATTATTTGTAATGAATAATATAGCACCCTTTCGACATTTGAGTTATTTTTAACAAACCTATATCTTTACATAGAAGAGAAATGAATCCGAAACTTCAGATGTACTGGACAGTGTATGCAAAATCTTTATCAAGTTTGTCTTCCTGTTTAGACACCTTATAAAAATACATATGGTAATACAATATAATAAATAAGAATAAAATATTTTAACCTTTTATTATTAGTTTTTATAGCTTCGTTTTAAAAGTAGAGAGGTGATATATTCTCCTCTAGATGAATTCGAACATGATAGCAACGATGCTTCATATATATATTTATGTTGAATATCAATTTTGAGGGATTTACTATTTTCACTCTTGTGATTATAATATCCACCAATAACAAGTGATTCCATTGATTTTGGTAAAGGTATTCTTTTGTTTTTAATATCATCATCTGAAATCTGCATTTGATCATTAAAGTTATCGAAATTGCAAGCAGAAAGTTGGGAACTATCATGTAGTATTATTCTTTGAAGTGAAGATGGAAGAACATCAATACCAATCATATGACTATAAGAGTTTAATTGTAAATCTCGAAGAGATTGTGGTAATACTCCACTATCCAAATACCGATTAAACGATCCAAAATGTAACATTTCAAGATTGTGTGGTAGATCTTCTATCTCTAGTCGTTGATTGTAGCCAAGCATTGTTAATGACATTAGCGATTGAGGTAACACTCCTTTTGATAGTTTTTCATTGAATCCATTTCCCAACACCAATGATAAAAGAGAATTTGATAGTGTTCCTCGAACTAGTTTTTGATTGAAACCCTTACCAAATGTTAAATGTAAGAGTGAATGTGGAAGTACACCTATATGTATTTGTTGATTGAAATTTAATCCAAATGATAATGATTTCAGATTTGGAGGGAGTGAATTAGGTTCCAATGGTCGATTAAATTCGTCACCAAATTTTAATTCAGTGATATTGGTTGAGTTGTTTATGAATGTAGTATTCACATTGAAAGTAATTGAATGATTTTCGGTTATAGTTTCAATATACTGTTGCAATAATTGTTGCAATGATTCTCTATTCTTTGGACTCGGCTCCAACAATCGATTAATAAAGTCAATCAATTGTTGTGAATATCTGCATTCTGAAATGATAATTTCACCGGTAGATTTGAATAGTTGATGATAACTACTATCTTCTTGATGACTAATCAATTTAAATATTCAAAAATAACTCGTTAATATCTGATTGATAATAATGTATTAAAAATGACTATCGAGTATTTACCAACATAATAATCTGAGAATCGTTGATCCAATTGAAAAGATGTCACACGATGGAGCATATTCTCTCCTCTTTGCTTCCTAATTTTATTATTATAAATTTAGTTAAAATCTATATGGAATATCAATTAAATGGAATTTACATACTGGTGAAATATAACCAAATGTTCCACGAGTTGCTTTTTCAAGTGTGCTTGGATTTAAATCAAAAATGGTTGGATCTGTTACTTCATTTTTGATCTTTAACTCACTTATATCAGGAATTTCTACGTTTGTATCTCGATCTTGAGTGATTGTTGATTTATCAATGAATTTACAACATCCAAAATCACCAAGTATCAAACTCCAACCATCAATGAATATATTTGATGGTTTGATATCACAATGAACAATTCCAAGCCTATCAAGATCCAAAAGAATATTGAAAAGTTGTGAAATATATTCTCTAATATTTGATTCTGTAAATATTCTATATTTAATATTCAATATAAAATGGTTATTTCTTTTATTCTACTTTCATATCTCGATTTATGTTAAAATAAATTTATGCTACTTACTGGTCATGATCAGCCAAATATTTATACTCTTGGTCAAGATCACCACCAAGACAATATTTTGTAATGATATGAAATATTTGATTGTGTGTATCATCATGATAGTCAAAAAGCTGAACAAATTTTACATTACCTTTGAGTAATTCCATTGCTTTGATTTCATTCAATGCTCTTATATAATTTTTATCATCTTTTTCTTTAACTTTATCTGTTTCCTCCACTGTTTGTTTTTCGGTTTTTTTCTCTGTTTCTTTTTCTTTAGCTTTATAGTTTATCTTTTTATAAACATACTTTTTGAATTGGTTTTGTTAATTTTACGATTGTCAATTGATTAATTTAATGCCGGAATGATCTTACCATTCTTTTATCAATATCACACACTAAGTATACTTCATTGAGGCTGTTTAGGAATTTTGATATTGAATGATATCGTTTGTTATTAATGATATGTGTTTGTTTGAAATAGTCAACATTGTGTTTGAATAGACTTTCTGTATTATTGATTGTGTATGATTGTGATTTATTTAATTGAAGTGTGCATATAGATATAGAATCTTGGAGTGAATGTAATTTTATAATTATTAAATGATAGTGAGGATCTACATTCTCTGGTATTACAATTACATTATTACGACTATTAATATTTCTCATTGATACGATCTCTCTCTGTTGTTCATCATTATTATTTAAATCGTGATTCTCATTCTGAAATAAAACTATAAATCTACATGTTCTTCCTACAGATGTAAATTCCAAGATACTTCTTCCATTTAATTTTCTATCTGTTTTAAGGAAAGTCATTTATTTATCTTTTTAAAATAACTTTGGTTGGTCTATTAGCCCTGATATTTGCTCTACATATTTTTTTATTGATCAAAAATTGTATTTTTTTTTTTTTTTTTTTTGGGATAAAGCACAATTTTTGCTCAGATGGGAGAATAGAATCCTCTATTAATAGCATCGTCAACAACAAATTTTTCTTTCTTTTTTTAATATATTGAAATCTCCAGAGTGCTGGCTGGAACATAGAATGTATTGCAATAAAGATAAAATAAACAATAAAAAGTGGTGAATCTACTTTTACTTATAAATGTCAAACAGTTTAAAAAAACAAAAAACAAAAAAAAAAAAAGGATGTTAATGGTATCTTTAACATAATTCTGGAGATTGATAACTTGTTTTTAGAATTGATGAGTTATCGAAGGTTCTAACTCTTGGTACCAAGTAAGTAAGTGTACATTTATCTATTATTTTATTTTTATTTTATTTATAAAATCATTTTCAAAATTTTTTTTTTTTTTTTTTTTTTTTATCTATTCTTTTATTATTATTGGATTTCATTATGTGTGAAAATAAAATCTGTTGTGGAACCAACAATCATTCTAAAAATATCTTTTTTGAGATATGTGGGAATCAGTTTTGATCACTGAAAAAAAAAGTGGAATAATTGCGAAAATTAAATAAAATTGAAAAAAAGACCAAAAAATAACCCATCAAACAAAAAAAACAAAAACACCATTACCATCATAGATTTCATCTTTTTTTCACGCACCAACAAAAAATTAACTAAACAATTAAATCTATAAAAAAAAATCGCATCAACATTAAAAAATAAAAAAATTTTAAAATTAAAAAAGCCATTATTTATATCAATTTATTATTTATTCAGCAACAACATTGCGACTACTCCATATTTAAATCAAAACATCCCCATCCATTTGTTGTTGAATCAACAACACAACACAACTCAACTCAAAAATTCTCGATCATCGGATCCGCTGCTTGCCGGTGAAAATAATCAATCCAACAACATTCATTCTATTACAACAACATTATTATTTATTTTCATTTACATTGTATAAATAAATATATATGTATATTGTTATTTATTCCAAGTTACTTAATTAATAAATAAATTCATCTAAATTTCGCTCACTGTAACAAAATAGAATAGAATTAGAACAACAACAACAACAGAATAATCAAAGAATTTATTTTAATAACCAATTCACAAGAGTTAATATTAATATCAGTCGTTTTTGCTTTGTTATAATAACTTGACCATAAGAATAAGAAAAATAAAAATAAAAAAATAAACAACAAAACACAACAATCACAGAGCAGAGTGTGTCTTCAATCTCCACAACCACCAACTGGTTCTGTTATAATCACACACACCTTTTGAATTTACTGTTCTTACCTCTTTTTTTTTTTAAAAGAATCAACAACAACAACAACCTCATTGTACAATACAATATTAATTTATTTATTTATTTATTTTTAATAACAATAATTTTTAATCAATCAAATTAAATCATATCAAATCAAATCAATTCATACTTATATACATAAATAGATAGAGACCCACACACATAAATAACAATTTCAACAATTTTTAAGTGTGTTTGTGATGTATGCTAAGAGTAGATAACAATATTGTTATAAAAGATAGAGATAAAGAGAGTGAGAAAGAAAATACAGATTAAGCGATAGATCAACAACAACAATAATAATAATACCTTCATTAAACAACTAAATTTAATCCAATAAAAGGAAATAAACAATTGTTATACATACAATCTAACGATAGTGCTGTTGTTTTTCCAAACACATTCCACCACTCACCACACAACAAAACAAAACAAAACACAACAACACAGATTCTCACACCAAGGACAAACAAACCCAACACACCTAGACTTAACTAAATTTAAAAGTATTAAAAATGACTTCAACTGAAGGTATGTAATATATTATCATATTAAAATCAAAAGAATTAAAATGATATTATCAATACAATCATTATTATCATACCATATGTGATAGACATCATTCATTCATTCATTCATATTCACTCATCTATAATACACCTCTATAACTCACCTACAATTCAATTCAATTCAATACAATTAATTATAATAAACCATCACCTCACCTCTCTTTTATAAACCATATCTTAATCTTAATAAACTTTTTTAATCAATTTCAATATTTAAATAATACTTTACTTTACTTTACTTTTTAATATATATATAATTTATATTTATATTTATTATCTTTCAATAAATAATAATTACTATTTTCATATAAAATGATTCGAATAAATAAAATTATTGTTAAAATTAGAAATCATGATTATAATAAACATAATATATTTAAAAAACATTATACTCACAAAAATAACAATAATGTAGTAGGTACAAACAATCCAGATGTAAACATAAATCAAGAGAGCAAAGATGATAAAACTAGTGAAAAACGCGAAAGTAGGAATATAGATGATGATTTGACAACTACTTCAACAACAGCTGCAACTGCCGATAATAAAGATAAAGATAACAACAATGACATTGACAAAGATAACGATGAATCTGAGGATAAAGATATTGATTCCGATAATGATGATAGTGGTGATGAAAAGTTAGCTGGAAGTAGTGGTATCAATAATAATAATAATAATAACAATAGTAGTGGTAAAGTTGTTATTGGTAAAGATGGTAAACAACAACAATTGTCAAAGAAGGAACTAAAGAAACTCGAAAAGGAAGAGAAGGAACGTGTGAAACAAGAGAAAGAGCGAATGAAACGCGAAGAGAAAGAACGTTTGGAACAAGAGAAATCGGAAAAGGAGAGAATCAAACGTGAAGAGAAAGAACGTCAGAAACTGATGAAAACCAAATCAAACAGTGGAAGCAATCGTTCTTTGAAATCGATGGTTGGTACTGGTAGTTCTTCAAGCTCATTAAATCTTCATCAAGCGGCAGCGAACGAATCAACTCCATCCTCACCAACAAATAAAGATGATAATAATAATGATACCGATATCATTAGTAATAATAATGTAAATAATAGTAATAATAATAATAGCGATGAAAAAGATAAAGAGAAAGAGAAAGAAAAAGATAGTAAGGAATCGACCAACAACAATGATCAAGATACAAATAGTAGTGAATTAGATGATTCAATTGATGAATCTACGACAGCAACAGCAACAACAACACCAGCATCACCAATATCAAACAATAATAATAACAATAGTAGTAATAGTCCAGTAACTATATCATCACCTGCACCTGCTTCTTCTTCATCTTCTTCATCTGGTGATAAAAGAGAAGTTGTCATCATAGTAACACGTGCATTCGCAGCAGTCGTTCATCAAAATGTATTGGCAGAAGAAGGTGAAACTAAAATGCGTAACAAAGTCATCAATGAACTTATCAATACTGAGAAGGATTATATTGCTGATTTGAAAGTTATTATTCATGTAAATATCAATATCAATTGACAATTTGTTGTAATATATTATTAACAGATCTTTATTGTTGTTGTGATAATCACGATTATTATAGGTTATTTTAGCACCATTAAGAGAAAGTAAAATTATTGACAGACAAAGATATAAATACGATATTCTCAAATATTCAGATGTTGTTGAGTGTCAATGAAGTGTTGTTGGCCGACTTGGAAAAGACGGCAAAGGCGAATCAGGGAATGTCGATCGGTCCTTGCTTCAAGTACTTGGCGGACTACCTGAAGATCTACTCGTCGTACTGCGCCAACCAGCAGATCTCACACGATCACCTGCTGATGTGCATCAAGAAGCAACCGGCATTCAAGCAGTTCTTGGACGAGCGACAAGCGATGCCAGAGTGTCGACAGTGTCACTTGGACAGCTTCCTGATCAAGCCGATTCAACGTCTCTGTAAATATCCACTGCTCATTCGTGAGCTCATAAAGAACTCTGTCGAGAATCACCCGGACATTGAATCACTCGAGCAAGCCTACTCAAAGATTCAAACAACCGTCATCACTGTAAATGAAAACAAACGTAAAGCTGAAGTACAACAGAAAATGTATAAAATACATGAACAACTTGAAACAACTGAAGTAAGTGTTTAACTAAACTTTTTAACAAATGGTTAATATAATTACTAATGTATCCATCTATCTCTCCTTAGAAATTCGACTTTTTAACACCTACTCGTTATTTGATTCGTGAGGATACGTTGAAGGAGTTGACAGAGGAGAAGGATAAGATTGCAGGAAAGAGTCATTACTTTTTGTTTAACGATATTATTATGAGAACAAAGAAAGATAAGAAATCGATCAAGTTGGAAACACTGTTTGTCATTGCTTCGACGACGATCACCGATAATGAATCACGTGGAAACACCAGTTTCTGTAATACATTTGAATTGGCACAGGTCGGTAGTGCCGGTAGAAAATTCACTCTCGTTTGCGACACCTACGAACAAAAGATGGAGTGGATGACCGATATCGAACAACTAATTCGTCCATTCCAAGAGGAATACACAAAAGAATATGAAAAGCTATTAGATGGTAAGAACAATAACACATCTATTAGAATCTATTCAAGTTGATCGTAATATTAACTAACTTCTTTACACAATATTTATTTAGATTTCGATCCAAGTAAATTCAAGAGAAGTACAATTGCAACTGGAAATCCATCTGCTGTTGATAGTTCACCGAAATCACTGATGCGCTCCGCTACTTCCAGTGGATTGTCGACTAAACACTTGCCGGCAGTACCATCGAAACCGTTACCTCCACCACCACCATCACACAAATCCAATGTAAATCTAATAAGAAGTGAATCAAAATCGAATTTGAATGATAACAACTCTGCAAATACCACTCCAAACGCTGCATCTCCTAGAACTTCTGTTGCCAATGTCAGTAGTTCCACCGATAGTCCTGCGACTACAACAACTCCAAGTTCAAGACCACCATCCATCTCCCCAAGATCATCGTTAACTCCACCTTTAGAAACATCTCCAAGAACTTCATTACATTTAACAACAACAACAACTACAACGACAACATCATCACCAACAACAACTGCAGAAGCAACAACAACTACTGCTGCAGCCATTTCTAAAGCACCACTACCTTTTATTGTTAAACCAAAGCCACCAGTGACATTGCCAAGAAAATCACTAAACTCAACCAACTCACCTGTATTATCTTCATCTGAACAATCGACACCGGTACTCAATCCGACTACCACCTCCACACCCAACATTCCAGTTTCCACACCACTTCAAAAACTACCACCCAGAACAACAGAATCATCGATATCATCACCAGCATTCTCAAACTTTAAACCTGCACCAAATGTTGGTGGCAGACCACTACCAAATCCTGCCAACATGAAACCAAGAGCTCTTCCACATCCAACAACAACATCGTCATCACCATCATCCGCCAATACAACACCAACACACTCACCGTCACTACAATCAACTAATAACAATGAATCAACGGCAACAACAACAACACCATCACCACCACCAAAGACAACAACAACACCAACAACATCATCACCATTGGTATCAAGTCCGTCAGTCAATAGTTCGGCGTCGTCAACACCACCACCTGTTGCACCACGTCCTATTGCATTCCCAAAGTCAGCTGCTGCATTGAAGAATGTAGTACCTTCACCAGTATCTAGATCCTATTCGACTCTGCCATCTAGCTCATCTAGTTTCTCACCACTGTCACCGTCATCACCCAATAGTACAGCACCAGCAAAAGACGACAATCAACTACCAGCCAAGAAAACAGTTGCACCCGTTCTTCCACCAACTCAAAACATCAACAAACTACCACCAAAGACAGTAACAACAGCACCAGTAATTCCACCAAGATCTTCAGCTCCATCAACCACCGATTCATCATCCAACAAACCACTTCCAACACCTCCACCAACAAGCAAACCTGTACCACCACCAAGACGTTAATTAACTAAACAACTAAATAACTAAATAATTATAATATCTAGAAACAAACAAACAAAAATGTAGTTTTACAACATAATCTAATCATACTTTGATGGAAACAAATACAATCATGATTGCCTCACAACAAGATCAAATTCAAATCCATCATCATCTATTTAACCATTTAATGTCAATTTATTAATCTATAAATAAGACATTCAATTCAATTTAAAATATAATCTATTTATAATAAAAAATAATAATACTAATTTAATTTATTTAAATGAACTAACTAACTAGTTATATTGAGTAACAATGATCACATCTTATTATGAGAAACGAAAAGTTTTAAAAATAAAGCCCGTGCAGAAATTTTGTCGTTTGTAAAAATGAATTTCTCGAAAAAATCAAATTTAATTCATAAAAATGAAAATTTTGGATGTGGGTGTGAGTGGTGAATTCTTCCCTATAGAGAGAGCCTATCTTGCATCAGCAACGTTCTTTTTCTCCACGATCACGCTACAATGGGGTAGAGTATATCCTCTATTACTTTATATGAGCGTTTATATCTTAGGTTGTGGATGTTTATAGTGATTAGATAGTTGATAGATGTTACAATAGATTTAGGATTGATACATACAGGAATTTACATACAGCAGGTTGTTTAGAAGTGTTTATAGCTACAAGCGAAGGACACAAAGATGAAAGAAAGAAGAAAAAGAGATGAGGACTACTATCTAAACAATTGACAAACATTCATAACCTTTGATAAAAACTTGCTCGTAAACAACAATGGAAAAACCATATTGTTAACACATTTTTCTATCATATCCTACACTACTTTTTAAATAATATAGTAAACCAAAGGGATTGAAAACAGCTAGAAAGCTCAGAAATCATCGTCGTGTCCAAAGATGGAACGATAAGCAATACAAGAAGGCTCACTTTGGTACTGCTTTGAAGGCCAATCCATTCGGAGGTGCTTCTCACGCATCCGGTATCGTCGTCCAACGTCTCGGTATCGAAGCCAAGCAGCCTAACTCTGCTATTCGTAAGTGTGTCAGAGTTCAACTCAAGAAGAACGGTAAGAAGGTTACCGCCTTCGTCCCATGTGACGGTTGTCTCAACTACATCCAAGAAAACGTATGTAATCAACAGCAAACAAAAAACATTCAGATCATCAGTTTCGGAATCAAACAGTTATTCTAACTTTTTTCTCAATTAATTTATCAACTTTTAGGACAAGGTCTTGGTAGCTGGTTTCGGTCGTTCCGGTCATGCCGTCGGTGATATTCCGGGTGTACGTTTCAAGATTGTTAAAGTATCATCTGTATCCTTGCTTGCTATCTACCGTGGTAAGAAGGAAAAGCCAAACGTATAAATCATTTTTTACGTTGTCTAGCTTTCTTCCTAAATAAAAAAATTGCCCTCTTAATTTAAAAAATGAAGGAATTAATTAATCATTGATTATTAGTTTATTTTATTATTTCTATCTATCTATCAATATGCAATCAACAACAACAACAACAACGAAAAACATCAAGATATCAGTTGGAAATTGATGGTTGTTCTCACTATGTGTGAAATCTCAATTATTTCTGAAATTTTCTTTTTCATGAATTTATAATCTCACTCTGTTTTACAAACTAGTTTGTAATTGTATTATTATTACTTATCATATTCATATTAATGTTCATGAGTAGAAATAAAATGGATAATTTACTGTCTCCTCCACCAAGATCACCAACTTTAATTTTAGAAGGTAATACGAGGAATATATTTAAGGAGTTGGCAAAAGATAATAATGGACAATCATGTCACATGACAATGGCATCAATCGATGAGTCGATGTTTGTAAATCGATGTTTCGAAGGTGATCTCGTTATAGATTTTGGTGAAGTCTCGAGTGAACAGCGTATTTCAATCAACCGTACAATAGAGTCAATCAAAGAGGTAGCAGATAGCTTCGATCGAGTCGATAGTGTAAAGTCGCGATCCTATCTAGATGATTTCCATAGGCAGCGGTTGTTCGCTGATATGTTACCACACTTGATAGCTGCTAGCATGTTCAGTGCGTTTCAAATCGAACAAATCAGAATTCATCCATTGTCGTTAGGTCAAATAGTTTGTCGGAAATACCATATTGCCGATGATCTCTCGATATATAAACTGGCGGATGTTCCAACGATGATCGCCAATAACTTTACAAAACAATCACTCTCTCTCTTGGGAGATCTAATGATGCATCGTCATCTTGACTCTATTCTTAGTCTTGGAGAGTATTCACAATTCGATAGAAATGGTTTTATCTTTAAGGCAATAAGAAAGTTTCTAAATAAATCAGTAAGTAGTATTATAAGCAATAAGTATGATTATGATGAAAACACAAAAATAAACCATCTCTGCTAATCATAATGATATCTATCTTTAATTAATTAGGATACATTGACTACTAATAGAGATAGATATCAAAGGTCTTATTATTCAGTGAATTTAGCAAGATATTTGAAGAACAATGAACTAGAGATTTTAGTTATGGAGATGGTGTACACAAATCAATTTAGAACTAAAAGATATATTTGTAAGTAGTAGTAGTTTGTTTGTACAAAATAGTTTGTTATTAATAATAATCTATTATTAATGTTTTATAATAAAAAGATGGTAAAGAACATTTATCTGTGAATGATATCTTCAATTTCAAAAAAGGTGATGAGGCTAAACATAGGTTTAATGAGCTCTATAAGGAATTGACCAACAGAGAATATAAACAGAATGACTTATTCCCACCAGGTGACAGTGATGAGTTCTTTGGTCACTTTGAATCCATAATTGAAAAGAGATATCACATTCCATCGATGAAACAAATATGTTACTCTGTATTATCTGAAATGTTTTTAATGTATGTAGTTAATCTCTATGTTAGTTAGCCATATTAATCATAAATCCATACTCAACAACAATATATAGTAACAAAACAGATTTCATGGAAAAGATAAATCAACTTACTTTCGATACGCTACGAGAATTCTTAATCTATTGTTTCCGAAATGAAAAACCAGTAGGTAATGAAATTGCTGTATACTTACTTGACAGGCTTAGGGGTGGAGTCTATAGTGACAGTGAATTGGAGGAGTTGTTCCCATTCCAGATGTATATCGAATCAATGTTTAGTAGACATAGATGGTTCCGTCGGTCAGTCATTTTCAGCATTCCACAAAGTTTAACTAGACCACCATATGACGCCAATCTCTTGTTCAACGTCTATGAGAGTCGTCATCTCTTCAAACCAAAACAACTACCCGAAGCTAACTTGTTGTTCTCTCAAAAGGTTTCAACAAATCCACTCGTTCTCCAAGACAAACAGACATTCCTTGATAACTTTAAGAAGAATACCGATGGATTCTTTGAAGTATTGGGATTTAAGAATATGGTTATCATTGGTGGAGTTATGACAAGTTCTCTCACAGGTGAAACAGTTGGATTCGAATCATCGGATATCGATGTTTGTTTCTATGGTTTATCAGCAACTGAAGTCACTGAAAAGATTAGAGAGATTGTCAAACGTATCAATGCAAACTACACCGGTCACAGTATTACCTATAGTGAGAATGAACTTACATTCTGCCGTCACTATCCTTATCGACACATTCAATTCAATTGTTCGGTATTCAATGATATTCAAGATGTTTTGTTGGGTGTCGATATTGAAGCATCTTGTTTCGCATTTGATGGCACCAGCGTCTGGACAACTCAGCGCGGTATCGAATCATTCAACTATCGCGCCAATTTCGCTACTTCCTATGGACATGTTATTCGTGGTGACCAGATCTACCAACGTCGTCTTCTCAAGTATTGGGAACGTGGATTCAACATTGCTTATTTACCAAATGAAATAATAGCTAGACGTGTAGAAAAGATGAACTTTGAGAAGAAGAAATCAAATGGTATAGAATTACTCTTCAAAGCGAGAGGCAATCAAGAGATATTGAGTTCGCTTCTTAAAAAAAATAGAGTCGGTGGACTTCCCTATGGACCGAACTTCAACAAAGTTAATTTCGATATTAGAGTTACCAACAACTATAATAACAACTACGATGGTTACAATTCTAGTGATTGGCCATCTATTCTGAAGGATATCAAAGACCTCGATTATGTCATGCCGAGTAAAAACATTTTAACAAACACAGGATTACCATTCGATCATTTCTTGTTGATTGATAAAGATGATCAATTTCACTCTGATACTGATGATTACGAAGATGATGAATAAAAAAAAAAAAAAAAAAACAGCACTCGATCAAGTGTAGATCAATCATTATTCCGTGCACAAGACAGTCAATAATATCATTACCAATACCATCACAACCATCAATATTATCAAATATAACAGCAGCAACAACAACAATAATAAGCAATCGCATTAGATAAAAATAGAAAGAGAATATAAAAGAAGATAAATTAAATGCTAGTTTAAATAAATAAATCTCAACCAAGTGTTTTCTTTCATTATTAGGTTTTTAATTTATGTCATTCTTTTATCTTAATTAATTTATCTTCTTTTAATATATAAGACCAAAAAAAATTAGAGCTTTATTTGTAGTTTAATACTGATCATTATTGCTCTATAATCAATTAATACTTCCAAAGATGTCTTGTATGCTCGTACACTTTCACTCATCCACTGTACAAGTTTAGTATACTTACAAGTTTATATCTCTCTATCTTTTAGTGTTAAGTGATGCGCTTGATGCCATTCTCGCGAGTAATCTTACCGGTGACATGAAGCAACAATGGAGCGACCATCTCAAGCGTTACAAAAACAAGGCTTTATTCATTGTCGAAGTATGGAACCGATCAAATGCAGCCGATCCTCCTGCCGCTACTGCTTCTCTCGATGATTATCTTACCAAGATGGTTGTTGTTGAACCAACTGATACCACCAACATTAAGTTATACAGTCTTTCTATATTATAATAATAATAGTTTAATTATAAAATAACTAAACAATATAAACCCAAAGACGAGACAAAAGAACCACTTAGTTTGGTTCTTAGTAAAGCAGAGTGTTCATGTACTAATGGAGAAGTTTTTCTCGAGAATGAATTCGTTTCACTTTCTTCTATCAAGGATGTTCTCAATGACGATGGTTTAATGGGATGTTTGACTCCTAAGCCTAAGAAAGCTGGATTCAACCTATTTGATCTCTTAAAGCTTAAGTTATATCTCAACAACCAAGCTGATCTGCTTAATCAATGTACTGTACCAACATTCATCTTTACTATATAGTAACATTATCTCTCTTCATCTATTTTTTCACTCCAACTTATATATTCTCTTCAACAGCTTTCTTTACTATATCAGATTCTTTTAAACACCAAAGTGATTTCTCATGCATTTACACAGATCACACCAACGAATCTTTGGGTAAGCACAACTCTAGGTCACCTTATTTCAAAATCATTACAATGATTTTTAATAAAACAAATAAATATATTTATTATATTGTTCAAAACCTGTAAAAAAACACTTATGAAATAGATTTGAGCTTAGCTTACATAAATACATGTATTTAGAATTTTTGTTTTTTAATATTAATACTACTTCAGTATAAAGAGATATTCAAAGCAATAGTTTTTATTTGTTATCTTATTTAAAATAAATAGGTATGATAGTATCCAATTCTATTATTTGATGGGTTTCTAATTGCAACGTATAGTTGGTTATTGAACAAACAACCGGTTGCGTATTCACCAATGGTTTTCTGTGTAATTATATCCGATACATAATCATCATCGGTAGACGATGGTTTGATAATGCTCAATGAATTATCATTGGTGTCATAATAGAGAATACAAAGTCTATTGTTATAGGATAACAATCTTGGTGTTGCTTTGCTGTATTTAACAAACTGTGGAGTAGTCCAGTAACCATTTATATCCCTCGATGCTACATAGATCTGATTATTATTACTGAGGAATGCCAAGTAGAGACGATTTTCGAATTCCAAAGCCGATGGTGTATCGTAACATTTGAATTCATGGAGAATCTGGGTGCTGTTTGATGGCCAATCGGAGCCGTTGTTGCTCTCGGCAAAGTAAAGACGATCGTTGGTACCACGGAAGTAGACGTGCAGTTTATCGTTGAAAGAAACAACGCTCGGACCGTTATTGGTTGTGTCGTTCGGTAGAATGTTCTTGCCCATTTCAAAGTGGACGGCGTCGTCACTCGCCGAGAGAAGAATCTTTTGGCGAGCACCGGTATGTCCAACAAAAGCGACATACATCTTTCCTCTATAGACAGCGGCACTTGGTTTGTCAGAGGTCTGGTCTTTCTCCAAGATTTTATATTCATCCTTGAAGAAGCTACCTCCATCCATACTCTCTCTCATGAACATTCGATTGTCGTCACTCATATAGGTGATATAGAGACGGTTTCTGAAATGAAAGATAAATGGAGAGTTGTAGCAATTGCCAGTGTTGAATTCAATTGGATCCTTATTCCATTCGTAGAGTTGATATCGGTAGTGTTGACGGTAGTCTATCACATCTCTAACCTTTTCATTCCACGGCTCAATAACATGATCCAAATCAGGATAGGTCGAATTGGCATCGGTTAGCTCTGCTGAGTGTTGTGTTTGCCACTGTGCCCATATACGATCGACATTGCAGTGATGCAGCCAAAACACAGGGTCGTTAGCAGAAGTATGGAAACGCGACATGTCACCACCAACAAATCGATGCACTCTATTGTGGTATCTCTCAAGAAGTTTACGGAAATGAGAGAATTTCTTATCGATAGTGGTTTCGGTATAATCTAAAATACAAGATTCAACGTCGGTCGGTGAAGGTAACTCTGGTTCTTGTCCAACATCTGACATCTCTCTTTTAATATGGTTGGGTGGCCAATAACCTGCAAAAGGACCGGTTTTGATCTTGTTGTCATCATTGGGATCACCGTTTCCACCCATAAATTTATAGTGCCATACAAGATTTCTATAGTATTCTTTTGCCAATCTATGATCTTTAAAATTAATAATAGTTTGAAATTAGTAACTATTTGTTATTAATAATCTTTGTATATATATACATACCATTCTCCCAATCCCAATATGGTAGTGTATAGTTAGGATTTGGTTCAATATTGTTTGAAGGGTCATTAGCAAGTCTCATTTCCTCTTCGAACTTTCTAACGAAAATACGATGCCATGGTAAGAAGATGTCGGTTCCATGTATTCCTTTTTTAGAGAACTTGTGGTGTTCCGCTACAAATTTATCATATACACCTGATTTTTTTAATATTGTAACTCTATAAACGTATTCGCTTCTTTCGCTTTCTGTTATTTCTCTAATGGATTTTCTTACATGTTTTACACCATTAGGAATATAATTCTTTGGTATCATTATTTATCTATAGATAATAACTATCTTTACTAAAAGATGACTACTAACTAACTAACTATTAAATTAAATAAATCCATTGTTACAAACTCTTCTATTTATAATGTTTACAAAAAAAAAAAAACAAAAAGACTAAAAAGATATTTTTTAATTTAGACAACAATCAAAGAACAAAAATAATCTAGATTGGTTTGTAAATCTCAACAGAGTCTGATGCACAAAAAAGAGATTAAAAAATCTTTTTTCATATTTTTTTGCAATATTTTGTAGGTTCAGGTTTGCATTAAAGTTGATTTATCATAAAATCTCTGATCAGATTTAACTTTGTTACTTTGAATTCAATCAAATTTGAACATCGTACAAAAAGTTTGAAAATGTGATACCACTAATTTTAATAATAATATTTTATTTCATAAAATTAGATATCTAGTCGAGTTAAAGAAAATTAAATTAAACAAAAGTAGTACTACACTTCAAAGAACCTTTTTAAAAGATAAAACTAGAAAGATTAATCTTTTTATACAATTGATTAAATTCTTTTTATTTTTGATAAATTAAATTATGATATTGATCTCAATCTGATCAAACTATTATTATTTATTTGCAATGTTGTATATTTGATTCATTTTAACACTCAGTCTTTATTTATTCAGGATCTTGTTCACATGTGAATAATCGAAAAAAAAAAATTTTCATTTTTTTAACGATTCGTGTTTCATTTTGTTTGAAGTTAAATACATATATATATCATAGTTTATTAATTAGATTTAGATTAAAAGAAATGGGTAAACATGCACAATTGATTATGGGTCCTGCTGGTAGTGGAAAAGTATGTACTTATTATTATTATTACATATAGAATTGTATTATTAATAGATTGTTGTTGTTGTTTTGTATAAATAATAGTCTACGTATTGCGATACAATGAGAAAACATTGTGAAGAGATAAAGAGAAGTGTACATGTTGTGAATTTAGATCCAGCAGCAGAGGTATTTGAATATCCGGTTTCAATAGATATAAAGAATCTGATCACTGTTGACGAGGTGATGGACGAGTTGGCATACGGACCAAACGGTGGTCTGGTCTATGCTATGGAGTATCTGGTGGAGAACATGGATTGGTTGATGGATGAACTCGATGATTTCGAAGAGGATTATCTCATTATCGATTGTCCTGGTCAGATCGAGTTGTACAGTCATATACCGGTGATGCGTACACTCGTCGATGCACTGCAACAATCTGGCTATAGAGTTTGTGCTGTATTCATGGTGGATTCACAATTCATTCTCGACAGTTGTAAATTTATAAGTGGTTCACTCATGTGTTTATCGGCAATGATTCGTCTCGAGATTCCACATATCAATGTACTTACAAAGTTAGATGTAATAAAGAAATCACATAGACTGAAAGATATTGAAAGGTAAGCGTATATATTAATATATTATATTAACTTGTTTGTTTATTATACTAATCTATATCTTTATGTTTGTTTTATTTAGTTTTTTAGATTTAGAAGTACATGAATTAGTAGATAGATTAGATAATGAAACGAACAATAGATATCATAAATTAAATAGAGCTATTGGACAATTGGTATGTTTGTTTATGTTTAAACTTTACTTGGTGAATGCAATCATTAAAGTTATATAAGTATAGAGTTTTATTTACATGTTTTTTAAATTAAAATTAAAGTTGGAAGATTATAGTTTGGTTGGATATATCCCACTTGATATTTCAGATCAAGAGAGTATTAGTTTTTTATTGGCACAGATAGATAATTCAATACAGTATGGTGAAGATGTCGAACCACAAGATCCAAACGATCAATACTTTGAAGAAGATGAAGATGCTGATGATGGTGCTTTCGATAATTACAACAATTAAATAAATTATTAAACTTCAAAAGTTAATCAAGCATTTAAGTTTATCAGTTCTCCAATTGTAGTCAAATTAATTATGAAGTTCTGGAATTTAAATTACAGATTAAATATTCCAAAGTTGACTTTCCACTTGTAACTTCAAACTTTTTTTTTAAATTTTTTAATTTATTTATTAATTTTTATAAAATGATATTTCTGTTATGTAAAAGTAGAGCAATGATGTATTCTCCTTTGATTTGATTGCTTTGAGAATCGACAAATGAATCACTGATCAAAGATAGATTGTGTGTTGAATAATATTCTGGATAGAATTCTTTGATAAATGAAAGTGAATCTTGAGAATTTGTCAATTGTAATGTTGTAATTGTTTGAGGATGTCGATAATGACCATCATTAATTTCAAGAATTTTTAAATTTAAAGCTAATTTGCTTTGATTCACTGAGTCTTTTTGTATTCCACTAATAATGAGTGATGAAATTGATTTTGGTAAGACACTGAATGATAATATTTGATTGAATTTATATCCAAACTTCAATGATTTCAGTGATTTCGGTAATACACCAACTGATAATATTTGATTGAATGAATATCCAAATGATAATGATTCAAGTGATTCAGGTAACACACCGACTGATAATATTTGATTGAATTCATCTCCAAATGATAATGATTCAAGTGATTTAGGTAACACATCAACTGATAATATTTGATTGAATTCATATCCAAACTCCAATGATTTCAGTGATTTAGGTAACACACCAACTGATAATATTTGATTGAATGAATATCCAAACTTCAATGATTCAAGTGATTCAGGTAACACACCAACTGATAATATTTGATTGAATTTCCAATCAAACTCCAATGATTTCAGTGATTCAGGTAAGACACCAACTGATAATATTTGATTGAATTCACCTAACTTCAATGATTCAAGTAATTCAGGTAACACACCGACTGATAATATTTGATTGAATTTACGACCAAACTTCAATAATTTCAGTGATTCAGGTAATACACCAACTGATAATATTTGATTGAATTTATCACCAAACACCAATGATTTCAGTGATTTAGGTAATACACCAACTGATAATATTTGATTGAATTCACCACCAAACTCCAATGATTTCAATGATTCAGGTAAAACACCGTCTAATAATATTTGATTGAATTTCCAATCAAACACCAATGATTTCAGTGATTCAGGTAGCACACCAACTGATAATATTTGATTGAATTCACCACCAAACTCCAATGATTCAAGTGATTCAGGTAACACACCGAATGATAATATTTGATTGAATTCACGACCAAACTTCAATGATTCAAGTGATTCAGGTAACACACCGACTGATAATATTTGATTGAATTCACCACCAAACTTCAATGATTCAAGTGATTTAGGTAACACACCGACTGATAATATTTGATTGAATCTATCTCCAAACTCCAATGATTTTAGTGATTCAGGTAACACACCAACTGATAATATTTGATTGAATTCATTTCCAAACTTCAATGATTCAAGTGATTCAGGTAACACACCAACTGATAATATTTGATTGAATCTATCTCCAAACTCCAATGATTTCAGTGATTTAGGTAACACACCAACTGATAATATTTGATTGAATAAATATCCAAACACCAATGATTTAAGTGATTTAGGTAAAACACCAACTGATAATATTTGATTGAATGAAATTCCAAACTCTAATGATGTCAGATTTGGAGGGAGTGAATTAGATTGCAAAGGTTGATTAAATTCATTACCAAATTTGATTTCAGTGATATTGACGGATCTATTTTTGAACGTAGTATTTAAATTGAATGTAATTAAATGTTGATTGGTGATTGTTTCAATATATTGGTTTAATAATTGATTCAATGATTCTCTATTCTTTGGACTCTGATCCAACAATCGATGAATAAATTCAATCAATTGTTTTGAATATCTGCATTCTGAAATCTTAATTTCACCAGTTGATTGGAATATTTGATGATTATTTCGATCATCTGGATGACTGATCAATTTAAATATTCAAAAATACAGAGTTAATATCTGATTGATAATAATATTTTAAAAGTATGATTATTCGAGTATTTACCAACATAATAATTTGAGAATTGTTGATCCAATTGAAAAGATGTCACATGATTGTGCATATTGTCTGTTCATTGCTTCCTATTTGTAATTATTATTTTGATTTAGTTAAAATATATTTAAATATTTATTAAATGATATTACTTACTGGTGAAATATAACCAATTGTTCCACGAGTTGCATTTATAAGTGTTTTTGAATTCATATCAAAAATAGTTGGATCTGATATTTCTTTCGAATTTGAAACACTTTTTATGACAACAGGTGCCTTGAAAAATAGGTTTGTATCTTGATATTCAACGATTGTTGATTGATCAATAAATTTACAACATCCAAAATCACCAAGAATCAAAGTACCATCAGATTCATCAATGAATATGTTTGATGGTTTGATATCACAATGAATAATTCCATGTTTATCAAGATTCAAAAGAATATTGAAAAGTTCTGAAATATATTTAATAATATCTGATTCTTTAAAGATTCTGTTTTTATGTTCAATATAAATGTGGTTAATTGTAATATATTCATATCTTGATAAATATTTTATACATACAGATTTAGATCAGTTAAATGTTTATACTTTTGAGAAAGATCACCACCATCACAATATTGAGTGATGATATGAAAGATTTGATTGTCTTTATCATCATGATAATCAACAAGTTGAACAAATCTTTGATTATCTTTGAGTAATTTCATTGATTTGATTTCATTCTCAGCTCTTTCATAAGATTTCTGATTATCTTTACCTTTATAGTTTATCTTTTTATAAACATACTTTTGAATTGATTTTGTTAGTTTTATGATTGTCAATTGATTAATTACTTTGAAAAATGATCTTACCAATCTTTGATCATCAGTACCACACACTAAATATACATCATTGATATTATTACTGTTTGTAAATCTTGATATTGAATGATATTGTTTGTTATTAATAATGTGTGTTTGTTTGAAATAGTCAAACGTGTTTTTAAATTGACTTTTTTGAATATTGATTGTGTATGATTCTGATTTGTTTAAAAGTATCGATAGATTTAAGAGTGAATATGAAAAGATTAATATTAATTGATATTGAGTATCGACTGTATCTGGTACTACTATCTCATCATTAGTTTTAATATTTCCGATTAATATGATATTTGTGTGTTGTTCATTATCTTTATCTTTCAAATGATTATGAACTAAAACTATTAGATTATCATAATAATTAGATCGCTCACTTCTAAATTTCAAAACATTGATTAATCTATCTGTTTTCTCGATTATATTTGTATTTGTATTCATTTTGAACATTATTCTATATTTTATCAAAAATGATTGTTTGCAAAATCATTGCACGTGTTAAAAGTGGTGGTGATTTATAATTTTATTTAAATTTAAAACCAAAAATAATAATTTAAAAATAAATTACAGTTTCTGGGTGTACCAACATGCATCAAGGGTTGTAGATAATTGACAAATGATTGCAATTCAAACAGAGTATTGATTTTGTGATGATCTCATTCATAATAGAACATAATATCGAACACAAATAAAATATAAATCAATAAACTAAATATCAATAAATCTAGATTCATATGGTACTTAGAATTATAATTATCTCAAATGAATCAACATAACTTTATTACTGTTGATGGTTTAATACCACCCCTCTTATGATGAATGAATTAACTACTACTACTTTGGTGTATGGTACTGTTTTCTGATGCAGGATTTATCAGTTGTTTCTGCTGCTATTGGAGTGGATGTGGTGGAATGGGTTGTGCATAATTTGAAAGTGGTTGGTGATGTTTTGGTGTGCCTGGTGATATTGATGATGTGTTGTTTGCTGTTGATGTAGTCGACTCTCACTATTATTCATTATGTGTCGAATAACCAGGCCGTGGATGTTATCTTGTATGCTGGTAGAATATTAGATTCTGTTGAGACACTTCTCGAGCTCGAGACCTGAAGACGTTGCAAACCACCGATTCTATCGACGCTACAACCTTTTGTCAACCTTTGATCAATAATATTTAATATATTGTATTATCTGATGTTGATCTACACAATCTGAAACATATCTATCTATTCTTGTTTGCTCAAGTCTATTCGTTTGACAAACCGTGTAAAGATAGCATGAATCTATTGTATGGTGATCTGTCATCTATGATAACAATTGGTTAACAAATGTCAAATCACTCTGTATGCTAAATATTGTAGTTATAACTTACAAGTTTGGAACATGCAGAATAAATTTCTCTGAACCTGCATGTCCAAAGTCTTCAAAAGAACCAAAAATGAAATGTGAATAAGAGAGTTTCTCTTTTCTTTCTCTCTTCTTTCTTTGTTAATTTTTCTTATTCATCCAAAAGAATAAATAGATTTTATAATATTTATATTTAGAAAAATAAATAGATTTTTATTAAGTATTTTAAACCAAAAAATTAAATTTTTGGAATGACCTTTAACTTCCTTTGGAAATGAATGTTACCTATTCTTTTTTTTTTTGATATTTTTTTTTAAATAATGAAATGTATCGATAATTTTCACAATCAGAAACAACATTAAATAATATATATCTCTTATGATAACATTATGTAGTGCATCACATTAATATAGATTCAACCAAAAGGTTTAAAGTAAAAATAAGTAAAAGTAATGCTATTTAGTGTAAGTGATCAAATGTAATCAATATTAATTCGAATTATAAAAGAATAGCTTTCTTACTTATTATGTAACATAATAAATCAGTTTTAGTCGATTTCTATTTTGAATGTTAAATATACTTGAAGGAATGCCAATCATACCTTTGAACACTCACTCGGTAAATCTGATTAGTAAAATTTGAAGTTTGACCAGCTATCAACCACATGAAAGTCAGCTGCTCTGAAGGAAATCGTTCGTAAGAATCAGAGTTACAATGCACTGGTGTGTTGTATCCCGATGAAATGGTCTGGTCTGGTCTGGTCAGTCACGTGATGATCGCAAGTGTCTTGCCTACCGTTGTTGCTTTGATCATACTCTCTATTACAGCTATTTCAGAATCGCTTGGTAACACAACGTACAGATTAATAGAATAACTTTGGCATACTTGACGATGAGTGACAGCAATACGTTTTTTGAACAAGAACTACGCCAGCTTTGATCATGTTGAAGATGGATATCAGTTAGAGACATGACCACCACTTTAAGAGGTGTAATTTGCATGCTGACAACACATTACTCATGTCTGCACCGAGTTAGTAACTGTCTGGACGTGCAGAACCACAGGATCCACAGAACCTCCATCAAGCACCTTACATCCTACTTCTGGTTCAGTGGTTACCGACTCATTGGATATTAAAATGTAATACAATTAGTTTTACCAACTCAGTACATTCAATATTCATCGATACCGTCACACCAAAACCCCGACAAACCCCACATCAGAGTTACTTTAGCCATCTTCAGAACAAAGACTTCTTTGACGGTGTCAGCGATCAGTGTACTCTTTTCACAAACTATCAATAATCATCATCATCATCTACAATTTCTTTACTGATGAATAGAATAATGAAAATAATATTTCAAATGTAAATAATAATAAATAATAATAGAGTGGTAATACAGTAAAGACAGTAACAACAAGCACCACAACAATACTTTAAAATGATCACTGATTGGCCATGCTTTCGAAAGTAGATGAGCTTAGCACCCAGATGAACCAATAGCTCACAAACATTGTCACTGTAGAACTAAAATTGGATTCTAATACCAGATACAGTTGATGCTCAATATCAATTAATTATCATAAAAACACCATCAAAATTAGATTCCTCATCCATATGCGTATTGTTTTTAAACAAATCACAATCGTATACAATCAATATTAAAAAATCATTATTATTAGTACTAATATATCCAAGTAATGTGGAGGTACCAAAATTTTTTTTTAAAAACCATCTACCAAAAAAAAGAAGAATATTATTTGAGAAAAGAGATAAATGAACATCAGAACACATTAAAAAATATATAAATAAATGTCTTCACACTTTAAAAACAATATCGATTTATTACTCTGTATATTTGTTAAAAATGAACTTCATTATTGACGGTTATTAAGAAATTTTGTTCTAAAAAAATATTAATTTTAAAGAGTTCTGTGATATCTCTGGCTTGGCCTTGGAGAAGCAGACTCTTTCACAATCACTGGTGTGAGCTTACTCATCGAGTTGCTGTTGGTTTTAGCAACGTCACGAATAGAGTCAGAGAGTTGGCTTTTGCCATCATGGTAAACCAAAGCATCACTAATCCTCTTTGTGTCTCTTATGAACGAATGTTACAAAATTTTATTTTTTTTTTAAACAAAAATTTTAAAGATTAAATTAAAACAAAAATAAGTGACTCTTCAGTTCAAAGTAAAAGTAATGCATAATAGATTATTTGAATTATTATAAAAGAATATCTTACTTAATATGTACATATCAAAACAGATTAGTTTATTTCTATTTGATTAGAGGTTGGAATTCGATATGCCCAGTCATACTAGAAAGCTCACAATCTTCAACTTTGTTAAATCACTGATTGACCGAGTGGCGTTCTAAGTGGACACTGATAGATATAGCCACTCACAACCTGTACATATCTTCACCTAAATTCATTTTCTTGGATAATGATGCACCAAAGTCGCCAACTCTCCTCTCCTATTCAATGTGACTGGAATGCCATTGACCCATCATAGAATTTGAAGAACCTCTAAGCATGGACATCATTAGATTGACATCGTTGATAGTTTCTGGGAATAGATGGTTCCTTAAATACAGCCATGCCACACATAGTCGAAAGCCTTGAATGGGTTTGTCAAACAGAGTGATGATAGATTCGGCATTGCCAACGGCTGCTGCTGTCCCAACTATCTCTTTCAAAAGTATTATATTGTCGTGGATCAATCAACCAGGATGAAACCGTTTTGATAGGTATTTATGATCTGTAGAGCAATTGTAAGACAAGCATGAATGACATTGCTTTATAGCGTGTAATCGTAGTTTCGTATGTCACCTATTTTTTTTTAATATGTTAGAGATGATACCTATTTTTAAAGTCAGATGGAATCAGATAATAATATAACTTGTTTATAGTAATTATATTTATAAAAACTAATCTTTACTTTATGTTATTTAGTTTTCTAGATTTAGAAGTACATGAATTGGTAGATAGATTAGATAATGAAACGAATAATAGATATCATAAATTAAATAGAACTATTGGACAATTGGTATGTTTGTTTATGTTTAAACTTTACTTGACCGGAACAAAATGAAATTACAAGTTTCTGGGGTACCGACATGCACCATGGTTATAGATTATAGACAAATGATTGCAAATCAAACAGAGTGTTGATAGCTTTTTGTGATGATCTCATTCATAATAGAACATAATATCGAACACAAATATAATATAAATCAATAAACTAAATATCAACAATTAGATTCATATGGTACTTCTTAGAATTATAAATTAATACAAATGAATCAATAAAACTTTACCTATACCAATGAAATATATATTTAAACTCGTTTTTTTATTTTTTGTTATTGTTTTCTTTTTTATCATCTTTTTAGTATTAATAATCAAATTTTGCATTTTTCTGCGGCAGTCAAGCGATCTCGCCCTTCAACTGAAGAAAAAAACTCTCGGCAGACCTGAAGGAAACGTGTCACTCACTGCGCGTATCCACAAGAAAACATTCGACAGCGTCCATGGAGTTCTACAAGTAGAACCGAAAAGCAATGAATCACCATCCTTGACAACTTGTTTGACGACAACCCATAAAGCTGTCACTGGTGTACTGTAACAAAACGACCACTGTGATGTACCGAATACAACCGACACAGAGAATTAGTGATGCTCTGACTCTGAGAGCGACCATCATAATGATCTCAGTACAAATCACTAGTCTGCAAGCGTGATGTCGATAAAACTCTAATTGGAACCTCCACGCGTGCTTGTGAAGAAGTCTCTTCCATGTTTGTACAACCAGTATTACTACCCATTCGAAATCAAGAGCAATCACAAGTTCTAAGAGCACTCAAGTTGAGATGAAGGAACTGTTGACATCTAAAATTCTGATTGAAACACATCTATTGTTGTTTGTTCAAGTCTATTCACAATCGTCTCCAAGTAAACATGAAGCTATTGTACGGTGTTCTGTCTTCTGTGATAAAAGTTGGTTAACTAACGTCAAAAATCATTATTTTAAATAATTGTGGTTATAACTTACAAATCTTGAACTACATTATTATTCTAGAATAAACATCTCTGAAACTGGTGGTTCAAAGTCTGTTAAAAGATCAAAAAACATTTCATATATATATCATTACTGCTATCATTTGATCTATCTGACTTACAGTTGCCTCTGTCATCTATATAGTGATAAAACATAACCTGTTAATTAGATATTGAATAATGACAACACTCTATACACCGAATTATAGTACATACACATTATTTACAACTCTGCTGATTTTTAAGTGTTGTATATCTTTATCTTTCAAAGTTAGATGTAATACCATTGACAAGCCACATTGATTACTATCGATGATTATATTGATATAGTTCCTGTGAATACCGACATTAACATTCTTTCAATGCAAGTAATGCGACAGAAAGTCAAACACCGGTGTCGAGCAATTGAGCAGCTCGAACAGATGATTGCTCCTAACATCTTTGATTATCTTTTATAGTTTATCGATATATAAACATAGTTTTTGAATTGATTTTGTTAGTTTTAAGATCGTGAATAAATAGATATCAAATTAGTCTTACCATTAGTAAATTATTGCACTCAGCACATATCATTGATATTATTACTGTTTGTAAACCTTGTTATTGAAATAAGTATAATTTCGATTTATTAATTGTGAATGACTCTGATTATATTATTACTAATTATTATTTGTCTGATTTCTAGATATAAAGTTTGTTATTCGTTTTTAAAGTATTCTTGTTGTTATTTTTATGAATAAAATAATAATTTTGCAATAAAAATAAAAATTTCTTTGTTATAAAAATTTTTGATCATTATTTTGTTTATTATTTATTTATAATTAAACAATTCTTAAGTTTTATATATCGCCTCGATTTTAAATCGATATTTATGTTTACAAGTTAGAAATGATGAATTTATTTGGACTATATTATCTTGAACTCATTGTTTGAATGTATCGATACTAGACAGAGTCAAAAGCATTGAGTGAGTCAAACATCGTGACGATAGCTTTCGCGAGTCAATGGCTGCCTCAATGATCTCTTTAAAAAGTGTTGTATTGTCTTGGATCAATCAATCTACATGGGATGAAACCAGTTTGATAGTGTAATAGAGTAATAGTAAGAACGTTCACAAATAAATATTAAATATAGATCGATTTATTGCTGTTGGTTGTTTAAGAGTATGTAAATACTTACATTATAATATCAATAGAAAAATATGGAATTGTTTTATTTAATAGGTTGTTGTGAAAATATAGTCTGTTTCAATAGATATATAATGTTATCACAGTGGATGAGATGCGAATGAGATGGAAACCTGGAAACATTCATCACTCTGTTTGACTTGTTCAAGTCAAGGTGTTTGACTATGTTTATCATGACTGCATTGAAAAAAACTCTAGCTCCTGCAAATCGGGTATCGCCAGAAACTATGTATGATCCTCTGTGCTTCAGGATCCACAGAACCTTCATCAAGCACCTTACATCCTACTTCTTCAGTGGTCACCAATTCATTGGATAATAGATGCTTTCTACTCATTCTACGAGAAGAGCAGCATTGTTGTGATGCTGCTCAACCAATCACTCTGAAAGAAGTTGTGTGTGCGATCAATACAATTAGTTTTACCAACTCAGCACATTCAATATTCATCAATACCGTCACCAAATTGTCTCTTTCAAAAGTATTATATTGTTGTTGATCAATCAACCAGGATGAAACCGTTTTAATAGTTATTTATGATCTGTTGTAGAGAACAATTGTAAGTCAAACATGAATGACATTTTATTATATAAACTAATCTTTATCTTGGATTAGATAATGAAATAAATAATAGATATCATAAAATTAAATAGAACTATTGGACAATTGGTATGTTTGTTTATGTTTAAACTTTACTTGGTGAATGCAATCATTAAAGTTATATAAGTATAGTGTTTTATTAACATGTTTTTTAAATTAAAATTAAAGTTGGAAGATTATAGTTTGGTTGGATATCCCACTTGATATTTCAGATCAAGAGAGTATTGGTTTTTTATTGGCACAGATAGATAATTCAATACAGTATGGTGAAGATGTCGAACCACAAGATCCAAACGACCAATACTTTGAAGAAGATGAAGATGCTGATGATGGTGCTTTCGATAATTACAACAATTAAATAAATTATTAAACTTCAAAAGTTAATCAAGCATTTAAGTTTATCAGTTCTCCAATAGTAGTCAAATTAATTATGTAGTTCTGGAATTTAAATTACAGATTAAATATTCCAATGTTGACTATCCACTTGTAACTTCAAACTTTTTTTTTTAAATTTTTTAATTTATTTATTAATTTTTATAAAATGATATTTGTGTTATGTAAAAGTAGAGCAATGATGTATTCTCCTTTGATTTGATTGTTCTGAGAATCGACAAATGAATCACTGATCTTGGATAGATTGTGTGTTGAATAATATTCTGGATAGAATTCTTTGATAAATGAAAGTGAATCTTGAGAATTTGTCAATTGTAATGTTGTTATTGTTTGAGTGTGTCGATAAAGACCATCATTAATTTCAAGAATTTTTAGATTTAAAGCTAATTTGCTTTGATTTATCGAGTCTTTTTGTATTCCACCAATAATGAGTGACGAAATTGATTTTCGTAAGTCACCGACTGATAATATTTGATCGAATTTATATCCAAATGATAATGATTTCAGTGATTTAGGTAACACACCGACTGATAATATTTGATTGAATTCAGGACCAAACTCCAATGATTTCAGTGATTTAGGTAATACACCGACTGATAATATTTGATTGAAGAAATATCCAAACACCAATGATTTAAGTGATTTAGGTAACACACCAACTGATAATATTTGATTGAATTCAATTCCAAACACCAATGATTCAAGTGATTGAGGTAAAACACCAACTGATAATATTTGATTGAATTTAGATCCAAACTCCAATGATTCAAGTGATTCAGGTAACACACCAACTGATAATATTTGATTGAAATCATTTCCAAACACCAATGATTCAAGTGATTCAGGTAACACACCAACTGATAATATTTGATTGAATTCTAATCCAAACACCAATGATTCAAGTGATTCAGGTAATACACCGACTGATAATATTTGATTGAATCCATATCCAAATGATAATGATCTCAGATTTGGAGGGAGTGAATTAGATTGCAATGGTTGATTAAATTCATTACCAAATTCAATTTCAGTGATATTGACTGAGCTGTTTTTGAATGTAGTATTTAAATTGAATGTAATTGAATGTTGATTGGTGATGGTTTCAATATATTGGTTTAATAATTGATTCAATGATTCTCTATTCTTTGGACTCTGATCCAACAATCGGTGAATAAATTCAATCAATTGTTTTGAATATCTGTATTCTGAAATCTTAATTTCATCAGTAGTTTTGAATAATTCATGATTATTTCGATCATCTTGATGACTGATCAATTTAAATATTCAAAAATATAGAGTTAATATCTGATTGATAATAATATTTTAAAAATGATTATTCGAGTATTTACCAACATAATAATTTGAGAATTGTTGATCCAATTGAAAAGATGTCACATGATTGTGCATATTGTCTGTTCATTGCTTCCTAATTTTTATTATAGTTTTGATTTAGTTTAAAATATATTTAATAATCAATTAATAGAATATACATACTGGTGAAATATAACCAAGTGTTCCACGTGTTGCATTTATAAGTGTATTTAAATTCATATCAAAAATGGATGGATCTGATATTTCTTTCGAATTTGAAACACTTGTTATGACAACAGGTGCCTTGAAAAATACATTTGAATCTTGATATTCAATGATTGTTGATTGATCAATGAATTTACAACATCCAAAATCACCAAGAATCAAAGTACCATAACCAATGAATATGTTTGATGGTTTGATATCACAATGAACAATTCCATGTTTATCAAGTTCCAAAAGAATATTGAAAAGTTCTGAAATATAATCAATAATATCTGATTCTTCAAAGATCCTATTTTTATGTTCAATATAAATGTGGTTAATTGTAATATTCCTATCTTGATAAATATTTTATACATACAGATTTTGATCAGTTAAATGTTTATACTTTTGAGAAAGATCACCACCATCACAATAATAAGTGATGATATGAAAGATTTGATTGTCTTTATCATGATGATAGTCAACAAGTTGAACAAATCTCCAATTATCTTTGAGTAATTTCATTGCTTTGATTTCATTCTCAGCTCTTTCATAAGATTTCTGATTATCTTTACCTTTATAGTTTATCTTTTTATAAACACACTTTTGAATTGATTTTGTTAGTTTTATAATTGTCAATTGATTAATTACATTGAAAAATGATCTTACCAATCTTTTATGATCAGTACCACACACTAAATATACATCATTGATATTATTACTGTTTGTAAATCTTGATATTGAATGATATTGTTTGTTATTAATGATGTGTGTTTGTTTGAAATAGTCAAACGTGTCTTTAAATTGACTTTTTTGAATATCTTGAAGTTTGATTATGTATGATTCTGATTTGTTTAAAAGTATCGATAGATTTAAGAGTGAATTTGAAATGATTAATATTAATTGATATTGAGTATCGATTGTATCTGGTACTACAATCTCATCATTAGTTTTAATATTTCCGATTAATATGATATTTGTGTGTTGTTCATTATCTTTATCTTTCAAATGATTATGAACTAAAACTATTAGATCATTATTAAATTCATAATTAATAAATTTCAATACATTCTTTCCATTGATTAATCTATCTGTTTTCTCGATTCTATTTGTATTTGTATTCATTTTGAACATTATTCTATATTTTATCAAAAATGATTGTTTGCAAAATCATTGCACCTGTTAAGTGTGGTGGTCATTAATAATTTTATTAAAATTTAAAACCAAAAATAATAATCACAAAAAAATTTTGGCTTTACAGCACATTGTAAAAATATTATTCTTTTATTACACTTTATATTTGTTAAAAATGAACCTCATTATTGGCGGTTGTTAAGAAAGTTTGTTTGTACAATTGATTGATAATAGCGTGATTTGATAACTTTATTCTCTTTATTTATTTTTAATATTAATATTAAAGAGTTATGTGATATCTCTGGCTTGGAGAAGCAGACTCTTTCACAATCACTGGTGTGCGTTACTCATCGAGTTGCTGTTGGTTTTATCGACGTCATGCATAGTTGCTGTGAAGGAATGGCAGAGGCACCGGTGTGGACATTGTTAAAACCAACTCTGAGTCGACCTAATGTTACGACCAACATCAATGCTAAAACCATTGTCGATAACTGATGTTTGTGTTATTCACAATGAATGGAGTTCAACATAACATTCTCACTATCTAAGACTCGACTACCAATCATGATGCCACAGATATTACCTCGAGGTTCACCACCATGATGCTATCGGAAAGACGCCTGCTTCCATTGGAACCAATGTGGTAACTTTGTTACAGTCTACCGCACACAAACCATCATGGTTTGGGTGTTCAACAGGATGACTCGTCTCACCAGCAAAACATTGGATAATTTGCCAACTGGAAGTATTGACTTTTAGTGAGATCTCGACAGTAATAATCATGCATCTCATTCATGATCTACCTATCGGTTATCTGATGGCGTATCGCTACCCAGTCTATTCACACACAAACTGTAAAGATAGCATTTGTTATCATATGAATCTATTGTATGGTGATTTGTCATCTATGATCAAACAGTTGGTTAACAAACGTCAAATCTCTCTGAATGTTAATTAATATAGTTATAACTTACAAGTTTGGAACTTGACCAGAATAAACTTCTCTGAACCTGATGGTGGTTAAAAACTTTGTCAAAAGATTAAAAAGAACGTTTATACAACTCATTACATCTACCATTCGGTCTATCTGGGTTACCGTTACCTGTTATCTCTGTTTGGTGAATAAAACAACACGATCAATTAGTAAGATATTTGATAATGCCAACAGCATTCTCTCTCTATAGATATTATTTAGTATAGTTACATACACATTATTTACAACTCTCCAAGTGGTTGGTAAACTCTGAATCGACATCTTCATAAATGATCACACCATTATTTGGAAAGATAGAATCAATCTCAAGATTATCTCTAAGCACACCGTTCTATGTAATACCGATTGTTATTGGAGTAGTTGATGCTGTTGTTGTGGTTGTTGTTGTTGCTTTATTCAACAACAGACTATCTGCATTATTGTTATTCCTGTTGATCGATCCTCTTGAAACTGTGCTTGTTGTTGTGTAACTAATGGTTGACCAGATTGTCTAAACTACTATAATTATTGCTGATAATTTCATTCTCTTCTTTCTTTGTTAATTTTATTTTATTTTAATTTGTAAATTCTATTCTAAAATAATAAATAGATGATAAATCAAACTTTATAAAAATTATTCATTTGAAATGAACGAGTAATATTAATTACCTTTTTTATTTTTTTTGCTTCTACTAGTTTTAATTATTTTTATTTATAGGAAAAGAAGATTGTTGAAGTAAAACTTGTTGATTTCTTTGAAGTGGTTGAAGTTGTTGTTGATGTTGATGTATGTGATAGTGATTGAGGTGGCGTTGAATAATAGATAATATCTTCTGGACTGATACTCTTTGATTCACTTCCTGTCGCGTCTTTTCGAAAATTTGACCGATCAGCTTGATTGGCTTGACTCTGAGCTTTGTCTCTCGAACCCACTTTCTTATTGTCTGTGTCTCTGTCTCTTCATGTGCAAACAACTCGTAGAATGTTGTTGGTCACCAAAGAAATCGAGGAATCGACCACCTTCGAATACCACAATCTGAACAACTCGATTGGTCAATCAAATATCTATTCAGAGCATCGAATCCAAACTGATCGTATTTCTTTCTCATGTTTGGATCTGACAACACATGATATGCCTGACCAATTCTCTTAAACATTTCCTCTGCATATTGTTGATCATATCTATTCTTATCCTAAAAATATATATATATATTTAAACAAAATTATTAATAACCATCTATCTATCTCTCATTGTCTTATTTTAATTAATTAACTTACTGCCGGATCCTGAAATTTAGTTTCTAATTGATAATATTCTTTTCTAATCAGTTAAAACAACTCTAGAACCAACACTGTGAACCTCGAGAACTTGATCTAACTCTCGAAGAAGGAAGCTGACTAGACTGCAACGTGTGTGGTCAGCAAACTGAATGAGTTTGGTAAAGTAGATAGGTCGAGTCGTGCCACTTTCGGTGAATTGACCATTGAAAAGCAGTGCGCTATAAGGTAGATATTTGATCGAGTTTTGTCATCAAAGATGGTTCTCAACCAAACATCCGATTACAATCGCGAACAGTGATGGGAAGTGGTAATCACTTTGATTGAGTTTCACTGCAGATATCGAACCAGTCGGGATGTAAGAAATGCCATTGACAAGTTGATAGGATGTCCTTTGATATAGTTCTTGGGAATACCGACATTTACAAGCGTTCTTTCAATGCAGTCATGAGACACATAGTTAAACTCCTGGAGCAGCTCGAACAGAGTAATGATAGCTCCAGTGTTGCCATTCGAAATATCAATGATCTCTTTCATAACATTTTTGACTATCTTTATAATCTATCTATTTATAAACACACATTGATTTTGTTAGTTTTACGATGGTCAATTGATTGATTAGATATCAAATTAGTCTTACCATTAATCTATTGTTGCACCAAAAGTAACTATCATTGATATTATTACTGTTTGTAAATCATGTTATTGATTGATGATAGATAATTCTTCTAATTTTGATTTATTATTTGTGAATGACTCTGATTTTATTATTACTAATAGATATCCAGTATCGAGTGTATCTGGTATTACAATTGTATTATCAATATGATTTTTTTGAGTTGTTCATCATCTTTATCTTTAAGATCATTATATTTACTAATTGATTAAGTAAAAATCAACTCTAAATTTCAATATATATATCTTCAATTAATTATTATATATCTATCTGATTTTTCTATATAATATTATTTGATATTCATTTTTATAAAAAAAATCAAAAGTCACCAACATATTTTTATGATTTAAGTGTTAATTTAAATTAATTGATTAACACAAACGTTACCTGCTTTAAAATCAGTGCACAATATACATAAAACTTTATCTTTGTTTAAAAATATTGATCAAAAATAAAAATTACAATCTACACAAGATAGAAATGATGAATTGAATTGGTGATTATTATTTGATTCGCATTTAAAGCATTAATAGAGTTAGTGTATGATTTTGTAATATCATTCAGTAAGAGACACCATTATCGATCAAATACAATCTATATAATGACAAAAGAAACTATTTATTTATCAAACAGAAAATAAACTTATATCTCTTTAACCAATAGTGAAGCATTGATCTACCTGTGTCTATTTTTAAAATTCTAATATTTAATATTCATAGAGAATTAAGAGTGTTTATTTGACTGTTAGTATTAAGATTTAAACGACGTTCTCTTTAGATTTTATTTATTAATATCAAATACAAATTTTAGAAAAAAAAGATAGAAATCAAACAACTTGATCTGCGGTAGACCATAAGTTAAATGACTCGTTCTTTAAATGTAGTGATACTAGACAGAGTCAAAAGCATTAGTGTAATACAGTAATTTTAATCACGTTCACAAATAAATATTAAAAATAGAACTATTTAGTGCTGTTGGTTGTTTAAGAGTATGTAAATACTTACATTATAATATCAATATAAATATAGAATTGTTTTATTAATAAGTTGTTGTTGTTGTATAAATGTAGGTTGTCTCAATAGATATATATAATGTTATCACAGTCGATGAGGTGATCGATGAGATGCCAACCTGGAAGCATTCATCACACTGTTTGACTTGCCTAAGTCAAGGTGTTTGACTATGTTTCGCATGACTGCATTGAAAGAACGTTAGCAAAACTGCACAATTGATTATGGGTCATGCTGGTACTGGAAAAGTATGTACTTATTATTATTATTACATATAGAATTGTATTATTAATAGATTGTTGTTGTTGTTTTGAATAAATAATAGTCTACGTATTGCGATACAATGAGAAAACATTGTGAAGAGATAAAGAGAAGTGTACATGTTGTGAATTTAGATCCAGCAGCAGAGGTATTTGAATATCCGGTTTCAATTGATATAAAGAATCTGATCACTGTTGACGAGGTGATCGACGAGTTGGCATACGGACCAAACGATGGTTTGGTGTAGTGAATAACTTAATTTAGAAACAACAAGTACCACAACAATAACACTTTAAAAATGATCAGTGATTGACCATGTTTTCGAAAGTAGATGACCATAGTACCCAGCTGAACAAAGAGCTCACAAACATTGTCACTATAGAACTAAAACAAGATAACACAATTGCATAATAATATAAAAAAGATATATCTATTATAACACTTTTTATTATTCATACATATTAATGTGTAAAAACAACTCTCTAACAAAGTAACATAAAAGTATCTAATATTTATGATGAATAAGGAACATCACATCAATAAGAAGAAGAAAAATGACTGAAAAACAAAGATGTTAAATGTAATCATAGAAAATATTTATCGATTCTTTTATTTTCTTTTGAATAATCAAAATTTGTTTATTTCAAAATGATATTTCTATTGTAATACATACACTCTTTAGAATATTTAACTGGACCAATAACAGTTGCAGTTGATGAATAGAGTACATTAATACTATTTATAGGTTTATCAGCGTTCCAGAAAAGAGTGTATATAAAACTATTTAATAAAAGTTAATAAAAGATAAACTATAATAACTTTGCTTCAATATTCATTTCTACCTACAAATGATTCTCTATTCTTTGGACTCTGATCCAACAATCGATGAATAAATTCAATCAATTGTTTTGAATATCTGAATTCTGAAATCTTAATTTCACCAGTTGATTGGAATAGTTGATGATTATTTCGATCATCTTGATGACTGATCAATTTAAATATTCAAAAATACAGAGTTAATATCTGATTGATAATAATATTTTAAAAATGATTATTCGAGTATTTACCAACATAATAATTTGAGAATTGTTGATCCAATTGAAAAGATGTCACATGATTGTGCATATTGTCGTTTCATTGCTTCCTATAATTTGATTTAGTTTAAAATATATTTAAATATTAATTAAATGATATTACTTACTGGTGCAATATAACCAATTGTTCCACGAGTTGCATTTATAAGTGTGTTTGGATACATTTCAAAAATAGTTGGATCTGATATTTCTTTCGAATTTGAAACACTTGTTATGACAACAGGTGCCTTGAAAAATACATTTGAATCTTGATATCCAATGATTGTTGATTGATCAATGAATTTACAACATCCAAAATCACCAAGAATCATAGTACCATAAAATTCATAATCAATGAATATGTTTGATGGTTTGATATCACAATGAACAATTCCATGTTTTTCAAGATCCAAAAGAATATTGGAAAGTTCTGAAATATATCGACTAATATCTGATTCTTCAAAGATTCTATTTTTATGTTCAATATAAATGTGGTTAATTGTAATATATTCATATCTTGATAAATATTTTATACATACAGATTTAGATCAGTTAAATGTTTATACTTTTGAGAAAGATCACCATCTTTACAATATTGAGTGATGATATGAAAGATTTGATTGTCTTTATCATGATGATAGTCAACAAGTTGAACAAATCTTTGATTACCTTTGAGTAATTTCATTGATTTGATTTCATTCTCAGCTCTTTCATAAGATTTCTGATTATCTTTATAGTTTATCTTTTTATAAACATACTTTTGAATTGATTTTGTTAGTTTTATGATTGTCAATTGATTAATTACTTTGAAAAATGATCTTACCAATCTTTTATCAAAAGAATTATCATCAGTACCACACACTAAATATACATCATTGATCTTATTACTGTTTGTAAATCTTGATATTAAATGATATCGTTTGTTATTAATGATGTGTGTTTGTTTGAAATAGTCAAACGTGTATTTGAATTGACTTTCTTGAATATAGATTGTGTATGATTCTGATTTGTTTAAAAGTATCGCCGATAGATTTAAGAGTGAATCTAAAAAGATTAATATTAATTGATATTGAGTATCGACTGTATCTGGTACTACTATCTCATCATTAGTTTTAATATTTCCGATTAATATGATATTTGTGTCCTTGTTCATTATCTTTATCTTTCAAATGATTATGAACTAAAACTATTAGATTATAATAATAATTATTATCATGATATATAGATGGCTCACATCTAAATTTCAAAACATTCTTTCCATTGATTAATCTATCTGTTTTCTCGATTATATTTGTATTTGTATTCATTTTGAACATTATTCAATATTTTATCAAAAATGATTGTTTGCAAAATCATTGCATGTGTTAAATGTGGTGGTGATTAATAATTTTATTTACAAATTTATAACCAAAAATAATAATTTAACTTTAAAATTAAATTTAAAAATATAAATTAAATATTAAAATTAAAATTTTAATTTTGGTCCCACAAAAAATTTTTGCTTTTACAGCACAGCGCAAACAAAACTGGCTCATTTTTTTCTTCTTCTATTTTTTTTCCAATGATTGTTTTAATATCAAAAAATAAAAAAAAAACAATTTTTTCGAAGTTCATGTTAATTTTTTAATATGTAAATCTCTAATATATTATTTAAATTACTTATATTATTTTAATATCATAAAATTATCACTAATGAACAGCCAAGATTAATATCCAAATTTACAATTCATAGAGAAGTAAATGACATACTTAAAATATGTAATCGCTTGGATCCATATAAAGAACTAAGATCATAAATAGTTCAAAGATTAATTAAAAGGCTTTTTACAACCTTTAACTTCCCTTCAACAACAGAATTCTTATTCAACTCATGATACCTCATCGAATAAAAGACAAAGAGTGGATTGAATGTACCTATACAACAAAACCATATTTTATTATTATAACTTCTTACGAACGACTTACTGGCAGGTGACTTTAATGTGTAATATAAGAGTCAAACTTCAACTTTGTTAATCTCTGATTGACCAAGTGGGCGTTCTAAGTATGACTGGTATTGTTGAAGGTATACAACGAATTCCAACCTCAAATCAAACCAAAATTTAATAGAAATTTGCTAAATCTGTTTTGATATGTACATATTAAGTAAGTAAGATATTATTTTATACTTCAAATAATCTATTATGCATTACTTTTACTTTGAACTGAAGAATCATTTATTTTTGTTTTAAATTAAATCTTTAAAAATTTTTGTCTAGACATCTTAAAGTACATACACAATACAACTCTCTGAATCGACATCTTCAAAATGACCACACCAGTATTTGAAAGATAGAATCTCTCAAGATTACCTCTAAACAAGGCTCTGTAACACTGATTGTGATCTCTAACTCATAGCTACAAAGATAAATCTAATTTATCACGTCACCACAACCACTCAATTATATATACAATGTTTGTTATTGTAGCTTCCCACCAAGTGCTATATCGACACCATCTATTATTTTTTTTTTTGTTAGTTCACATTCTAAACATCAATTAAATATACACTGGAATGACATACTATTTGATTTAGCAAAGAATTTGAAGAACCCTTAAGCATGAACATCATTAGATTGATAGCGTTGTCAAACAGAGTGATGATAGCTTCGTCTTTGCCAACGGATGCTGCTGCCCCAACGATCTCTTTCAAAAGTATTATATTGTTGTTGATCAATCAAACAAGATGAAACCGTTTTGATAGGTATTTATGATCTGTTGTAAGTCAAACATGAATGACATTGCTTTAGTAATTATTATATAAACTATCTTTATCTTTATGTTATTTAGTTTTCTAGATTTAGAAGTACATGAATTGGTATCTTATTTTAGATAATGAAATAAATAATAGATATCATAAAATTAAATAGAGCTATTGGACAATTGGTATGTTTGTTTATGTTTAAACTTTACTTGACCGGAACAAAATGAAATTACAGTTTCTGGTGTACCGACATGCACCAAGGGTTGTAGATCATAGACAAATGATTGCAAGACAAACAGAGTATTGATTTTGTGATGATCTCATTCATAATAGAACATAATATCGAACACAAATAAAATATAAATCAATAAACTAAATATCAATAATTAGATTCATATGGTACTTAGAATTATAAATTAACACAAATGAATCAACAAAACTTTACCTAAACCAACGAAATATATATTTAAACTCGTTTTTTTATTTTTTGTTATTGTATTCTTTATTATCATCTTTTTCGTATTAATAATCAAATTTTGCATTTTCTGCTGCAGTCAAGAGAGAGCTACCCTTCAACTGAAGAAAAAAAACTCTCGGCAGAGCTGAAGGAAACGTGTCACTCAGTGCGCGTATCCACAAGAAAACATTCGACAGCGTCCATGGAGTTCTACAAGTAGAACCGAAAAGCAATGAATCACCATCCTTGACGACTTGTTTGACGACAACCCATAAAGCTGTCACTGGTGCACTGTAACAAAACGACCACTGTGATGTACCGAATACAACCGACACAGAGAATTAGTGATGCTCTGACTCTGAGAGCGACCATCATAATGATATCAGTACAAATCACTAGTCTGCAAGTGTGATGTCGATAAAATCAACTCTAATTGGAACCTCCACGCGTGCTTGTGAAGAAGTCTCTTCCATGTTTGTACAACCAGTATTACCCATTCGAAATCAAGAGCAATCACAAGTTCTAAGAGCACTCAACGTTGAGGTGGAGGAACTGTTGACATCTAAAATTCTGATTGAAACATATCTATTGTTGTTTGTTCAAGTCTATTCACAATCGTCTCCAAGTAAACATGAAGCTATTGTATGGTGTTCTGTCTTCTGTGATAAAAGTTGGTTAACTAACGTCAAAAAATCATTATTTTAAATAATTGTGGTTATAACTTACAAATCTTGAACTACATTATTATTCTAGAATAAACATCTCTGAAACTGGTGGCTCAAAGTCTGTTAAAAGATCAAAAAACATTTCATATATATCATTATTGCTATCATTAGATCTATCTGACTTACAGTTGTCTCTGTCATCTATATAGTGATAAAACACATAACCTGTTAATTAGATATTGAATAATGACAACACTCTATACACCGAATTATAATACATACACATTATTTACAACTCTGCTGATTTTTAAGTGTTGTACATCTTTATCTTTCAAAGTTGGATGTAATACCATTGACAAGCCACATAGATTACTATCGATGATTATATTGATATAGTTCCTGTGAATACCGACATTAACATTCTTTCAATGCAAGCCATGCGACAGAAAGTCAAACACCTTGAGCAGCTCGAATAAATGATTGCTCCTAACATCTTTGATTATCTTTTATAGTTTATCTATTTATAAACATAGTTTTTGAATTGATTTTGTTAGTTTTAAGATCGTGAATAAATAGATATCAAATTAGTCTTACCATTAGTCAATTATTGCACTCAGTACATATCATTGATATTATTACTGTTTGTAAACCTTGTTATTGAATGATTGTAGATAAGTATAATTCCGATTTATTAATTATGAATGACTCTGATTATATTATTACTAATTATTATTTATCTGATTTCTAGATATAAAGTTTGTTATTCATTTTTAAAGTATTCTTGTTGTTATTTTTATGTTTAAACTATGACCTAATTATATTTTTGCAATAAACATAAAAATTGGTTTTTTGAAAAATAAGTTAAAATACTCACTGGTGAGTTAATTTTTCGTTCCCACGAATTCTCAGCCAAACTGCACGTTAGTTAGTTTTGGTTACTTTTTCAGTTAGTTCATATTAAAATTTAAATTAAAAAAAATTATATTTGAAGCACAAAGACTAGTTTATTTGTTAATATCATTTGTAAATAATTTATTTGTTGTTGGCATTTGTAAATAAAGATTTGTTGCAATACAATAAGACACAATCTCTTAATGTACTATTTAGCATTGATTGTCTTCTTTCGGAAAATATATAATTAGCTTTAGAGAATACAGATTCAGAAGGCACAGAAGAAGCAGGAACACACATATATTTGCGAGCAAGTTGAGCAACAGATGGAAATAGGTGATTATTTTGCGACCAGAAAATTGCAGGATTAGAATATTTGCCTAGTCTCTCTTCTTCAGTTACATACTGATAATTGTGGAAATATTAATTGCTTCTTGAGTATATCTACATTAAGCTCTATTGGTTGTGGATCTTTACTATATCTATAAAATGGATTAAATGACACTGCTGATAAATCTATTTGAGGTGTGACTTTAGCGGGTGATGTTGTTGTAGTAGGTGTTGTTGGACACATATTAAAAATCTTTATCCAAGAAGTGCGCTGTGACTGTGGTGAACTTGTCATTCTGATTGTTAGTCCAACCATCTGTTGTTATTGCCACCCAATCTGCACGATCTATTTGATACTTCATCACATTCGTAAGATCTTTCATGAGGCCAGGAAGATACGTTTCCTTAAACTTATACCTTGAGGGAGGTGAATAGTTAACGACTGAAGAAACTCTTTGAACTCTGTGTTCTCCAAAGTTGAAAATGGAATATTTGACATTACTATATATCTACAACATAAATAGTCTGAGTTTGTTGTGAGTTTATTTGGTAATAGTTATTGTTGTGCCAATTTGCAGCTTTTTGTATTCAAGTGCTCTCTGCAATGCTGGGCTGTATCTGCTGTGCACTCTTTTTTACAAAAGAAACAAATATTTTTGTTTTTTTCGCTCTTTTTTGTAAAAAACTGTTTAAAATCACTATAAAGTGTGTTTTGCTTCAAATCCTCACCTGATTTATCTTTTATACTATTTAATTTAGATAATAGTAATAAATTATCCATATTTATTAAATAATTTTATTAATTAACTCAATTTTTTTCTAAAATCAATAAAATGAAAATATTTGCAATTATTTTCATTTTTTTGCTCACTGAAAAGTAACGAACTCACTGAAGGGGTAAGTTAGTAAACGTGCCACTAACTAACTTGAACTCACTCAAATTTGAAAAAACCAGTTTAAAAATTTTTGATCATTATTTTTAAATTTTTGTTTATTATTTATTTATAATTAAACAATTCTTAAGTTTTATATATTGCCTCGATTTTAAATCGATATTTATGTTTACAAATTAGAAATAATGAATTTATTTGGACTATATTATCTTGAACTCATTGTTTGAATGTATCGATACTAGACAGAGTCAAAAGCATTGAGTGAGTCAAACATCGTGACGATAGCTTTCGCGAGTCAATGGCTGCCTCAATGATCTCTTTAAAAAGTGTTGTATTGTCTTGGATCAATCAATCTACATGGGATGAAACCAGTTTGATAGTGTAATAGAGTAATAGTAAGAACGTTCACAAATAAATATTAAATATAGATCGATTTATTGCTGTTGGTTGTTTAAGAGTATGTAAATACTTACATTATAATATCAATATAAATATAGAATTGTTTTATTAATAGGTTGTTGTGAAAATATAGTCTGTTTCAATAGATATGTTATCACAGTGGATGAGGTGATCGATGAGATGGAAACCTGGAAACATTCATCACACTGTTTGACTTGTTCAAGTCAAGGTGTTTGACTATGTTTATCATGACTGCATTGAAAAAACTCTAGCTCCTGCAAGTCGGGTATCGCCAGAAACTATGTTTGATCCTCTGTGCTTGACCAAGGCATCCTTCTGCTTGGTGATCCTATCTCTCCATCTCTGTTTGTTATAATCGAATGTTTGTTCAGAGCAATGTTGGTTGACAGCTCGATTTAAGGTCTACCGTCTAGTCCGCCTATATTGTAAGTGGTCAATACTCTACAACCCCACCAAACTCCTTTCAGTTTTCAGACGATACTACTGTTACGACACCCTCCTTCGACGAGCTGGAACTAGTTCTTGATTGGTATTGACACGTCCAAATGCATTGTTATTCTCTGGGCGATATCGAAACTACTCGGTGCCTGTCCCTACTGAGAGGTACTTTGGCATGCTTTTCGACAGTGGTGTTCATGTTATCTCTCTAAACTACCATCCATCATCAAAGCTCACGTAACTCTGTTCAAACGCGCTTCGTTGCCCCAGAGCCAAGCTTGTCATACTCAAATGGTGTGTTCTTCCAAAGTTATTCTATCATCAAATCAAGGTACCCTGATTTCCATGGAGATAACGTTACCTCTAGATATTATTAGTGTGTTGGATCCCGATGAAATGGTCTGGTCAGTCACGTGATGATCGCAAGTGTCTTGCCTACTATACTATTCAGTGTCTGACGTTATCGCTTTCATCATGCTCTCTATTATAGCTATTTCAGAATCGCTTGGTAACACAACGTACAGATTAATAGAATAACTTTGGCATACTTGACGATGAGTGACAGCAATACGTTTTTTGAACAAGAACTACGCCAGCTTTGATAATGTTGAAGATGGATAGCAGTTAGAGACATGACCACCACTTTAAGAGGCGTAACTTGCATGCTGACAACACATTACTCATGTCTGCACCGAGTTAGTAACTGTCTGGACGTGCAGAACCACAGGATCCACAGAACCTCCATCAAGCACCTTACATCCTACTTCTGGTTCAGTGGTCACCGATTCATTGGATAATAGATGCTTTCTACTCATTCTACGAGAAGAGCAGCATTGTTGTGATGCTGCTCAACCAATCACTCTGAAAGAGGTTGTGTGTGCGATCAATACAATTAGTTTTACCAACTCAGCACATTCAATATTCATCAATACCGTCACACCAAATTGTCTCTTTCAAAAGTATTATATGATCTCTTTCATAACATTTTTGACTATCTTTATAATCTATCTATTTATAAACACACATTGATTTTGTTAGTTTTACGATGGTCAATTGATTGATTAGATATCAAATTAGTCTTACCATTAATCTATTGTTGCACCAAGTAACTATCATTGATATTATTACTGTTTGTGAATCATGTTTTTGATTGATTATAGATAATTCTTCTAATTTTGATTTATTATTTGTGAATGACTCTGATTTTATTATTACTAATAGATATCCAGTATCGAGTGTATCTGGTATTACAATTGTATTATCAATATGATTTTTTTGAGTTGTTCATCATCTTTATCTTTAAGATCATTATATTTACTAATGATTAAGTAAAAATCAACTCTAAATTTCAATATATATCTTCAATTAATTATCTATCTGATTTTTCTATATAATATTATTTGTTATTCATTTTTATTAAAAAATAAATGATATTTTTATGATTTAATTTAAATTAATTGATTAACACAAACGTTACCTGCTTTAAAATCAGTGCAATACAAAAAACTTTATCTTTGTTTAAAAATATTGATCAAAAATAAAAATTACAATCTACACAAGATAGAAATGATGAATTTAATTGGTGATTATTATTTGATTCGCATTTAAAGCATTAATAGAGTTAGTGTATGATTTAGTAATATCATTCAGTAAAAGACACCATAATCGATCAAATACTATCTATATAATGACAAAAGAAACTATTTATTTATCAAACAGAAAATAAACTTATATCTCTTTAACCAATAGTGAAAGCATTGATCTACCTGTGTCTATTTTTAAAATTCATTTAATATTCATAGAGAATTAAAAGTGTTTATTTGACTGTTAGTATTAAGATTTAAATGTTCTCTTTAGATTTTATTTATTAATATCAAATACAAATTTTAGAAAAAAAGAGATAGAAATCAAACAACTTGATCAGCTCCGCTGTAGACCATAAGTTAAATGACTTGTTCTTTAAATGTAGCGATACTAGACAGAGTCAAAAGCATTAGTGTAATACAGTAATATTAATCAAGTTCACAAATAAATATTAAACATAGAACTATTTAGTGCTGTTGGTTGTTTAAGAGTGTAAATACTTACATTATAATATCAATATAAATATAGAATTGTTTTATTAATAAGTTGTTGTTGTTGTTGTATAAATGTAGGTTGTCTCAATAGATATATATAATGTTATCACACAGTGGATGAGGTGATCGATGAGATGCCAACCTGGAAGCATTCATCACCTGTTTGACTTGCCTAAGTCAAGGTATTTGACTATGTTTCGCATGACTGCATTGAAAGAACTTTAGCTAAACATGTACAATTGATTATGGGTCCTGCTGGTAGTGTAAAAGTATGTACTTCTTATTAATATTATTATTACATATAGAATTGTATTATTAATAGATTGTTGTTGTTGTTTTTTTTGTATAAATAATAGTCTACGTATTGCGATACAATGAGAAAACATTATGAAGAGATAAAGAGATATAAAGAATCTGATCACTGTCGACGAGGTGATCGACGAGTTGGCATACGGACCCAAACGGTGGTTTGGTGTATGCTATGGAGTATCTGGTGGAGAACATGGATTGGTTGATGGATGAACTCGATGATTTCGAAGAGGATTATCTCATTATCGATTGTCCTGGTCAGATCGAGTTGTACATTCATATACCGGTGATGTGTACCTCGTCGATGCACTGCAACAATCTGGCTATAGAGTTTGTGCTGTATTCATGGTGGATTCACAATTCATTCTCGACAGTTGTAAATTTATTAGTGGTTCACTCATGTGTTTATCGGCAATGATTCGTCTCGAGATTCCACATATCAATATCTTTCAATCTGTGCTTTCGATAATTTCAAATTGTTTAATTCCATGCAAAACAAAACTGGCTCCCAACAGAATCAAATTAAAAAAATTTGAGTGGTTGAATTTGCAAATTTTAATTTTCCGTCTGAGTTGGTCAAACTTAATTTCACTACAGCTGATCATCAACAATAATAATAACAATCAATTCTGAAATCTTAATTTCACGTTTAGTTTGGAATAGTTGATGATTATTTCGATCATCTGGATGACTGATCAATTTAAATATTCAAAAATACAGAGTTAATATCTGATTGATAATAATATTTTAAAAATGATTATTCGAGTATTTACCAACATAATAATTTGAGAATTGTTGATCCAATTGAAAAGATGTCACATGATTGTGCATATTGTCGTTTCATTGCTTCCTAATTGTATTATTATTTTGATTTAGTAAAATATTTAAATATTAATTAATAGAATATACTTACTGGTGAAATATAACCAATTGTTCCACGAGTTGCATTTATAAGTGTGTTTGAATACATATCAAAAATAGTTGGATCTGATATTTCTTTCGAATTTGAAACACTTGTTATGACAACAGGTGCCTTGAAAAATACTTTTGAATCTTGATATTCAATGATTGTTGATTGATCAATGAATTTACAACATCCAAAATCACCAAGAATCAAAGTACCATAATCACCAATGAATATGTTTGATGGTTTGATATCACAATGAACAATTCCATGTTTATCAAGTTCCAAAAGAATATTGAAAAGTTGGCTAATATAATTCCCATATATTCGCTAATATCTGATTCTTTAAAGATTCTATTTTTATGCTCAATATAAATGTGGTTAATTGTAATATATTCATATCTTGATAAATATTTTATACTTACAGATTTAGATCAGTTAAATGTTTATACTTTTGAGAAAGATCACCACTATCACAATATTCAGTGATGATATGAAAGATTTGATTATCTTTATCATCATGATAGTCAACAAGTTGAACAAATCTTTGATTACCTTTGAGTAATTTCATTGATTTGATTTCATTCTCAGCTCTTTCATAAGATTTCTGATTATCTTTACCTTTATAGTTTATCTTTTTATAAACATACTTTTGAATTGATTTTGTTAGTTTTATGATTGTCAATTGATTAATTACTTTGAAAAATGATCTTACCAATCTTTTATTAAAAGAATTATCAGGACCATACACTAAATATACATCATTGATATTATTACTGTTTGTAAATCTTGATATTGAATGATATCGTTTGTTATTAATGATGTGCGTTTGTTTGAAATAGTCAAACGTGTATTTGAATTGACATTTTTGAATATTGATTGTGTATGATTCTGATTTGTTTAAAAGTATCGATAGATTTAAGAGTGAATCTGAAATGATTAATTGATATTGATATTGAGTATCGACTGTATCTGGAACTACTATCTCATCATTATTTTTAATATTTCCGATTAATATGATATTTGTGTGTTGTTCATTATCTTTATCTTTCAAATGATTATGAACTAAAACTATTAGATTATCATAATATTTATAAGGAAATATAGATCGCTCACTTCTAAATTTCAAAACATTCTTTCCATTGATTAATCTATCTATTTTATCGATTATATTTGTATTTGTATTCATTTTGAACAATATTCTTTATTTTATCAAAAATGATTGTTTGCAAAATCATTGCACGTGTTACACCCAGTCACGATCGTTGGAAATTTGCCTTCTAATTTCTTGCAAAAAAAAATTCATTTTTGAACAAAATTTTATATGAAATTTTAAATATTTAAATTAATATAAAATTATTTGTTTGTAGATTTTATTTAAATAAATTAAAGAAAGATTTAACCAAAGTTTTATCATTCGATTGTGCTACATTGGTATTAGTTGTAGTTGAGGTATTTTGGGAAACAATTTGAGGTTGTGATGTAGAAGATTGTACTTTATTCAAAATGTTGTTGGTGGTATTATTGATTTGAAGGTTTGCTTGATACAAAGAAATTGTTGGTTCTTCGTCTAGTGTCTTTCTTTTCTTTTTAGATACATCATAGGTTATTTTGATAATATCCCTGTCAAAATTTGATTCAATTAATAGGGTTAATGAGGTGATTTAAAAAAAAGTTGAACATACTGTGTATCTTGGGAAGTTATTATGGCACCCTTGCGCTTTTTATCTCTCATTACTATAGCCCGTTCTTTTTGGGTCATGGCTTGAGCATTTGCCGGAACAATCTCTTTGTTCCCGGCTATAGCGATTTCCTTTGAGATAGACTTTTTCGGCTTTTTAAGAAATATTGGGTCGCAGTATTCATGTGCCATCCAATTGAACAAACCAGACTTAATCCAAGACATTCTTATATTGGATGAGTTGAATGATGATGACCAAGCATGATAAGCCAACATTTGGTAGTGTTTATCGTTCACTTTAAACTTTGGATTGTCCTTTAACCCATCTCTGAGCAAATTTGATAGGTGTTGAGAGAATGACGAAAATAGGACTAAATCCAAAGGCTGGAGAATGTGAGTAAGGTTTGATGGGAACGTCATTATGATAAGATTATTCTCATCACAAAGTTTTTTTTCGTCAAAGAAATAATTGGATATGTGATTGTCCACTAAAAGCAGCTTTTTATCTGTTTTCTTAAATTGTCCTAGAAGCCATTCGACATATTCTTTCTTTATCTCTTGCGTTACCTATAATATATAATAATACAATGTATCAATATTGATATATTAATAATAGCAATAGACAACTTTGGATCAAGTTATAAAAAGTTGCCAACTTACATATCCTGACTCATTAGCAATAATGACACCATAATTTGAATTTTGCATGTGTTCCCATTTTACTCGTTTAGGAATCCGGAGAACGTTATAGGGTGGTAGAGCATGACCAGATGCTGTTATTGTTCCAATCATTGTAAAGTGTTGACTTTGGGATTGCTTGGGAAACCTAGGTTTGACTATCTCAAATTTGTTTCCACGGTCAATAATGGCAACCTATATTTTTATAACAATTAGCTAAATCTTTCGAAAAAAAACTAATAAATAGAATATTAAATACCTTTTGATTCATTTTCGTGAATAAAACACCTTTCTCATCAGAGTTTATCACATTCTTTGGTTGAATTTAGTTTTCTACTATCACTTTATGAACACTCTTGATGAAACCTTGAATATCGGCCTCTTTATCCGCTTTTAATATGGCTTCATCTTGAAACTTAACCTTTCTTAACTTTAAGATCGGATATTTTTGTTTCGGCTTTGTCCACCAGTCACGACCAGGGGTGACGACTCATTGTATAGCCATATTTGTCATATACCTTTCCGACCACCCAATTTAGAATATTCTCTTTCGTTATCGGAATATTCTTGGTGTTTGATTCTTCTACCATCTTTATCATCTCTAATTCTTCTGCTTCGGTGAGATATCTACCTCTTGGCTTAAAGGAGAGGTTATTTTTTTTTCTTGGATATCTCACTTTCAGAAACTCCATACTTTTGAGAGAGCTCCTTTTGAGTAAAACCTGTATCGTTTTGAATTTCATTTATTGCTTCCATCAACCTCTCTTCTCTGCTCATTTGACTAATCCTCTGAGGTGTTACACCTATGATACTGCTTAATTCTTGTGTATCCTCCTATTAAAAGTGCTATATTAGCACTATCTTTTCTAAATAATAACATAATTTTTAAATAATGTTAAACCCGACATACCATTGCATTGATACATTCTATTTTAATATAACTTTGTTTATTTTTATCTTAAAATCTACAGATATTAATAACTTAGCTTCAAAAAAAAACAATATTAATTTTTTTAAAAATTTTCACAAATTTGTGCAGAAATGAGAAGGCAAATTTCCAACGATCGTGACTGGTGTCAGTTCAAAGTAAAAGTAATGCATAATAGATTATTTGAATTATTATAAAAGAATATCTTACTTAATATGTACATATCAAAACAGATTTTTATTTCTATTTGATTAGAGGTTGGAATTCGATATACCCAGTCATACTAGAACTCTCACAATCTTCAACTTTGTTGATCACTGATTGACCGAGTGGCGTTCTAAGTGGACACTTATAGATATAGCCACTCACAACCTGTACATATCTTCACCTAAATTCATTTTCTTGGATAATGATGCACCAAAGTCGCCAACTCTCCTCTCCTATTCAATGTGACTGGAATGCCATTGACCCATCATAGAATTTGAAGAACCTCTAAGCATGGACATCATTAGATTGACATCGTTGATTGTTTCTTGGTATAGTTGGTTCCTTAGATACAGCCATGCCACACATAGTCGAAAGCCTTGAATGGGTTTGTCAAACAGAGTGATGATAGATTCGGCATTGCCAACGGCTGCTGCTGTCCCAACTATCTCTTTCAAAAGTATTATATTGTCGTGGATCAATCAACCAGGATGAAACCGTTTTGATAGGTATTTATGATCTGTTGTAGAACAATTGTAAGTCAAGCATGAATGACATTGCTTTATAGCGTGTAATCGTAGTTACGTATGTCACCTATTTTTTTAATATATATGTTAGAGATGATACCTATTTTTAAATTCAGATGGAATCAGATGATAATATAACTTGTTTATAGTAATTATATTTATAAAAACTAATCTTTACTTTATGTAATTTAGTTTTCTAGATTTAGAAGTACATGAATTAGTAGATAGATTAGATAATGAAACGAATAATAGATATCATAAATTAAATAGAGCTATTGGACAATTGGTATGTTTGTTTATGTTTAAACTTTACTTGACCGGAACAAAATGAAATTACAAGTTTCTGGTGTACCGACATGCACCAAGGGTTGTAGATCATAGACAAATGATTGCAGTCAAACAGAGTGTTGATAGCTTTTTTGTGATGATCTCATTCATAATAGAACATAATATCGAACACAAATATAATATAAATCAATAAACTAAATATCAATAATTAGATCTAGATTCATATGGTCTTCTTAGAATTATAAATTAACACAAATGAATCAACAAAACTTTACCTAAACCAATGAAATATATATTTAAACTCGTTTTTTTTATTTTTTGTTATTGTATTCTTTATTATCATCTTTTTAGTATTAATAATCAAATTTTGCATTTTCAGCGGCAGTCAAGCGAGAACTACTCTTCAACTGAAGAAAAAAAACTCTCGGCAGAGCTGAAGGAAACGTGTCACTCAGTGCGCGTATCCACAAGAAAACATTCGACAGCGTCCATGGAGTTCTACAAGTAGAACCGAAAAGCAATGAATCACCATCCTTGACGACTTGTTTGACGACAACCCATAAAGCTGTCACTGGTGCACTGTAACAAAACGACCACTGTGATGTACCGAATACAACCGACACAGAGAATTAGTGATGCTCTGACTCTGAGAGCGACCATCATAATGATATCAGTACAAATCACTAGTCTGCAAGTGTGATGTCGATAAAATCAACTCTAATTGGAACCTCCACGCGTGCTTGTGAAGAAGTCTCTTCCATGTTTGTACAACCAGTATTACCCATTCGAAATCAAGAGCAATCACAAGTTCTAAGAGCACTCAACGTTGAGGTGGAGGAACTGTTGACATCTAAAATTCTGATTGAAACATATCTATTGTTGTTTGTTCAAGTCTATTCACAATCGTCTCCAAGTAAACATGAAGCTATTGTATGGTGTTCTGTCTTCTGTGATAAAAGTTGGTTAACTAACGTCAAAAAATCATTATTTTAAATAATTGTGGTTATAACTTACAAGTCTTGAACTATACTATTATTCTAGAATAAACATCTCTCAAACTGGTGGTTCAAAGTCTGTTAAAAGATCAAAAAACATTTCATATATATCATTACTGCTATCATTCGATCTATCTGACTTACAGTTGTCTCTGTCATCTATATAGTGATAAAACACATAACCTGTTAATTAGATATTGAATAATGACAACACTCTATACACCGAATTATAATACATACACATTATTTACAACTCTGCTGATTTTTAAGTGTTGTACATCTTTATCTTTCAAAGTTGGATGTAATACCATTGACAAGCCACATAGATTACTATCGATGATTATATTGATATAGTTCCTGTGAATACCGACATTAACATTCTTTCAATGCAAGCCATGCGACAGAAAGTCAAACACCTTGAGCTCGAACAGATGATTGCTCCTAACATCTTTGATTATCTTTTATAGTTTATCTTTATATAAACATAGTTTTTGAATTGATTTTGTTAGTTTTAAGATCGTGAATAAATAGATATCAAATTAGTCTTACCATTAGTCAATTATTGCACTAGTACATATCATTGATATTATTACTGTTTTTAAAGCTTGTTATTGAATGATTGTAGATAAGTATAATTTCGATTTTTTAATTATGAATGACTCTGATTATATTATTACTAATTATTATTTATCTGATTTCTAGATATAAAGTTTGTTATTCATTTTTAAAGTATTCTTGTTGTTATTTTTATGATTAAATTATAACTTTGCAATAATAATAAACATTTCTTTGGTTTAAAAATTTTAGATCATTATTTTTGTTTATTATTTATTTATAATTAAACAATTCTTAAGTTTTATATATTGCCTCGATTTTAAATCGGTATTTATGTTTACAAGTTAGAAATGATGAATTTATTTGGACTATATTATCTTGAACTCATTGTTTGAATGTATCGATACTAGACAGAGTCAAAAGCATTGAGTGAGTCAAACATCGTGACGATAGCTTTCGCGTGTCAACGGCTGCCTCAATGATCTCTTTGTATTGTATTGGATCAATCAATCTACATGAGATGAAACCAGTTTGATAGTGTAATACAGTAATAGTAAGAACGTTCACAAATAAATATTAAATATAGATCGATTTATTGTTGGTTGTAAAACTATGTAAATACTTACATTATAATATCAATTTAAATATAGAATTGTTTTATTAATAATTTGTTGTTGTTGTATAACTGTAGGTTGTCTCAATAGATATATATATAATATTATCACAGTCGCTGATCACTGTCGACGAGGTGATGGACGAGTTGGCACGGACCAAACGGTGGTCTGGTCTATGCTATGGAGTATCTGGTGGAGAACATGGATTGGTTGATGGATGAACTCGATGATTTCGAAGAGGATTATCTCATTATCGATTGTCCTGGTCAGATCGAGTTGTACAGTCATATACCGGTGATGCGTACACTCCTCGATGCACTGCAACAATCTGGCTATAGAGTTTGTGCTGTATTCATGGTGGATTCACAATTCATTCTCGACAGTTGTAAATTTATAAGTGGTTCACTCATGTGTTTATCGGCAATGATTCGTCTCGAGATTCCACATATCAATGTTCTTACAAAGTTGGATGTCATAAAGAAATCACACAGACTGAAAGATATTGAAAGGTAAGATTATATAATAATAATATATTAACTTGTTTGTTTATAATACTAATCTATATCTTTATGTTTGTTTTATTTAGTTTTCTAGATTTAGAAGTACATGAATTGGTAGATAGATTAGATAATGAAACGAATAATAGATATCATAAATTAAATAGAACTATTGGACAATTGGTATGTTTGTTAATTAAAATTAAAGTTGGAAGATTATAGTTTGGTTGGATATATCCCACTTGATATTTCAGATCAAGAGAGTATTAGTTTTTTATTGGCACAGATAGATAATTCAATACAGTATGGTGAAGATGTCGAACCACAAGATCCAAACGACCAATACTTTGAAGAAGATGAAGATGCTGATGATGGTGCTTTCGATAATTACAACAATTAAATAAATTATTAAACTTCAAAAAGTTATTATTCAAGCATTTAAGTTATCAGTTCTCCAATTGTAGTCAAATTAATTATGTAGTTGTATAATCTTGTAACTTAAAACTTTATTTCTACATTTAAAAAACAATATTCTTTAAATTTATTTTTACTTAGATTTGGTCATGTTTATAAAATGTTATTACTGTTATGTAAAAGTAGAGCAATGATGTATTCTCCTTTGATTTGATTGCTTTGAGAATCGACAATGTAATCACTGATCTTCGATAAATTGTGTGTTGAATAATATTCTGGATAGAATTCTTTGATAAATGAAAGTGAATCTTGAGAATTTGTCAATTGAAATGTTGTTATTGTTTGAGGGTGTCCATAATCATCATTAAAATTTATTTCAAGAATGTTTAGATTTAAAGCTAATTTTCTTTGATTCACCGAGTCTTTTTGTATTCCACCAATAATGAGTGATGAAATTGATTTTGGTAAAGTTATTCCAATATCGGTATTTGTTGGAGTAGGACCATAAATAGTTATACACTTGAGTGAAGATGGAAGAACACCAATGCTAATTATATGTTTATAAGAGTGAAGATATAAATGTTGAAGAGATTGTGGTAATACTCCAATATCCAATGGTTGATCAAGTGGAAAATACATATTTATAAGATGTTTTGGTAAAACATCTCTCTCTATTCTATGTTTGTAGATACCATACATTTTTAATGATTTTAGTGATTCAGATAACACACCAACTGATAATATTTGATTGAATAAATATCCAAACACCAATGATTCAAGTGATTCAGGTAACACACCAACTGATAATATTTGATTGAATGAATATCCAAATGATAATGATTCAAGTGATTTAGGTAACTCACTGACTGATAATATTTGATTGAATCTATTTCCAAACACCAATGATTTCAGTGATTCAGGTAACACACCAACTGATAATATTTGATTGAATCTATTTCCAAACACCAATGTCTTCAGTGATTCAGGTAACACACCAACTGATAATATTTGATTGAATTCATCACCAAATGTTAATGATTCAAGTGATTCAGGTAACACACCGACTGATAATATTTGATTGAATGAATATCCAAACTTCAATGATTTTAGTGATTCAGGTAACACACCAACTGATAATATTTGATTGAATCCAAATATAAACACCAATGATTCAAGTGATTTAGGTAACACACCAACTGATAATATTTGATTGAATTCATATCCAAACTTCAATGATTTCAGTGATTCAGGTAACACACCAACTGATAATATTTGATTGAATCTATTTCCAAACACCAATGTCTTCAGTGATTCAGGTAACACACCAACTGATAATATTTGATTGAATTTATCACCAAACACCAATGATTTCAATGATTTAGGTAACACACCGACTGATAATATTTGATTGAATTCATCACCAAACTTCAATGATTCAAGTGATTCAGGTAACACACCAACTGATAATATTTTGATTGAATTTAGATCCAAATGATAATGATTTCAGTGATTCAGGTAGCACACAGACTGATAATATTTGATTGAATTTAGATCCAAATGATAATGATGTCAGATTTGGAGGGAGTGAATTAGATTCCAAAGGTTGATTAAATTCATGACCAAATTTGATTTTAGTGATATTGACGGATCTATTTTTGAATGTAGTATTTAAATTGAACGAAATTGAATGTTGATTGGTGTTGGTTTCAATATATTGGTTTAATAATTGATTCAATGATTCTCTATTCTTTGGACTCTGATCCAACAATTGATGAATAAATTCAATCAATTGTTTTGAATATATGGATTCTGAAATGATAATTTCACCAGTAGTTTTGAATAATTCATGATTTTTTTGATCATCTTGATGACTGATCAATTTAAATATTCAAAAATACAGAGTTAATATCTGATTGATAATAATATTTTAAAAGTATGATTATTCGAGTATTTACCAACATAATAATTTGAGAATTGTTGATCCAATTGAAAAGATGTCACATGATTGTGCATATTGTCGTTTCATTGCTTCCTAATTGTATTATTATTTTGATTTAGTTATAAATATATTTAATAATCAAATAATAGAATATACAAACTGGTGAAATATAACCAATTGTTCCACGAGTTGCATTTATAAGTGTGTTTGAATACATTTCAAAAATAGTTGGATCTGATATTTCTTTCGAATTTGAAACACTTGTTATGACAACAGGTGCCTTGAAAAATAGGTTTTTGATATTCAATGATTGTTGATTGACCAATGAATTTACAACATCCAAAAATACATTTGAATCTTGATATTCAGTGATTGTTGATTGACCAATGAATTTACAACATCCAAAATCACCAAGAATCAAAGTACCATCATTATCAATGAATATGTTTGATGGTTTGATATCACAATGAACAATTCCATGTTTATCAAGATCCAAAAGAATATTGAAAAGTTGTCGAATATATTCGCTAATATCTGATTCTTTAAAGATCCTATTTTTATGTTCAATATGAAAGTTAAATTAATATCTCGATTGTATTAGAATTTTATTTTAATTCTTACAGATTATGATCAGTAAAATGTTTATACTTTTGATCAAGATCACCACCTTTACAATAATCAGTGATAATATGAAAGATTTGATTGTGTTTATCATGATGATAGTCAACAAGTTGAACAAATCTTCGATTACCTTTGAGTAATTCCATTGATTTGATTTCATTCTCAGCTCTTTCATAAGATTTCTGATTATCTTTATAGTTTATCTTTTTATAAACATACTTTTGAATTGATTTTGTTAGTTTTATGATTGTCAATTGATTAATTACTTTGAAAAATGATCTTACCAATCTTTTAACTAAAGCATTATGAGGACCACCCACTATATATACATCATTGATATTATTACTGTTTGGAAATCTTGATATTAAATGATATCGTTCGTTATTAATGATGTGTGTTTGTTTGAAATAGTCAAACGTGTCTTTGATTTTGAAATAGTTTAACATGAGTTGGAATTGACTTTTTTGAATATTGATTGTGTATGATTCTGATTTGTTTAAAAGTATCGATAGATATAAGAGTGAATATGAATCTATTAATATTAATTGATATTGAGTATCGACTGTATCTGGTACTACTATCTCATCATTAGATTTACTATTTCTGATTAATATGATATTTGTGTGTTGTTCATTATCTTTATCTTTCAAATGATTATGAACTAAAACTATTAGATCATCATAATGTCCATAAAAATTAGATCGCACACTTCTAAATTTCAATACATTCTTTCCATTGATTAATCTATCTGTTTTCTCGATTATATTTGTATTTGTAATCATTTTGAACATTATTCTATATTTTATCAAAATGATTGTTTGCAAAATCATTGAGAGTTTTATTTAAATTTAACTTTTTAATTTAGCCAATAAAATTAAATTTGTTGCAAATCAAATAAACCCACACCTGAATAGACCTAGTGAAAATGCTTGTTTTTTTGCAAACAAAAAACTAAAAAAAATATGGATGAACAGCTGTGGTTCGCTATGACAATTTTTTTTCGTTTTTCTCACTAGTAAAAACTTGTAAGTTTAAATGTTAAAATAAAATCACTTACATATTTAAAAATGACAATATATATCTTTTAAAAATTCAAATATGTTATAACATATATTTATTTTATTTTTTTTATGGATATCCCTTCATCTTTTTTATCAAAGTGTTCTTTTGATTTTTTTTGTTTGCAATAAAAGTGATTTAAATTTGATTTATTTTAAATTAAATTTTATTATATTTTCTGTGCTTTACTATTGTTTGTAATGTACATGTTGTGAATTTAGATCCAGCGGCAGAGGTATTTTAATATCCGGTTTCAATTGATATAAATAATCTTATCACTGTCGACGAGGTGATCGACGAGTTGGCATACGGACCAAACGGTGGTCTGGTCTATGCTATGGAGTATCTGGTGGAGAATATCGATTGGTTGATGGGATGAACTCGATGATTTCGAAGAGGATTATCTCATTATCGATTGTCCTGGTCAGATCGAGTTGTACAGTCATATACCGGTGATGCGCACACTCGTCGATGCACTGCAACAATCTGGCTATAGAGTTTGTGCTGTATTCATGGTGGATTCACAATTCATTCTCGACAGTTGTAAATTTATAAGTGGTTCACTCATGTGTTTATCGGCAATGATTCGTCTCGAGATTCCACATATCAATGTTCTTACAAAGTTAGATGTCATAAAGAAATCACACAGATTGAAAGATATTGAAAGGTAAGATTATATATTAATATATTATATTAACTTATTTGTTTATAAACTAATCTATATCTTTATGTTTGTTTTATTTAGTTTTCTAGATTTAGAAGTACATGAATTGGTCGATAGATTAGATAATGAAACGAATAATAGATATCATAAATTAAATAGAGCTATTGGACAATTGGTATGTTTGTTTATGTTTAAACTTTACTTGGTGAATGCAATCATTAAAGTCATATAAGTATAGTGTTTTATTTACATGTTTTTTTAATTAAAATTAAAGTTGGAAGATTATAGTTTGGTTGGATATATCCCACTTGATATTTCAGATCAAGAGAGTATTAGTTTTTTATTGGCACAGATAGATAATTCAATACAGTATGGTGAAGATGTCGAACCACAAGATCCAAACGACCAATACTTTGAAGAAGATGAAGATGCTGATGATGGTGCTTTCGATAATTACAACAATTAAATAATTATTAAACTTCAATCATTTAAGTTTATCAGTTCTTCAATTGTAGTCAAATTAATTATGTAGTTTACAGATTAAATATTCCAAAGTTGACTATCCACTTGTAACTTCAAACTTTTTTTAAATTTTTAATTTATTTATTAATTTTTATAAAATGATATTTCTGTTATGTAAGAGTAGAGCAATGATGTATTCTCCTTTGATTTGATTGCTTTGAGAATCGACAAATGAATCACTAATAATATTTATATAATCTATTTCTGAATTTTATTTTATATCTTTTTTTATCTTTAATGAATTGTGTGAATCCTTTTGCGTTAAATTCAATGTATTGATCGTCCTGGTCTTTCAGAAGATTGACGGCTGAGTAGTGAATAACTTAATTTGGAAACAACAGATTTAATTTAAATATTATTTGGATCTGTTATTTTAAAATATTACTTATTTAATTGACTTGATTAATTTAATAAATTAATTGACCGTTACTATTACAGTTGTCATATGTTGGCTGGTGAATATTACTACTATTGTTTAATGGGCCCACACATTGCCTTGACTGCTACTCTATTGTCCTTAGAGAGACAACAGACAGTAACAACATGCACCACAACAATAGCACCTTAAAAATGATCACTGATTGACCATGTTTTCGAAAGTAGATGACCATAGTACCCAGCTGAACCAAGAGCTCACAAACATTGTCCCTCTATAGAACTAAAACAAGATAACACAATTGCATAATAATATAAAAAAGATATATCTAATATAACACTTTTTATTATTCATACATATTAATGTGTAAAAACAACTCTCTAACAAAGTAACAAATAATAAGATGAATGAGGAACATCACAGCAATAAGAAGAAGAAAAATGACTGAAAAACAAAGATTTTAAATGTAATCATAGAAAATGTTTATCGATTCTTTTATTTTCTTTTGAATAATCAAAATTTGTTTATTTCAAAATGATATTTCTATTGTGTTAAAAAGTAGAGCAATGATGTATTCTCCTTTGATTTGATTGTTCTGAGAATCGACAATGTAATCACTGATCTTCGATAGATTGTGTGTTTGTTAGAGACGTCGTTGAATTGTGATAGTAACGACATAATGTAGTGATATAAAATAATGTTATAATAAATAAATAGTTATATGTTTTAAAGATGATTGTAAAATAATGAATAATGTTTATTGATTTTAGTTTGCGCTTATATATTGTTGATTTGTCGGTTGGCAGTAGTCGGTTGATTGGTATCTTGGAACTACGATTCCAACACTGCCCTTCTTCTTCGAGGCAGCCTGACAGGATTAAAAACTTATACGCGGCTTTGCATAAGAAAACCTTATCAGGACTTACGCGAGAGACGGGTGCCGACTCATCCGTCTGTAGGATCTGGAACTGAATGAGCAGAGCTAAACTTAGTCGCTAGAGTATTACCGGGTAGTGGTACCCAAGCGAGAGCTCTTCCAACCTTAACCAAGTATTCGACACGAGCTAGTTTGGAAATACCAAGAGTGAACTTACGCTTGGCGAGGATGGCAACAATATCCTTTCTCCACTTGGTGTATGCTAGAACCTTGACATCATCTGCAATAATAATAGAGGGAGTGTTTGGTATGAAGTCGTCGCTGTTGATGTATGATATAATGTTCTTTGTCGCTATTATTTCCGATTTGTTAAGATTGCATTTTAAATTATGATCGAATTTGTCCACTTCATTCCGTAGTTCGTTAAAATTATTTTCGATATTTTGATAAATTATTCGATAAAGTTCCACGTGTAGTGATGTTTTGATGAAATTTTGAATCATTTGAAATAAATTTTAAATAATCGATATTTAAATTATTATTATTATTATTGTTATTATTATTATTAGAGTTATTAGAGTTATTATTATTATTATTAATAAGTAAGTTATCGCTATCATCGTCATTCATATCCATGTCGTCGTTATTGTTGTTGTTGTAATTGTTATTATTATTATCATCTTCGTTATTATCGTAGTCGCTATCATCATCGTCATTTAATTCATTATCCTCCATGTCATCCTTGTCAACACTACGTTCGACATTTTTCAGCCCCCTCCGTGTGTGACGGCGTATAGGCCTCGGACTATCGTCATAGTCGTCTGAACTATCGCCAACGGTACTACCCCGATCGGTCTCCGCCGTAGCACCGTTTTCGACTAATAAGTCGTCGACATCATTAATTAAATTATCATTCATCTTTGGATCGTATAACATTATGTGTTTCGAATTAAACTTCTTCTTCTTTGTGCTTATTCCATCTTTTCCAATCACATCTATGAATATATTATTATAATTATCGACTTCCACTACTTTTCGCGGTCCTTCACAATTTCTTTTTCTTACCATCTCTATTATTATTGTAGAAACGTAATCACCTACCTTGATTTGGTTTTCTTTTTTACCTTTGTTCCATGTAAATCTCATCTCTTGATTTCCAATACAGATGTTCCGTTTGACTAACTTAATGATTGCTTTCCTTTCCTTAATAGATTCGATGATTTGTTTATCTGTGACGTCGACCAGAGCATCCGATTCTTTGACGAGGTTGAGTGGTGTTAACGGATTGTGTCCCAAATAGATCTTGAACGGTGTATACTCGGTAGTAGAATGAACAGTTGAATTCAGTGAAAACTCGACAGTATCGATGTGCTTAGACCAGGAGCCAGTAGTATTGTGGAGACGGTCATCAACCATAAGCTTTCTAGTCGCATTCTTGACCGCGCGGATGATTCTTTCGGCCTGCCCGTTGGCTTGCTGATTTGAAACAGCAGAAGTAGAATGATGGATACCGTACGCTTTCGTCAACTGCTTGAATAACTTAGAGGTCAATTTAGAATCGTTATCAGAAACAATTTCAATCGGGATACCATGGAGTTTGAAGATCTCTTTATGGAACATCAATCACGTCCTTGCTGGTATAGTCAGAGCCTAAAGGAATCAGTATGGTCATTTTAGATAAAGCATCGACAACGACCATAATAGCGTCGACCTTCCTACCCATGTACTCCTCGACTGGTAAATTTGGGATGAAGTCGATGTTAATACGTTGGAAGCATTTGACTGGAATGGGCAATGGAATCAGGTGGCCAATTCTTTTTCGTGCATGGTCGCTGGCACGTCGACAGACGATACAGTCATCACAGTACTTCCTGATATCTGCCGCCATGTTCGGCCATACGTATAGTTCGGATATAGAATGGAGAGTTTTGGAGGCCGACCTATGACAACCGAATTCAGAATCGTGGGCTTGATATAGTAAATTATTGACTATCGACAAGACTCTAGGTACTACAATCTTACCGTCGTGGGTGTATCGGAGACCGTTGATTGTCGTGTAATCAGTGATTCCGTTACTAAGATTGGAGTTGTCCTCTATGCGGTAACCGTCGATGATGTCATTGGCGATCGTTGGATGACTAAGTGATACGGATACATTGAATGTGTACCTGGACAAACCATCGGCGATCGTATTGTCCTTTCCTTTGATGAATTTGATCTTTGGTTGGTAAAGATTAATGTGTGCGATCCAGCGATTGATAGTTTGGTTGATACCGATCTTGTTGGCCTCGTTGATATAGGTGATGTTCTTGTGGTCAGTACGAATCTCGATATCTCTGCCGAAGATGTGATAGTAGTTGGCTTTCAACGCAGTGACGATGGCTAATAGTTCCTTTTCCAGTGTTGAATAACGTGTTTCCGAATCTTTCAATTTCTTGGAACCGTAGCAGATTACGTTCTCTTTACCGTCTACCAATTGGAACAATCGATATCCAGTACCGACATCGGAAGCGTCGCATTCAAATATAAACGGAAGATCGTAATTTGGTGGGAACAACGATGGCTTCTCTTTAATTGCCGATTTGATAGTATCGAATGCAAGTTGGCAATCATCAGACCAGTGGAATGGAGCGAACTTTCTTAACAGGAAAGTGAGTGGAGCTTGGACAGTGGCTAACCTCGGAATGAATCTATTGTAGTAGTTAACAAGACCGAGGAAACTACGTAGCTCATCTTTGTTGTTCGGTTCTTTCCATGCGATAATAGAATCGATCTTGTCCTGCAGTGGGTCTATTTTGCCATTACCAACCATGTGACCAAGGTAGTCGACAGATCGAACCAAGAATGTGCATTTTGATAAGTTGACATGTAAGTTGTTCTTTCTTAGTATTGTGAATACATGCTTGATACCATCGATGTGTTCAGTAATAGAAGAATTATTGGTCATGATTAATAAATCGTCTAAGTATACTAATAATAATTTCTGAAATACTTCCAATTTAAATACAGAATCCATGAAAGACTGGAAGACCGCTGGTGCATTTGATAATCCGAATGGTATAACCGTGTATTTGAATGAACCAAATGGACAACGAAAAGTGGTCTTGTCAGCGTCTTGTAGGTTCTTGCGAAGTTGGTGGTAACCATGTAGCAAGTCCAACTTGCTTAGCCAGTGAGCAGCTTTGGTACGGTCGAGCAGTTCGTTGATACGTGGAAGCGGATAAGAGTTCTTGACGGTAGACTTATTGAGTTGGCGGTAGTCGACGCACATACGCCAGTTTCCAGTTTTCTTCTTGACGAACAATACAGGAGCACCATATTCAGCGTTAGATGGAACGATGAATCCTTTATGTAGCAAGTCTTTAATTTGGTTGTGTAGTTCCTCCAGCAGTGATTGTGGAACAGGGAACATCCTCTGTTTCTGGACAGGTGCATTCAAGTTGATCTTCATATCTACATCCTCTCGGAATGGTGGTGGTGAAGTCATTGGAGATACCACATCCTGGAAATCGCTTTTCAACATGTTAATGATGTCCTCTCGAACACCATCAAGACCATCCTCCGAAGCAGCGGTGACGTTCGTGGTAAAAGTAGTAGCTGTCGGTAGTGTAGTCTTCACGTCATCAGGGTCAATCCATACCAAGTAACTATCAGCAATGTCAGCGGTGTTAATATGTTCGATGCCAGAGTTAGTAGGATTATTTGGATTAAGTGTAGCCATGGTCATAGGAGAGTACCCAAATTTATTGAAATTCCCAAAATGGAAATTTTCAAAATCAGTTTTTAATTTTTCTTTAGTGACGTGGATTTGGTGACAAATTTTTGTAATTTCGTGCAAAATGTCACATTTTTGAGTTGATGCAAATAAACATTTCAAAGTTGATTTCCTTTTACGTCCAGATACATGAAAATCGATGTTGTTACGAAGTGCACTATGATTAGTAGCACCTCTTCTGAATGTTTTTACTATATTATTAGAAATAGTGAGTGTATTATCGACAATTCTAAAATCTAGTTTGGCTAGTGAATCTACGCCGATGATACATACTTTAGGGTCCACATCTGCAAAGATAAAATCCATTGGAATATGGACACGGTGACCTTTAACGGTGGTGAAACCTACAGGTTAGATTACATGTCGGTTTCACCGAAATTACGAGGCTCCGTACGCTTGGTTAAACCGGCAGGGGTCGTAGGCTTAGTAGGGGTCCGCTTGAAATAGGGCGTGAAAAGGGATAGATCCTGCTGAGTCCACCATGTTAGAGACGTCGTTGAATTGTGATAGTAACGACATAATGTAGTGATATAAAATAATGTTATAATAAATAAATAGTTATATGTTTTAAAGATGATTGTAAAATAATGAATAATGTTTATTGATTTTAGTTTGCGCTTATATATTGTTGATTTGTCGGTTGGCAGTAGTCGGTTGATTGGTATCTTGGAACTACGATTCCAACAGTGTTGAATAATATTCTGGATAGAATTCTTTGATGAATGAAAGTGAATCTTGAGAATTTGTCAATTGGAATAATGGGGTTAGGAGACTTTAACAATTTCAGAATTAGAAATAAAATAATCAAAAACAATAAACAAAACAAATGAAGAATAAAAAAAAATTGTTTTCAAAATAATTGTAAAGCTCATACATCTAATATTTATTTATCTTGAATTTTTACTTTTATTATTTAAGAAAATACTTTATTGTTTGTTTTTTTTATATAATCATTAGATACTTTTAATTTTAATTTACACAGCTAATGGTTATCTTTATAAAATATTTGGAAGTTGTTTTGAAAGTTTCTAAAGTATGTTAGGAAAAAATAAAAACATTTTAACAGTTATGATGATCATTATTCAAAAAATAAAATTTGATTAGCTTCAAGTTTGAAAAAGATAAATCAAAAAAATTTGTTCCTAACCTTTTCCTAAGATTTTATATGGAACTCTATATAAAATGTAGGGAAATTGATGTTAACATTAGTTAGAAACTCCTAAATATTCCACATATGTGTCCAATAGTCAAATTTTTATTCAAATTTTTTATTTAATACACCACACAAAAATTTAATTAATTCAAGAAACAACCTCGAAGAACCTGTTCTTTCTTGCAGAGATGAGGTACTAATTTAATAAAAAGAGACTAAGACAAAGAAACTAATTAAAAAAATGAAGTTAATATAAATATTTATTAATGATATAGTTTTACTAGTAATAAAATAAATATAAAGAATTGTAAAAGTTCCCTAACCCCATTGTATTTCACCAATAATGAGTAATGAAATTGATTTTGGTACTACACCAACTGATAATATTTGATTGAATTCACGGCCAAACTTCAATGATTTCAACGATTCAGGTAACACACCAACTGATAATATTTGATTGAATTTATCTCCAAATGATAATGATTTCAGTGATTTAGGTAACACACCGACTGATAATATTTGATTGAATTTATCTCCAAACTCCAATGATTCAAGTGATTCAGGTAAAACACCAACTGATAATATTTGATGGAATAAATATCCAAACACCAATGATTTACGTGATTTAGGTAAAGCACCGACTGATAATATTTGATTGAATTCATTTCCAAACTTCAATGATTTAAGTGATTCAGGTAACACACCAACTGATAATATTTGATTGAATTCATTTCCAAACTCCAATGATTTAAGTGATTTAGGTAAAACACCAACTGATAATATTTGATTGAATTTACGACCAAATGATAATGATTTCAGTGATTCAGGTAACACACCAACTGATAATATTTGATTGAATTCCCAACCAAACTCCAATGATTCCAACGATTCAGGTAACACACCAACTGATAATATTTGATTGAATTTAACACCAAACTTCAATGATTTCAGTGATTTAGGTAACACACCAACTGATATTATTTGATTGAATTTATCTCCAAATGTTAATGATTCCAACGATTCAGGTAACACACCAACTGATAATATTTGATTGAATAAATATCCAAACACCAATGATTTACGTGATTTAGGTAAAGCACCGACTGATAATATTTGATTGAATTCATTTCCAAATGATAATGATTTAAGTGATTTAGGTAAAACACCAACTGATAATATTTGATTGAATGAATATCTAAACACCAATGATTTCAGTGATTCAGGTAAAACACCAACTGATAATATTTGATTGAATTCATCTCCAAATGATAATGATTGCAGTGATTTAGGTAACACACCAACTGATAATATTTGATTGAATTTAGATCCAAATGATAATGATGTCAGATTTGGAGGGAGTGAATTAGATTGCAAAGGTTGATTAAATTCATCACCAAATTTGATTTCAGTGATATTGACTGATCTATTTTTGAATGTAGTATTTAAATTGAATGTAATTGAATGTTGATTGGTGTTGGTTTCAATATATTGGTTTAATAATTGATTCAATGATTCTCTATTCTTTGGACTCTGATCCAACAATTGATGAATCAAATCAATCAATTGTTTTGAATATCTGAATTCTGAAATCTTAATTTCACCAGTTGATTGGAATAGTTGATGATTATTTCGATCATCTTGATGACTGATCAATTTAAATATTCAAAAATACAGAGTTAATATCTGATTGATAATAATATTTTAAAAGTATGATTATTCGAGTATTTACCAACATAATAATTTGAGAATTGTTGATCCAATTGAAAAGATGTCACATGATTGTGCATATTGTCTGTTCATTGCTTCCTAATTGTGATTTAGTTTAAAATATATTTAATAATCAATTAATAGAATATACTTACTGGTGAAATATAACCAATTGTTCCACGAGTTGCATTTATAAGTGTGTTTGAATGAATATCAGAAATAGTTGGATCTGTTATTTCTTTCGAATTCGAAACACTTGTTATGACAACAGATGGCTTGAAAAATACATTTGTATCTTGATGTTCAATGATTGTTGATTGATCAATGAATTTACAACATCCAAAATCACCAAGAATCAAAGAACCACCTTCACCAATGAATATGTTTGACGGTTTGATATCACAATGAACAATTCCATGTTTATCAAGATCCAAAAGAATATTGAAAAGTTCTGAAATATATTTAAAAATATCTGATTCTTTAAAGATTCTATTTTTATGTTCAATATAAAAGTGGTTCATTGTAATATATTCATATCTTGATATATTTATACATACAGATTTAGATCAGCTAAATGTTTATACTTTTGAGAAAGATCACCACCATAACAATATTGAGTGATGATATGAAAGATTTGATTGTCTTTATCATGATGATAGTCAAAAAGTTGAACAAATCTTTGATTACCTTTGAGTAATTTCATTGCTTTGATTTCATTCTCAGCTCTTTCATAAGATTTCTGATTATCTTTATAGTTTATCTTTTTATAAACATACTTTTGAATTGATTTTGTTAGTTTTATGATTGTCAATTGATTTAATTACTTTGAAAAATGATCTTACCAAATTGTTAAAAAAATAATTATGAGTACCACACACTAAATATACATCATTGATATTATTACTGTTTGTAAATCTTGATATTGAATGATATCGTTTGTTTTTAATGATGTGTCTTTGTTTATAATAGTCAAACTTGTGTTTGAATTGACTTATTATTGGAAGATTGATTGTGTATGATTCTGATTTGTTTAAAAGTATCGATAGATTTAAGAGTGATTTAGAACAGATTATTATTAATTGATATTGAGTATCGACTGTATCTGGAACTACTATCTCATCATTATTTTTAATATTTCCGATTAATATGATATTTGTGTGTTGTTCATTATCTTTATCTTTCAAATGATTATGAACTAAAACTATTAGATAAAATGTAGCACTACTGAATTTCAAGACATTCTTTCCATTGATTAATCTATCTGTTTTCTCGATACTATATGTACTTGTATTCATTTTGAACATTATTCTTTATTTTATCAAAAATGATTGTTTGCAAAATCATATAATAGCAGTGATAGAAGTGCTAAGTGTGGTGGGGATTAATTTTGTGGATCTATTTTTTAAATTTTTAATTTTTGCTGGTCGATTCCCACCAAATAATTTGAGGTTCTTCACACTTTATAAACAATATTGTTTTATCACACTTTATATTTGTTAAAAATGATCTTCATTATTGACGGTTATTAAGAAAGTTTGTTTGTACAATTGATAATAGCGTGATTTGAATCTAAATAAATATAAATTTGATAACTTTACAATCTCTTTATTTATTTTTAATATTAATATTAAAGAGGTATGTGATATCTCTGGCTTAGCCTTGGAGAAGCAGACTCTTTCACAATCACCGGTGTGCGTTTACTCATCGAGTTGATGTTGGTTTTATCGACGTCACGCACTCTAGAGTCAGAGAGTTGTCCTTTGTCAGCATGCCAGACCAAAGCACTTCTTTGACAGCAATTGGTAACAAGTGAATTGTTCTGCGAGAGCATATGATGGTCTGTCAGAGTCAGTGCATCACTAATCCTCTGTGTCTCTTATGTATCCGATGACAGTTGTTGTGGAGGAATGGCAGAGGCACCGGTGTGGCCATTGTTAAAACAAACTCTTCTGAGTTGATAACACATCAATGCTAAAACCATTGCCGATGACTTATGTTTGTGTTATTCACAATGAATGGAGTTCAACATAACATTCTCACTATCTAAGCCTCGACTACCAATCATGATGCCACAGACATTACCTCGAGGTTCACCACCATGATGCTATCGGATAGACGCCTGCTTCCATTGGAACCAATGTGCTAACTTTGTTACGGTCTACCACGCACAAACCATCACGGTTTGGGTGTTCAACAAGTTGACTCGTCTCACCAGCAAAACATTGGATAATTTGCCAACTGGAAGTATTGACTATTTGTGAACAGATTAGACTTTAGAATATCCGACAGTTAATAATCATGCATCACACACACTGTTCATGATCTACCTATCCGTTTATCTGATGGCGTATCGCTACCCAGTCTATTCACACACAAACTGTAAAGATAAAATTTGTTATCATATGAATCTATTGTGTGGTGATCTGTCATCTATGATCAAACAGTTGGTTAACAAACGTCAAATCTCTCTGTATGCTAAACATTGTAGTTATAACTTACAAGTTTGGAACTTGATCAGAATAAACTTCTCTGAACCTGTTGGTGGTTAAAAGCTTTGTCAAAGAACCAAAAAGAACGTTTATACAACTCATTACATCTATCATTCGGTCTATCTGGGTTGGCTGTTATCTCTGTTTGGTGAATAAAACAACACGATCAATTAGTAAGATATTTGATAATGCCAACAGCATTCTCTCTCTATAGATATTATTTATTATAGTTACATACACATTATTTACAACCTTCCAAGTTGTTGGTAAACTCTGAATCGACATCTTCATAAATGGATCACACCATTATTTGGAAAGATGAATCAATCTCAAGATTATCTCTAAGCACACCGTTCTATGTAATATCGATTGTTATTGGAGTAGTTGATGCTGTTGATGTTGTTTTTGCTATTATTCAACAACAGACTATCTGCATTATTGTTATTCCTGTTGATCCTCTTTATACTGTGGTTGTTGTTGTGTAGCTAATGGTTGACCAGCTTGTCTAAACTACTATTATTGCTGCTATTCGTATTATTAAATGATGGTTTAATACCTCCACTATTACCACGAATGAATGAACTACTACTACTTTGGTGTATGATACTGTATTCTGATGCAGACTTTATCAGTTGTTTCTGCTGCTATTGGAGTGGATGTGGTGGAATGGGTTGTGCATAATTTGCAAGTGCTTGGTGATGTTTTGGTGTGCCTGGTGATATTGATGATGTGTTGTTTGCTGTTGATGTAGTCGACTCTCACTATTATTCATTATGTGTCGAATAACCAGGCCGTGGATGTTATCTTGTATGCTGGTAGAATATTAGATTCTATTGAGACACTTCTCGAGCTCGAGACCTGAAGACGTTGCAAACCACCGATTCTATCGACGCTACAACCTTTTGTCAACCTTTGATCAATAATATTTAATATATTGTATTATCTGATGTTGAGCTACACAATCTGAAACATATCTATCTATTCTTGTTTGCTCAAGTCTATTCGTTTGACAAACCGTGTAAAGATAGCATGAATCTATTGTATGGTGATCTGTCATCTATGATAACAATTGGTTAACAAATGTCAAATCACTCTGTATGCTAAATATTGTAGTTATAACTTACAAGTTTGGAACATGTAGAATAAATTTCTCTGAACCTGCATGTCCAAAGTCTTCAAAAGAACTAAAAATGAAATGTGAATAAGAGAGTTTCTCTTTTCTTTCTCTCTTCTTTCTTTGTTAATTTTATCTTATTCATCCAAAAGAATAAATAGATTTTATAATATTTATATTTAGAAAAATAAATAGATTTTTATTAAGTATTTTTAAACCAAAAAATTAAATTTTTAGAATAAACTTTAACTTCCTTTGGCTAATAAAATTTGAAATGAATGTTACCTATTCTTTTTCTTTTTGATATTTTTTTTTAAATAATGAAATGTATCGATAATTTTCACAATCAGAAACAACATTAAAATAATATATATCTCTTATGATAACATTATGTAGTGCATCACATTAATATAGATTCAACCAATAGGTTTAAAGTAAAAATAAGTAAAAGTAATGCTATTTAGTGTAAGTGATCAAATGTAATCAATATTAATTCGAATTATAAAAGAATAGCTTTCTTACTTATTATGTAACATAATAAATCAGTTTTAGTCGATTTCTATTTTGAATGTTAAATGTACTTGAAGGAATGCCAATCATACCTTTGAACACTCACTCGGTAAATCTGATTAGTAAAACTTGAAGTTTGACCAGCTATCAACCACATGAAAGTCAGCTGCTCTGAAGGAAATCGTTCGTAAGAATCAGAGTTACAATGCACTGGTATAGGTAAAGTTTTATTGATTCATTTGTATTAATTTATAATTCTAAGAAGTACCATATCAATCTAATTGTTGATATTTAGTTTATTGATTTATATTATATTTGTGTTCGATATTATGTTCTATTATGAATGAGATCATCACAAAAAGCTATCAACACTCTGTTTGACTTGCAATCATTTGTCTATGATCTATAACCATGGTGCATGTCGGTACACCAGAAACTTGTAATTTCATTTTGTTCCGGTCAAGGTAAAGTTTAAACATAAACAAACATACCAATTGTCCAATAGTTCTATTTAATTTATGATATCTATTATTCGTTTCATTATCTAATCTACCTAACAATTCATGAATTACTATAAACAAGTTATATTATCATCTGATTCCATCTGACTTTAAAAATAGGTATCATCTCTAACATATTAAAAAAAAATAGGTGACATACGTAACTACGATTACACGCTATAAAGCAATGTCATTCATGCTTGACTTACAATTGTTCTACAACAGATCATAAATACCTATCAAAACGGTTTCATCCTGGTTGATTGATCCACGACAATTTAATACTTTTGAAAGAGATAGTTGGGACAGCAGCAGTCGTTGGCAATGCCGAATCTATCATCACTCTGTTTGACAAACCCATTCAAGGCTTTCGACTATGTGTGGCATGGCTGTATTTAAGGAACCATCTATACCCAGAAACAATCAACGATGTCAATCTAATGATGTCCATGCTTAGAAGTTCTTCAAATTCTATGATGGGTCAATGGCATTCCAGTCACATTGAATAGGAGAGGAGAGTTGGCGACTTTGGTGTATCATTATCCAAGAAAATGAATTTAGGTGAAGATATGTACAGGTTGTGAGTGGCTATATCTATCAGTGTCCACTTAGAACGACACTCGGTCAATCAGTGATTAACAAAGTTGAAGATTGTGAGCGTTCTAGTATGACTGGGCACATCGAATTCCAACCTCTAATCAAATAGAAATAAACTAATCTGTTTTGATATATACATATTAAGTAAGATATTCTTTTATAATAATTCAAATAGTCTATTATGCATTACTTTTTCTTTGAACTGAAGAGTCACTTATTTTTGTTTTAATTTAATCTTTAAAATTTTTTGTTTAAAAAAAAATAAAATTTTGTAAACCTTCGTTCATAAGAGACACAGAGAGGATTAGTGATGCTTTGGTTTACCATGATGGCAAAAGCCAACTCTCTGACTCTATTCGTGACGTTGCTAAAACCAACAGCAACTCGATGAGTAAGCTCACACCAGTGATTGTGAAAGAGTCTGCTTCTCTAAGGATAAGCCAGAGATATCACATAACTCTTTAAAATTAATATTTTTTTAGAACAAAATTTCTTAATAACCGTCATTAATGAAGTTCATTTTTAACAAATATACAGAGTAATAAATCGATATTGTTTTTAAAGTGTGAAGACATTTATTTATATATTTTTTAATGTGTTCTGATGTTCATTTATCTCTTTTCTCAAATAATATTCTTTTTTTTTTGGTAGATGGTTTTTAAAAAAAAATTTTGGTACCTCCACATTACTTGGATATATTAGTACTAATAATAATGATTTTTTAATATTGATTGTATACGGTTGTGATTTGTTTAAAAACAATACGCATATGGATGAGGAATCTAATTTTGATGGTGTTTTTATGATAATTAATTGATATTGAGCATCAACTGTATCTGGTATTAGAATCCAATTTTAGTTCTACAGTGACAATGTTTGTGAGCTGTTGGTTCATCTGGGTGCTAAGGTCATCTACTTTCGAAAGCCTGGCCAATCAGTGATCATTTTAAAGTATTGTTGTGGTGCTTGTTGTTACTGTCTTTACTGTATTACCACTCTATTATTATTTATTATTATTTACATTTGAACTATTATTTTCATTATTCTATTCATCAGTAAAGAAATTGTAGATGATGATGATGATTATTGATAGTTTGTGAAAAGAGTACACTGATCGCTGACACCGTCAAAGAAGTCTTTGTTCTGAAGATGGCTAAAGTAACTCTGATGTCGAGTTTGTCGGGATTTTGGTGTGACGGTATCGATGAATATTGAATGTACTGAGTTGGTAAAACTAATTGTATTACATTTTAATATCCAATGAGTCGGTGACCACTGAACCAGAAGTAGGATGTAAGGTGCTTGATGGAGGTTCTGTGGATCCTGTGGTTCTGTACGTCCAGACTGCTACTAACTCGTTGCAGACATGGGTAATGTGTTGTCAGCATGCAAGTTACGCCTCTTAAAGTGGTGGTCATGTCTCTAACTGCTATCCATCTTCAACATGATCAAAGCTGGTGTAGTTCTTGTTCAAAAAACGTATTGCTGTCACTCATCGTCAAGTATGCCAAAGTTATTCTATTAATCTGTACGTTGTGTTACCAAGCGATTCTGAAATAGCTGTAATAGAGAGCATGATCAAAGCGACAACGGTAGGCAAGACACTTGCGATCATCACGTGACTGACCAGACCACACCACACCATTTCATCGGGATACAACACACCAGTGCATTGTAACTCTGATTCTTACGAACGATTTCCTTCAGAGCAGCTGACTTTCATGTGGTTGATAGCTGGTCAAACTTCAAGTTTTACTAATCAGATTTACCGAGTGAGTGTTCAAAGGTATGATTGGCATTCCTTCAAGTACATTTAACATTCAAATAGAAATCGACTAAAACTGATTTATTATGTTACATAATAAGTAAGTAAGCTATTCTTTTATAATTCAAATTAATATTGATTACATTTGATCACTTACACTAAATAGCATTACTTTTACTTATTTTTACTTTAAACCTATTGGTTGAATCTATATTAATGTGATGCACCAATTAATGTTATCATAAGAGATATATATTATTTAATGTTGTTTCTGATTGTGAAAATTATCGATACATTTCATTATTTAAAAAAAAATATCAAAAAAAAAAGAATAGGTAACATTCATTTCAAAATGAAGTTAAAGTTTGGTTTAAAAATTTAATTTTTTGGTTATTTAAAAATACTTAATAAAAATCTATTTATTCTTTTAGATGAATAAGATAAAATTAACAAAGAAAGAAGAGAGAAAGAAAAGAGAAACTCTCTTATTCACATTTCATTTTTGGTTCTTTTGAAGACTTTGGACATGCAGGTTCAGAGAAATTTATTCTACATGTTCCAAACTTGTAAGTTATAACTACAATATTTAGCATACTGAGTGATTTTACATTTGTTAACCAATTGTTATCATAGATGACAGATCACCATACAATAGATTCATGCTATCTTTACACGGTTTGTCAAACGAATAGACTTGAGCAAACAAGAATAGATAGATATGTTTCAGATTGTGTAGCTCAACATCAGTTAAATGGATGGGTTAGACCATAAGTAGTGTGATTCATGAAGTTAGCACGCGTTGTTCTCAATGGAAGCAGGCGTCTATCGGATGCCATCATTAGTGAACCTGGAGGTAATGTCTGTGGCATAATGACTGGATTCTTTTCGAAGGTGGCTGTGATGATCATCAGTAGTGCTTTTACAGAATTGTCCATTGATTAAAGGTTGACAAAAGTTTGTAGTGTCGATAGAATCGGTGGTTTGCAACGTCGAAAAAGCTCGATGCTTCAATAGAATCTAACATTCCACCAGCATACAAGACAACATTCACGGTCTGCTTTGTCGACACATAATGAATAATAATGATAGTACGACTTCAGCAACAGCAGCAACAACAACATCATCATCAATATCACCGGTCACACCAAATCATCACCAAGCACTTTCAAATTATGCACAACCCATTCTACCACATCCACTCCAACAGCAGCAGAAACAACTGATAAAGTCTGCATCAGAAAACAGTACCATACACCAAAGTAGTAGTAGTTAATTCATTCATCATAAGAGGCGCGGTATTAAACCATCAACATTAATAAAGTTATGTTGATTCATTTGAGATAATTATAATTCTAAGTACCATATGAATCTAGATTTGTTAAAAATCAAATAAAACCCCACACCTGACCAGACATAGCAAAAATAGTGTTCTGCAGTCGCCACAAACTTTTTTTCATGCAAAAAAAAAAAAATGTGTGAACAGCAAGTGGTTCGCTATGTTGGTTTTTTTTTGTTTTTCTCACTAGCTTTAATTGACTTTTAACATTTATTGACATTTAGTTTATTGATTTATATTTATTTGTGTTCGATATTATGTTCTATTATGAATGAGATCATCACAAAATCAATACTCTGTTTGACTTGCAATCATTTGTCAATAAACCCTTGGTGCATGTTGGTACACCAGAAACTGTAATTTCATTTTGTTCAGGTCAAGTAAAGTTTAAAACATAAACAAACATACCAATTGTCCAATAGCTCTATTTAATTTATGATATCTATTGTTTATTTCATTATTCATGTACTTCTAAATCTAAAAAACTTAATATAAAGTAAAGATCATATGCTCTCGCAGTACAAATCACTTGTTACCAATTGCTGTCAAAGAAGTGCTTTGGTCTGGCATGATGACAAAGGCCAACTCTCTGACTCTGGAGTGCGTGACGTCGCTAAAACCAACATCAACTCGATGAGTAAACGCACACCGGTGATTGTGAAAGAGTCTGCTTCTCCAAGGCTAAGCCAGATTAATATTAATATTAAAAATAAATAAAGAGACTGTAAAGTTATCAAAATTATATTTATTTAGATTCAAATCACGCTATTATCAATTGTACAAACAAACTTTCTTAACCACCGCCAATAATGAGGTTCATTTTTAACAAATATAAAGTGTAATAAAAGAATAATGTTTTTGCAATGGGCTTTAAAGCCAAAATTTTTTTGTGGGACTAAAATTAAATAATTAAATTATTATTTTTGGTTTTAAATTTAAATAATATTATTAATCACCACTACATTTAACATTTGCAATGATTTTGCAAACAATCATTTTTGATAAAATATAGAATAATGTTCAAAATGAATACAAATACAAATAGAATCGAGAAAACAAATAGATTAATCAATGGAAAGAATGTCTTGGAATTTAGAAGTTATGAATCTATATTTGATGAAGATCTAATAGTTTTAGTTCATAATCATTTGAAAGATAAAGATAATGAACAACACACAAATATCATATTAATCAGAAATACTAAAACTAATGATGAGATAGTAGTTCCAGATACAGTCGATACTCAATATCAATTTATAATAATCTTTCCATATTCACCCTTAAATCTATCGATACTTTTAAACAAATCAGAATCATACACAATCAATATTCAAAAAAGTCAATTCAAAGACACGTTTGACTATTTCAAACAAAGACACATCATTAATAACAAACAATATCATTCAATATCAAGATTTACAAACAGTAATGATATCAATGATGTATATTTAGTGTGTGGTACTGATGAAAAAAGATTGGTAAGATCATTTTTCAAAGTAATTAATCAATTGACAATCATAAAACTAACAAAATCAATTCAAAAGTATGTTTATAAAAAGATAAACTATAAAGGTAAAGATAATCAGAAATCTTATGAAAGAACTGAGAATGAAATCAAATCAATGAAATTACTCAAAGGTAATCGAAGATTTGTTCAACTTGTTGACTATCATCATGATAAAGACAATCAAATCTTTCATATCATCACTGATTATTGTTATGGTGGTGATCTTACTCAAAAGTATAAACATTTAACTGATCATAATCTGTAAGAATAAAAAATAAAATTCTAATACAATCGAGATATTGATTTAACTTTCATATTGAACATAAAAATAGGATCTTTAAAGAATCAGATATTAGCGAATATATTCGACAACTTTTCAATATTCTTTTGGATCTTGATAAACATGGAATTGTTCATTGTGATATCAAACCATCAAATATATTCATTGGTAAATATGGTACTTTGATTCTTGGTGATTTTGGATGTTGTAAATTCATTGATCAATCAACAATCATTGAATATCAAGATTCAAAAGTATATCTTGAACAACCTGTTGTCATAACAAGTGTTTCGAATTCGAAAGAAATATCAGATCCAACTATCGATATAGATCCAAACACACTTATAAATGCAACTCGTGGAACACCTGGTTATATTGCACCAGTAAGTAAATTCTGATTAAATTAAATATATTTTTTAACTTATTCCATAAAATAATAATACAATTAGGAAGCAATGAACAGACAATATGCACAATCATGTGACATCTTTTCAATTGGATCAACAATTCTCAAATTATTATGTTGGTAAATACTCGAATAATCATTTTTTTAAAATATTATTATCAATCAGATATTAACTCTGTATTTTTGAATATTTAAATTTATCAGTCATCAAGATGATCGAAATAATCATGATTTATTCAAATTAAATAGTGAAATTAAGATTTCAGAATGTAGATATTCAAAACAATTGATTGAATTTATTCATCGATTGTTGGATCAGAGTCCAAAGAATAGAGAATCATTGAATCAATTATTAAACCAATATATTGAAACCATCACCAATCAACATTTAATTACATTCAATTTAAATACTACATTCAAAAACACCTCAGTAAATATCACTGAAATCAAATTTGGTGATGGATTTAATCAACCTTTGGAATCTAATTCACTCCCTCCAAATCTGAAATCATTATCATTTGGATATTCTTTCAATCAAATATTATCAGTTGGTGTGTTACCTGAATCACTGCAATCATTGGAGTTTGGATATTCATTCAATCAAATATTATCAGTTGGTGTGTTACCTAAATCACTGACATCATTGAAGTTTGGAAGGGAATTTAATCAAATATTATCAGTTGGTGTGTTACCTCAATCACTGAAATCATTGGAGTTTGGTGATAAATTCAATCAAATATTATCAGTTGGTGTGTTACATGAATCACTGAAATCATTATCATTTGGATATTCATTCAAACAAATATTATCAGTTGGTGTCTTACCTAAATCACTTGAATCATTGGTGTTTGGAAATGAATTCAATAAAATATTATCAGTTGGTGTGTTACCTGAATCACTGAAATCATTGGTGTTTGGTGGTAAATTCAATCAAATATTATCAGTTGGTGTCTTACCTAAATCACTTGAATCATTGAAGTTTGGATATGAATTCAATCAAATATTATCAGTTGGTGTCTTACCTGAATCACTGAAATCATTGGTGTTTGGAAATGAATTCAATCAAATATTATCAGTTGGTGTTTTACCTAAATCACTTGAATCATTGAAGTTTGGAAATGGATTCAATCAAATATTATCAGTTGGTGTGTTACCTGAATCACTTGAATCATTGGTGTTTGGATTTAAAATCAATCAAAATTTATCAAAAGGTGAGTTAGTCGAATCACATATCTTAAAAAAATTGTTAATAATGTAAAAATTATAGGTTATCAATATAGAATTGAGAGAGAAGTTCTACCACAACATCTTAAAGAGATAGATTTCGGTTTACATGATCAACCATTGGATATTGGAGTATTACCACAATCTCTACAACATTTAAAACTTAGGTCTTATAAACACATGATTGGCATTGGTGTTCTTCCATCATCACTCAAAATCATATCAATTTTTAGTCAATTTGGAGAATCTAAAACAAATACCTCGTTACCAAAATCAATTTCATCACTCGTTATTGGTGGATATCATAAAGATTTAAAGAATCAAAGCACATTTCTTTCAAATCTAAATATTCTTGAAATTAATGATTGTGGTCAGCAAAAATTTGAAGCATTGATATTAACCAATTCTCAAGATTCACTTGAATTTATAAAAGAATTCTATCCAATGTATTATTCAGATAACGATTTATGGAAGATCAGAGACTCCTATATTTCTTCTCAGTACATTCTCAAAGGAGAATACATCACTGCTCTACTTTTATCACTATGGAATTAACATTTCTAAGAATATGTTTTTTAAAAATAAAGTTTTTCTTTCTTTGTTAATTTTATTTTATTTTAATTTGTAAATTCTATTCTAAAATAATAAATACAGTAAAATTACTATTTTTTTACCATCTAGTACCAAACTTGAAGATTAGTATATATCTTTTATATTTTTAATTTATTAAAGTTAAATAATATATTATCAGTAAGTACAAATTAAGATGTATTCAAATATAAGTCTTAATTTAAAAAAATAAAAATAAAAAATAAAAAAAAATAAAAAATAAAAAAAGTTATAAATTCAAACATGACAATTATTTAGTAAGGAATGGTGAGTTGATGTTTTGAAGAAAAAATAATTTTTAAAAAAAAATAATTTATTTAATATTTGGTCCATTTGCCTTTTGCCTGTATAATAGCTTCCATTCGGTTTGGAAGTGATTCATATAAATGGTCAATTAATTGTTGGTCAATATCCTCCCATATCTCACAGATCACCTCCATCATATCAGCGCCAGGGTGACTGTACATGTGATTCTTTACTTTCTTTTTAACTATTCCCCATAGGTTCTCGATGATATTAATATCTGGTGAGTATGCCGGTATGAGGATAGATTTCTTAAACGTCGATATAATAGAACCCAGAGGAGAGATTGAATCATAAACCATTAGTAATCAACAATACAAAAATGTATTGTGCGATTGACTCTTCCTCTTATAGAATCAAAAAACCGTCTCAAAGCCATTCATATGAAAAACAATTTTTTTCTGTTGAACATAATTTCCATTGCATAAAGATAGAGTCGGCAGTCTGCATCGATGATGGAACAATAATATGGGTTGCTCCATGTAATATTTATTTAATTAACTTATCAATCACGAATATTATTTTATTAGCATCAATCCATATTTAGATTATGCTATAGGTACAGTTCATGATCTTACTATGGCACGGGAGTCAGGTGTAATGAATCCTGATACATTCAAGCTTGCTGAAGGAGAACGTATTTTGGCAGATCTTGGATATGTGGGTGAACCTGAAGTGTTTATGACTCCACAGAAAGGAGATTCAGCAGATTTATCTATTTTAGAAAATGCATTAAATAGTCTCAAGCACAGATTCAGAACAATTATTGAGAATCTGTATGGTAGACAAACATCCTCTTTGGCCATCCTCAGAACTGCCTACAGAGGAGATATTGACGATTTTGGTGAGATCTTGCAAATTATTTATTGGGTTACCGCTTTTTTGTTACAAGAAAATCCTCTCAGAAAAAAAAGAAAAATTTAAAAAAAATAAAAAAAATTTGCAAAAAAGCGTTTTTAATTCCTCATATTTTTAAATTACTCATTAGATAATTCCATCGTCCAATCGAAATAAAACCTATCGATAAAGATCTAAAGATTGTTCAGAACAAGATAATAGATACGTACGTGGCAATGATAGATATTAAACAGGGTCTTTGTTTAGAAAACTTCGAGATGGTCGAGTACTCTCTTAATATAGCCACAATTTCTCTCGCAAATGTGTTCAGCTCCGTCAGTAATTTAAGAATGAAAGAAGCAACCAAGAAGACGAACTTTAATAAACAATTCTCAGTGGTTTCTAGATCAGAAGATTACTTGTGGGATGCTATTCAAGGAAATAAGTTCTGTTGGTATTGAATATAAAATAAAAAAAAGATATACATTTATAATTACCTGAGTGATACAGATAAAACTAGAACAACTACAATTAAAATAGAGGTATTGAATTTCATTTTTTATATTTGTTTGAATTAATAATAATACTATGATGTGTTATAATGGATTAATCTTTTAAATAGAAAAAATTGTAAACTTTGTAAAGAACCGATAAAAAAAAATATTAATTTAATAGATCATTCAAAGAATACACATTTGTCTTTTGATTGGGTCTAAGTTTTTGGTTTTTAATGAATATAGCTGTGTTCAAGCATGTGTTTACGACTCTGATTGCGGTCCAACTGGTAGATGTATCAATACAAGATGTGTATCCCGTTAAAACACTCAAAAAAGTAAACCATTCCATTTAAATAATAAATTTATTCTTTTTATATTCATGACTTAATATTGATGCTTCTATTTTTTAAATTATTGTATTAAGATATCGCTAATACACTGAACAAACATAAAGTAAAAAAAATGGTAAATAATTTAATTTTTCGTTAAATACCCATCTTTCTTTAATTTATTCATAAATATAACACCTTTTTAATGTAATGTTTTTAAAGATATTGATTATTGAAGAATGATATATTATTAGCTAAATGTATTAATAAAATTAAAAACAAAAAAAAAAAGATTATTTTTCATTAAAAAATTAAAAAAAAAATTTTAATTTTTGTCTTTGTTTGTTATAATTACGATTTATATTAGTAAAGCTGCTGAAAGAATAAAGTTGAATTATAATTAAAACAAAAGAATAAATATTTTTCTATTATAGATATAATGGATAAAAATTTATATTTATTAGTATTAAATAATGTTTTGAATAAAATAATATTTAGTCATGTTAAGAATATATGTAGTTTGAATAGTGTGAAGAGCTACAAATGGAGTGAAGTGTGTCAGTAGTCTAGGGTATTGGCATCACACAACTACTTTGGACAACTTAAGGTGTGTTTATCAAGCATTAATAGAAGTAACAACGGTAACAAAGTTCCTACACTTCAAATGGCGATCAGATATGGTTGTCTCGATATGCTTATCTATCTTATCAATCGATATAAGGTCGATCTAAACACTTCACATCACAACTGGACAAATGATAGCTTTACCCTATATCCTAAAATGGTTATCACCGATTTGTATCCGGAGCCATGCTGTACGATCAGCAGTATATTATGTTTGGCATCGCAATATGGCCGAATGGACATTGTTGAGTATCTGATCTCAAGATTCCCTCGATACCAATGGAATTACTACCGGGCAATGGTACAGGCACCCTTCCTCTGGCAGTATGGAGATGTTGAAATTCTTTACCGATAAACAAAACAACTGTGTCAATAGATATAAGTTCAAAGATATCAAAGTAACAGCGTTTGACAGTGCCGTATTCATTGGTAGAAAAGATATGTTTGAATATCTTTGGAAAGAGAGACCACAGGATGTTGAAACCAGTAGAATGTTTGAGTTTGCAATCAAAGGTAAACAAACGGCAATGGTTGAATATCTATTAAGAGAACATAGAAGTCTATCTATCAAGGTTCAAGATAAATTGATAGGTTTTGCTTCTAGTGTCGATTGTGGAGAAATCGTTAAACTATTATATCACCACAATATAGCTATGAGTCCAAATTCATATCCAATTATGAAATATTTTGCTTCATACTGAAACTTGCAGATGTTGAAATGGATTCATCAGAATACAACAGATAACAATTCTGATACGTCAATGGAATGTGCCGCGAATAACGGCCATTTCAATTGTGTCCGGTGGTTACATGAGAATAGTGCAGGTAAAGTTACGTACAGTGCAATGGATAATGCAGCGAGCTTCGGTGATCTGGAATGTGTGAAATTTCTACATCAAAACAGAACAAAAGGTAGTAGTTGTGAAGCTATGGATAGAGCTGCTACTTGCGGTCATTTCGATGTTTTAGTTTGGTTGAATGAGAATCGTACCGAAAGATTCACGCCTGGTGTAGGAACACTCTCTGATGTAATTGAAAACACAGGACAGCAAGAAATCTTTGAATGGCTGTACAATCATCAAGAATTGGATTCAGAAGATTTCCAACAAATAATAGAGCTCTCTGTGTGTATTGGTACAAATGATATCTTCAAATTTCTTCATTCGCAAAACAGAGAGTATGATGGAAAAGATTTCATTGAGCATGCGACTAAAAATAGTGATCTAGTGATGGGAAATTCCTCTATGAAAATGGAATAGATAGAAATCTTGACGAAGATATACTCTGTGAGGCAACCTATTTATCATGCACTGACATTGTTCAATACATTCTAGAGAATGTCGTTGGATTGCAGGTAGTCCAAGCAATCAAATTTGCTATTTTATATCATCAATTGGATATTTTAAAACTTTTATTTGGCTATTTCAATAAAGGTTTGGGAGAGATGGATATCATATATAAATTTTATGAAAATAGCGGCAAGTAAGGATAATATGGAAGCATTACTTTGGATGAATGATAATGTCTCTTCTGAATATCGTGGAACCATAACTATAGATTTATTAAAATCAGCAATGAACAACTCTAACATTTCAATGGTGAAGTGGATCATTTCTCATTTAGATAGTATTGAATCTATCAGTCAAGATAACCAATTCGATTTCAAACAACTTTTCAAACTTAATCAATTCGAAATAGTTGAATTGATTCTTCAAACATTTAAAGAAGAAGCAACAAAAAGTAAACTTGAATCATACAAACAACTTTTGGAATATGAATATTCAAATTCTATTGAAACAATAGAAATTATCAATAGTTTTTTATCAAAATTAATGTAAAAATTAATAAATAGAATTTTATTTATTGAGAGTTGTTGTTATTACAATAATTAATAGTAAAGCTGTAAGGATAAAGTTGAATGATAATTGATTAGATGAGTTTATATCAGTGGTTGTAGCTCCGGTAGTTGTAGCTCCGGTGGTTGTAGTTCCAGTGGTGGTCGTTGTTACAGTGGTTGTAGTTCCTGAAGTTGTAGTTGGAGTTTGTTCAGAACAATCAGAACCTTGATACCCTTGGTCACATTGACAAACGGCAACAGTATAATTACATTGACCATGAGATGAACAATCATTTAAACATGGTTTTGTGTAATATGATAGTGTGTAGTTGCTGTAATCAGCTAGTCCTGAAACTGAAACAAAAATTGATATTGGATTAACTGTTGTGTTGGCGTTGATCTTTGGTGTAAGAGTACATGTTGCATTTCTTGTGTTGACTTGTGTCACATTGCACACTTCATTATTGATCTTCCAAACAAAGTCTATATCGATAAAGTTGTTACCAAAGATAGTAAATATCGTTTCATTGTTTTCGAAATAGACCTTTGGGTTTACATTGACGATGCTTGGATATACATAATTGGTATTAACATAGTTTGAAGTTTTGTTGTTTGTCGATACAAGAGCCGATTCGGAGTGAACTTGGAATCTACCAGCTCCCATTGGCACGGTACATATCATTCTAGCTGGATAATTGTTCTCGTCGATGCTGTTGCATTTGATAGTAGCGTTACCGGCATAGATGGTATTGTATCGAAGGAAGTATCCTATAACGAGAATGGGTCCTCCTGTCACTGGTGCTATAGCTGAAATAGGTAGTATAGTTGGTTGTAAATTCAAATAAAGTGGATCTACTGTTTGTTGTGTATCGACAAATATGTTATAGATATTGGTGATAATTGTATTGGGCAGTATGGCTATTAGTTGTGTATTGTTTACTGAAAGAAAGGTGAAGTTAAAGTTGATATTGTTATTGTTGGTTACTGATAAAAGAGAGCTGGAGATACCGAAATCGCTTCCTTCGATTGTGATTACATTGGTTTCTGTTTGATTTTGTGTGAACGATATGACAGTTGGTCTGTTGTAGCTGAATGACAAGGCATTGGAAAAGACTTCACGTTGATAACTGTAGGCACGAATATCTTTTCTGGAAACTATACCCGATGGTGTAGTAAATGAAATTTCGTTCATGCTCAGCACATCAGCCAATATCTCAATGTCTCCAAAATAGATTTTCTGTTTTGTTGGACCAGGGTTCGATTGGAAAAAGTCACCGGTAATTTGAAGTGAGCTCTGACTGGTGCTTATCAAACTTTGATTTACTGATATTAAATATGGGATGAGATAGATGATATTGTTATAGATGGTTTGAGAAGTGAGAGTTTGAACAAGAAGTTGGCTACTCTGGGAACCTGGAGGAACGGTAATGAGTAATGAAGTGGTAGTTGTACTGTATTCCGACAGCTTGGTACCACCAAAAGAGACTTGGAGATACACCTCAGGATACATGTTGGTTGCGTTTACTGTGATGATATTGTTTGTTTGAGAATAGTCACCAAGAGTGGGTGTTATGAAATTGATAAAACTCGCCGGGGCGGATTGATAGGAATTGAATGAGACTAAAACAGTACATATTGTGTATGGACTCACATTGGCGGTGGTTCCGTTAAAATCAAGAGAACAAGATACACTGTTAGTGGAATAGAACTGCATATCTGTACAATTGACTCCACAAACGGTTATCAGATAGTTGGGAGTATCGACAAAGTTTGAACCAACGATAGCGATTGTCGAGTTTCCTATGAAGGGGATTAGCGGTGTACCTCCAGTGACAACAGGCGACGGTACTGAGCAATCATTGGAATTCCAGGATGGGTAGCACGTACATACACCAGTATCACATTGACCATGATTTGAACATTGGTTTGGACAAAGATTGTTGTAACTCATTGAGTAAATCTGTCCTGAGGAAGAGGCAACGCTGACTATATGCAAATCGGTATCGAGACCAACTGAATAAGAGTAGGAATTAAGTGTTGAAGGTTGAATTTGTTCATCTGAGATTTTTACAACACTGGGGTTTATTCCTGTGTTGGTAATGGTAGCCAATGCCAACTTTGATTGTTTATCTGCAATCGAGATGAATAGTTGAGCGTAACTGGTGTCAAAGTTCATATTTAAACAGAGGCTTGCATCGCTTGTCAGGTTGAAAACATCGTGTTGATTGGTAACACAATTGATTCTTTCGATGTATGCTCCATTGCTATCGGTGGTACAGGTGTATAGGTAAAAATTGGAAGCTACTGCTGTCATTGACGATGTTTTCACAAGTGTGTAACTATTAAGGACCGAGAATCCAGTAGTTGAATATTGGACAACCTTTCCACGAGCTGATATATAAAGAAAGTTTTGTTGCCTGTCATAGACCATAAAACCGATATCTTCATTTCCTGGGAATGTAGTCTGTCTCTGTACTGTTTGAAGAGAGTTTGCATTATACATTTGTGTATTGGAGTTGTAGGACCAAGGAGTCAGCAATATGCTCATTAATTGGGCACCACCTGGAAAAACAGTATAGAGAGTATAGTAGGTACCACCAATGTCAAGCCATCTTAGAACTGGATTGTTCATCATCCATGAAGCAAAAGATTCCATCGATGAAGATGCTGAATTACTTCCTATTTGCTGGGCAAGACATATTTTCGATGAAGATGAACGAGTGTAGATATTTGGTGATGATAAAAATACGGCAATGGCTTGAGAGGAACAGTCTTCTGGTCCATTTACAATTGGAAACAATGAACTGGTTATCGAATCGTTACTCAACGGATTGGTATTGTCGGCTGATCGAAATCCAAGAAGTCTATAATCATTCGTTTGAACAATAAAGTTCTTTTGTTTTGGTGTGTTGTAATCTGGAGCGAATTCAGCTCTAATAATTCCACTAATCACTGTATTTGAGTTATCTTTCAAAGTCTTGGTATAAACTGTGCCAAAGATTTGTCCGTCTATAACTTGAATTGAAATTACTAGAAAAATAGCAAATAATATTAATTTTATTAACATTTTTCTATCTATTTGTTTATAAACGATTATTAATAGTGAAAAAACCAAGGTAATTACCTTTAAGACTTTATGAAGCCAAAAATAAATATTTAATCGCAACAAAAAAAGTGGTTATAAACATGTTTTATTGGGCTAAATCTCTTCATCAATTTATCTAAATCTAAATATCTTTGTACAAGGGGGTGCTGATGTTTAAAACTTTGAAAGTTTCCAAAGAGGTGCTAAGTTTTTCGGTGAAAAATTGATCTATGTTTTTTTTAACAATATAAAAAGCCGACTTTTTAGAAGCACCTCTTTGGAAACTTCATAAGAGTTTGTTTTCTTTTAAAATAGAAAATTAATAATAATATTATTAATTTGAATATTAAATAGATAATATGTTGTTAAAAAAAAACTTGTTACAAAATTAATAGGAAAGCTGAAAGGATAACGTTGAATGAAAATTGATTGGATGAGGATAGATCAGTGGTTGTAGTTCCAGTCGTCGGTGTTGGAGTACTATCTATTATACACATACTTTTGTATTGATTTTTTTTAGTTATAGGATTGTCAATCGATTAATTTGATTTCAAACTAGTCTTACCATTTAAACTATTACAGTTTGTAAATCCTGTTAGTGATTGATTATAGATAATTCTTTTAATTTTGATTTATTATTTGTGAATGATACAAATTATATAATAGTATAGTATGTATTACATTTGTAATATCAATATGATTTTTTGTGTAGTTCATCATCTTTATCTTTCAAATGAACATAAATTACAAATCGATTAAGTATATATCAATTCTAAATTTCACTGTAATTTGATAATTTGTAAAGTCTATTTTAAAATAAATAGATGATAAAATAAACTAACAAACTTGTACTGCATAAAAATTATTCATTTGCAAATGAACGTTACCTGTTTTATTTTTTTTGTTCAACTTTGAATTAATATTAATATTAATAGTTGTCTTTAATTAAATTCAACCTTTTGATCTTTTCTTTTTCTCTTCTTATTGTTTTACTGTCAGTATTTATAGTAAAAGAAGCTTGTATAAGTTGCTGAAGTAGTTGAAGTAAAACTTGTTGATTTCTTTGAAGTGGTTGAAGTTGTTGTTGATGTTGATGTATGTGATGATGATTGTGGTGGCGTTGATAAATAGAAAATATCTTCGGGACTGATACTCTTTGACTCACTTCCTTTCTTTTCGAAAATTTGACCGATCAGCTTGATTGCCTCGCCTCTGAGCTTTCTCTCTTTCGACTCTACCTTCTTCTTGTTCATAACTTGCTCACAGACTTCACGCACAGTACTATCGATATCGAGTCGACCCACCTTAAAAAGAATCTTTAGACTTTCCTTTAGAAAAATATCGGATGATCGTGTATTCTCATCGATTGTATCGAACCGATTCTGATACTTTAAAGCGGTCATCACCACAGAGAGCGTCTCTCCCATTCTATGAGTCTTCTCTGAAATCTCATGAACGAAACCAAATGTAGATGTATGTTGTTTTGCTTCCTGAATGTAAATGTAACCCAACAAAGAAAGAAGTTCCGATCCTCCTGGTGTATCTGACAAATCTGTTGCTCTATTTGTTATCTATATACACGGTATTGTTTTATCAAACATGTTAGTTGTTGTTGTTGTTGTTATTGTTATAGTTTCAAATATATACTATTGTTCAAACAAACAAACAAACACTTACCATTTCAATGAATTCCTTTTTGTTATCTGGTGTATATTGTTCAATGAGTTTAATGAGTTGTTTGCAAAGTTTATCGACTCTTATACGTTGTTTCCTTTCCAATTCTTCGGGTGTTGGTCGTTTGTTTTGTGATGAGTCGGTCTGTGTCTCTTCACGTGCAAACAACTCGTAGAATGCTAGATCACCAAAGAAATCGAGGAATCGATCACCTCCGAATACCAATCTGAACAACTCGATTGGATCAATCATATTACCATTCAAACCATCGAATCCAAACTGATCGTATTGCTTTCTCATGTTTGGATCTGACAACACATGATATGCCTGACCAATTCTCTTAAACATCTCCTCTGCATATTGTTGATCATATCTATTCTTATCCTAAAAATAATCATTTTTAATAACCACTCTTTTAATTCTATCTATCTATCTATCTAACAGTCTTATTATTATAATTAATTAACCTAACTTACAGGATGAAATTTAATTACCAATCTACAATATGCTCTTCTAATTTCGGAAGGAGTTGCTGTTTTACTGACACCCAGTGCTTCATAGTAACATTTGATCGGTTCTGTACCATTTGACAAAGGTGACGATTCTGTTTGATTGTTTTGTGCTGCACCAGGTACTATTTGTTTTAGCTATAGTTTATTAGTTGAGAAGACATGATTGATGACAATTTGTTAGATAATGATAAATAATAACTCTTTCAAACAGATAAATATAAACAATTACAATACTTACCTTCATTGCAGTCTCAACTAAAGCCTCTTTTTCAAAGCAACCATTAACCTTTCCACCTGCAGCCAATATGAGTCGTTTCAACTCGACAACACTCATCTGTCTCAATTCATCTTCTTTGTATTCAGAGATAAACATATTCTATTATCTATTATCTATTATGTTTACTTTTAAAGTCTTTACTCTCTACCTAACACACACACACACACACACACTAACATTAATATTATTACAATTACTATAGTAATAATTACACAATTATGATATTATACTTTTCTTTTCTCTATCTATTATTAGAATATTATATAAATAAAATATTTTATTTTCATAATTTTATATTTACTACTACTACGTAGAATAGAAATGATCATATGTTTGGTTTTTATAGTAATATTATTATGATCATTAAAGAAGTGTGTTGTTGAGGGGTGAAAATTTAATTTTTGTTTTCTTTTTGCCCAGGCTTAAAATAATTTAATTTAAGCAGGGTGTAAAGCTTACCACGACCCAAAATTTCCTTTTAAACCAAAAGAGGTGGTGATCACCCAGTGTTAATGTTTACAACGACCCAAATATTTTTTCCCTGGCACCTCCTCACCACTAAAAACAATTCTTAACATTAGATGGTGGAAGATTTTTTTTTTAAGTAAAAGTTTATTTCTATCCTCAAAAATAAAGATCAATTATTATATTTTTATTTTAATTTGTGAAAAAACAAGGAATTAAAGTTAATTATTATCTTTAATTCAGTTTTTGAAACGTTTACCTTTTTTTTTTAATTTACTTTTTATTTTTTTTAAATTAATTAACTAATCGTTTATATCTTTACAATTTTATATTTTTAATTAAAATGATTAGGTAAAATGAGAGAATTTTATTTAATTTGAAAGTTAGTGTGAGATCAGGTTTAATGGTTGTCATATGTTTTTATTTTACACAATTCAAAAATATTTGAAAAAAATAGTTTCTTAAGTTAAAAGTAGAGCTATGATGTATTCTCCTTTGATTTGATTGCTTTGAGAATCAGTGGTGGAATCACTGATATTGAATAAATTATGTGTTGAATAATATTCTGGATAGAATTCTTTGATAAATGAAAGTGAATCTTGAGAATTTGTCAATTGAAATGCAGATATTGTTTGTCTAATGCCAAGTTTAATTTCAATCATTTTTAGATTTGGAGGTAATTTATATAACTTCTTTGAGTCTTTATGATACCCATCAATACTGAGCAATTCCATTGGTTTCGGTAAAACTATTCCATATCCGGTATTAGTTGGAGGTTGATCAAAAATAAGCGATAATCTTTTAAGCGATGATGGAAGAACAATGTCAATAATATGTTCATGAGAACCAAGATAAAAATGTTCAAGAGATCTTGGTAATACCCTATATCCAATGGGCGATCAAGTATATTAAAATATACCTCTTTAAGATGTGGTGGTAGAATATCTCTCTCAATTCTATGGTAGTATCCTATCATTTTTAATGATTTCAGTGATTTAGGTAACACACCAACTGATAATATTTGATTGAATCCAAATCCAAACTCCAACGATTCCAAATATTCAGGTAACACACCAACTGATAATATTTGATTGAATTCACGACCAAACTTTAATGATTCAAGTGATTCAGGGAATACACCGACTGATAATATTTGATTGAATTCATTTCCAAACTTCAATGATTTCAGTGATTCAGGTAACACACCGACTGATAATATTTGATTGAATCTATTTCCAAACTCTAACAACTCTAGAGATTCAGGTAACACACCGACTGATAATATTTGATTGAATGAGTTTCCTAATAGCTTTAATGATAAAAGAGAGGATGGTAATGTTCCAGGTTCTAAAATTTGATTAAAAGACCAAACAAATGATAAATGTTTGAGTGATTTTGGAAGTACACCGTTAGGTATTGGTTGATTGAATTTAATTACAAATGATAATGATGTCAGATTTGGAGGGAGTGAATTCGATTCCAAAGGTTGATTAAAATCGTGACCAAACTTGATTTCAGTGACAAATTCAGAGGTATTATAAAAAGTAGTATTTAAATTGAATGTAATTGAATGTTGATTGGTGATGGTTTCAATATATTGGTTTAATAATTGATTCAATGATTCTCTATTCTTTGGACTCTGATCCAACAATCGATGAATAAATTCAATCAATTGTTTTGAATATCTGAATTCTGAAATCTTAATTTCACCAGTTGATTGGAATAGTTGATGATTATTTCGATCATCTTGATGACTGATCAATTTAAATATTCAAAAATACAGAGTTAATATCTGATTGATAATAATATTTTAAAAGTATGATTATTCGAGTATTTACCAACATAATAATTTGAGTAGAGTAGATCCAATCGAAAAGATGTCACATGATTGTGCATATTGTCTGTTCATTGCTTCCTTTAATTGGAATAAAGTTAATAATATAATACTTTTATTAATGGAGGAGAATTTACTTACAGGTGAAATATAATTGTTCCACGAGTTGCTTTTATAAGCGTGTTTGATTCCATATCAAAAATGGATGGTTCTGATAATTCAGTAACGGTCGGTTCTGATATTTCATTTTCGATAAATTTCAAATTCGAAGTATTTGATACCATAACAGGTGGATCAAGAATGTGTTCTTTTCTATCTTGATATTCAATGATTGTTGATTTATCAATGAATTTACAACATCCAAAATCACCAAGCATTAAGGTACTATCAATTCTACCATCACCAATAAAAATATTTGATGGTTTGATATCACAATGAACAATTCCATGTTTATCAAGATCCAAAAGAATATTGAAAAGTTGTGAAATATATTTATAAATTTCTGATTCTTTAAAGATTCTATTTTTATTGTATTAATATCTCCATAAAGGTTATGTATATTTTATAACTAACTTACTCATTTTGATCAATTAAATATTTATACTCTTGAGCAAGATCACCACTAACACAATATTTAGTGATGATATGAAAGATTTGATTGTCTTTATCATCTTGATAATCATAAAGTTGAACAAATCTTGGATTATTGATGAATAATTCCATTGCTTTGATTTCATTCAGTACTCTTTCATAGTTTTCTTGATTTCTTTTATAGTTTATCTTTTATAAACATACTTTTGATTTTGTTAGTTTTATGATTGTAAATTGATTTGATATCTAAATGATCTTACCAATCTTTGAGCATCAGTACCACACACTAAATATACATCATTGATATTATTACTGTTTGTAAATCTTGATATTGAATGATATCGATTGTCATTAATGATATGTGTTTGTTGGAAATAATTAAGATTGTCTTTGAATAGACTCTCTTGAATATCGACTGTGTATGATTGTGATTTCTTTAATAACGCTGGGTATAGATATTGATAAGGGATATGATCTTATTATTATTAATTGATATTCAGTATCGACTGTATCTGGTACTACTATCTCTTTATTCTTTCTCTCAATATTTCCTATTAATATGATATTTCTGTGTTGTTCATTATCTTGATCTTTTAATGGGTTATAAACTAAAACGACGTATTTATCAATTGGAAGTTTATCACCGATAAATTTCAAAACATTCTTTCCATTGATTAATCTATCAGTTTCCTCTATATTTTTATTAGTTATCTCATTATTATTATTTGTATTCATTATTTATCAAAAATAGCAACTTTTCAAAGTGTCTGTTGTCAACCCTAGAGTAACATTCAGAATGGGAACAGAAAGATATTTTTAAATGTGGACACTAATTGTAAATTAAAAATTTTTCACCCTTTTAAAAAATATCTTTTTTTAACGTTACCTTTTTCACTCTTGTAAAAGATTGATGAGCATATCGGAAATTATTATACTATTAAATTCAAAAACAATTTTATTAATATTTATATTATTAGTTTAATTTATTATACACATTATTGCTAACAATATCGACAATATAGAGTATCATGTTAATGGATAGGTTATTTGATTGTTGATAATTCAGTAATAATTTGTGTATATAAACATTATTAAACATTATTGATAGTCTATAAGGTGCAAAAACCATTGAAAAAAGAACTAAATTTGAGTAGTCATTGTCTATGATATTAATTATTCATTTATTTTTACAATACACTCAGAATCTCTTCGTAAGAAATCTGAATATTAATTGGAGGTTTGTGTTTTTAACCTCATTTATCGGTCTTTTTTTGTTTGTTTTTTTTTTGTTTTTTGAGTTTCTATCCATAGAATCCAGTATCGAAATTGGCCACTGGTATTGGTGCAAACGATGAGATACCCTTTGATTCCATTTCTTTGATGTGAGCAATGATTTGCTTGAAGGTTGGTCTACGGTCTGGATCGGAATCCCAGCACATTGTGATCAACTCTTTCCATTTGGGAGCGGTTGTCAATGGAATGGGTGGTCTGTATGATTCGTGGGCGGCGAGGTAAGCCATCTTCATTGGCTTCATGTCTTGCTGTGGCTCCTCCGATGTCAACAACTCCCAGAGAATCATGGCATACGAATAGACATCACTCTTTTCACTGTTGGATTCACCTTGGAAAACTTCGGGTGCCATGTATGGAATACATCCAACCGATGCAGTCATGGTGCCCTGCTCCATCTTTAGACGCGACAAACCGAAATCGGAAATCTTACATTTGAAATCGTTGACATTGTAGGTACCTCTTGTGTCAATGGTGTTATCGAGCAAAATGTTTCTAGACGACAAATCTCTGTGTAAAATGGGTGGTGTCCAACCGTGAAGATAACACATTCCTTTGGCAATATCTTTGGCAATATTCAAACGAAGACGTGGATTTTGTTCGAGGATTTGGAAATGATCTACCAAGAATTGTCTCAAACTACCACCTCCCATCCATTCAATAACTATACAATGGTGTTCTTCACTACCAGAAGTACATGCACCAAGGAATTGTACAACATTTGGATGTCTCAATTTACTATAATTAATTGATTTAATCAAAAAATAATAAAGTTAGATTAAATTATTATTATTATTATTATTATTAATCTTCTTCTTCTTCTTCATCGTACCTTAAAATTGAAACTTCATTTTGGAACATTTCAAATGAAGTTTTAGTTTTGAATTGATCACGATAGATAATCTTGATGGCAACATCTGTTTCTCTCCATGTTCCACGCTTCACTTCACCAAAGAAACCTTTACCCAAGAGTTCACCAAATTCCAACTCGTTGAAATCGATTTCGTATTCTCTTCTTTCTGGTTGTGCCTGTTGATGTTGTGGTGGAGGTGGCGGTAGTTGTTGCTGTTGTGTTGGTTGAGAAACGGTTGGTGTGATTGAGCTGCTCTCTGCCCAATTGGCAAAGGAAGATTCATCCCATCGGTTGTTGGTGGTGGTCGATGTACTTGTGATAGTTGGCATTCCACTCGAGTGTGATCTGTAATTGCTGCTGAGATGTGAGTTCAGTTTGGGTGACGATGACATCTCGTGGATGTTTGGTGTGACGAATGTGTGGTGAACGGAAGCCTGTTGATTGTATGGACTGTTGCTATGATGAGTTACAATGGGTGGAAGATTGAAAGACGATGGTGACTGTTTGGGTTGTGGCGGATGAGTACTGCTATTGTTGTTATTGCTATTGCTGATACCTCCCGACTTTGAAATATAAGTGTTTGGAGGAGGACGTGGTGAAAATGTATGAATTGGCGAGTTGTTGTTTGGTAGGTTACCAAAGTTACTATTTACATCAAAGAATTCATCTTTCTTGTGCATGAGGAATCGTAGTTGTTCACCAGAGAGTGTCTTGGAACCGTGTGGAACATCGTCCATCGAGATATCATCGCCACTACCGTCGATACTGCTAGTGATGAGCGAATTCTTATTTTTCTTTGGCTCACCACCGCTGATTGTGCTGCGTCTGTTGCGATCCTCAATCATCTTGGTAGTGTATATCTTGGTGGGTCTGCCGCTCTTGTTGGAGTTGGGATCGAACTGGTCGAGTCCAGAGGCGTCGTCCTCTCCCCAGCGAACTTTCTTTAGACGGTCGTCGTCACCAGAGCCAGATGGATCCATCTCTGGTATGCTGTCATTCGACACCTTGAAGAGGTCGGTCGAACCTCCACGATCCTTCCAGATCTCAACCATGCGTTGCACTCTGTTTAGGATGTCGGCACGATGACCCATCGGTTCAATACCGAGCTCATTCTTCAAGTTGTGGTTGGTAAAGAGCTGTAGATGACGACCACTGATATTGTTATCACGGAAATTCTTGCGATACTGTCCGTATCCGATTGCCTCAAGCCAGATGGCAACGTCGTTGGGTGGCCAACCACGGAATCCTTGATTTCCACGGTCCGGTCCCAAACTCTCTGTCCAGAACGACGGAGAAATACCGGGAAGCGAATCGAACGAGAATCGGAAAGGTGCTTGGAAAGTTGCCACTGCAATACTACCGACGGCGTGTCTCATCGAAATCGATGGGTAGAGTGGAACAGACGGCACACGCCAGAATGCAACACCAAGATAGACACCGTTACGTGTAAAGAATATCTCCTTGGTGGTATTGTTGATACCGCAACCGATGACAGTTGGTTCATTGGCTTTGAGTTCAGTGGTAAAAGGTGGACCGTAGCTCTCACCGATATCGCCGTTGCCACCAAACTTCTCACCGTCGGAACTGTAACCATAGGATTTTGGCTCACGACCAATGTGCTTGTTGAATGGGTGGGTGGCATGTGTCAAACCAACAGAGATATAGGTCTTCTTATCGAAACCTTCAATGTACACTTCAAAGTAGCAGATGGTGGAGGAGTTCGATGGGAAAGGACGGTTGGCCTGTGCCAGTGATGTCTTCTTCTTCATCATGGTGATAGTGATCTTGTCTTTCATCTTGAGTGACTTTCCACAACGACGCCATTCGCTTGGCTGTTGACCATCACCATCTTGGAATGATTGTACAAAACTCAGCTCGTCCGAGGAGCTCAATATCTTTCTTGGCGAGGTCTTGGGAGACGACGGAGGCGATAGTGAACTGAACGAGAGTGATGCAAGCGATGAGGTGAGCGTGGTGGAGGTGTTTGAAGCTGGCAGTGATACACACTGACGTGGATTGCTGCTGTTGATACCGTTGCTGGTGTTGGTTGCCTGTAGATTTGGATTGCTGTTGGTATGGTTATAGGTGTTGGGTGGTGGAATCGAGGAGGATGACGACGAGGTGAGTGAACCAGACGATGAAAACGACGACAACAACGTGGAACCAGTGCTGATTGGTGCACCCGGTAGTGAAATGCTGTGTGGTGGTGATGTTCTGGTTGGTTGTGGTGGGAGGTTACTCATTTGTTCGAGTGAGGTGAGTGATGGCATCGATCTCGATGGGAATATACTGGATTGACCGTTGTCGACTACCAATCCACCGGATGAGTTGGTATGTTGTGACTGTTGACCAGAGTTGAAACTGACGCTATTGGAAATACCGACACTGTTGTTTCCGCCGACGGAATTCGACGATTGACCAGTGCTGGTTGTCGTTGTGGTCGATGTGTTGGTTGTAGTTAGCTGTGGTTGCTGTTGCTGCTGAGTGCTATGAGAGACGTCACGCATCATCAGAACAACCTGTGAGAATCTAAAGGGTGGCGAGAACGTAGCAACAATCGACGATCCTGGCTCACTTATAGCAACCGATGGGTACAATATACCGTAGACATTAGAGAATGCAACACCCAAATAGGTACCGTTCTTTGTAAAGAATATCTCACGTGTCTCAAAGAACAAACCACAACCAACGATATCGCCCTTCTTGAATCCTGGCCCGTATGGCTCTCCCTCGTTAATTCCCGCGCCAACATCTTTCCACTTGAATTTACGTCCGTCGTCCGAGTGGTATCCGTACGATCGCTTCACCCAACCGATATGTAGATTCAGTGGATACTCCTTGCTGGCAAGACCAATCGATACATGACCCTTATCCAGATTCTTTATGAGCACCTCAAAGTAGCAGAATCCATCTTGCAGTGGGTGTGTACTCTGAATGACACCGGTTCCGCTCGGACTGTCAGAGGCAATCGTAGCAGTACGCTCGCGAACCGTCAGCACTCGACCGCAACGATTTGCATCCCAACGACAGCTCTCCAGCTCCTCCTTGGGAATCAAATCCTCGACCTGTGCAGGTGCAGTCTGTTTCTCTGTCAGCTTGAATTGGAATGGTGGAGAGAATTGAATCAACACGGAATCACCACTGGTCTGCAAACCGACGGTCGGGAACAAACCATTCACATTGACCTTCTTTGCCGCAGTGCCCAAGTAAGTTCCATTTCTCGTAAAGTACAATGATTTGTTTGCGTCTACTCCACAACCAACCACATCTCCGCTAGAGAATGATGGTCCGTAATTTTGTGGAGTTGAATTACCTAAATATATTTTACCATCACCAAAATATCCATATGAACTATAAATATTAAAAAAAAATAATAATAATAATAAAAAGTATTGTTATATTAGTATACTAATTGTTGTTTTACTTAAATAGTTATATGTTATTCTCTTACCCTTGTGCAAAGCCTGGGAATATATCGGGTGGATGCTCTCCACTCGACAAACCAAAACATATTTTTCCTTCTTTGCCCGTAATGAAAAGTTCAAAGTATGAAAATGTACTTGAAAATGGAATCGATGCTCTTGCAATCTGATTGACGATGATAATGATCTGTTAGTTGTTGTTATACTTTTCTATATAATCTTTTTTTTTTTTTTTAAATATACATACTCCTTTTGATCCACTATGATTTGCTATATAAGAAACTTTAGTTCTATCTTCAATTTTGAGAATCTGTGAATTTGTCTTTTTCAAATCCCATCTTGCATCCTTTGGATCGTTGACACCAGGTGTCAGTTTCTTTTTGAAATATTTGAATCCCATTCCCAACCAAGACGAAGAGTCAACTGCTGGTTGCTCTGGTTTCTCTGGCTTCTCTGGTTTCTTTGTACTATTTGGAAGAGGTGGTGGTGCCGGTGGTGATATGCTTGTAATATTCGCTGCAGGACTATTATTATTACTACTATTGTTATTATTGTTGTTAGATGTGTTTGGCGATGATGTTGATGAATTGATTGTTGTATTGGGAGATGGTGAAGGTGTAGGTGGTGGTGGTCTATTTGGTGGCTTACTACTTCCGCCAATTAGATTATTATTGTTGTTGTTGTTGTTGTTTTGATTTGTAGGTGACCCACTTGATGGCGATGAAACCAATGGTGATGCAGGTGGTGAGATGGTAGATGGTGACTTTTTACTGGGTGAGACAGAGAGTGTATTGTTGTTGTTATTACTCTGACTGGAGAGTGAGTGTGAGTGTGGACGATTACCAAACGATGGTGATATCGATGACGGTGATCTGTTGTCCTCAACGTTTGCCGATGATTTAGTGGATGACGATGGTGATGCCGATGATGAAATACTTCCCGCTGACGAAGACGACTCCTTCAGGTGTTGTAGCTGTTGTTGTAAGTAGCTATTGGATGACGATGTTATCGATGAGTTATTTGATGATGATGTTGATGGTTCGATGCTATTACTGCTATTGTTATTACTATTGCTATTGTTGTTGTTGTTATTGTTATTAAAGATGGATGGTGCGGATGGTATGGGTGCGGATGCAGGTCGTGGAGTTCGTGATTTCGGTAGCAGTAACAATGGAACGGGTGGTGATTGGTTGTTTGGCGACGATGATAAATTATTATTGTTGTTGTGATGTGATTGATGTTGTAGATTTGAAGGTGGTGGTGTCAGTGCGTCAGTTGATTGATTTAACGGGAATTGCTGTTGTTGTTGTTGTTGCTGCAACGATTGTTGTTGTTGCTGCTGTTGCTGTTGTTGTTGTTGTTGTTGATGATGTTGTGTTGGTACAAAACTATTTGAATTATAATTACTATATGCTTGCTGCTGTTGATGTTGTTGCTGCTGGTTGATCGGTGATGAAAAACTACTATTACTACTATTGTTGTTGTTGTTGTTGTTGTTGATAGTATTCGATAGATCTATATTGTATCTATTGAAGTTATTTGTAAAAATGTTTGGTGTTGTTGATTTTTGATATTGTGGATATTGTTGTTGTTGCTGTTGTAGTTGCTGTTGATGCTGTTGATGTTGTTGCTGATTTGGAACAAGAAAATCAAAGTCTAGATCAGCACTACCGAATAAAGATGAATTGGAGGTATTGATTGATCGTACAACTGGAATGGGTGTAAGCACTTCGTTAAAGAGCTGAGAATGTTCGTTACTGGTGTGTATTGATGCATGTGAGTGTTTCGAGTTTCTAGGTGGCGATGATAAATTAATAAGTGTATGGCTGTTGATATTGCTGCTATTATTGTTATTGTTATTCAACAGCAGACTATCTGCACTATTGTTATTCCTGTTGATCCTCTGAAACTGTGGTTGTTGCTGTGTAACTACTGGTTGTCCAGCTTGTCTAAAACTACTACTACTATTGCCACTATTGTTGCTGCTGCTGCTGCTCGTATTATTAAACGATGGTTTAATACCGCCGCTATTACCACTCATGAATGAACTACTACTATTATTATTACTGTTATTTTTTGGCTGTGTATTATTATGTTTCAGTTGTTGTGTACTGTTTTCCGATGCAGACTTTATCAGTTGTTTACTGCTGCTATTGGGAATGGGTGGTGGTGGTGGCGGAATGGGTGGTGCAGAGTTTGAAAGTGCTTGGTGATGATTTGGTGTGCCCGGTGATATTGATGTTGTTGTTGTTGTAGCTGTTGCTGTAGTCGTACTATTATTATTATTGTTATCTGTCGACGAACCAGACCGTGAATGCTGTCTTGTATGCCTGCGAATATAAGGTGAAGTAGACGACGGTGGCGGTGGTATGATTAGTGAGGGGGGCTGTGTTGGATCCAGTATGTCAATGTGTGTTTGATCTGGAAGTTTGGAGAGCAATTATAGAAAAGGCTTTGTTTGAAACTTTTCTAAAATGCTCTCTTTTCCCAAAAAATAAAAATAAATTAAAAAATTAAAAAATTTGATATTATTATTATTAATAAAAAGGTTATTTGTTTTGTTGCTGCTATTATTGATTATTATTATTATTATTATGATTATTACTAATTTTGATTATCTACTAAAAAAATAAAAATAAACCTATAAATATAATTAAATAAAAATAAAAATAAAAAACAAAAACAACAGTATAATAATGTTGTTGTTTATTTTTGTGTTAATAAATAATATTAATATCAATAAACAATTTTTTGTTTTTTTTTTTTGTTTTTTTGTTTTTGTTTTTTCAAATATTCTGTTTCTATTCACTTTTTTTTTTTTTTATGTATGTCTTTGTCTTTGTCTTTGTTTTTCTTCTACTTTCTTTCTTTTCTTTCTTTCTGTTTTATTTTTTATTTTTTATTCAAACAATTTCAACAATTTCTGTTGATTGATTAAACATATAATGTTAAAGATGATCCTACCCTTGTAATTGATATGAAATAATTGATTGTTTGATTGATCGATTGATTGATTGTTTGTTTGTTTGTTTAAATGATTGATTGATGAAATAAACAAAATTCTCTTTTTTTGTTGATGCTATAGTACTATATCTTCCTTTGATTAACTATAAACTCCAAATATATATTTTTAAAACCTAAATATATATTTTTGTATGAATTTCTAAAATATTTCTTTTTTTTTTTCTCTTTTTTTTTACTACAAGTCTACTTTTATCTATTAATTAATCTGTAATCTATGCTATCTAGATCTAAATCAATCTATCTGTATATATATCTATTATTATTTTTACTACTTTTTTTAAAAAAAAAAAAACAAAATATTTTTAAATATAAAACCAATATTTACAGTGTTGCTTATGTAATGTTCAGTTTTTATTTTTAAATATTGTTATGTTGTTGATGCTATCTATTCTATTCTATCTAATTAATATTAATATTATTTTATTTTATAAATTTATTGTTTGATTGTTCAAACAACCAGCAATTCGTCAACAATATTATTGTTGTGAAACAAGTTTTGAAAAAAAAAATAAAAATAAAAAAATAAAAAAATAAATTAAAAAAACTAGTTTTGGGTGGTCTTGGCACAATTCTGAATCTCCTTTTACATAAAGTAGACTGCGAACACAAACAAAGTGTTTTTTTTGTTTTTTTTTGTTTTCAATCTGATGAATTGAAATTAATTTATTTACCTTTGATTTTTTTGTTTTGGATTGGTTTGTTGGTCTCTTTATCTAAATTAAATCCTAATATCTTGCTTGATTGACCTTTATAAATAATTATATATAAAAAAAAGTTAAACTATTTATATTTTAAAAGAGAAATATAAATAATATTAATACCAATGATGTAAAAAAAAAAAGTCAAAAAATTAGATTGACTGATTTGACTGATTGATTAATTGATTGATTGATTAGTGAATATTCAAAGTAAACTATCGTTTTAAGATAATCAATGATAAAATATGAAATACGCGAATGGAAGATAAAATATGGTTTGGTTTTTTTTTTTTTTTTTTAATTGAACAATTTTAAAAATTTACAAAGATGATGGGTGATGTGATAGATCTATCAATGAATGACAAAGACACTTTCATTGTGTGTAAGTCTCACCTCATTTACATAACATAAGCATACACAGTAGTTTAGTTAAGTTTTACTCTTCAAACAAACAACAAAAGACGAAATTTAATTGATCAACACATTACCTGCTAGATTGAGTGTTATGAGTTTCTTTTGTAATGGGATTAGTTAGAGTTAGGGTTGTTGGTTTGGTTTGGTTGTTGCGTTTTTTGGTTTACCCACAAGAAATCGTGAGTGGCTCAATCAATCAATGGTATGGAAAAAAAAACAAACAATCTATTCTTTTTTTTTTTTTGTTCATAAAAAAAATTAAAAAAAAAATCAGTCTATGTGTGTGGGATCATGATTAAAAAAAAATTTTTTAAACATTTTTGATGGGTGGTTTTTGTGGTGATTATTTTGTTTTTCAAAGTCTTTGCACCAACAACATGGTCTTGATGCTAAAATTAACTTATTTTTATCATTTTTCGACGCGGCTGTGCGCGGTTGGCGAAAAAAACACTTTGATGATTTTTCAGAGTTTACAGATAATTAAATCAATTATTAGATTTTGGGTGTTTGAAAAGAGAAAGATGAATGAGTTTTTGACTATTGTTATTATCATATAATCTGTACTATATGGTGTATGTTTTGGACATAAAAAAACATAGAAAAAAAAAAATAGAAAAAAGTTTAAACAGACAAAGCATCTTGCAAACTCTAAACTTGTTTAGTTTGTTAATTAATCAATGAATTAAACAAACAAACAACATCAAGCAAATACACAGAAGAAATAAAACAAAGAATATTGATATTATTATTGTAAAAGAATTAAAATTATTAGAATTTTAATGGTATTGATCAAATCGAAAAAAAAAATGGTCAAAAGTTATTGACAACCACAATTGCACTAATAACATGTTAATTTCAGAATATTTGATGTTGAAATTACATAAGAAATAGGTATTATTAAATTTATAACATACTTTAAATTCACAAAGATAACTATTATTATTCTATATTTTTTAAAAAAATAACATGAAACTTTAAATATGATCTAAAATACAAAAAAAAAAGATAAATAAATAAATATATAATATTCTCTTTATTGTTATACTTTCTATATTTATAATATGATGCTTTTTTGTTTTTATATTTGTAATCATTGTGGTGGTGTTTACGTCTGTGACAAAAATTGATTGATTGATCGATTAATTTGAATTGAATGAGAAATAAATAAATGAATATTACATTTATTATTTGATTGGTTTGGATGTGATGGTTACTACTAACATAATAACAATACTACTAATATAATAGTACTTTGGTCTCAATGTTGCCCACTCGTACCAACCATAAACAACAACAAACAAACATTTCCAAATATAAACAAAATTTTACATACCCAAATCAAATCAGTGATTTAGTGAAAAATATATCGATATCTTTAAATAGATATATAATAATAAAAATGAAAATAAAATAAAATGTATAAAGTGTAGTTATACATACATATATACATACATAGTCTATCTATTATTATACATGAGGATTATATTTTTTTTTTTAATTTTTTTTTTAAATAGATTAAATTAAATTTTGAATTGTTGGAGTCATCAAATTGATTGGTTTTAGTTTGTTTAATAGATGCATGCAACAAACAATATAGTACTTGATTTGAATTGAAAATTTTATGTTTTAATTCATATGAAAGTTGAAATAAAATAAAAAAATAAAAAAATAATAATTATTATTTGTTAAATTTTTTTGAACAAAAAAGTCAAGTCATAAACACGATCAACAATGCAAACAACAAAAATCAGACATTACTTTGTTTTTAAATTGATAATAATAAATAATACCAGGTTATCTTTTTTCTATCTGTCAAAACAATGTCATATTTCTATCGCAAAATCAATTGTAAAATGAATTGTCTTTAATTAAATTTGAACAAAATCAACATGATATTATTATAGATGGGAAAAGAGAATCTTTAATTGTGTGAGTGTGTTTGATCATTATGATTATGTGAATAATTACTTTGAGAGGGGGTGTTGACAAAACAAATTGTTATCTAATAGAAAAAATAAAAACACATGTTGTTTGATTGATTTTAATATATGATTTTTTTGATAAACTAATAAATCCTAACACTTTAAATAAGTATTGTTTTTTTTTACAACAAAATAAAACAAAATAAAAAGAGTAGTATATGATTTTTTCAATTTACTTACTACTATGATTGTAATACTAAATAGCTATAATTGATAATGGTAAAAATAAAACTTGAATTAACTTATTCAACAAAATTGAATTGCATAGATTGAGCTCAATAATTTTCGGTGATGATGAAATTTTATTAATTATAAAAATTATGCAAGAAATGATTTTCAAAAAAAAAGTTTTAGCAAATTTTAATTAAATTAAAAGAATCTCAATTCTCAATTAGTTTGTCTGTTGGTTCCCACCCACAAAATTGTGCACAATTAATTACTCAACACACTCGCTTTTTTCGAAACATTTGGTCGAATCTAATATCCCATCATAGATATGAAAATTAATATATGATCATCAATCTAACTACACCTTTATTCTTGATGACATATCCTATTATTTTTTTAAAAAATAAATATATAAATAAATAAAAAATAAAAATATTTAAACAAAACTTTATTATTTTGTAACGGCTAAAAAAATAATTAAATTTTTGAAAAATTGAAAATTTTCAAATAATTCATATTCAAGTGATTGATTTGATAGATAGCATCTGTTTGATTACTATATACTATACATAGTAATTCTATTCAAAGTTATAATGTCAGAGGTTAGTGAATCAAATATAGATAAAGATAAAGAAGTAGAAAAAGATAAAGATAATGATAAAGAAGTAGAAAAAGAAGTAGAAAAAGAAGTAGAAATAGAAAAAGAAATAGTAAAAGATAAAGAAGTAGAAAAAGATATAAATGATTCGACAACAAAATCAACATCGGATGAGAATCAACAACAGGAACAACAACAACAACAAGATTTAATAGATAATATAACTATTGATGGTGAATTTAAGATAGCTGATATTGGAATAGAGGTTAATGTTGGTGATATCGCTGTTAGTGAAAAAGATAAAGATAAAGATATAGAGATAGATAAAGAGAAGGTTGACTATGAAGATTTAAGTGATGAAGAATACAAAGAACCCGAAGATAAAGATGTACCACCAAACATTGTAAATATCGAATCCTATCAAACGAGAACAAGGAGATCAACTGCCGCTGCAACTGCTGCATCCATATCCAGAACCAATCCAACAGCGACAACAGCAACAACAAGCAAACCTAAAACAACAACAACAGCAACAACAAAGAGAAAAAAGATAAAAGTAGATGGTGATAGTGATGAAGATTATCAAGAGGAAGAAGGAGAAGATGGAGAAGATGATGAAGAAGATGTAGATAGTGTAAATAATAATAATAACAACAACAATAAAAGTAAAACTAAAAAGTTAAAGAGTTTGGTTGTAGAACCAAGAGTACCAAAGAGAGAGAGAAAGAAGAAAGCAGCCGGTCCATCGACACCGAGAAAGAAGAGCGAATATGAATCGTTGGCTGAAGCAATACAGCCGGAATCGATTGCTCTATATTCGTTGGGTGCACTGCTAAAGACAAAGGTGGCGGGTCGTGAGATGCCATCGACCATCGAGAAACGAAAGCAAAAGAGTGAAGACGCCAAGAAATCCGCTGGAAGAAGACCACCCATCCAAATGCAGCAACTGGCGAGTCAACAATCACAATCGGCGACCGACCCCGATGCGGCAGAAGACGACGGTGGTACCGAGTTTGAAGTGGTCGACGGTAAAATCGTGCCCAAAATGCGTGACACACCACTCTCCTCGCAAGTCGTCTACGAACAATACGCAGACTACGATACCAACGCTTTTATCAATTCCAATTCATTCTCCCGACGTGAAGTAGTGAAGAAGTGGACGTCGGAGGAAATCGAGCGATTCTACGACGCGCTACGCAAGTACGGCACCGACTTTAGCTTGATCGAGGCGGTCTTTGAAGGTCGCTCTCGTACACAGCTGAAACAGCGCTTCAAACTCGAGGAACGACGCAATCCCGAGTTGATAAAGGATCTGCTAACGGAGCGACCGCGTATCAATCTCGAGGATTTCCAGAAGGAGAGTGAGCTGGTGCGTCAGCGCAATGCGCAACGCGCCGAAGAGAAGGCAGCTGTGGAGGCAGGCAAACGTACAGGCCAGGACAACTACAACGAAGACGAAGAGCTGATGAACATGGAAGATCAAAACGAGCGAGAGAGACGTATCAACCAACTGAATGGACTGAACCGCGCGAATGGTAGAACAGACTTTTCAGAGGAGGTCATCATCGATAAGAAACAACAACAGGCACAAGCACAACAGCAACAATATTACGATCAATATGATTTCTATGGTTTTGGTAGTGATCGTTATGATGTTGGTGATGATTATTAAACCTAACCAAACCAAAATCAACACCAATAAAGCAATAATAATAATACATGTATTTATTAATTATATATATACAATCTTTGTTTTTATTTATTTGTTTTTTTCTTTATCTATATTAATTTTTATTCTGATATACTTTTATCATTATTATTATTATCTTTTTCTTCTTCTTTTTTAAAGTTATTATTATTACTACTATTGTTATTATTGTTTGGGTTATCAAATGATACTGCTAAAAATTGATATGAGTAATTCAATGTCTCGAGTGTCTTAAAGTCATCTTCACACTTTTTAAGCTCTTGAACGGTTGCTAATGGTGGTGAAATAGCAAAGGTTCCTTTTTCATCTTGATATATAAATGCAAATGTAAACTTTGTATTCTTGTCTCTTGCTGGTAGATGTACTTCTTTAATTAAATCTGAAATATCTTTTAATGTTGTATTCTTCCTACAATTATTATTATTATTTAATAATGGAATGGAATAGAATAGTTAGTTAGATTCTAATCATTTCAAAGACTATTCTTTAAATAATTGTTTGAACAAAAGATATCTGTTCAATAAAAACTGATTTACATACCAAACATATAATTGTATTTCATCATTTTCAGGTACTATAGATCTCGATTTAAACTCTGATGGGCTATGAAATTGATTCTCTCTAATGAATGTACGTAGTAGAATAGGACACATCTTATCTCTGTCTCTTGTGACAAAGTTTGGTGGTATTATTTGTTGTTGTCCATGATATAGCGGATGAATATTATCACGATTTAAATGACCATAATGTGATTTCATTATCTATAAAATATCTTTATTTATATCTATATATATATAATAATATAAAGCTTATAGCTAATAATTAATATATTTAAAAAAAAGCAAATGAATGAAGTAATATGATCGATCTGAAAAAAACTTATAAATGACAATGAAAAACAAAGCTTTGATTTGTGCCAAATTTGGAAAAACAATTTTTATTTATAAATATGTTTATGCGTATTTAAAGGTTTGAAATTATTTGTTGTTTAGGTTTTAATTCATTTTTGAGATTACGATATCGATTGGGAATTCAATGGTGATCTCAAAGTTCTCGTCATCTGTTTTGAATGCATCCATGAGTCTCTTTTTCAGGGTTGGAAGATAGTCTTCGTTCTCTGTTAAATACTTGCTGTAGCCTGACCATGTTGAATAGTATCCAATCATATTTACAATCGATAATGTTTTCTATAATAATTAATTGTTAAATAAGTAAGTTAGTTAGTTATCATAAACACCATATTGATTATCGAAACAATAGTTTTGATCTATAAATATAAATACCTGGAATGAAATAGATTTTCTTGATGTATTCTCAAATGGTGGTATGATATCGATATAACGACGATCTACAAATCTTCTATTTGGTAACCAATACTTATCACCTAGAATATTCTCATAGAACTGATTTAATTTATTATTAGTAAATGAATATGTTAACTATATATTCTTTTGATAATTTACATCGTGATGAACTTTTTGACCTTCTTCATTTAGGTAAGTTGCAGTACCATAACACCAAATAATTAGATATCCATTTGGTTTCAATATTCTCCTATAAAAATAATAATAATCATATTATATTAGTATACTAATATATATCAAATTGTATTTATGTCTTTTTCTTTGTTAAATATTAATAATTACTTTGATTCTTCAAAGAACTTTGGTAAATCAAACCAATGTACTGCTTGTGCAACTGTTACGAGATCGGCAGTGTTGGATGGCTGATCAATATGCTCAGCAGGTGATTGTTTATATTGAATGTTGTCTGCTTTCTTTGCATTTGAGATTTGAGAGAGTGATGGGTCAACACCAATCACCGATTTGAACAACTTTCCAAGTTCGACAGTTGCTTGACCATTTCCACAACCGACATCTATTGCCAACTCTTGTGGAGTATCTTTTGTTATGTCATTGATGATATCGAACAGCTGTTGTGGATAGGTTGGTCTGAACGTGGCGTACTTATCACCTACCTTTCCGAATGGATCCTTAAACTCCTTGGTCTCTGTTGAATATGCTGGCTTTGCATCTGTTACTCTTTGTGATGATGACATGATCGGTATTATTACTTTAGATAATCTCTTAATCATAAATATGATATGATTTTAAAAATAACTAACTAAACTTATCGAAATGCAATGCTAATACCACTATCTATTTATAATAATTTGCAAATTTCATGATTTCATTTGTATTTTCATTTCTTTATTTAATTTGATTTAATTTTTTAATTAAAAATCAAATATCTAATTATTTGGTGTTCAAAAAAAAAAAAAAAAAAAAAAAAAAAAAAAAAAAAAAAGATTTTTCAAAAAAGTCTAATATCCCATGCTAGTAACCATAAAAGGAAATCAATGTGGCATCATCATTAATAATGAATAATACAAATATTAATTAGATGTCAAATGAATTCAATAATTTATTATAAATTATTATAACTATACAGCAAAGATTGAATTGAGAAATTCGCAAGAAATTGAAAAAGTGTAAGCAAATATCTTGCAATATCTACATACTTTCTTTTGATCATTTGTATGAAATGATAGAGAATATATTTTCTACTTTATTATTATTTACATAAAGTTACAGATTAGTTAATAAGTTTTAATGATTATTAGTAAGATAGATGTTTTAATTCATCTTTGAGATTATGATATCGATTGGGAATTCAATGGTGATCTCAAAGTTCTCATCGTCTGTTTTGAATGCATCCATGAGTCTCTTTTTCAGGGTTGGGAGATAGTCTTCGTTCTCTGTTAAATACGTGATGTAGCCTGACCATGTTGAATAGTATCCAATCATATTTACAATTGATATTGTTTTCTTTAATGAATTGATATATATATATGATGTTAGTTATCAAAACATTCTAATAAAGATCGATAGTAATCAACTAATCATCTATACATACCTGAAATGAAATAGATTTTCTTGTTGTATTCTCAAATGGTGGTATTATATCTATATATCTACGATCTATATATCTTAGATTTGGTAACAGATATTTATCACCTAGAATATTATGATAGAACTAATAAAGATATTAGTAAAAGTTGGTTTGAATATTCTAATGATAATTTACATCTTGATGAAGTCTTTGAGCTTCTTCATTGAAGCAAATTGCAGATCCATAACACCAGATTATTAGATATCCATTTGGTTTCAATATTCTCCTATTATTTATATATAAGTATATCTTTATCTATTTCTATCTATTTATATTCTTTTCTTTGTTAAATATTAATAATTACTTTGATTCTTCAAAGAACTTTGGTAAATCAAACCAATGTACTGCTTGTGCAACTGTTATAAGATCAGCTGTGTTTGGTGGTTGATCAATGCACTCTGCAGGTGATTGTTTATATTGAATGTTGTCTGCTTTCTTTGCATTTGAGATTTGTGAAAGTGATGGATCGACACCGATCACCGATTTGAACAACTTTCCAAGTTCGATAGTTGCTTGACCATTTCCACAACCGACATCTATTGCCAACTCTTGTGGAGTATCTTTTGTTATGTCATTGATGATATCGAACAGCTCTTGTGGATAGGTTGGTCTGAACGTGGCATACTTATCACCCACCTTTCCAAACAGATCTTTTAATTCTTTGGTCTCTGTTGAATAAGTTGGTATTGAATCGATAACCCTTTTTGATTGCATGGTTGGCAATTAAAAAGAAGTCAAGTTATAAACTTTTATAAATTTAAGTTTTGCAAAAATAAAAAATAAATCTTGAACCACTTTATTTTTTTTGCTTTGTGATCATTTAAAATTAAGAATAAACAATAAAGATGAATACAAATAATATCGAGGAATCAGATAAATTACTAGAGAATACCTTGACATTTACTGATTTTTATCCATTTGAAAATTTCATAGTATTAATTAAAAATCATATGAAAGAAAATGATAATGAACAACACATAAATATCATATTAATGCGAAATATTGATATTATGTATGATAGAATTGTAATACCAGATAAAGTCGATACTCAATATCAATTAATAATAATAAAATCACAATCAAATTTATCATTATACTTACCTGTATACACAAAGTTTTTAAACAAATCACAATCATACACAATCAAAATTAAAGAATGTAAATTCAAACAGGTATCACGTTTTGACTATTTCAAACAAACACACATCATTAATAACAAACAATATCATTCAATATCAAGATTTACAAACAGTAATGCTATCAATGATGTGTATTTAGTGTGTGGTATTGATAAAAGACCGGTAAGATCATTTTTCAAAGTAATTAATCAATTGACAATCATAAAACTAACAAAATCAATTCAAAAGTATGTTTATAAAACGATAAACTATAAAGATAATCAAAAATCTTATGAAAGAGCTGAGAATGAAATCAAATCAATGAAATTACTCAAAGGTAATAAAAGATTTGTTCAACTTGTTGATTTTCATCATGATAAAGACAATCAAATCTTTCATATCATCACTCAATATTGTGAAGGTGGTGATCTTTCTCAAAAGTATAAACATTTAGCTGATCTAAATATGTATGTATAAAATATTTATCAAGATATGAATATTACAATTAACCACTTTTATATTGAACATAAAATTAGAATCTTTTCAGAATCAGATATTATTAAATATATTTCAGAACTTTTCAATATTCTTTTGGATCTTGATAAACATGGAATTGTTCATTGTGATATCAAACCATCAAACATATTCATTGGTGAAGGTGGTACTTTGATACTTGGTGATTTTGGATGTTGTAAATTCATTGATCAATCAACAATCATTGAATATCAAGATACAAAAGTATTTTTTGAGCCACCTGTTTTCATAACAAGTGTTTCAAATTCGAAAGAAATAACAGATCCATCCATTTTTGATATGTATTCAAACACACTTATAAATGCAACTCGTGGAACAATTGGTTATATTTCACCAGTATGTATATTCTATTAATTAATATTTAAATATATTTTAAACTAAATCAAAATTATAATAACAATTAGGAAGCAATGAAACGACAATATGCACAATCATGTGACATCTTTTCAATTGGATCAACAATTCTCAAATTATTATGTTGGTAAATACTCGAATAATCATTTTTAAAATATTATTATCAATCAGATATTAACTCTGTATTTTTGAATATTTAAATTGATCAGTCATCCAGATGATCGAAATAATCATCAACTATTCCAATCAACTGGTGAAATTAAGATTTCAGAATTCAGATATTCAAAACAATTGATTGAATTTATTCATCGATTGTTGGATCAAAGTCCAAAGAATAGAGAATCATTGAATCAATTATTAAACCAATATATTGAAACCGTCACCAATCATCATTTAATAACATTCAATTTAAATACTCCATTCAAAAACAGCTCAGTCATTATCACTGAAATCAAATTTGGTAATGAATTTAATCAACCTTTGGAATCTAATTCACTCCCTCCAAATCTGACATCATTATCATTTGGATATTCATTCAATCAAATATTATCAGTTGGTGTGTTACCTAAATCACTGAAATCGTTGAAGTTTGGATATTCATTCAATCAAATATTATCAGTTGGTGTGTTACCTATATCACTTGAATCGTTGAAGTTTGGAATTGAATTCAATCAAATATTATCAGTTGGTGTATTACCTGAATCACTTGAATCATTGGTGTTTAGTGATAAATTCAATCAAATATTATCAGTTGGTGTGTTACCTGAATCACTGAAATCATTATCATTTGGATATGAATTCAATCAAATATTATCAGTTGGTGTGTTACCGGAATCACTGAAATCATTGGTGTTTGGATATTCATTCAATAAAATATTATCAGTTGGTGTGTTACCTGAATCACTTGAATCATTGAAGTTTGGAGATAAATTCAATCAAATATTATCAGTTGGTGTCTTACCTGAATCACTGCAATCGTTGGAGTTTGGTTGGGAATTCAATCAAATATTATCAGTTGGTGTGTTACCTCAATCAATGTATTCATTGATTTTTGGTTGGGAATTCAATCAAATATTATCAGTTGGTGTCTTACCTGAATCATTGCAATCATTGGCGTTTGGATATTCATTCAATCAAATATTATCAGTTGGTGTGTTACCTGAATCACTGAAATCATTGGTATTTGGAAATGAATTCAATCAAATATTATCAGTTGGTGTGTTACCTGAATCACTTAAATCATTAGTGTTTGGTCGTGAATTCAATCAAATATTATCAGTCGGTGTGTTACCTGAATCACTTGAATCATTGGTGTTTGGATTTGAATTCAATCAAATACTATCAGTCGGTGTGTTACCTGAATCACTGAAATCATTGGTGTTTGGTGATAAATTCAATCAAATATTATCAGTTGGTGTGTTACCTGAATCACTGAAATCATTGGTGTTTGGATTTGAATTCAATCAAATATTATCAGTTGGTGTATTACCTGAATCATTGAAATCATTGAAGTTTGGATATTCATTCAATCAAATATTATCAGTTGGTGTATTACCTGAATCACTGAAATCATTAGTGTTTGGATCTGAATTCAATCAAATATTATCAGTTGGTGTGTTACCTAAATCACTGCAATCATTGGAGTTTGGTTGTGAATCCGATCAGTTTTTGTATTACTGGAATCACTGAAATTATTATCATTTGGATATTCATTCAATCAAATATTATCAGTCGGTGTCTTACCAAAATCAATTTCATCACTCATTATTGGTGGAATACAAAAAGACTCAGTGAATCAAAGCAAATTAGCTTTAAATTTAGAAATTCTTGAAATTTATGATGATGGTAATAGGCACAACATAACAACATTCCAATTTGACAAATTCTCAAGATTCACTTTCATTTATCAAAGAATTCTATCCAGAATATTATTCAACACACAATCTATCGAAGATCAGTGATTACATTGTCGATTCTCAGAACAATCAAATCAAAGGAGAATACATCATTCCTCTACTTTTAGCACAATAGAAATATCATAATTATTAGATACTTTTATTGGTTACTTTGTTAGAGAGTTGTTTTTACACATTAATATATATCAATAATATAAAGTGTTATAATAGATATATCTTTTTTTATATTATTATGATCTTATTTTAGTTCTATAGTGACAATGTTTGTGAGCTCTTGGTTTAGCTGGGTACTATGGTCATCTACTTTCGAAAACATGGTCGATCATTTTTAAGGTGTTATTGTTGTAGTGCTTGTTGTTACTGTCTTTACTATATTACCACTCTCTTACCATTATAATTTATTATTATTTACATTTGAAATATTATTTTCAGTATTAGATTCATCATATAAGAAAATGTAGATGATTACTGAGAGTTTGTGAAAAGAGTACACTGATCGCTGACACCGTCAAAGTCTTTGTTCTGAAGATGGCTAAAGTAACTCTGATGTCGAGTTTGTAGCGTATTTGGGGTGACGGTATCGATGAATATTGAGTGTACTGAGTTGGTAAAACTAATTGTATTGATCGCACACACACCTCTTTCAGAGTGATTGGTTGAGCAGCATCACAACAATGTTGTTCTTCTCGTAGAATGAGTAGAAAGCATCTAATATCCAATGAGTCGGTGACCACTGAACCAGAAGTAGGATGTAAGGTGTTTGATGGAGGTTCTGTGGATCCTGGTTCTGCATGTCCAGACAGTTACCAAGTCGGTGCAGACATGAGTAATGTGTTGTCAGCATGAAAGTTACTCCTCTTAAAGTGGTGGTCATTTTCTAACTGCTATCCATTTTCAAAATGATCAAAGCTGGTGTAGTTCTCGTTCAAAAAATGTATTGCTGTCACTCATCGTCAAGTATGCCAAAGTTATTCTATTAATCTGTACGTTGTGTTACCAAGAGATTCTGAAATAGCTGTAATAGAGAGCATGATCAAAGCGATAACGTCAGACACTGAATAGTATAGTAGGCAAGACACTTGCGATCATCACGTGACTGACCAGACCACACCATTTCATCGGGATCCAAAACACCATTGCATTGTAACTCTGATTCTTAAAAACGATTTCCTTCAGAGCAGCCGACTTTCATGTGGGTAGATAGCCAGTCAAACTTCAAATTTTATAAATTAGATTGACCGAGTGAGTGTTCAAAGTATGACAGGTATTCCTTCAAACACATTTAACATTCAAAATAGAAATCGACTAAAACTGATTTATTATGTTACATAATAAGTAAGTTAGCTATTCTTTTATAATTCGAATTAATATTGATTACATTTGATCACTTACACTAAATAGCATTACTTTTACTTATTTTTACTTTAAACCTTTTGGTTGAATCTATATTAATGTGATGCACCACCTAATGTTATCATAAGAGATCTAATATTTAATGTTTCTGATTGGGATATATCGATACATTTCATTATTTAAAAAAAAAAAGAAAAAAAAAAGGTAACGTTTGTTGAAAAATGAAGCTATGATTATTCTATAAATTTTATTTTATTTATATGGGTAAACTTTATTTTATAATAATCTATTCTGAAAGATGAAAATAAGATAAAATTAACAAAGAAAGTAGAGAATGAAATGTTATATGAGAGTTTGCAGAGAGTAGATCGTGGTGCTTTGTTTTTGGTGATCACAATCGGTGTTACAGAGTTGTAAATAGAGTGTATGTACTATATTATGTGTATAGAGGTGTCAGCATTTCCAATATCTAACTAACCGGTAGTGTTGTTTTATTCACCAAACAGAGATGACAGGCCCAATTGTGAGCCAGATAGCTATTCGTGTCATGCTAGTAATCGAATTCTGTTGGCAAGAGACATGTTGACTGACAACTCGATAATAGGTCTGCCTTTTTCAATGACCAATTCTGTAAAAGAGATGGAGAGATTGGATCAACTTGTCTGGTTCAACGATAGATATTGAATCAGTCAGACAGGAATCTATAGTTTAGACAAGATTAGATTAACAGAGTCACTGTGAATACCAATATGCATAAACGTTCGTTCAATGCAGTCATGCAACACTGAACATTTCATAAGTAACACTGAAAATGATATTAAAAAAACAAAGAAACAACACTCAAACTAACACATTTGGTACTCGAATACCACAAACGAACTCTAAAAACTAATTCAGAGACATCAAACAGTAATAGCAATATGATATTTGTGGTGTTGTATTAATAAAATAAAAATAAAAATTTAAAAAATCTAAAGTATAATTCATTAAACTGTCAGTTTATAACTAAAAATATATATTTTTACTATAATATTGAAGAAAACAATAAAAATTTTAATTTTTCTTTCTTTTGTAAAAATAAAAGATACATAATTAAATTAATATGATGATACAGAAAATATAAAAACTCATTCCAAAAACTTCCTATTATCTTCCTCAAAAAAAACAATCACTTATAATATCCTTTAAAAATCTACTAATTCCATCAATAATCAATTCTTCTCCATTGAAATATACTTTTTCTTTTAGAGAATTCAGTATTATCACTGAAGATCCCAACAGTAATGAAAACCCAGTGATACCCTTTGAATATGAGGATATCGAAGATGAAACAGATAGGTTAAAGAGAAAGAGATTTCTATCGTCTGAAATATAGGGTTGGTGAAATGGAAAATTTAAGAAATTCATCAGTGAAGTTTCGAAATTTTAGAAAGTATTAGATTTCTAAGAGAAAATAAAAAAGAAAAAAGAGATTATAATTAAGAGACCTTTGATTGAAGGAATTGGTATTTTAATTCGAAATAGCTTTTTGTAAATCAGTATTTGCCCAAAAACACCATTTGAAATTCTCGACTGCCTTTCAAGTATAAATATTTTATTTGAATTAAGGGAGAAGATCGAGAGATATATTGGATGGGATGATGATCTAGAAGAGACAATAAATTATCTGAAATATTTTGAAGTTGAACTCAATTCATTTAACGATAATGAATCTTCACTTGAATAAAGAATCATTAACTGTACAAAGAACAATTTTTATTGTGAAAAATATCAATATCATCATTCAATGGAAAATATCATAAAGATATCAAAAAGATGAGAAGATATTTGAGTTTTTATAATGGAGTCAAATTATTTGTCTAACTCTTCATATTGACCATTCATCAGCACTATGTTTTATATTTCTTGGAAAGTAATAAAATATTTATAAATCAACCTAAAAAAATTGTTTCATTAAAAAAATAATAAAAAAAGATAATTTTTAATAATTTAAAAGGATTTCAGAACATTCCAATAAACTATTATGATTTAAATTTAAGTGACTATAAATAATATATTAATTAATAACAATTTTTTTATTATAATAGTTTGAAATATATATATAAATTATTATTATTTTAGTAAAAAAGTTAAATTGAGAAATCTGGAACAGCTTCAATAATTGTTTTGAGTTGGAATAAATCAAAATCTAAGTTTGGGAGATTTTGATAGATATGTCCCGGTCCAAAAATGTCCACTGCTGGGATCTATTAATTAAAAAATATTAAAAAATTAATAATAATGTTCTAAAAAAGATTAATACTTTTACTTACAGAAATAATATAAGGAGCAACAGAGGCGATGACGGGGTTTGGATGGTTCTGCAGATTACCCTCTAAATCATGTTGTTGAAGACCACTATATCTCAAAAATTTGTTCTCTCTTCTACTGGTGGTTTGTGCAGAACCAAACGATATTAAACGAACAACTCTTGGATCGTTAGGAAAACGTTGAAAGTAAAATGAGATTGCATTAAAACTTCCATTTACAGCCGGTTGTCTTTCCCATATATGAACACCGAGGACAATGTTAATATACGGATTATTGAAATAGAGTCTACACTTTTGGAAGAACATTCTAACACTTTGAGATTTTCGGTTGACTTCAACGACCAACGGTTTAGTACTATAATTATTTGGTGGTATTGGAAATATTGATAAAGCACTATCTGCTGTAAAACTATTGTTTCCAAAAGATATTCTACTCTCGCCTGGAGCCATCCCATTGATTTGGTTATTTACCAAGTATCCATCAATAAATCTAACAAAAAATGCAACTGAGTATGCATGTAGATCTGAAACTGATAAAGAGGTGATAACTATTTTGCCATTCAAATAGAAAGCCTGTCTTGGTAGTTTTTCTGACTGTTGATAGTCTTGAAGGTTGTATTTTCTATATAAAATGAAACCATCATTTCTATTTATTTCATTGATGTTCTAGGTTTAAAACAAATTGAATTAATAAATAAATTAAAGATAGGGTTCATTGTTTTATTTTTAATATAATACCTCTTCAACAAATTTCATTTTAGATTCGATTGTTTTGATAGATGAAATATCTATAAAGTTCAAATCTTCGATATTTATTATTTCAAATTTTCTTCCATTGGAAAAAATGATATAATATCTATCACTTACAGATTCACCTATACATTTTGGTAATATTAAGTTTGATAATGATCTACTCATTGATTTGTCTTCTACTTCAACACCTAATGTTAACATAATAAAGATAATATATATATAATAAAATGTATAGAGTTAGTTATATTGAATAATAATTATAATATTTTATTATATAAAACTTACTTTATATTTAAAAAAAATTCTTTTAACAAAAAAGATTTAAATAATATTAATTATAATTTTTTTCGATTGTGAATATATGTCTTTCCTATCTCTTCTTGTCACTTTTTTATTTTTATAACTTGAAATTTGTTTAAGAATTTTAAATTTTTTATTAAATTGTTAAATTTTTTTCAATTGGTTGGGGTTTTTCATAATTTTTTTTTCAAGAGAATAAATCAAATACTCAATCAATCATCTTCAAAACTCAGCAAACATCTTCATCCCAAATGAGGCTTTTCTAAATTAACACAAAAAAAGAAAAATGGGGTGGTTTTTTATTAATTGAGGTTACTTCACTTTTTTATTCTGCAAAATTAATTTGTTTTTTGCAAAAACAAAAAAGTAAAAATGACAAAAATTGAATAAGACAATTCTCAACTGATTGATTTGGTTCTTCGTAATATTAATATACATATTTCTGTTTGTAAGCAGTTGGTTCAGCTAGGTGCTATGGTCATCTACCTTCGAAAGCCTGGCCAATCAGTGATTCTGATGATTTAAGGTTTGTAATTGTTGTAGTGGTTTTTATTACTGTCTCTACTATATTACCACTCTTTCCAATAATGTTTTTGCTATTATAATTATTTATTATTTTCATTATCAGTTGGTAGAACTGGTTTTATTGATCGAGCACACAACCTCTTTCAGAGTGATTGGTTTAGCGGAGAACAAGTCTACTGCACTAGAAGAAATGGCCAGCGTTGGAAGAGTACATAATGTTATCATAAGAGATATATATTATTTAATGTTGTTTCTGATTGTGATATATCGATACATTTCATTATTTAAAAACAGTACCAAATTTTTATTTGAAAATTAACTAAACAAAAAACAAATAAAGAATAGACTTGCTCTTTATTAATTTGAATGATTCTTTTTAAAGTGTAAATAAAGTAATAGATTGAGGTTGAATGATTTATTAATATTTATGAGTTGGTATAAAAAAATCGATTAATTATTAATTATTATTTGGATCTCTGAGTTTATGTTGTTGTGGTTACTCTTTTTGCTTTATTATTAGTAGAGTCATTGTATCATCTACATTTTCTTTAGATTTTAAAATTGAAAATTTTATTGTATAGGATAGTCGGTGATAGAGTACACTGATTGTCGACACAGTCAAAGAAGTCTTTGTTATGAAGATGTCTAATGTAACTGTGTTTCGTCTTTCACTCAGTCGCGAACATCAACCCGTTGTTGTGGATGTGTATTCGGCAGTGGTATGACATCGATGAATTGAATGCATGCACTGCGTTGGTAGAACTAATTAGTTGTATTTCAGAGTGAATGGTTGAGCCTGCTCACTAGGTAATGGCGCATTGATATTACCACTAGATTACTATTACCAAAATGATTGAATCGGAGTGAGCTCCTGCTTCGGCCATGGTGATATCAAAGTTTAATTTGAAGTTTCAATCTACAATCAGTCGGCATTATATTATGTACTTGATTGTATGTTCGTTCATCTATGATAAAAATTAGTAAACAAAAATCAAAGCTCTGCTGTTTTAAATTTCTATATAGTAGCTATAACATACAAGTTGGTACGGAACTACACGAATAAACTTCTTTGAACCCGCTAGTGGTTAAAAGGTCTTTTAAAAGAATAAATTGTTTACATCTCAAACCTGTTAACATTTGTCTATTTGCCTATAGTTGCGGCTTGTTATCTGTTTGGTAATAAATAATATCACCTAATTGACCTAATTCTATTTTCTTTGATTCCATTTATAATGATTAATTAAAAAAAAAAATGTAAGATAAATGATTAATTATTAAAAATAAAATAAAAAAATGTTTAAAAAAAAGGATTTTTTGGATTCATTTAAATTTTTGAGTTAGTTATTAGTTTATTTTATATTCTAATATCTCTTTACTCATTAAGAGGCTAATATAGAAAAATGGAAGTTCTTTTAAAAAATAAGTAAACATCTTGAAATTTATTTTTAAAATTTATCAATCTCTTGAACTTGACCACCAGAATAGATCTTGACCATCGATAAATCATGTTGTGATTGTTGTGAAACCACTTTCTTTGGTTGACTCTTCCTCTTGTATAAAACAACGAATATAATGATCGATATCAACACAACACCACCAATGATTGGTCCAATGATGACACCAACATTTCTCTTTGAATCTTTATCATCTTTATCTGATGAATTGTTCGATATTCCTGTTGTTGTCATTGTAATACCTGTTGTTGAGCCAACTGTTGTAGATCCACCGTTTGTTGTTGTTGTTGTTGTTGTTGAACCACCATCAGTCGTAGGAGTACCACCTGTTGTTGATGTTGTTGTTGTCGAAGTAGATGTTGTTGAAATGTCTGTTGTTGTTGTTGTGGTTGTTGTTGACGAAGCTTCATCTTTGATATTGATATAAAATGGTTGTTGTGATCCAAGTGCTTCTCCAATGATAGTGATTGATGTGTTGGTTGTACTGTTCAATGAAACGAATGGTAATAGATCTCCAATTGGTGCTGAAATGGAGTCATTCGAATATACAATGATTTCACTTGATGATAATCTTACATAATTATAATGATTGTTGTTTGGTTCATTCAAATATAGAATATCATTGATTGATGCTTCTGAAACTTTCAATTTGATTCTTAAAATTGGACATGGTCCAACATCTTGAAATGTAAAGTTGTTGAAAACTTTATAATTGTGTTCTGGTGAATAGTTGAGTGTTGTATTTTGATTGTCGATTGAAATTGAATAATATTTAGATCCATACATTCCATACATATTTGGGAGATAGTAAGACAATATATCTAGAATTCCATCATTGTTAAAATCACCATAGGTGAAATGACTAAATGTATTTAATATAAATCCATTACATTGATTAATTGTGCTTGGAGTTACACTCATAGTGAGTGGTAATGAATAGGCTCCAAATACCGACCAAACATTATTACCAGCACATGTTAGATCATCTAAACCATCTCCATTGATATCTTTGAGAATTGCATTTAAACAAAGGTTATAAGAACTACCCATGGAGAGAATGGAACCTTTTGAACTTTCATTCAAATAACTTATTGCATTAAACTGAGCGGGGAAACTATCGACTCCATATATCAAGTAAACATAATTAATTGAACCTCCTTTAAAAGATAATGAAATATCATTTTTTCCATCACCATTGAAATCACCAACACTATTTGCTGCATTTCCTGAAGTGAGTATAGAATATCCAGGAAAGGTTATTTTAAAACCATCTTGACCGTCGAAAGAAGGTGTATATACAGATCCCGAAACCGAAAAACTCTTTGATCCATACACTATTTGAAGATATGTATGACCAATATCACCCATCATATCTAATATTCCATCGTTGTTAATATCACCCAAGATTAAGCTCCATTGATTAGAACTAATACTGAATCCATTTACTCCATTGACATATGATGCTAAATCAAGTATTCCGTTTGTGGATGAATATTTTCCACTTTGGAGACCATAGATCACATAAGTAACTCCAGTTCCTGTAGAACCTGTGGCACCTAAAAATAAAACAAAAAAAACAAAAAATTAATATGAAATTTTTCATTATTTTAATATTTTATATCGTTTTGAAACATACCAATAGATGATCCAAAAATCAAATCAGATATACCATCTCCATTGATATCACCAATTTGTCTGATGTATCCAAGTGCTTGAGTAGTACCAGCTTCACCCTTATAATAGAATCCTCTGACTCCATCAAAGTATGTGTTATCAATTGTACCTGGAGATAGATTCTTGTCACCATAAATGACATACAAAGTACCAGATGAAGGATTCATTGAACAGATTGCAAGATCAGGATATCCATCATTGTTTATATCTCCACAAACTGGTATCAGATTGTTGATAAGAATTGGAAGTACAATTGAATTTGTATTATTTGGTGGGGTGTTGAATTGTTTAATTGGTCCAAACATTATGTATGTTGTTCCGCTTACTTCGATAATGACATCTATATATCCATCTCCATTCATATCACAACTAGTTGTACCAAAAAGTGTTCCTGAAGAATATATAAATCCATTGGTTTCATTTACTTGTTGATAAGTTGATGGAAAAAAAGCTAATACTCCATTCCTATTTATACACATAAAATAAATAATAATAAATTTTAAATTAAATAAATATTTATACATTATTTATTATTATTTATTTATTTTTTCGAAAAAATTTAAAAAAAAAGAATAAAAAAAAATCAAAAACTTTTAAAAGTTATAGATAGACCATACCGTTGTCGATTAATTAATTAATCAAAATTAAAAATAAATATTTCTATCTTTTTTTTTTTTTGGTGCAACTCAAAGAAAAATAAAAAAAAGGTTACCACCTCACTGCTTGTTAACCTGTGAAATGACTTTTATTTTGGATCTAAAAAATAAAATAAAAAATCTGTGGGAGTGGTGTGTGAAAACTTTGACGAATTTTAACAATAATATGTCGTTTAGTGATTCCTCGCAAGAACTCAAAATTGATCTCATTATAATAAACAAAAAACAAATCTAAAAAAAAAAAAAAAAAAAAATCTGTTGCTCTTTTGGATGTTCTACAAGTAAATAATAATATTTATTCATTCATAAATCAAAATAGAATAAGATTCTTCCATTTTATTTTGTCTTTGATATTGCTGTGTACCGAGTTTCTTGTCCTAAACTCAATGAACTCAAATACTTTTAAGCTTCAAAAATCAGCTATATTTAAAACAGATTTTTATGTGTACACAAAAGAAATACTCCTACATTACCATATAAATTCATAAATTAAAAATTTGCACTCAATTGTTATTTTATTCATTATTATCATCTTTATAATATTTGTACTCAAAGAAATCATCAACATTTTTGCAGTTATTATAATTATTTTTGTGATTTGTGCATATTATTTTGAAAAACGTCTTTCATTGGATGATTTTAACTTTAGTAATTCATTTTATTGTTTTTCAATCAATCATGACTGTGGTGACTTGAACTTTTAAATAATTATTTTGATGAAGGGACATTGAATCCTTTGACAGTTTGTTTTGGTACGTTGTCTTGACCGACTCTCAATGAGGGGTGTGACGATGGGTGTGGATTTCTTGAGCCGGTTGGTGTCATCGGTGAGAGACGTTCCATTGAGATCATAGGATTGTTGAGCGAATCGAATGGACTGCCAACCGGTGACTTTGTAATGGTTTTAATCTCTTCGGTGGAGATTGGCATTGGACCTGGTCTACGACACTGCTGGATATGCCAAATCGATTCAGCGTACTCCTTGATGGTTCGGTCCGAGCTGAACATACCGCAGCCAGCACTGGCCAGAATTGACATCTTGGCCCATTTCGATCGGTTCTGATAGGCGAGATCGATCTGCTGTTGCGCCTCCAGGTACGAAGGGAAGTCGTAGCTGAGAATGTAGTGATCGTTGCCACCGGTTATCGAATCGATGATTGGCTGGAAGTCTTGGAGTGGACCAAACATACCTTCCTTGATGGCGGTAATCACTTGAATCCAACGACGATCGGGAACGAACGTTCCTTGGTGAATCTCCTTCTTGATTCTCTCGACGTCCGGTGTCAGTGCACCAAAGATAAACATATTCTCATGACCGATTGCATCACGAATCTCAATGTTGGCACCGTCCAACGTACCGATGATGAGTCCACCGTTCATGGCAAACTTCATGTTGCTGGTTCCCGATGCCTCTGTTCCGGCGGTCGAGATGTGCTCGGAGATATCGGAACTGGGAATGATAATCTCGGCATTCGACACACAGTAGTTGGGAATGAAAACTACCTTGAGCATGTTGCCAACGATTGGATCGTTGTTGATGACTTTGGCAACGGCGTTGATCAGCTTTATAATGAGTTTCGCCATGTAGTAACCGGGTGCTGCTTTTCCACCAAAGATGACAACCTTTGGGTATTTGACTTTGCCCGACTTTATCTCGAGATAACGGTGAATGACACCGAGGATATTGAGCAACTGACGTTTGTACTCGTGGAAACGCTTCACCTGGACATCAAAGATGGCGTCGACATTGACAATGTCACCGCAGACACGCTCAATGTACTTGGCCATACGAATCTTGTTCTCACGCTTGATGTTCATCCATTGGTCTTGGAAGGTAGTGTCGTCGGCCATATCTTTAATCTTTCGGATGATATCCAAGTTGACAATCCAACGCGAGGTGTTCAGAGTCTTGGTGAGGAATTGACTCAGGCTCGGATTACACTCGTGAATCCAACGACGTGGTGTTACACCATTAGTTTTGTTTTGGAATTTCTCTGGCCAGAGCTCGTAAAAGTGGCGGAACACTACATCTTTGATGAGATCAGAGTGCAGCGCTGCTACACCGTTGATGGTATGCGAGCCGACAATAGCAAGGTATGCCATTCTTATGGTACGACCACCGGATTCGTCGATGATGGACAACGAACGACGACGGTCAATATCGCCAGGCCATCTCTTCTCCACCAACTGAAGGAATCGCTCGTTGATATCATAGATAATACGTATGTGTCTCGGTAGAAGACGCTCGACCATCTCAACACTCCAACGTTCCAACGCCTCAGGAAGTACAGTGTGATTGGTATATGAGAATGTCTTGGTTGTAATATCCCATGCTCTCTCCCAAGACATATGTTCTTCGTCGAGCAAGATTCTCATCAACTCTGGAATGCCGAGGGTTGGATGAGTATCGTTCAACTGAATGGCATGCATCTTTGGAAACTCTGAAAAGTCACGGCCTGTATCCTTGAACTGCGAGATAATATCCTGGAGTGTGGCGGAAACAAAGAAATACTGTTGTTTCAATCTCAGTTCTTTTCCTTGAGTGGTATTGTCATTTGGGTAGAGAACATTTGTGATATTCTCACAACGCTGTTTCTCCTCGATCGAGCCGAGATAGTCACCTTTGTTGAAGGAAGTCAAGTCAAACTCGTCGGACGGTTTCGAACTCCACAACCGGATATTGATGGTGTTGAATGTGCTGAATCCAGGGATTGGATAGTCGTATGCGATTCCCACGATCTTCTCAGCTGGATGCCAAACGAGATGCTTCTCGCCGTTCACTATCTCCTCCTCGACGACACCGCCAAACCCTACGGAATGCGAGATATCGAGACGCTCGATCTCCCAGGGCGATCCGTAGTTGAGCCAGTAGTCTGGCAGCTCCACTTGCTCGCCGTCCTGCAAGTCCTGGTAGAACATACCGTAGGTGTAACGCAGACCGTATCCACAGGCCGGATAGTCCATCGTTGCCAGCGAATCCATAAAACAAGCTGCCAAACGTCCTAGACCACCATTTCCAAGACCGGCATCATGCTCCTCATCGTAGAGATCCTCCAAGTAGAATCCCAACTCCTTCAGCGCATCTGCATACTTTCCAGTCAAACCGAGAGCAACCAGTGAATTCTGAAGTGATCTACCCAACAGGAACTCCAACGATAAGTAATTCACTTGTTTAACACCGTTCTGTTTGAAATATAACATTGTATCTTTCCATCTTTCAATTAATCTATCTTTTGTACTATGATAGTTGTTGTTAGTTATAATTTATATAATTAGTGCAATGTAATGTTTAAACATACCAAAGTGCTAATGCTTCGAATCCAGAAAAGTTGTTTGCTTCTGTTCTTGTTTGAGCAAGATTGTATTCTACATGTCTGACGAATTCACGTTGCAAAGTGAATTTATCCTCTGGCAGATAGGATGCAAGCAATGCCCATAACATAGCCAAGTTCTTCTCATCAACATCTTCATTTTCATTTACATCCTCTATTACTTTGAATGTTGGTTTCTGTGTTTTTGGTGAAGCAACAGATATCCTATTATTATGTTTATTAAATAATAAATAATGTTAAATAAATAATAATGATACACTTAAGTGTTTGATCAAATAGATTGTAATTAATGATCACTTACTTTGGAATTGAACCATCTCTTGATGACTTTAACTTTGAATTTGGTAATGCAGTAGCACTGGTCGATTTACGAAGCACATGTCGCTCCAAATCAACATTTTCTTTTGCATTTTGCTCTGATTTGGGTTGTTTTTCCATCATTTTTTTTTTGAATTTTGAACTTCAAACCACAAATATCTTTTTTTTTTTTAAATTAAATATTTAATTTATCTTTATTTTTTAATTAAATTATTTTCTAATATTTATTTATAATCTTTTTAGGTGATAATTCTATTCTATTATATATTTTTATGATTGTATCTTGTTATATATTATTTTTTTGAAATGAAATAAATGAGTGAATTGTTAAAGATTAAATATGAGAGTAAATGGTTGAAAAAAAAATGTGTTAAATTTATCTTTTATATTTATATTTTTTTGTTTAATTTGATTGTTTATTTTACTTTTGTTCAATGATGTTAACAGTTCTCACAGTGAAATGAAAAAATGATTGGGCAGTGTGTGTGAGAGTTCCCCCTACCCTCCCACTACCTAAATAAGCTTTCAAATTAAACAAACCCTTTTAAAATCCCCCGTATTTAATTGAAAAAAAAATAAAAAAAAGAAAAGAAAACAAATTAATTAAAGTTAAAATTATCTTTAAAAGAAAAAAATATATTAAATTACAATAATGAATCTTTTTTTTTTTATGCAAAGATCTTTTTAAAGTTTTTTATTAATTTATCTTTCAGATTGAAGATAAAGATGATGACGATAATAATTCTTTTTATTTTTATTTTTAAAACTGCTATTTTATTGTTATTTATTATTATTCATTATTTTAATATTGAATTGGTTAAGAACTTCAAAGACTTGTTCTTTATTGGTTTCATGAAAAAGATCGTGACTAACTCCATTGAAGAGGTGTGATTCATATTGATTGGTCTTAATTTGATCTAAACCTTTTCTTACGAGGTCATGTGAGAGCAGGTCAATCTCACCGTGTAACCAGAGTACTTCAACATTGTCGAGATTGACTTGATCTTTAATGTCACGCAGTTTGTCAATGACATTCAAGAGTGTTTCTCTCTTGAACGGAGCGAGATGATAGAGTGGATCGTCATACATTTCCAGCTGAGCTTGCTTATCCGTAGTATAGACTTCTGCTCTTATAACCATTGGTGGAGCATCGATATCCTGCAGCTTAATAACAGCGTGTTCAGTACCAATCAACGGTCCAACTAGAACCAATCCTTCGATCTTATTATTATCAATATTTATTGAACCATATTTATGATAATACATCACTGTTAACATTCCACCAACTGAATAACCAATGATTATAAATTTCAATGGAGTGTTGTTTTTGTTGTTGTTGTTATTTAGTTTATGATTCTCTCTTACTAGTTGAACAGCTGTATATAAATCATCTACAACACTATCGTAGTCTTTTACTAGAGTTGCTTCACCACCTGATAATCCATGTCCTGGATGATCGATTCCAAAAACAATAGCACCCCTATTGTTTTTTATAATGTTTTTTGCCAGTTCTTCATATCTTTTCATATGATCACCATAACCATGATTCATCATAACCAAACAATTACATCCACCAATTTTAATTGCTTGTTCATCATACCATTCATGATAAGCAATTAACTCACCATCTTTACTACTCTTTATAAATTGTTGTTCATAAATCATTTTCTAACAACGAAGAATTAAAAAAAAACTATAAATATATATAGATAATAAATATATTTATAAGATTTATAAGTTTTTTGTATAGTTATACTTAATATATAATAATATAATATAATATTACAACATAATAATATTATTACAAATTTATATTTAGCAGCACTTTTTGACCTTTCAAATTTTAACAAGTAATTATCACCCACTTCATTATTACTACTATATAGTATTTTATTTTTGTTACTATATTAATTTCATTATTCATTATTTAGTTATCTGTTTAATAGATAATTTATATTTGATATTTTAACAGTATTTCTGATTGTTTTCTTTGATTTCATTATTTAATATATATAAAAATACAAAACAAATCAAAATATATAATAGCTGGTAAAACCATTAGAGATTTCTTTGGTAGTGATAACTTGTTTTTTGGTGATCTTGATTCCAAAAAAAAACAATAGGTAACGATGTTACTTTTGCAACAAATGAATAAAAAAGTAATTAAAAATAAAACTAATTAGTTTTTGCGTTGCTTTACTTTATTATTATAATAATTTATTCTATCAGTGGTTCAGACTTTACAGATGAAAATAAGATAAATTAGAAGAGAGTGATCATCGTGTTGTTGGAGATCACAGTCAGCGTTACAGAGAACCTTGTGCTTAGAGGTATTCTTGAGATTGATTCTATTTTTCAAATACTGGTGTCGTAATTTATAAAGATGTAGATTCAGAGTTTACCAACCACTTGGAGAGTTGTAAATAATGTGTATGTATTATTGGTGTGTATAGTGTCAGTGGTGTTGTTTTTATCAGCAAACATAGATATCAACTGTAAACTGACAGACAACTGTATACCAGATAACTGAACAATTAAGAAATGATAGTGTTGCTTTAGACTTTAGAGATGAAAATAAGATAAAATATAAATCATCTTTTATTTGACTTTTGTCATAATAAAGGATCGACAGAGATCATGGTTTCACCACCTGGTGATAAAGTTGCACGTTCAGCACTGTCGTCACTGATCCACGGAATGGCTGAAACCAAACAAGCATTACTGTCGCGTTATGTCAAGAGAAACGGAAGTTCAGCATCGATTGCATTGCTATATCCACATATCAAAGCCAACTATGAATGTCTCTATGTTTGTCAACTTCCATTCCTTGACGATTTGAAACAATATCAATTCCCACCGATCGCACCCACCAACCCGGCAACAAGAAAACCATTCATTCCGACAGCGGAACAAGTCGATGCTACACGAGCACGATCGAGCACTTCATCCGGAATCACAACTTCCAAAACTCGATCCGATCATCTCGAAATATATCTCCCGATGAAGCGATTATGGAGAATGCACAAGATGCAATAAAGAACTTCCAAACACTGTTTCCACTCACGAAAACCACCAACTTTAAATCGGAACCGAAATATCGATGGCAAGATGGAATGTTGGTCAAACAACAACAAGAGATTCGTTTGGATTCCTATGTTACAGACGATGCCAACACATCGAAGAAGAGAAAGGCAGATGATCTTGCAGATTACTCGCTCGACAAGCTGGTTTCTGGTTACGTCAATGAAGTCGGTTCGATCAATCCAGTGCAGAACTTCAAAGATATGTTGGCAAGACGTGATATCGATCTGGTAGACAAAGCGATATCATTAATGAAACAACGTATTGTCCACTGGTAAACGATTCACTCAAAGATCAATTCTATGGAGTGTGTTGCACTTTGTCGTGGATCTATCAAAGAATCAGAATCATTGGTATTAATAATAATTTGTATTTAATATTAAAATTACTAAAAACCGTATACATTACAAGTTATTGTTAAAAAATTACATTTTAAAACTTAAACAACCTTTTTATTTCATTTTGGGTGTGAGTAACGTTTTTTGCAAAGATAATACGATCAAATTCCGGAAAATGAAAAAAAAAAAGAGTGCTGTTTAATTTTAATAATTTCTCCAATAAAATCAAAGTTTTAGTTTAACTTGATTTTTATTTTTGAAATTAATGAATTTTAAAAATACTTCAAAATGAATAATATCGAGCTAACAGATAAATTAATCAATCGAAAAAATGTATTGAAATTTATTAATTTTAATTTTAAATACTATCAACAATACACAGTTTTAGTTTATAATCATTTGAAAGATAAAGATAATGAACAACACACAAATATCACATTAATTGGAAATATTAATCGAAATAATAATAATGAGATTGTAATACCAGATACTGTCGATACTCAATATCAATTATTAATAATATCATCAGATTCTTACGCAGTAGATTTTAAATCCATGTGTGTCGAGCTATTAAACAAATCACAATCATACACAATCAATTTTGAAAACAATCTATTCAAAAACAACCTTGACTATTTCAAACAATCTCATATCATTAATAACGAACGATATCATTCAATATCAAGATTTACAAACAGTAATGATATCAATGATGTATATTTAGTGGGTGGTACTGATGATCATAAATCTTTTTATAAAAGATTGGTAAGATCATTTTTCAATGTAATTAATCAATTGACAATTATAAAACTAACAAAATCAATTCAAAAGTATGTTTATAAAAAGATAAACTATAAAGATGATCAGAAATCTTATGAAAGAGCTGAGAATGAAATCAAAGCAATGAAATTACTCAAAGGTAATCGAAGATTTGTTCAACTTGTTGACTATCATCATGATAAAGGCAATCAAATCTTTCATATCATCACTGAATATTGTAAAGGTGGTGATCTTTCTCAAAAGTATAAACATGTAACTGATCAAAATGAGTATATATCAAATATTTAATATAATTGACTTTTATCAAGCAATTAACCACTTTTATATTGAACATAAAAATAGAATCTTTAAAGAATCAGATATCAGTAATTTTATTTCACAACTTTTCAATATTCTTTTGGATCTTGATAAACATGGAATTGTTCATTGTGACATTAAACCATCAAATATATTCATTGATGAATTTTTTACTTATGGTACTTTGATTCTTGGTGATTTTGGATGTTGTAAATTCATTGATAAATCAACAATCATTGAATATCAAGATACTAAAGAACATACTCTTGAAACAAATGATTTTAATTTAAAAACTATCGATCATGAAATATCGGAGCCAACCACTTTTTCATACATAAATGCAACACGTGGAACACCTGGTTATATTTCACCAGTAATTAAATTTTATTTATTTGATTTTCAATATAATTTTAACTTATTTAAAATAATAACAAATAGGAAGCAATGAACAGACAATATGCACAATCATGTGACATCTTTTCAATTGGATCAACAATACTCAAATTATTATGTTGGTAAATACTCGAATAATCATACTTTTAAAATATTATTATCAATCAGATATTAACTCTGTATTTTTGAATATTTAAATTGATCAGTCATCAAGATGATCGAAATAATCATCAACTATTCCAAACTAAACGTGAAATTAAGATTTCAGAATTCAGATATTCAAAACAATTGATTGAATTTATTCACCGATTGTTGGATCAGAGTCCAAAGAATAGAGAATCATTGAATCAATTATTAAACCAATATATTGAAACTATCACCAATAATCAGATAATTACATTCAATTTAAATACTCCATTTCATAATACCTCCGTCAATGTCACTGAGATCAATTTTGGAAATGAATTCAATCAAATATTATCAATCGGTGTCTTACCTGAATCACTGAAATCATTGGTGTTTGGAAATAAATTCAATCAAATATTATCAGTTGGTGTATTACCTGAATCACTGCAATCATTGGTGTTTGGATATGAATTCAATCAAATATTATCAGTTGGTGTGTTACCTGAATCACTTGAATCATTGGTGTTTGGATATGAATTCAATCAAATATTATCAGTTGGTGTCTTACCTGAATCACTGAAATCATTGGTGTTTGGAATTGAATTCAATCAAATATTATCAGTTGGTGTTTTACCTGAATCACTGCAATCATTGGTGTTTGGATATGAATTCAATCAAATATTATCAATCGGTGTGTTACCTGAATCACTGAAATCATTGGTGTTTGGTTGTGAATTCAATCAAATATTATCAGTTGGTGTTTTACCTGAATCACTGCAATCATTGGTGTTTAAATTTAAATTCAATCAAATTATACCAAAAGGTGTGTTACCTGAATCACTGAAATCATTGGTGTTTGGAATTGAATTCAATCAAATATTATCAGTTGGTGTATTACCTGAATCACTTGAATCATTGGTGTTTGGATATTTCTTCAATCAAATATTATCAGTTGGTGTGTTACCTGAATCACTGAAATCATTGGAGTTTGGAAATGAATTCAATCAAATACTATCAGTCGGTGTGTTACCTAAATCACTGAAATCATTGAAATTTGGATATTTCTTCAATAAAATATTATCAGTCGGTGTGTTACCTGAATCACTTGAATCATTGGTGTTTGGACATTCCTTCAATCAAATATTATCAGTCGGTGTGTTACCTGAGTCACTTGAATCATTGGTGTTTGGATATTTCTTCAACAAAATATTATCAGTCGGTGTTTTACCTAAATCACTGAAATCATTGGTGTTTGGATATTTCTTCAATCAAATATTATCAGTTGGTGTATTACCTGAATCACTTGAATCATTGGAGTTTGGAAATGAATTCAATCAAATACTATCAGTCGGTGTGTTACCTAAATCACTGAAATCTTTATCATTTGGAAAAGGATTCAATCAAATATTATCAGTCGATGTCTTACCTGAATCACTGAAATCTTTATCAATGACGAACTACATCGATAGAAAAGATCTACCTCAACATATTGAAAACCTATTTATTGGAGGACAAAGAATAGATATCGAGTCATTCTAAATTTTCTTTAAATCTTCTATTTTAATCAAGAGTGCAGATTTTAATACTTAGACATTCATTTTAAATAAAAAAGATCACTTCGATTAAAATCAGGATATAATTAATGCTTATTTATTATTTATTCTATTGAATTTAAAAGATATGAATTATATTCTCGTTCTCTGTTTAATCTTCTAGAATTTTACAGTACCGCTGAATCTCGGTTGTCTTAGCTTGTTTATCAAATCTATTTGCATTTTGAAGATGTCGAACTTTGTACAGCTATGTGATATCCTCGTGAAGGAGGTGTGCGTTGGCATACTGGACTGTGCCAACATTCGTCTGCACTACAGAGGTGCTGCATGTACTGACGCCAGCTCTTTTGTTGAATTGCTGAGTTTCCTTTCGGATTTTAAGAAACTTCCTCTCAGAAAGAGAGAGTGGCTCCGGCAAGAGGAAAAGAGTAACAATAACTGTTCGTATACCCAAGTGCTCTTTCGAGAGTTCACAGTATTGGATTTCCAGAAGTACCATGATCACAAAGCTGCAGATGTATCTTACTTTAAATCTCTCTACTTCGATGATCGTGCGATTAAGTATTTGTGTCTGAAGCTATTTTCACCAAAGATGTCAACCATAGAGGATTATTTAATTCACTATCTACTATCATATCCTCATCTGAATCTATCTTTCTATAAGAAGTTTAAATTTAAAAAAAAAATGGAGTTGATAACCACTCTTCAGTGTGTAAAGAAGGGTATAAGAAGAAATGCAATTCTCCTTACTATGTTAAAATAATTTAATTTTGTCTTACTCTTTTTCATTTTTTTTCAACCAAAATCCAAAGGATGTAAAATAAAATAATAAGAGATTATTTAATAATGTGTAAAAATAGATGTTATTGATCGATCATATGAAAGAAAAGTCAATATTTTAAATTTGATCAAATCTGTTATTGATAGTTTGACACAAAATAGATTTTTTTGTGGATCATGATAAAGATTTTGTAATTATAATATTACCTTTCTTTTTACATAAAATCTATTTTGTTGGTGGTGAGTATATTTGAGAATATCACATCATTGAACATCTATTAAATCTTTTTTAATTTTTCTAAAAAAAAAAAAAATTAAATCTATACCTTTGATGATCGTTGTCATCAACCCACATCATAAAATAAAAACTGAGAAATAGTGGCATAACAGGAGAATCAGTTGTTTTACTCTGATTATTATTTATTTATTATTATTTTTTTTTTATTTCATTCTTTCAACATAATCACTTATCGAATCAAATATCTCTTGTTTATTAGTTTCATGATAGAGATCGTGTCTTGCACCTTTAAAAATAAGCGATTCGTAATGATTCTGTTTGATGTGGTCGAGTCCGTGCTTTGAGTGTTCAATGAGGAGCAGCTGATCGTCGTCGCCATGAACCCACGCCACTGGAACATCATTGAGACTCACGTGGTTTTCGATATAGGTGAGTGACTTGACCATGGCAGCGAGTGTTGCCTTCTTGAAGGGACCCTTGTAAAAGAGAGGATCCGCTTTGATTTCCTCGATGATGTTGCCGTTGCGCGATGCCACGTCAGGTGAAAACGGTGCCTCTGGCTGGACGTCGAGTTTGTTTAGTTCGAGAATCTTGTGCTCGCGACCAAGTAGCGGTGCCACCAAGACGAGCGACAGGATATTGTCTGCGTTCTTGAACTTTTGATAGTAGAGAACGGAGATCATTCCACCCATTGAATGGCCAATTAGGGTGACTCCGATGTTCTCGGGTAGAGAATGGCGCTCTTTCATGTGGATGACTGCTAGATGTAAGTCGTTGATACACAAATCAAAGTCCTTGATGAGAACACGTTCACAATCGGACATCCCATGGCCGTGACAATCGATGCCAAATGCAATCACGTCGGTATTCGCCTCCACCAGATTGTGAGCCATTTCATATTGACGACCCATATGGTCACTGTAACCGTGTACTATCAAAACCAAACTTCTACATCCAACTCCATTATTCACATCTTCATTATACCACTCGTGGAGAGCTAACCTCTCTGCTTGAGTTCCCTTTATATAAGTTTGATTATAAACCATCTCTGGAAATAATTATTAATATTTTTGGAAAATTAAAATTTTAAAAACAAAAATTATTTATTTATTAAATTATTATAAATTATTTAAAATACAAACAAAAATATCTAATCAAAACACAATAGATATATATAAATAAAATCTTTCCTATTCCAACTTTTTTTTAATAAATAAATAAATAAATAATAATTGTTATTCAAAATCCAAAACAAATATTTTTATTTGGATTATATATTTATTGTTTTGTTTTATTTAATCTATTTTATGCTTATAATATAATTATATATATTACTTATTTTATATAATCTGATATATCATTTATGTATAATGAAGTAGGTGTGTGGTATCATTACAATTGTTACCCATCATGATTAATTCAAAAGCGCAAAAAAAACCACACCACACCACCACTCTCAGCATTAGAGTAAGTGGTATTTTAATATTGTTGGTATTTATCAATAATATAGGGGTGTATAATATAACAACATCAATAGAGAACATCCAAATTTGATGGTAGTAGTGTAGCTACTAGTAACATGTTTGATAGAAAATGGAAATACAATATAGATGTTTATCATTCAGATGAATGAATGGATGATGAATGCTACTGTCCAATTTGATAAACTTGTATATTGAATCAAATTTTGTAGTGCAAGAATTTTGATAAAATATGGTTTAGGATAGAAATAATAATAGACCAATAAAAAACAATAATAAAAAAAAATAATAAAAAATTAAAACTTACTCTTATTCTTTGCCAACATTTTTTAATATTGTTATTGTTTATATTTATAATACAATTGGAAAGTATTTATTAAAAGTGAAAAAAATGATTTAATTTTTTATAGAGAATTTCTAAAAATTTAAAAAATACAATAAAGAAATTCTAACAAATAGAATATTTCTTTGTATTTAAAAAAAATAATTTTTAACTTTTGTAATATTTTTATTTTATTCTCATTGATTTGTAAGAATCAATTAAATTAGTTTCTAGT